TATGAGGTCATGCACAGCCATGCACAGCAGGTCACCTGACCATCAATCCTTCCAGCAGGTTCCAGCACATGCCAAGGTATACCAGCTACTTCCATGTCATAAAGGCTTAGTCATGTCTCTTGACCAAGCAATGAGCTGGTGCCCTGACACCTACTCTGCCTGGGAACTGTCTCTTCAGACTTGGTCTCTTAGGATCATCCACAGGTACCTATACTGTAGATAGGTCTTAGTCATCAGGTCTACTCCACTTCCTTGTTGCCTGCTTAGACTCTTGGCACTCTTAGGTGAGCAGACTTAGTCAGCCTGTGTTGCCCTAACACCACCATGGAACAGCATGGAATGCATGCAGGGCCACAAAGCTGCATGTGGTGGAAATCCACACAGCACCCATGCCACAACCCATGATGCGACCCTGCACAGGCCTCATGGATCACTTTGAGAAGGCCTGGAAGCAAGGAGAAGCAGGGATAGAACATGTGATAAGGGGTACAAGACCCCAAAACAATGCATTCCCTGACAACACCACTATGCTGATGGGGGTGATGCCTTGCACTTGGAGGTCAGCATACATCTCCATTCATTCTCTTATAGATGTAGTGCTGACCTTCTGAATAGTTGTATATCAATGAGTGTCACAAGTACACTGTCTGTAGATGGCCAAAGGGTATCCTGACTTGGCTCACCTGGTAACAATGCACTGCATCAGGCTAGTGCATGGGCTGCTCCTCATCCCCACCCATGCACAAGTGCCCAAACTGATCCTCTCTCTGGTCTTACAAACATGTCATCTGTTCTAGTAGATGTGGATGTGGATTACAGTTTTGGCTTATTTCTGTCATAGCCACAAATAGGAGTTAATGATATATGGTTTGGATCCTGTTTGGCATCAATAACCAGGACAGTCAATGTCCGGATGCTCCCCTCTTTGCTGATGCCTTGTCTGGAACCTCCCTGTCCTTTTCCAGCCACAGTCCATCTACCCCAGCCAGGTGCTTCCTCCAATCCCTGCAGCATGGGGTCATCAAACATGCTCCCATCTATGGCATGAATGAGAGTATGAGTGCCAACATATAGCCAAATGAGTAAGAGGATTGCCACAAGTGCCATGCCAGGTGCCTGGAGTAAAGGGGAGATTGGCATGGGGGTACTGCCATGGAGAGCAAGAAGGTAAGGAAAATATAGATGCTGAAGGGGAAGGCAAGGCCCCACCTGCTGGGGCATTAGTTCCCCAAAGATGAGAGGTAGATGTAGGAGGCATACCATGCCATGCCAAACTTTGGCCCCTGCTTCCTGAACAAAGCTTCCCTGAATGTCTTTGCCACATCAATCTAGAGTGTGACTGAATCAGTGAGAAACCCTGCCAGTGTGACAGTGGGGCCTACAATGGCTTCAATGTTCTTGATGGTATTCACACACTTGATTTTGCATGATTGACTCATAGAAATCATTGCCACAATCTGCAAGAGTCAGCATAGGTCATGCTAGGCTGGATAATAAAGAACTCATAATCAGCATGAAGTGATTTCAGGGACTTTGGCACAGAAAAGGAGTCACCCAAAAACAAATTGAATTGAATCTGGTGCATGGACTCTCCTGTTTTCCTTCTAGTACTTCCAATGCTAGCCTTCTACTGGAGTTTATCCAGCTGGTCTCATTGGCAGGGCAGCCATTGAAGTTTGGAAGTGGTGAAGCATGATGGACTTGGATAACCCACACTCTTAGGAAAGGCCAGATAGTGCAGTGGTAGCACACCTGAGTACAAACCAGGAGGCCCCAGGTTCGATTCCTGGTCTAGCCAGTATGTTTGATTTCTGTCAAAGCACACTCCTCTCCTGGTCTGTCAATGATGGTGAAGATTTGTGTGGCTTCCTGGTCACCCTTCAGCAAGAATCGGATGATGGCATATGACCTTGTTGAGTGCCTGTTCTCTGCTGTGGCTTTATTGCTTGACTGGGCATTTCTCAGAGCGATGTCAAGTTCTTTGATGCCCTCCTCCAGGTGCAACACCTCCGCTTTCCTGGAATCAGACAAGCAGACCTTCTGATATGAAAAGACTCACTTGTCTTCCCATGCAATATCTTAGTCCATCCCTGATTGGCACATACAGTAGACAACAAAAGTAAATGTATGCTGCTCAGGACCCTGATTTTGACCCATCACATTGTTGCCAATTAAACACCATAAAGCACCCACATACTTAGGACAACTTCTGTAATATGGTAAATAGTCAAGAGGATCTGGCTTTAGAATATGCAAACATAATGGAAATATCTGTTGTACTCAGGGAGATATGACGGTGACAAGTTGCCCCAGAAAAATACGCGCGCCGCGCGGCGTACATTTACTTTTGTCGTCTACTGTACCATCAGCTTGGCCACCCGCACGTATTGATTTCTGCATTCCTGTATTCTGGTACAGCCTAATCTAATGATGGAACAAGCGCAGACTAGTATGCGCAAAGACGACCCCATACTCGTCCGCAGCCTTCACACACTCGGCATCCATCACGCTTCCGCCGGGAGCAGCGAGGTAGTTGACCCCGCTTTTCCTCGCCCGGTGGACGTTGTCCGGGAAAGGGAAGAAGGCGTCGCTGGAGCATGCAACGCCGGACAACTTGGTGCTCCACCGTTCTTTTTCTTGCTCGCTTAATGGGCCGGGGACGCTGTCGAACAGCCCCTCCCACTGGGCCTTCTCCGCGCCCTCGAGCTTCTCCCCAGTGACGAAGAGGTCGATAGCGTTCGCCTTATCCGCACGCTTCGTCCCCTTCTTGAAGGGTAAAGCGAGGACACGAGGATGGTGCCGGAGCCACCAGTTGTCCGCTTTCGCACCGGCGAGACGTGTGCAGTGGATACGCGATTGCTGGCCTGCGCCGAGCCCGATGATTGCACCGTGCAGGGCGTAGGCGACGCTGTTGGATTGGGTGTACTTGAGCGCGAGGGTTGCAACGATCAGGTCGATTACTGCTGCTTTGGGGAGCTACGAGTCGTTGTCAGAGGGGGAATACATGGGAGCGAAGACACGCACCTCCTTGTTCTTCGTGACGATGTTCCCAAACAGCTCCGGGGTGATCTTGGCCGTATTGCGCCCTTGCTGGAGGTAGACTCCGTACACCTGGCGCACCTCTGCCTCGGGGGGAACGTATGTAGGGTCCATCTGGAGGATACAGTATTTCCCCGCCTTCTTCTTCTTCAGTACTTCGAGCGCCTCTGGCGTATACCCGGGAGCGACGACCCCGTCCGACACTTCCCGGGAGATGATCTTCGCCGTTGCCAGGTCGCATGGAGCGGAGAGGGCGATAAAGTCCCCGAAGGAGGACATGCGGTCTGCTCCCCTGGCACGGGCGTAGGCGCACGCAAGCGGGGTCAGAGGCTCCTTGAGGTCGTCAACCCCATACACCTGCTTTTCCGTCTCGTCCAATTCTAGGCCTACAGCCGCACCAGCAGGAGAGACGTGCTTGAAGCTAGCGGCTGCTGGGAGGCCGAGCGCTTCCTGCAGCTCCTTTACCAGTGCCCAGCTGTTCAGCGCGTCGAGCAGGTTGATATACCCCGGTGCGCCGGCCAGGACAGCAAAAGGGAGTTCACCGGACTTGACGAACGCCTGTGCTGGCTTCTGGTGGGGGTTTGCCCCGTACCGGAGGGGGATCCTCTGGACTTCTCCGGCGAGCTTCTCAGCCGGCAGGTCGGCAGAAGCGTACTGCTCCCGGAAGTAGCCGCTGATCGCCTCGTCGTACGCGGCGGTATGCTCAAACGCCTTGAGCGCGAGGGAGCTCCTGATTTTCTGCCCTACGTCCCCTGTACCCGTTTTCCACGAAGCGAGGAACTCGGCGTAGTCCGCTGGGTCGGAGAGCACCGACACCCGCGCATGGTTCTTCGCCGCGGCGCGAAGTAGTGTCACTCCTCCTATATCGATCTCCTCTACAGCTCCTTCGAGCGTACAGTTCGGCTGAGCCACCGTCTGAGAGAACGGGTACAGGTTGCACACCACTATGCTGATGAGGGCGATGCCTTGCGCTTGGAGGTCAGTAGAGTCGGAGGGGATGGAGCGGGCGAGGATCCCCCCGTGCACCGCAGGGTGAAGAGTCTTCACACGCCCGCCTAGCATCTCCGGTGCGTGGGTGATGTCGGACACATCCCTGTCTGATGTTAGTACTGGCATGCCTGGAAACCTAAGAACGCACTCAATGGGGATCCCAGCATCCCGAATCTTCTTCGCAGTCCCGCCTGAACCCAAGAGCCTCACGCCCTGTTCCTGCAGTCCCTTTGCAAGCTCGAGCAATCCAGTCTTGTCATACACCGACAGGAGTGCTGTATATGGATCTCAGCAGGATGGCATGTGGAATGGGTAATGGACATACCGATATGCTTTGACATTGTGGGAAACTTTTTGGATGTTGGGTGGACCCTGGTAGATGGAGGAGTATTGTTGAAATTGCTTACATATTATTGATGACTAATCAAGCACAGCCGCTGGAAGTGTTTCTCCGCGGCTGAGGAAGCAGCTGAACGCACGAGAAAAGCGCCGGTAAAGCACACCATCAGCGCGGCGGGCAACCCACTCGGACAGCCGACCCTTGCTTGAATACTTAAGCAGCGCTCAGGCTCTCCTCCTCAACTCCCAACCACCATCTTCCCCCCTTCAACTGCGCACTGTCCAAGTAAACGCCTCTCACCGACTGGTGCCCGCCCAAGCCCGAAAGGTCTGATTGGAGCTGTCTTTGATCGGCCTCCCTTGCTTGGTCTCTTAGGCTCAGCCTTGCTGTCTGGTTGAGCTCTACTTTGTCGTCCACCTATCCAGCGAACCCCCGCTACCGCTCTACCGCACTTCCCAGTATCTTAGTGTTATGTCGCCTGTCGCTACCGACCCTTATCGCACGACCCGCCCCGCTCCGCTGAAGAGCATGCCCCCTTCGTCCACCAACAGCGAGTGCATCTTCGACCCTATGCCCGAGGCGCTCGCCGCGTTCTCCCGGGGCGAGTTCCTCGTAGTGATGGACGACGCTGACCGGGAGAACGAGGGTGACCTGATTGTCCCCGCCCATGGTATTACCACGGAACAGATGGCGTGGTTCATCAAGCATACTAGTGGGTATATATGTGTTTCCCTCCCAGGGGAGAGACTCGAGGAGCTCAGGTTGCCCTTGATGGTACCTATGAATGAGGAGAGGCATAGGACGGCGTATACCGTCACGGCGGACTATAAGTACGGTATGTACGTTTACTGCTCAAATGCACATGAGCTGATGTCGTGAAGGCACGACAACCGGGATTTCGGCACATGATCGCGCTCTTACGGCACGTATGATGGCCCAGGGTGGGAAGGCGGAGGACTTCAACAGACCGGGGCATATGGTCCCCCTTCGCGCTCGCGAAGGAGGCGTCCTCACCCGGAAAGGCCATACCGAGTCCGCGCTGGGTACGTTCTCCCGCTTCTACCTGATTCTTCCTCAAGGTGAAGAGAATGCTAATGGAAACCCAGATCTGTGCAAGCTGACGAACCAGCCGGCCGCGGGATTGCTGTGCGAACTGGTGAACGATGATGTGCAGGGCTCTATGGCTCGGCGGGACGACTGCCGGGCGTTTGCAGACCGCTGGGGGCTCAAGATGATCAGCGTGGAGATGATCGTCCAGTGGCGGAAGGAGCATGAGGGATCGCAGATTTGAATGGGCGTAGTGCGTTGGGTGTGTGAGAAGTGGTCAGAGGGTGAAAGGGGGGAAAAGACGGTGCTGTCCCGAAATATGTGATTGTGGTAGAGAGCTGTCTGTCTGCTGCTTGGAATCTATACGTATCTCTGCTCGACATTAGATCCGTTGTTTCAAAGTTGCTACACTGGCATAGAAGGCGTAGGTTGTCGTTTGGGTACAACGATTTCTCCGCTGTTGTATAGCGGTCGGGCGAAGTAAGCGCGCGACCCGAAACGCGCCCTTCTTCGGCCACATTCCAACCGGATTCCAGTCGTTATCCTCCCACCTCGCACGCCTTCATATCTATTCCATCACCCTCTCTCTCTCCATCACCTGCAGTGCGGGTAGGGGAGAGTGACTCATTCCTCACCAGTCAATTAATAACCACACATCCACTGGTACTCCCCTGAAGACGACAAACCGAAATGCCATTCCAGTTCACATTCTCCCTCCCTTCCCTCCCACTTCTCAACCCATGGCGGCCCACTCCACCCCCGCCAACACCGCCCCGTCTCTCTACTCGCGGAGGATGGATGCCTTCCTCCCACACGCCTAGTGTCCAGCTAACGGAGGCCGAAGCCCAAGGTTGGGTTCAAGTCACTTCCAATTCCACTTCGCGTATAAGAGCGAGAGACGACCCGGGCGAAGGTAAGTTCCTTCTCTTTCCCCTGTAGCTCTGGGAGAGTCCTACCTTTGTGCTTAGATCAGCCACCTGCGAAAAGGAGACGAACGATAGGCAGCACAGTCGTAGATATGCTAAGCTATGCGCTCCTTCGGTCTGGAGGAGCTCCCTCTCCCAGCCCGAGCTCGCATACCGCCGTCTCGCAAGAAACAGAACCCCCAGCCTACGACACGCTCGATCATCCCCCTGACCTACCGCTCTCACCCGTCCCCATGCCAGGATCAAAACGACGCCCTAGGTCCCTCTCCCCAGAAGCGAGACGCCGTGTGCACGGGCACCCCGCCGGTCGAAAGCAGCGAGCTGGTAAACAGCGGGTGACGCTCACGCCCGGTACGGCGGGGTTTAACCCTTTTCGCCCTTCTGGGAGCCCTAGGACGGGGGGGTTCACCGGTTCTGTGGGTGTGGCTAGCCAGGAAGAGGAGGGAGTCGTGGGAAGCGTGCCGTCTGTTATCGACCTCCAGGTGGGTGACCTTGTGTATGTAGTTGGGCGAAGCTCATGCAGTGTGTAGATGTCGAGGATGGACAGTACGCTCCAGGCGCTGTTAGCTGAAGGAGCGAAAGCGCTTGGGCAGGAGATCGTCCTCCCTGAAGATGGAGAGGAGTTCGAGCAGGATACTGATGATTGGGAGGATGCGTGACTCTCTTTCGACTTACTTTTCGTGGTTTCGTGGGTATGGTTTCATTGGTGTGATTCTATGGGTCGACTTCCAGGATGTAGCTTTATTCCCTGTTCAGTTTTCAGTGTTGTATCCGGTAGCAAGGGGGTATGAGTTATATTTAATGTTATTGCATTTAGCCACGAAAAACACGCCGCTGACATTCTGTGAGCACGATAGTATCGCTTCATTGTCAAAAGGAGTGTAGGCAGGCTTGTATTGCCAAAGGTATATAGAAGGACAGCTGATAATGCAAGGACTGAAGGAATAAAGATGATAACTAAAAAAGTGCTCAGCTAACAAGTCCATCATGATCAAGTCCGCCTAGACATGAACAAGAGTGGGAGAAAACGGCAACAGCTTGGAGAGAGGAAGAAAGCAGTTCGCGGAACCTTCACAGGAAAAGAGGAATATGTTGTAGAATGAACACAGGCAGAGGGTGATCACTTGCACAAAAGAGGGGAAACACGACACAGCGTGCAGACTTGATATGCGTTTCATGACGGTGCGACAAATTAAGCTGGTAATGCGACAGCGTATGGGGATTCTCACAAGGCAGGGTTCTAGAAGAGAAGGGAGGCGAGGACTGTCTATTTCTTGACGATAACCTCGAAGGTGATGGTTTTGGGGGACGACAGGGCCCAGATGGCAGCGAGACCCTCCGCCATGGAGGCAATGGGTTGCATGATCATGCCGAAGAAGTGCAGGATGGCATAGTACCATGGCGTGGCAGCGTCGATCTCCTGGAAGAGCCATCCCATAAGGTAGAGGACGATGAAGGTTGCGAAGCAGAAGTCGGCGCAGAGAGCAATCCAGAACGGCGTGACACTAGTGTCGACCCAGAAGGAGAAGGGAATGTTGATGAGCGTGACGGCCAGCGTGAGCACACCAACAATCCAGAGGTTGATGGCCAGCTTGGGCAGACCGTATACACCCTTGATCTCGCGAATACCAACGAACCAACGCCGACGCTGCTTGAGGAAATCGCGGAGTGTGGTCGGCGACTGCTCGCGAACGATACCGTTGATCCTGCCACAGGTGAAACCTCTCTGCCAAGCGAAGTGTGAGAATTCGAAATCTTCGGCAAGGGAGCCACAATCCCACGTGACTTCCTGCTCCACGATACCGTTCAGCAGCAGGAAGGAACCGTGAACACCAAAGACCGGGGCGTGGATGGCCGTATTTTGCAGATGGAAACGAGCGAGATCGTCACCGACACGCAAGCAATCCGCAACTGAGAAGAACCAGCCCTGGAGTGTGGTCTTCCAGCTCTCACCCTTGTTGAAGTAACCGTGACCGTTGTAGAGGATGATACCCTGACCGATAGAATGAGGTGAGTAGCGAATAAAGTCGAACATACGGCGGAGAGACTCGGCATCGGTAACGGATTCCTCGTCCATGTGCAGGGTCCAGTCATACTCCGTAAGGTTCATAGAAGAACGGAAATAGTCGAGAGCGCGAGCCTTGTGCTTCGCAAGGCCTTTTGGAGACTTGTATGCCTTCGGGCAAACGATGTTGTTGATGTCCGGATATGCGTACGGCTCATCCGTAAGGACGAAAACCTTGACAGACGGGTGGAGTTTCTCAAGCTTGACGAGGGTGTTGAAGCCACGACGCACGGCAGTCTCGTTCGAACCCTTTGTGACCAATACGATGTTGAAGTTGCGGATAGCTTCACGGATGACAGGTCGCTTGTCCATGGTACGCTTCGCCGGGCTCCAGTCGGGTGTGCAGAAGCCGAAGTAGGCACATAAACAATTGGGGACTGACATGACCCAAACGAACCGCCAGAGGGAAGAGAAGGTGAAGCCGTCCCATGTGAAACCTCCAGTCGGATGGTAGTAGATCCAGAGGGCGGTGAGACCGGGGATGAGGAACAGGTGGATGATCCAGGCCCACTGGTTCACGGCGAGTAGGCGATAAGTACGAACAGCCTCCTTGTCGTCGCGCAAATCGGCCGTCCAGCGAGTGGAGTATAGCTGGCTGCGAATCGACGGATCATCCGACATGTGGATACCGGGAGGAGCACGCTTGAGACCACCGACGTTCTTCCAGTGGAACAGGGTGTAAACACCCTGAACCGTTCCCTTGTAGTATCCAACGACCTTGCGGGCGAACCAAGAGCCCACACGAAGGGGAAGATTGATGAAGAAGTGGCAGAGGAAGACGACCAATTTGTACGGCATCGTGAAGAACGAAGTGGGGTGTGTGACGAAAAGACCATTCCACATGCCCTTAGCAAGGCGAAGGGAGTAACGGTCAACAATCTGGTAGAAGACCCAACCGAGGACGACGTTGATCATGAAACAAATGAGGTAAGCTATACAATCTGTTTAGAACTTCGCGTCTCACAGTAAGCAAGCACGTACCGGGAGCAACCACATTCCAGTAAGAACGGCCATCGTTCAGAGCCAAGACCAGGGGTGGCATGATGGAATACAGCACGATGTACTGGAGGAAGATGAAGCCGAAGGAAATCTTGCCCATCCATACGAAAAGGCGCCAGCCAACGAACCACTGCATGGTGTGAGAGATCTCGAGCCAAAGCATGGTGGCACAGGCAATGATCCAGTTGCTCATGACCATGGTTTGGGGCCACAGAGTTGTCGCGTTGTAACCAAACAGACCTGCGGCAACAGTGATATGGCCGACTGCGTTGTTGATCGGGCCGGCGACGTTCTCTACACCGACGATCAGTGCACAGGCGAAGGCCATAACACTGAGTTCGATGGCCATTGTCAGTTTCCAGTTATCATTGAGCCAACGGACCAGGCCCGTGTTGTACATGTCGCAGAGGAAGAGACCGAAGATGAACAGCTATGAATGCGATGAGTTTGACGCGCATTTACGAGACGGTAACACATACGAAATTGTTGCTAGTAATGAACCACAGACTGGGCAGGAGTATGCTATAGATGATATAACGACTCCGTAACGGCAAGGGAGCAAGGGCAGCAGCGACGATATAGGTCAGCATGGAGCCCCAGAAAAGATCGTAGATAGTCCAAAGCTGAGCGCCTTGGAACCACATCGTGCCATGATCGGGATTTGTGAACATATCGAGGACGAGCTTGAGGAATCCGGCAAAATCGCCAACTTCGCACCATGATGGCACCCAGAGATCAGACGGAGCGAGGAGCTTGACACTGGCCGTCTCAGCATCATTCGTAAAGCCTTTGGCTAGATGGATCTTAGCCCGATTGCACCGGGATTGCACGAGAATTTCACTCACCACATAGGAGCCACTGACACAAACCAATAATCGCACCACCGTATGCCAGATGAATAGGACGCCTGAACACGCTGACCGCCAGAGCACCCCACCTCAGCTCGCTTTCACCCTGCTTTTTCGGGGCCGACTCAGTCTTGATCTTCCGACCGAGGTATGCCCAGCGGTAGAAGTTGTTTGCCAAGCTGCGACCAGAGAGAACAAACCACAACGAGATGGCCAGCTGGCCATTTCGTATGACGCCCTCCGTTGTGGTAAGTGGCAGTGTGCCAGGATGTGATTGTGTCCAGGTTAAGTCAGCAAAACTACAACCATGTCAGCAGTGGCGATGCACACATTGTTTTCCATGAAACTCACGCTTGGGTGAACATCACAACAGCTGCTGCACCACGCAGGCCGTCAATCCAAGGGAGTCGCGTGAGGGATTCGCCATCAGGAGCTTCAGGCAATGTTGCTTGCTCGACCGGCGGTACGTACGCCCTGCCAGCACGCTCATAACGTGCGCTGTCTGGGTTCATGCCCATTCCACTCTCAAGTGCAGGCATAGTTGCCAAGACCGCGGACGACGGCACGGAAGGGGGGGTGGGCGGAGCACCACCTTTGAGGAGGGACGATTGTGTTTGACCATAGTACGCCTTCTGCGAGATGAGATCGGTAGAGGAAGAGTTGAGGGGCGTTCCCGGCGATAAGGGGTGGATGGCCTCATACATGGCCGACGCGGAGGTCGACGCTGTTGAATAACGGTGGTGAACAGGAGGTCCGTAAACTTGGTGCTGTTGCGGGGCATATGCCGGGGCGGCTGAAGGAGGCAGGCCTTCGTCCGATGAAGGCGGTGATGACGAAGAAGGGTTTGCGGACTCGGCTGACCGGGCAGGACTACGGGAGAAGGAAGGTGCGACCAGGGTTGAAGATCGTCCAGAGTGGACAAGAGAAGGGGAGGGAGGGGCATCCTGGAGGTCGTGGTCGAAAGGACCTTGTGCATAATATGCTTCGACAACATCATTCTCCCCCGTGCTGTAGGCTGATTCGCGTAACATGGGGTTCGGCGAGTGAGCCTCTCCCGGGACAGGATTGTACGCCATCACTGCACGATCCGCGAGCTAGAACAGGCGGTGAACTAGACGCGTTTGGATGGTGAGGAGATGGGGGGGAGATAGACGAGGACGACGAGGACGATGATGAGGAGGAGGGGAGGAGGTGAAGAGAAGGACGATGCCAGATAGAGGCGCGGTGTTATGAATAGGTGATGAGAGAAAGAAAGGATGGAAAGGTCAAAGGGCAAGAGGGGCGAGGCTGCTAAGAGACAGACCCCGCCGGAGTCAAAACAATGTACGCCCAACTTTGGGTAACCGTACAACATCTTATTCGGGTCCCACTTAATTGGGTCCACTTACTAATTGAAGAAGGGGGCTGCTGAACATTACCTAAATGTAATACCTCCGAGACCTTACACTTATTAATAATCAAATTTGGCACCCATCGGGCCCTATGAAATCCAGATGGGCATATCAATCTTTATTGGTTCCGCATCGTCACCGCAATCTTTCCAACATGGCCTTCTAATTCCTTTCCTCATTGGCACCCTCTGGGTGGGGTGGGAGAGGCCTTCCTGTTATTTTAGCTCATCTTTCTCCGGGGTTTGATTTCCTTTCGCCGCCGTCCTGCTCGTCTCGTCTCGTCTTCCCCTCCTCTCTTCTCTGGTACCCGGCATGCTCGCGGCGTCTCTTCTCTTATCGTTGATCACTGTTATCTCTGGGCAAAATACCACAGCAGGTCTGGCTTTGAACGAGCCACCAGATGGGCAGTTGTACCTCGGAGCTTGGGTCGATACGAGTGTGACATCTGGAGACTCGCCGCTCGCGTTCAACGTCCGCCTGGGACGCAACACCTCCTGGTTCCAAGTGAGCTGGCGGATAATGCCGAGCGACACCTCTTTCTGACTCCCGACTAGGCCTCCCAAAACATCCCACAGGACCCTTATGATGATGTTACCGGAACAGGCGGCATTATCAATGCTACCAAAGTGTTTGAGACGAATACCGATGCAGGAGTGTACGTGACGGTATATCCGAATGATGGCCTAGATGCTGTGAACGTGCAAGACGTAGGTCGCACCCTTAGCATCGATATCTGATTGTCTGACATGTCACATTCCATGTAGCTCGCATCCCTCGGCGTCCAATTGCAGTCATACATCACTGCTGGCCATGCAGTCTTCCTTCGGTTCGCACCGGAGATGAACGGAAACTGGGACATCTGGGGAACACAGCCGACGCTCTTCAAGGCAGTATGGAAGACGATGTACACTACTGTCAAGTCGTCTTGTCCGAGCTGTGCGATTGTTTGGTCTCCTAATGCCGCTTCTGGCTATCCCTACGGCATCACCTCGGATACGATCGCAAACGCGACGGACCGCGCGGCGCTTGATACCAACGGTGATGGGACTTACGATAACACCGACGACGCATACTCTCCGTATTATCCGGGCGATGACTACGTAGACTGGACCGGAGTATCGTACTACTACAAAGGTGTCTACCCCAACGCATACAATATCATTCAGCAACCTGGCTATATGGCTACTGCTATGACCGGTTGGCTCCAGGATAATGGCGACTCTGGGGGAACGCAGTATACCGAGTTCTACCAAACCTACTGCACAAGGAAGCCATGTATGTTGTCCGAGTCGGGTGCTGCCTGGCACGTCAACCAGACTCAGATTCCGACGTACGACGGCTTCGTTTCCCCCGATCAGGAGCAACTTGAGCAAGGTTGGTGGGCGGATGGCATCACGAACGAAACATTCCTCAGCATGTTCCCTCGTTTGAAGATGTTGATGTTGTTCGAATGGGAAAAGGTGGAAACTGATAACGATATCCCTACACTTCGCGACTTTCGCCTGACGAACAACTCGGATGTGCTCACTGGCTTCACACAAGCACTAGAAGAGGTTGCACAGCGGTACATCTGGGCGAGCTCCTTGCCGATACCCACTTCTGGAGCTGGATCTCCCGACCAAGTGCCGATGCCACAACAAACCGTGCACCGTGCGACACCTTATCGAGCAAGCACGCCGACTTCTCTCTCTCTATTCTCCTCCGATGGAATCCCAACCTTAATCCTGGGCTGGACCACCGCCGTCGCCGTGCTCGCTTCCGGTGCTGCGCTGGGCGCATCCCTCATTCTGCGAATGTGATCGCTAGACTTCTCAGATTTGCATTCCCGCTGCATTTTATTTTCGTGCCGAAAGATCTACCTCATCCCCATATTCACAAGCATACCTTGCCGATCCCTTTTATGTTCAGTATAGCGGACTGTCATCGCACCACCATGCCGTACACATGTGCCGGTGCCTCGGGTACCTCGCCAGCGCACGGCCATCAAATGCCTCTACTTGCTTCTTCAACAGACTTTCCATATCGAGCACTCCCTTTCCCTCAAACACTGTAGCCTGTAGTCTGTATCTTTCATCGGACCCTCGTCGCTACTGTACACTCTGAGACATGATCAGTAACGCAGATCCCTGACGTCTTTCTAAAGGCTAGTTTTGTGCTCTTTGTGTGGGTTAGTCAGGGCACAACCGTTTCGGATTTTGACTTGTTCCGCAAGATGATCACAGACAAAGAATCCGCGGTTCCCGGCCCGCGTAACAGATTGCGAGCGCCTGGCAGGTTCCTAGCAGTACAAACCGGTGCAGCAGGTGCAGATCTGCCCGCGTTGGGCGCACTTGGATATTCCTTGGGCCGGTTTTGGCTGTCCATCTTCCGACGCCCGCCGCTGACAGGAACTCCTATTTCTGGTGAATAAATGTTGCTTGGCTTTGCGGGGCGCCAGCGGAGCGGGCCCGAGAAGATGCATGCTCCCAACGTCATAAGCACCGGGAGGCGATGGCGGTGAGTCCGAGGACCCCGGAATGCGATCGTAAGGTTTCTGTGTTTACTTAAGTTGTGGGTTGCTAAGCCCTTAACGTAAGGGTACAGTCCCCCGACTTTAAGTGCCAGACCCACGGCTCACCGGATTTAGCGTATGTGTTGGCAAGGACCATCTGCTCCCGGGGGGCCACCTGCATGTTGTGGCTAGCCCCCAAGATGACCTGAGCACGTTCGGACCAGCCTTGGTGTGCGTGCAACCGGAGAAGCTGCGATACGTCATCTTTTGCTCACTGTTGATGCATTGTACATGTCTGTTCCTGCTTCTCCAGATAAAACGCATAACGTAGATCACCGGTTTGCGGGTCAACCCAGTCCCTGGGTCACTTTTGTCGTTACTATTGCGAATTTTTTTCTTTACACCATATCTTGCTTAAAATAATGTCATCTGTGCTCAAGAGAGCGTAGAGTGCTGCTGGCGATCCAGGCGATCTGAACCAACCCAGAATTGTCCATTCGTCATGCTGCAAAACTGTACGATGTGCCCAATACGACGCTGCAGCGCAGGATGGGAGGAACGGCTTCCCAGGCAGATAGACGGAGCAAGCTGGCAAATCTGACCGTTGCAGAAGAGGAGGCGCTTGTCCAGTACATACTGGCACTGGATGCCAGAGGGTTTTCGCCCCGGAGAACAGATGTGCGAGATATGGCTGATCTCCTGCTGGGCAAGCGGACGGGGAGAGGTGTTGGACAAAACTGGACCGACCGCTTCATTGCTCGACGACCAGAGCTGCAAACCCGCTTTTCTCGCCCATATGACCACCAGCAAGCCCTGCAAGAAGATCCGGAGACTCTGGGTGCCTGGTTCCGCCTTGTTGTCAATATGCAAGCAAAGTATGGCATCCAAGACATCAATTTCTACAACTTCGACGAAACCGGCTTTGCCATGGGAATGATCCGAGCTGCCATGGTTGTGACACACTCTGAGCGGACTGCCAGGCCAAAGGCTATCCAGCCGGGCAATCGAGAATGGGCAACGGCCGTCTGTTACATTGCAGCAGACGGTCACATCGTCCCCCCATTTCTCTGTGTTGCCGGCCGGTATCATCTTGCCCCCTGGTACACAAGCGGCGCCATTCCAGCAAATTGGGTTGTCAAAACCACTGAAACTGGCTGGACAGACAATGCTACCGGTCTAGAATGGATTCGACACTTTGATCAGCATACCCGAATTCGTCAAACAGGTCGCTGGCAGATGCTGGTGCTCGACGGACATGAGAGTCATGTCAATGCTGAATTCAATGACTATTGCAAATGCAACGACATCGTTCCAATCTGTTTACCAGCACACTCCTCTCATCTCACCCAGCCTCTCGATGTCAGCCTTTTCGGTCCTTTAAAGAAAGCATATGGCGCACAAATCTCACATCTCATCCAAGCCAGCATCACCCATGTCACCAAGGATGAGTTTTTCCCAGCATTTCGAGCAGCATTTGATAAAGTATTCACAACCCAAAACATCAAGAGCGGATTCCGTGGTGCTGGCCTAGTGCCATTCAACCCAGATATAGTGATTTCAAAGCTGGATGTGCGTCTGCGAACGCCAACGTCTCCGGTGATCTCCGACTCGCCAGCCCAACCCTGGGTCTCTCAGACGCCCAAGACCGCTCATGAAGCACTCTCCCAGTCCACTCTCATCAAGGATCGCATCTCCAGACACCACAGCAGCTCTCCAACATCAATTTTGAACTCAGTTGATCACTTGGCAAAGGCGGCAGTTGCTATGACCCATCAGCTCACACTCCTCACCCGTGAGGTCAGCGCACTTCGACAAGCAAATGAGACTCTTTCAAAGCGACGACGGACAAAGCGAAAGTGACTCCAAGATTCTGGACCACTCACAGGCGAGATGGCCAGCCAGCTTCTGGTCGAAATGCGAGTTGTTGTACCAGACGGACAGGAGGAAGGTGTGGGAGAGGGACAGCCAAAGCGCCGGAGAACTGGTCCGCGCCTCTGCAGAATCTGTAGAACTGCTGGTCACAATGCTCGAAACTGTCCAGCAGCAGCTACTATTGACAGCGCACCCTCTGTGCCCACAGTTTGAGAAATAACATTGAATTTGCAGTGTTATTGCAATTTTACATGAGCGAGGTCAGGGAAAGTGACCCACAAACTGGGTTGACCCGCGAACCGGTGATCTACGTTACCGGTTTTGGTTTCGCAGTCAACGTCGGATTTATTCTCTGGGTGCTCCTTGTGGTTACGCGCTTCGATTCCCACATCATTCCGCACCTGGGAACGATGGTATCCAAGCGTCTGCCATGATGCTCCAAACTTGTGATCTTGGTTTTCGTAGCCGACCAAAAGTCTTATCTTTCTTCGAGTACAGCGGCAAAAGAAAGTTTCCTCTTTCATGATCGTGTCTGGCTGGGGCGAAGATACTGTCATCTTAGTCTTCTTTGTAGCCGACAAAAAGTGTTGTCTTCCTTCCAGTACAAAAAAACGTTGCTTCTTTCATGATTGTGTCTAGTTGGGGCAAACTAGGAGATGGAGAACTTGAATGCATTTTCAAGTGGGGCGGATCTCATCGCCTGGAACGTACTCTCCGATGCAATCTGAGCGTGAGGCAATGCATCGGAATAGTTCCGACTGCTTATTCCGTGCGAAGAATCCAATTGCCCAACCGTGAGTCGTTCGAGACAATCAGGACTTGATAGCGCGATATAACGAGGAGTGATTCGCTGGTCTTCGAAAGGAAAAAGGGTGAGCAAGGAACATCGATTCACTAGGTGGATCAAACATGTGCACAAGGAGAAGTATTCTGTCCCTCGACTCCCATGCTTCCTTTGAACATACCAAAAGCTGGTAGACGGGAATGTCTCGGATGATGATGACGATGGAGTTAACGATACTCCCATGCGGAGAACGTCACGGTGAACTGCAAGTTTGGCGCTTTTATCGTGGCGAAGACATGTATCGAGCTCGACTGTCAGGCTCGTGGCAAAGCTAAGCAGATGACATGGTGAAGAGTGACACTACGGACGAGGTGATCAGGGACTTCATGCTGGGTTCTTTCCGTGAAGCAAGACGGTCCAATAAGTGGTCTGGGACAACGTTCCGGTAGTTATTTGACAAGTGATCGTACGCACATTCCAAAGCAAACAAGAGAGGGCCCGATCACAAACTTGGAGGCCTGACAGACAAGAAGTTAGAGTGATGCTTCAACAACCTCATGACTGGCCGCGTATAAGCCAGTGTTTAAACCATGTCGACTACATGATTCTTGTGACGGTGGATTGTAGTTTGATGAGCTGGTTGACAGGAGGTCAGACGTTATGCAGATGTGACAGCTTCGGCCAACTGCCGCCCGTTCAGGACAGACGCGCGTCACGACTTTGTTCGCCACTCCATCCCTTCACTGCGAGGTGCATTTGGTCTGCCAGCTTCAGAGGATTGCCCTCTCCCCATGTCTAGATTCGGTTCGAGCCTGCCGGTCTGTGCTAGGATCCGACCCGCTTACCAGTCATGGACGCGTTTTGCCCCTCGAAGATTTAATTACACACTTCGAGGCGGGGATCCATCGGAGAGCTTTGTCGCAAATGTTCGGCCGGTTTTCTGGCGACCTATCTTGGTGCGCCCCATGACCAGCATTCACGACTATGCCTAAACGGGTTTCAGTTTTCCGTCGGAGTGGGGGTTGGGACATACGGGCTCGCTGCATACTATACGAACGAGGACACACGAAAATGGGCAAAGAGCCTTTCAAAAGATGCATGGTGGAGAACAGGAGGGCCAAGTGGTCAGGAAATGCAGCGCGCTCGAAAAATCGCATTACACAGGGCAGGTGGATCTCTTGCCGTCTAGTTTGCTGTTTGACCTAGTACAGTACCTCACGGATGAATTGAAGGGCATGGTCGATTCCACGAAGCACTGGCCTACAACTATCCGAGTATACGCCCAGCGAGCATGGATCACATTCGCGGAGATGGTCTTGAACAGCAGCGACGGTCGCAGGGCTGCAGCAAGTATTGTATGCCTCAATGCCGCCATATTTATGGGCTGGCAAATACCGATTCTGCGACATTTTATGGCTTCGCACTTTCTGCACTCGCCGCTTTCTGGGAAAAGCTACACCCTCCTCACTTCAGCGTTTAGCCATCAAGGTCTCGTTCATATGGGGTTCAACATGTTTGCTCTGGTCTCCTTTGGCTCGGCGGCTTTCGATTGGCTAGGCACCCAGCAGGCACACGTAGAAAGACAGCCAGAATCAACCTATTTTTACCACGCATTTTCCTTCTACGTGTTAGGCAAGTGTTTGCAACATTACAACATGCCCCAAATAGCTTACGTCGTATTCAGGTGGCTTATTCTCTTCACTCCTGTCGCATGTTGTAGCTGCTAGATTTCGATTTCCTCGCATGGTCGCCGCCTTGACGGCCGGGAACATGACGGGCGCGACGAACGGTGCCCTCACATCCATCCTCCCTTCGTTAGGCGCGTCCGGAGCGATATATGCGACAGTGACCCTGTCTGCACTAGCGCTACCAGAGGCGACAGTTTCCTTCATCCTTTTACCATGGGTCCAGGTACCAATCTCGGCGGGCGTGGGAAGCCTGGTATTACTTGACGTTATCGGAGTAATGAGAGGCTGGAGGTATGTGAATGATTTCTTGATCAGTCCACCATGTCTAATATTTGCTCTAGAACCTTTGATCATTGGGCACATTTAGGAGGCGCCGCTTTCGGCGTATTCTACTACTACTATGGACCTGAGCTATGGAACTGGACACGTCGTAGACTAGCACAAGCAATGTATCGAACGAAGCCATAATACATTCAACTCTCCCGATTGTAACTCTGTGCAAGTATCTTGTTTGTGCGATCCTTCGCAATGTCCATTGTTGCCTCGACTCCTCGGTCCAGCTCCTCCATCCACTCAGGACTACCAGGCGCATATGGCAGGATCATTGAGGAGTCGATCGATTCAACTGTGTGCACTTGCAACATGCCCTTCATTTCTTCCGCAATCTGTGCTTTTGTGCGGCCGTTCACCCATGTGACGTATCGCAAGCCGGGGTACTTCGCCTCATACGCCCGGTTCAGAACGATGAGGTGTTCTTGCACCACCGGATCCACGCTCTCGGTATTTCGTTGTTCGGTAGCGCTCAGCGCCGATAACTTATTCTTCTGTCCAATTGCAGGATGTGCGGTGAGCAGCGGTACGCGTGCTTTCCATGGCATAGTCTTCACGCTAGCATTGAACGCGTCGATAACGTCTGCATGCGATTTGGGCGGCATCGTTTGGAAGGTGACAGATAATGTAGACAAACTGTCATCTACCGTGGACGATGGCTCAAAGACCAGCTTCATGTATTTCGCAAGAGGGTGATCGGGACCATCGTAAGGTGATGCTACTTGGTCGAGAGATGGAATGGTCGATGCTGTCATAGTGCCGTCTGCCCAATCGTTACGGAAGCATCGGGGTCAAGCGCTCGTTCATCTCTCTCTCCTCATCCGATACAGACATCTTGCAATTGGGGTCTTGTGACCAGCTTGCTTAATGCACTAACATGCGAATACTGACGTGGAACATCGTAAGCTCTCCACCAGTAAAATCTGCAATCGTGTTGACGTCCTATCAAGAATGGAGTTCGTACGCTCAACCAATACCATCCGTACGTGCACGTCACCAGTACGCGTACCACCGTCTCAATAGATACGCAGATGGTATACACTCAAGACGCTTGAGGCAATGCTGGAGAGCGAGGAGATTAAATCGGATATATTCTGTTTTCAAGGTGCGTGGCAAGCTTGTCTCCACTTCGGAGCGTGGAATGACCTTCCGTAACAGAGATGAAGATTGCTCGAACTGCCATAGACCGATCTATTGCACTCCCTGGGCCGTATGATGCATTCTTCTCGCTGCCATTGGGTAAGAGCAAAGGCGGATACAGTGGTGTTGCTGTGTATGCAGATTCGAGAACGGTGCGACCCATGAAAGCGGAGGAGGGCTTGTCCGGGCTGTTACAGCCCAAACCTTCACTTTCGCTCGAAGAACGTGTCTCTCGGCACTACCGTCAAGCTCATTTGCTGGACTTCATTCCGGATGAAAAAGGCGCAATACCGTCCGATGTTATAGAGCTGGACAATGAAGGACGAGCATTAGTGCTTGACTTTGGTCTGTTCGTTCTCATCAATACCTATTGCCCGGCGGAGGCTTCGGAGAATCGACTCTCATTCAAGATCAATTTCCACAATATGCTGCGAGAACGAGTCAGAATATTGATAGAAGAAGAACACCGGGAAGTGATCGTGGTTGGCGACATAAACATCTGCTCGCAACCTATCGATCATTGCGATGGCCGCCTGCAGAGCAAACGGAGCGTTTGGTGGGATCACCCACCCCGTGTTTGGTTACGCGATTGGCTTCAACCTACAGGCAAGCTCGTTGATCTCACTCGGAAGTTTTGGCCTGATCGGACGGGGATGTATACATGTAGGTTTGTACGAAAGTGATCTTGGCTTGGCTGACCCGGATCAGGCTGGAATACTCTTATTGATGCACGAACGGCCAACTATGGAACACGAATCGATTACGTTTTATGCACCGAGGGGCTGATTCCTTGGATCATGCATTCAGATATTCTTCCAAATGTGCACGGCTCTGATCACTGCCCCGTATTTGTCGATTTTTTCGATGAGATCACGTTGCCCGATGGCAAGGTGCGACGGCTGAGAGAGGAGATGAAGTATGACCCAACCAGGGCGCTTCCCCGGATCGCGACACGAAATTGGGATGAATTCTCCAATAAGCAACCATTGCTTTCATCATTTTTTGGGAAGACTGCAATTACTCCGCCCATCGACCGCCCTCCGAGTTCATCCTGCGATCCGAAAGAGCAACCCATGTCCCAAGCCCCAGAGACAACTTTCGAGACATCGCACTCCCCAGATTCCCTTTCAGATGCGGCCTCGAATGCCGTATCTAGAGACACTGCCCCTTTGCCTGCCCAAGTGGTGGTGGGAGCGCCAAGTTCAGCTCCCAAGTCACAACGACAGGCCACTTCGCAAGATCGGAACAAAGGAAAAGACGCGAAGAAAAGACCAAAGAACAGGCAATTGAAGCTGTCCTCGTTTTTCGGTGCGAAAGGCGCAGCAGAGTCATCGACACAGGCGGTGCCTTCTAAAGTAAAGAGCAGTAAATCGCGAACTCCGTCTCAGCGAACTCCGTCTCAGTCGACACAGAATTCGACAAGCGAGATCGAGGATTCGGAAGATGACGTGTGCTGGGAGAAAATTATTGGTCAATCGGGAGCATCAGAATCGTCCAAGGCTGCTTGGTCGAATATTCTTACTCGGCCGTCTGCCCCGAAGTGTTCTGGCCATGGTCTGCCCGCCAAGGAATTTGTGGTGAATAAACCAGGACCGACGAAGGGGAGACATTTTTACCTCTGCTCTTTGTACGTGGTGTCCGCTATTTGTTCTTTTGATCATCGAGAACACTAATCCCCTGTTAGACCTGTTGGAACGGGCTATGATGCCGGGCACTCCAAGCGGTTACGCGAAGAGGTCAATCCAGAGTTCCGATGCAACTTCTTCATGTGGGCAAGCGATGTCAAGAAAAGAGCCGTTGCTTCGCAAAGCTCGCCCAGCACAAAAAAGCAACGCCTTTGAAGCCACAATGAGGCAAGACTAACTGATGTTGCTGTACAATTTGTTTCATCGCATGTATACCCACGACATTAATACCTACGTTGCACACTCTCGTGGTTCATTAACATTTGATGTATTTCAGGATGCTTCTTGCTTGTGTCCAGGTTCCAATTCAAGATATTCTAAACGTGCCTAGTGACATGGATACCTGAAGTCGATTATTCGGCCATTTCCAGATTATCAACAGATGAAGTACTGATCCCGCTTTGCTATCTGTCCCCGTGGCCTAATGGTTAAGGTGTCGGATTCCGAATCCGGAGATCGCGAGTTCGAATCTTGCCGGGGACTGATTGCATGACTTTTGATGTTCTGGGTGTACAGACCTCTGATCAATCTTTGATATAGTGTGTGTCAATTCAATTACTATGTGTTCTTGTTGTGTAGTATGCCTATAAGATGTTGCGCTAAATACGAGTTCTCAAGTTCGAGTCTTGCCGGGGACTGGATATTCTTTTCTTGGGCAGTATCCCGAGACTACCCAAGGTTCCTTCACCTTTTGCCTGTTCAATATGTTTCAGAAGCGCATATTGGTAATGAGAATATGCCCCTGCAGTTGCTTATGCGTTCTGCGGAGTGACGCTATGCAGCACGTAAAGTATAAAGAGACGAGATGCATCATACGAACTGAATCATTGGAAACATCATGCTGGTATTCTACAATGGGGAATGATATGCAAGGATGAGAAAGGGACACGTGGGCACCAGCGACCATGAAAAGAGGTAAGCCTCTGAGGAGGGATGGCGTGCAGTTCGGTTACGCATTCATGCTCCTCGCAAAGCGCCTTGCGGGTCCGGTAGAACCTTGGCTGATGGTTAGATGAGCTAAACAGTGACGATGAGTACCATGGACTTCTCAATGAGGTAGATGTACATACCATCCTTACGGTCCCAGCCTTTGAGGTTCTTCTGCTTTTTCAGGCCGTTTTGTGGCTTGGCGAGATTCAGTCTTTGCCGTACAAAGCGTGCTGCTGCGACACCCGTCTTGGTGCCGGTATCGGGCAGAGAATGAGAGGGCACCACCTTGACAACACGAGATCTAACAAATGTCAGACTAGGAAGCCAACAACAAAGAAATAACATACCCAACAACGCGGTCCTTCATAGAGTCTTTCCGACGTCTTTTCTGCTCCTTCTCCTTCACTTTCTCTGCTCTTTTCGCTTTCTTCTGCGAGGTATCTTTCTTCAGAGCTTCGGAGATGGCAGCAGCAGCAGAGGCAAAAAGGTGGTCAGGAAGTTGTCGGGGGATGGCAGTTGGCGCAGGTTCCTCAGAGGGCTCTTCCTCCTCCTGGATAACATCCAAGTGGGTGTGGCGAGGTTGCTCAGGCGCATCCCCAGAGACAGCCGTAGCAGAGTCGTCATGCTCGTCCATCTCGATGTCTCCAGTTCCCAAAATGACTTGGTCTTCTTGCGGTTGATCGGCTTCTTCATCCTCGTCCTCTTTCGCAGCCTCAGCCATAGCTCGCTCCATCCTTTTCTCTGCTGATATCTGCTCCTCGTCCACCCCATCCGATGGGGGTAATGGAATGCTAGCCGCCTCTTCCAGAGTGACCTGCGGGATGTTCTCGGCATCTTCTCCAGCCGTGCGCCTTTTTCGTTTGCCGCCTTGAGCATCAGCTCGTTCCTTGAGTGTTTGGTCACGTTTCCGATTTGCCTCTCTTCGCTTTGCAGCGGTGCTGTTGCAGCTCAATCAGACTATCTCCGAAAATATAATCATTCTACTTACGTTTGTTCAAACTCCTTCACCTTCTTTGCCTCGTCTTCGGCAGCTTTTCGGCCACTTTTCATCGACACTGGCTCAGGTGCATCATCGTTTTCTTCCTCCTCTTCCTCTGCATCTTCACGTCCTGCAGGTGGGGAAGAGGGTGCAGGCTCAGGCGTTGTAGCCTTCCTTTTCTTGCGAACAGGAATAACGACTTCGACGATCTGTCCTCCTCTACCCCTGCTAGCCAGAGCATTGACAAAAGCATTCTGAGCCTCTTTAAGCGTCGACAGAGACTCTGGCTGTTTTTCCGCCTCCTGTTTGGCAGCCTGCCGCGGGCTCCGGCGAGGGGGCATGATCGCTGGCTTGGGAGATTGAGATGGCAAAGTGCAAGTTACAAGATTGACTTTTTTGTGTCCGACAATATCAGGGTCCCTCTCAGCACTTCGGCGCGGCGGATCATCCATCAGTTTCACCGCACATCCGTCCCTGCTCCTCCTTGTGCTCCTGTCCACCATCCTCTCCTCATGTCATAGCCTGCTCCCTCGCACACGCTCCTTCCCCGTCCTGTCGCATAACAATGGCCTCACCGGACACGATCCTCTCCCCTCCAGAGGGGTACGTCTCGCCGTCCTTTCCCTGCCTGTACAACCCCCGAGCCGAATTTACCCGTACCAACGCGAGCACGCTCGTCCCCGGCACATGCTATCTCTACTACTCGAACGGTATGCTCTCCTTATCCCCGTACACTCGAGTCACATGATACTGATGGATATGCATAGACGTATGGAGGTTCACGCTCTACTGGACCCTCATCTGTTACGCCATCACCTTCCTCCTCACAAGCACTTGGGCATTCATCGTGTTCAGCAAGAAGTCAGTCTTCCTAGCAGCGCTCATCCCCCTCACGTATGGATTCCTGGCTGGCATATTCGCTCTGATAGGGGCGAGCATCATTGGCTTTGTACTCTCGGCGGTGTACAGTGTGGGATACTTTAGCATGTCGACGTATGTTCTTTGGTTTTATTCGGGGGCTTGTCACTGATTTCGCTTCCAGATGGGTGCCCTTCCTTTGGGCTCTGACGCAGACAATGGTTGCCATCATGGGGTAAACCTTGCATGCACAGGCTGACCACATTAGCTGACACACTAACAGATCATATTCTACCGCCGTCTCGATAATGTGACCCTTCACGGCTTCCTCATTGACTCTTCCATTCTGCAAACTCTACAACAAACCATCATACCTCGACGTTTCGCACACATGACTGAGTTGTGTATATTATTTTTGCATTATTCTATCCATTCAGGGATATTCTTACGATACAATAACCAGCTGTGAACATATTGATACAAATGGTCCGTGCGGCCTATACTTCCGTTCCATGCAATCCATGGAGACGACCCATTCAACCCATCTAAAAACAAGAGGGGTGCAAGAGACAAATCATGCTCTTGGTGCGGCATGATGGTCCTGCAGCAGGTACATAGCGCGTGACATACGCTCGCAAGGTGGCAGGTTTGCGGCCGCGTATGCTTCAGGTGCGGACTGTATATGCGCCCAGATAGGAGGCCACTGCGCCAAAGCAGTGCATTTTACGTGTGGCCACTCAATCCCAATAGACTGATAGGGAGTATGAGCACGATTAATGAAACAGCAAACCAGTCACGTACGTTATGAACATATCCCGACCAGCGGGATAAGTGTTCCGGGGGCGGCGGACATTCGTTTCGGACTGCTCCCAACCGAGCGCCACTACCAATCGCTCTCCATCCTCCGCTTGAACGTGATCTCAAAGCTACCCGCACCGACCGCGTCCATCTGTGCCATCTCAAGCGGGTGCATCCTCCTCGTGTCAGGCGGAGTGATGGGGGAACTGCTATCGTCCGTCATTGGACTGTCTGCGTCCTTTCCTCGGTTGGGTCGAGGGGAGAAGTAAGGGATAGCGTTGGGGTCTGGACGAGCGTACATAGGGCTCGGAGAGGAACCATCGCTGACCGGGAGGAGGGGAAGGAAGGCGAGCAGCGGACGCGTGCGAATAGGTGCTGTCACAGGCAAGAGAGACGCGGAGCGCTTTGGTGGCGCGAGCCAGCACCCCCCACCATTTGCCCCACGATTTCTCGGTGCGGGGAGGGTGAGGGTTGGCACGGGGCGAGAGATGGCATTGATAGGCGGGAGAAGGGGTAGGAGTGCGGTGGGTGCTGCTGCAAGGAGAGCGGGGAGGTCCATGAGCGTCTTTGCCTCGTCAATTGGATCCATTGAATCATCGCTGTCCGAGTCCATCTGCAGCCTACGCAGCTCCTCGATGTCCGACCATGAGAGTTCAGTAGTAGGTGACGCCGGTGAGCGGTCGTACGAGTCAGCCATTCGGACTGAGTCCTCTGAGCAGAAAGATACCGAGCGACGTATTGAGCCGCTGTTTGAGGGTGGCTTGTGTGGGAAGCCAGATCGTTTGAGAATAGACTTTGGTGTTAAATGTAAAGACATCATTGCATGTATGCGCTTAAGTGGGGTGAGATTGAGGGTGGAAAGAGGTGGTGGTGGTGCAATAAAGAGGTTTGTCGACGGTGGATGTGATGCGAGGGCGTGGGTGGGCGATGCGATTGACACTTGGGTTGTGTCGGTGTTATATTGGCTGTGTGGAGTATGAGACCCTATGGCCGTATCGGCCTCTCAGGGCAAATAGAGCGAACGACAAATAAAAATGAATACCCCCGTCTGGCTAAACACTCGGATTCAAATATTTTACCGTAACGTCGCCACCCTTTTTTCTGACACGGAATCGGAAGGGAAAGGCAGACTTGCTTCCGACTCGTCCCTTCCCCTTCCTTCCGTCCCCTTGTATTAGCACCACGTGCACCGCCCCCGGACACAACAGACACCCCGTCAACCGAGAAACACAGGCCAGGTTCACCCCACGACAAAAGACGTACGTCATCAGCGTCCATGGTGCCCTTTCATTTCCCTGCATCGCATACGCAACCTTGGGATTCGGAATGCTTCCGGAAGTCACGGCAACATAGCATATGCATTTCATCGCCTCAGCCCCCCAGGAGTTTCGAGCAAACTGGAGGAACACGCGACGCTGCCTGGGATAGACCGAACGCCGAGCTTGCACAGAAACAGGACTGCATGCCGTTAACCCGGTGCTCGCTAAAGAAGCGCATATGCTACATCCTTCATCCCTCGCCCTCGGGCTAACAGGTCGCATCTGGAAGAGTATTTCCCCGAGCCAATGTACAATGGCAGATTCACAGCAAGCCAAGCGTATTCTTGTCCAGGACAGGTTTGACCATCAAACTCGTCCTCTGCTCATGCAATACGTCAGGCCAGGTGGAGGTAGATCGGCGCGGGCATGCCGTGAGATTCCCGGCCAAGCTCCCGATTGATGCTGCTTCCTTCCTTCTTTTCCAAATCAACGGCATGCCTCAATGCGACACAGCCTTGCGCAGAAGGCTCTGGCCATTCAGTCGTCCATTGAGAGCATCAAGTGTTGAATAAGAATAGAGTTCCAGCAATAGCCCCTAACTTCGCAGCACAGCATCACACAGCCAGTTTCTATGAGATGCACGAGTTGTACTTCCATCGATACTGAACCAGCAGAACACCACCATCATGATCGCGGAACGATATGATCCCCGCCACCTCGCCTGTCGTTGCGGATCATATTAATGTTTGACGCGATCATTTTCGGTCAGCCTGAGTTGAGAATAGGTCGGATTGTTGTCAGCCCGGGGAACCAACGAGCTCAGGATCGTCGCTCATGAAGCTTCTGGAAATTGACCCGCCCCAACGGCGCATCATACAATCGGTATTGTCTTGTGGAGTGACAAGGTGTTTTGTTGTGGAGATCGACGTAATGCTTAGAATAGGACAAGGGTAGTAGGAATATGTTGGTGTGATCATCTCATCGATCCACACGGAACCTGGCGTGGAGGGAGAGAGTTAAGAGATGGGCCACGGAACCAGGAAAGAAGCAATTGTAGGAAATCTTCGTAAACAACATATTTGGCCACGAAGGAGCTGTCATTTTCGTTGTCAATCCTGGCATTTCGTGCAAAGGTCGGAAGTCGTCCATCGCGGATGCGGACATCAGAATTAGGCGATGACCAAGGCAAAACATAATAGGCTTGGATGGCGACTTCGCCGTCAGCAGTCTACAACCGTGACACTTCTCGCACAGGGAGGCGGACAGATTGGGTCGGATACTGCTTGCGTGTTAGAACATGGGATTAGACGATTTGGATCGTTAGTGATAGGGTATGATCCTCAGAACAGCGCAATGCAAGTTCTGCTCTCTTTCGCCGCGGAACACTGATTCTCCTAGCTTCGTTCCTGATTATTGAAGACAAAAGAGTCGTGGTGCCTGAACATCGGCCGAAGGCGAACCTTCCATGTGGCGTGTCGTATCTGTCATCGAGATAGCTATGTCAGCCTCGAGGCCATCATCCCGAGAATTCGAAAGTTGGTAATAGACACTGGTCTACAACCTGTGTTCTTCAGAACGTCCACAGGAGTGGAGAAGCCTGTACGTTGCACCCTCTCTGGACCAAGGTCTTGAAACTGGATAGTTGAACAAAATGACCAGAATCATGTCTTGATCAGACGCAGCCGATGCACAACTGATCCCTCCAAGGATCCCCATGATGCGCTCGTAAGACGATGGAGGCCTAGCCGTTCCAGAAGACTGTTCTGGTTGGCCAACGCCTTGCACATGAAAGCAGAACAACAACAGATATTCGTAGACCATCCCCAGTTATCCAAATTCAGGGCGGTGTCTTCGAAGGTGCCGCAAGCCAGGCATCGGTCCACGCATTATACACGTGCGTTGAACCGAAACTCGTAGCCAAATAACCTCGATGAAGATACATTGTGAATAAAGGGAGCTCTTGCCGTTGTTGTTTTGTTGCTCGCAACGTATGATTGACTCATTATTCAGTAGAGGGATTGTCCAAGTCAACGACTGCAACACGACGCGTTGAACCCTAATGAAGCATAGGCCAGCCCGTGAATTGTGTCCGTTACTTCCGTCACGACCAGGTATTTTGGTGAGACGAATACTTGGACTTCTACTGTCATAACGCGCGGATCGTATATACTGGATCATCAGCATGCCTGTACGACACCTGGACGGTGAGCAAGGATGTGATTGAGACATTCAAAAGCTTATGTATGCGTTTGTAGCGTATCTTACGGACCGCCAGCAAGTGCACACCCTCCCTCTCTCTGCGCTCACGGAGACCAGGCTTGGCATCGATGCATCGCTTTACCTCGCCCGCTTGCTTCAAAACCCAAAGACCAGGGAGCCGTTCCTGCCGGCGACTGGTGGTCTACCGCTTTCCTTAACGCAGAGGATTGAGACTGATTTGCGGATCCTCGAGAAGTTGCGCATCAAGCCTGTGTTCGTCTTCCCAGGCATCTGGCCCAACAGCGCCAAGAAAGGCGCGCCGGGAAAATACCCCAACCAGGCTGTCCACTTCAGCCCCCTTGTCAATGCCGCGCAGTTTGATATGATGAGGGCGCGGTCGGAGGCTTGGGACTTGTACGAGAAAGGCAAGGTGGCTGAGGCTACGACGGCATTCGAGACGAAGCCGGCGTCTCATGTCGTGCAGTGGGATTTGTGGCGAGCGGTTTTGAGAATCTTCAGGCATCGCAATGTTGATTTTATGATCGCGCCGTACACGGCATCTGCCCAAGTTCGTGCGCTCTTTCTTGTGCCTGTTCCATTGTCTGATCGCGCATATAGCTCATCTATCTCTACCGCCACCCGAAGTCTTATGTCCATGCAATCTGGGGCGCCACCGAAACCTTGTTGTACAACGGCGTTGACAAGCTTATCTTATCTGTGATGTTTGGCAGCCAGACGTTTGCCTACTGCACTAAGTCTGCGATCCTTGCCGACATGAACCTGACACCAACCCAATTCCTGGATGTCGGCGTCCTTGCCGGGTTTGACGATCTCATTGCTCCGCCCTTCCCTCCCACTCAAAACGACATGACGCTCAAGCCTGTTCTTGATATGGTCAAGTTCTACAAGTCTGGCCACGCCGCCGCCTCCGCCTTCTTCCACGATCCCCAGGTCAAAGCCACTCAGTACATCGACACCTTTGCTCGTGCCAGAGCCATCATCACATTCGCACTTGTTCTCTCATCCGATGGGGTTGTAGCACCCCTTACTCTTACTCAATCACCGACCAACCCTGCCACCCCTGCAAAGAACGCCGATCCGTCTGTTGCACCTCAAGTGACAACAGCGGCCGACCTACCCCAAGACTTGCATGACATATTCACACACCGCTTACCCGATGAGGTGTACTATTACCTTTCGCGTGGTCTCGTTAGCCCTCAACCGCTTAATTGGCTTACCTCTGGTCACATTTCGGAGCCCCCACCTTTGGACAACGGCGAAAATTCGGAGTACCGCCGTTTCGTGAAAGAGGTCATTTCAGAGGGGGCCACTTGTCCGAGAGCGGTGTCTCTTGCTTTGCTGAGCAGTTCCATCAATTCTTGGTGGGCAAGCCGGAAGGTTACTTCGTCTTACTGGTATGACGCTGCAGTGCCGCCACAGCCTGGACGACACGACAAGTTTGTGCCGCATTCAGGGAAGGACACTCTCATGCAGATTGAGCGATGTGTTACATGGTGGAATGTCCCCAACTTCATAGTGGAGGAAGAGCTAAGGCGTCAGAACGTAGGTGCTCGCAGGCCCATGTTTATGTGTCAGTCTGACAATACGGTCTAGTCATCAACGATCGACTTCCAACTCTGCTTGGGTGCTACTTCCCAAGAGAAACTCGCGGGTCGCACACGGGCCAAGGCCAATCATGCTCATCCGTTGGATAAGAAGGACGAGGTGGTGGCTAATGTCGTCTGGAGATTCTTGGAGCTCAGAGGGTGCGTGTTGTATACAAAGAACAGATGGACCAGGGCTTCTGACCGTCCGGGGCAGTTTCCTATCCTCCGCGACGCATATGCACACACCTCTTGGCCGGTCCATGCATTCTTCATTGAAAGCGTCTCGGGTCAACGACAAGTTCCAAGAGCCACTATACCTCTTCTTAGAGCTTGTACGCGCTGGCGTAATGCACGGCAATCTTTGGAGCGGTCGGGCCTACAGCGGCGGGCCCAGTTTCGGAGATGGTGCGTTCTAAAGTCTTCAATGCTATCCATTTTTCCTGAGGAGTTTCTTAGAGGCCGAAAAACGCAGCATGCTCCTTGTCATGCGTGTCCTTAGCATCGTTCCTTTGAACTTCAAGCAAGAACCCTGGAAAGGACCCTTGTCACGGGAACTTCTTGTCTTTAACTCCTTCCTGCATTCACTCTCCCGTGCACTTCGATCTTTGGTGGAGCTCACCGCCATGAACATGCTTCTGCATGGGGATGCTCGGCGAGCAAGGGACGATCTTCTGGATATTGCACTCTCACTCCCCTTCCAGGCCGACGTGAACACTGGGTTCGGGATTCTCGGAAAGACGTACCTGGATGCGTTGGTCGCACTGAAAGGGGGCCGAGTGGAGGAAAGCGAAAAGGATGATGAAGAAGTGAAAGAGGCGAAGGAGCAAGCGTTGAACATCTGCGACGAGAATTTTGATAACATCAAGAGCCCGAGCTCAGAGGTCGAACGAGGATTCCGTTTCTGGGATGCTGTCAGTCTTTCCATACTACGTTGGAGGACAGTGCTTACATAGTTTTAGGCATATGCTGCTATCAAGAGTCTGGAAGCTGCGAACGAAGCGGTGTCTCCTGAGCTCGTTTCCGAGTTCGATGCTGCTCAAGCTTGGTTGCACCCAATGCGCCCGTGAACTGCGCCCAAACGTTTGGTTCTTTTCCTCTTGGGCGAGTTGTGTTCCATTCTGGTTAAGCTTCTTTGCGCTTGCTGCACCCCATTCTTTCCTGCAGTCACAATCGTTCCATGTCATCCATTAGCACGCCCACAGTTCATGAGCATGGTGTTGGTAAATCAAACAATGCATCTGCCTCATTGTGACCCTTTTTCGCCTCATCCAATCGACCTCCCCATTTATGCTTCCAAGGTCGTCGCGTGTCAACGGCAAACTCGGGCATCATGACTAATCGCAGTTGATCAATTGAACGCATTGCGATTGGGACTAAGGCGTTTTTGGTGAAGAAAAAGGCAATATGGATACACGAATGTTATGACAACTAGTGTTGACTGAACAGGTTTTCTTCGATTATAAGTGGTTGTGTGGCTTTTTACTTCAGTAAGGGGGGATGCAGTTGTGACACGTGCATTCGCAGCCGCCGACTTGGCCGAAGCCGAGGCCACGACAGTTGAAAGAGTGGCGTCAAAGGACTTGCTGCTCGTTTTTATGCGGTGATGTTATTCTGGCCATGTCGGAGGGCTCAAGGTCTGTTTCATCTAAGAGATGATGCTGGTGGGCGATACTGACCTGGTTCAGAATACGGGAGTCCTGGCTTGTAGCCCTCACCGACGCTCAGGCTCGGTTCCGCTCACTCCTAAGCGCCCCAGCATCCGATTGGAAACGTGTACCTTTAAGTCAAGGACCTGCCAAACAGGATGGACCCGCTTCGTATTCCAGTAAAGGAAAGAGTCGAGCTGGGACAACACTCTCGGATGTCGCAGTACACAGGCGACAAGGAAAGGACGGAGAGGTGTATAGGGCAATGTTGGATGTGTTCACAGACGAGGGAGGGTTGCTCGATGCCGACAACTGGAAAGCGGTGTTACAGACACCGGAGCTGAGGAAGAGCTGGGATCCCATTGTGGATGGTTCCCATCTGGTCGAACTATTAGATCCAGATACGCGAATTTGCAAGACGGAATTTAAACTGGGTTGGCCTGCGAAGTGAGCACCACAATATATGCGCCGAGGCAGAGACTTACGAAGCGTCAGTCCCCGAGATGCGATCACAATTGCCCGCATATTCAGCGATTCCTCAGCACTCATTGATATCTCAACATCTCTGCCCAGATCTTCCGACGATCCAGCGTATTTGCGTCCTTCCCCACCTTACGTCCGGTCGAATGTGCGGTTGTCCTCTTGGTGCATTCAATTCATTCCCGGGACAAGTTCGCCGACCGAGAGCTCCAGCAGGGCGCCGTCGTCTGCAAGAGTTCGGTTGATGTGCTTCTGGCAACATGACTTGAACGCTGTCTGGGGTATGGCTGGTCTTGGTATTGGACAACACCTACCAGTTCTCCTTCTAGGACTAGTGGAAAGTGTGAGGCAAAAGGGCAACCGAATACCGAGATTCATTGGATATGGTCTTGGTATTTCCATATTCTCCATCGTTTATGGAGAAGCTGGACGAGAAGCGTTGGTCATGGAGTACGCAATTATTCAGCCCGAGGACGATGAGTTCGAAGTAGGCGGACCAAAGGAAAAGACCTTGAAAGAGGTTCAATTACAGAAGGAAAGGCGACGGCTTGAGCGCACTATCGAACTTGGTTTGCCTTCCACGCATGGTTGGGACTTGCAGGTCACAGTGAAGGCTCCTTCTGAGGAGACAGCTGCCGCGCCTTGGGTCGCCCAAGCAGGGCGAATAACGCAAGGTGGTTCATCTGCGGATTCCGCCCGCCTCGTTTTCAGAATCGTCCATCCGCCTCCGCCAACGGACTCCATTGTCAGCGTGAAGCTCATCGCCGAACTCGCAGGTGGTGTTCCTGGTATCAGGGTGAATGGGTTACCTCAAGAGATCACCTCTTTCGAATCCCGCGATCCTATATCCTTCGCAATCAACAAGGATACATTTGGCGATGTCAGTGATGTGCAAGCCATCAGCATACACACTGTGAACACAATAGAGTCAGCCGAATCTGGTCCGTCCTCTCAAGTCAGCAAAAGGCCAATCATACGGACTGCCACAGAGCGCAGTCCTGCCGCCGAGAAAGCCATCCTCAGCTTGGTCCGCCGGAACTACATCTACTTCACTTCATTGTTGCAGGAGCCGGAGGCGAAGTGGAAATACATCACTGAATCGCGAGGTGTAACGGTGACCCAACTCGATTCTATTGATCCTACCCTGGTTGTGTATCGTGCAGCTGCAGTTTTCGTGGGGGTCACCCTGTGGGATCTCTTCAGCATGGTGGATACTCCGGGTACAAGAAGTCAATGGGACAAGAGTTTCGACGATGCCGTTTTCCTCGAGGATGTCAACGAGCTGACAGATCTTTGGCACTGGAAGACGAAGGGAGTATGGCCGGTAATGTAGGCTTCCTCCCTTTGAGAGTGTTGTCCATTATCTCATCATTCTGCAGGCCACGGGACTCAACTTTGTTGAAGACCGTATACAAGTCCTCTTCTTCCGTTCACATATTTGCCTTCTCGACGGAAGACACGAACCTCTTCCCATCGATCCCACCAACCGATCCGGCCTTCATTCGCAGTCAAATAGACCTGCAAGGATGGGCGATTGAGGCATTATCTCCAACGACTACTCAGATCACGCTTTTGGATCAATCCGATCCGAAAGGGTGGTCAAACAAAGCATACATCCCTGGGCAAATGATTGCCACCCTGGGTGGGATGGGAGAATTCGCCATCAAGCTGGGTAGCCCTCCTATGATTACCCGTCTCGGCGGCGCACGGCTCACTCGAAGTCGATACGAGTTCGACAAAGGCTTGTTCCGAATAGAGTATGAAGGTTCCGAGCAGAGGCGGTCTCCGAACGTGGAACCAGAAGCGGAGCGGTCGAAGGAAGTTATACCTGCATCTCCAACAAGCGCTGAACATCCACCCCCCGATTTACCTCCTGTTACCAGCCCTCAGCCGTTGGATTTAATACCAAAGCTGGAGTGTGAGATTCGCATAGATGCTGATTCTTGGGCATCCCATATTGAGCTCGTCATCGATCCACCGCCTCAGTCAGTGTCGTGTTTGAGGCGACACAAACTGGCTACAAAGGGAGGGGGATTGTGGATCACTATTGAACACGATGCGATAATGGTTGGTGAGGAACGCGTCCTAGTACAGATCAAGAAAGTTCCTGGATCGATCAGGGAGAAGGCTGTGGTAACCGTCAATGGCGCCAAGGTCAAGGTCGATGTAGTTTCTTTGCCGGAAGCTGAGATCAAGTCTCGGTCAAGGCAAAAGCGTGTGAAACCAATTCGGATGCCATTGGATCAGCCACCAGTACCTGGGTTGAGAAGGAAAAGGACAGATACCGAAGATGGGGAGATGAGCGGAGCTGAGACGGTCACGTTACGACGAAGACAGGCGAGGATGTCCGTGCAGCCTTTCACGAGTCCAGTCGCCAGGTGGTTTTCTATGGCAGTTGAGCAGGCAAGCAGCACGACCGCAGCGGCAACAGCAGCCATGGGCCCCACTCCTGCATCTCGCCTGAAAGAGGATACTACGTCCACAACAACTCCTCTTCGTGCAGCACTCGGAGCCCTTTCAATCGTTCAGCGACTCCAAGCGATTCCCGTCGCTCACTGGATCAGTATCACTGAGAACAATGGCTTCTCTGTGTCTCGTCGGATTTTTGAAGAGATCTCGCCAACAATTCCGATACATCGGTCGGAAAAGGTTATCGAAGGCATCTCTGCTGAGGACGTTGCCCATCTCATCTCCGATCTTCATTCCCGCAAGCAATGGGACGATAGGCTCGAGTCTTCCGCCGTTGTTGAAGAGTACGGATTTGGGTGCTCCACTGCCTTTTTGGCCCTGAGGACCACATTTCCATTCCAGAATCGAGGGTTTTATGTGGCGGCCATAACGGGACGGGCACCGTCTGGTCAAAGGAGCAATAAAGCAGACGCAGACAGTCCGCTATCAGGCAGCAGTGGATGGGTGTCTGCCGATGCTGTATCCACTATCTATCATGCGATGGCGTCTTTCCCAGAATCTGCCCTTGCCTCAAATATGTCACCCGCAAAAATCAACTCCGCGGGACTGTCCATTGGTCATATCCACCTCCATGGATGGGTTATCGAGACCTTGGACCCGTACACAACAGAGAATTTCGCCATTCCATCCACCCGCGTTATTCAATTCAGCGCAATTGACTTTGCTGGCCAGATTCCGCTCGCCGTAAACGGCATGCTGAACTCTGCCTTACCGCACAGTATTCTGGCCATCCAAAAGGCGGTGAAAACCCAGCCGCCTCTTCCGTCTCTGCGGTGGCCTGCCAAAGCGCTTTCTGTCTCGCGGGACGAGGAGGTGACCACCGGGGCCGAATGGCTGCTGGACATATCCGACGAACAGCGCACACTTGTCAATCAGTCTTTCGCTCCGAGTAGCAAAACCTTCAAAGCTCGTGTCATAATCAAGCCTCGAAGACCTGGTCCGGTCACGCGACCATCAACCCCTTTCGATAAAGATAAAACTCCAACCATGCCGACTACAAAACTCCTCGAGCCTAGTGCCACTCCTAAGATGGTTGTTGAGGACGGTTCTGCAAGGACGTCACCAATACCATTTTCTTCCGCATCTACACTCACTGTCAATGGCTCAGCATCTGACCTAGGCAGCGTAAGGTTATCGCGAGGACACGTCCGAACATCCTCCCTCACTGTCAGACCGTCATCTTTGTCGCCGCCGCTACAACGTCCCAGGGTGGGTTCTTCTGCACCCAAACCTTCGATGCTGGCCAACGTGCCCAGGACATTGGCGAACCTCGATTTCGTTTTAGGGGAAGTATTGCTCTATCCGGATCTCTATGGATTGTCCTATCGTATTGATGTCGATTACGAGCTGCTGTCTGGATCCAACTCAAAGCCATTAGATCTTGCTGCCAGCCTTAAAAGCCCCACGCCATCCGACCTGCAGATTCGGGCATCTGTGTACACTATGCCTCCCTCTCCCCTTCATTCTCATGCTATGGACTTGTCCGTGGCCACGCCACCAACTAAGCATCTGTTACGATTCACTTTGCCTACGGCACTATATTACACGTCCGGGTTGGATCCTCTCAGCATCGACGATGCGAGCGATGGGCACGGTCCGGAATTTCCTACCTGGTTGAAAGACTTGGAGGAGAAGGGAGCTGTTGTCTCGATTACCATCACACCGAATGACTCGATCTCCAGGAGCGGAATACTGTTCCAGGGAAAACCGCTCAAAGTATCTGGGGAGAATGAGTCTGTGGATGTACTAGGCACGGAGGAGTTAGAAGACAACCGGGCGGGAAAGCTGGCCAAGCTGCGCAGGTCCGTATTCCCGCCAGCACTAAGGACATCAATGCTGATTATCATTTCATCAGAGGATCTGCAAGCGATGGACAACTGATTCCGAAGGAGTTACGGAAACCACTCACGGTCGCTATGGACTTCGTTAAGGAGGACACTATTACTGCCGATCCGGCCGTCGGAGATGCGCAAATTGCGGATCCGGGTAATGAGGGAAAGCCTGCCGACACTGATACATCGGAGCATGTCACGGTAAGTGATACTTTTCTAAGAATCGAATTGTCCACCGATGGAAATTATAGACGGTCGATACGGTGGACAATAAGCCGGCGGGACAGCTCACTCTCTTGGGGTTCTTCAACACGAACACTCTGTTGCGTCTCACGCCATCTATTACCATCCCGTCGTTCATGAGCTCGCCCCTCCCAACACGTCCCGGAACACCGTCCAAAGGCACCAGACCGGCCATCTCTCGCAGAACGTCAGGATCACCACTAGGCACTGTTTCCTGGAAGCATGTTCTCCATGACCCGCAATTCAGCCTCAAATTCGTCGTCGTCACGGCCATCATCGCCTTCTTGCTCGGATCCCTCATTCGGTCCCTGCTCTCCCCAGCAGACTTCATGTTCTACCCCTCGCAGAACAAGAACGACTCGCTGCAAGGTGAGGACGGCGGTTGGCGCGAAGTCAAGCGGCTCATCGAGATGAAATGGATACTATGGGGTTGGGACGCCGTCATCTTCGCGGTTGTACGACGGCATTGACGGGCGCCGAGGATATCAACGGTCTCTGGCCGGCCGAGGGACGGCCCCCTCTCGGAGAGGATAGGCCAGATGGACGGCTGTTAGGAACATTCCCTTCGCTTCCCGAACAATGTTACCCGTATCGCTCGGGATTCTTATGACCTTCATACCCGGACCCTGGATTCCCTACTTACTTTTATTTTCCAATCCCCTCATGTGAATTACGAACGCGCATCAATATGTATGATAGTCACCAACACATCACTAATTGGATTGATGAAGGTATCACTGGGTCTAGCAGCGGCGTGAAAAGCAGACCTCGCTGTAGTGCTCGAAGGCAGTTGTGTGGCTTGCCGTCCCTGTTCAACCTTACGGCATAGATCAGCCTCCGCGCCAAAGACCGAGGGAAAGAAACCGGGGTCGAAGGCGGGTGCAAAAAGAGGTTGGAGGTTTGTGGCCAGCTCATCAATCGCGGACCAATCATCTGCTGCCCTGGGGAACGCGAGAACAACTTTTAACTGGTGTCTGAGGGTCCTTTGGGTGAAGAATTGTTAGCTGGTCTATGCGCGATGATGGGATGATATGGGATGATATGGGATGATATGATACGCAAGGCGTTGGTTGTCAGGGGAATTTTTCCATCTCCGCAAAATGTTGAAGATTTACTGTACTGTAGCAGCTTACATTGCAGAAAAAAGGGGGGTAGAAGTGTTCTTCTCACAGGTTTGTTACAAGAACAAGGCACCGCAATGAAATTTGGAGGGGTGGACTATCTAGATGTTCAGCTCCCGCGGCAGAGAGCGGGTTTGACTGCAAGGGATCGGTGAGATTGGTCAACAGGCTCGGGCTCCGACGGGGGCTGGATGGTTGGTTGGGTGTTGAGCGAAAGACCCCGGGTGAGAGGGGTGAGAGAGTAGACTGGGGGAAAGGGCTGATGATCGGCTTCGTACGCTCCTGTTACGGAATACATGGAGAATGAGGAACGGTTTGGGGATTATCCTGTGCCTGTGCATTGTATACGTAGAGCATTCTAGTAGGGAAGCTGAACAATAAACCAGTGCAGTGTGAGTGAAACATTGTCGAAGCTGCACAGGAGGAGAGTAGGAAAATGACCCCTATCATGATGGGGCGTGGTTTGTCGTCGGCTCCACAGACTGGTGTGACGCCTGCGCCCTTCCTCGTCGGTTGCGAGAATATGCAGGTAGGCCACGGCAGGGTTCGGGTGGGGGGCTGAGGGAGGTTGTGCGATTTGAGGGGGGGAAGTGGCCTTACGTCGAAAAAGCACGGTGTAAGAGGGAGGAGAAACTGAACAACTTACGGCGCTTTCTCCTGCGCGGCCCGTCCCTGTTACGTGCTTGTAAGGGTGTGTCTGTGCATTATCCCCTCTCCTAGCATACAACACAATACACCACAGCACACAGCATATATCGACATTACGGCCCTTGCAAGCCATTTCTTACTGCCGAACACCGCCGCTCATACATCGGTCATCAATATTTCGATACCTTGACTTACGGCTTCCTCTCCAAAACCAAAGAAATAACTAGAGCAACACAGTATAACTCCCGCTCTACGCTCTACTTTGCTTCAACTCGAAAATCGGTGATTCTCTCCTCTTCTTCTGCCGGTATTCCATCATCTACTCTTCCAATTCCGCGGCCGGGGCAGCCACGTTCTTCCCTCGCTCCTCTCTCTGCCCTGTTCACCCTCTCCTACCCTTCCTTTCCCTCACCGCACCCACACTCATCTCACTCCCTCTCCCCATTCCCCCTTCCGCTGGTCTCAACTCACAGCAATAATCCTCTAGTGCGCCTATACATCGGTCTGCACGATTAGATCCTTTGGTCGCGCTCTGTGTCCGCCCGGTGCCCTCCGCGCCCACCGACGACGGGCGGTTGGCGCCAACACAGCCGATCAGTGCCACCGCTTCCTCCTAGCCAGCACGGCGCACCGGCGAACAACCCTTGCTCGCCCCTCACCAAGCCGCGCCTTCTCTCACCCTCCGACACCGACAACGCTCGGTCCGCCCCAGTTGTCCTTTCTTGACAATCCTCGAATCATATCCTCTGGATCGTCTTCTCTTACTCCTTCTTCTTCCTCTACTCTCTGTTTCCTTGCGTCAGGACACCCCCCTGGCTGCGATCCCGCCCTGTGCGGCAAACGTCAGAACATCCACAAAACATCATCCTTGACTCCTGCTTGACTCTTTTTTTCCCTCTCGTGTTTCCTCTTGACCCCTCTCAATCGTCTCCACGGACTCTATGGCACACCCCCAGCCTAACGGCGTCGTTGTACTTCCTCACGCGTCGGCAGGCGGACCTCCTCCAGGCCTCGAGCACATGGCAACCCAGCAACCACCCCCGCAGCAGCCGGGAGTCCAGCAGCAACAGCACCACGGTGGAATGCCGCCACCACCCCACCCCTACCATCATCATCACCCCAACCCACTCGCCGCAATGGGTCCTTTGCAGCAGATCGACATCGGTCAGATGCCAACGACTTACGGCCCGATGGTGCGCGCAGATCAAATTCCGGATGAGGAGACATTCTGGAATCCCGATACTTCGTGTGTCTATTTCCCCTGGTCGGCGTCTCCCTTTCCCACTAACGGGGTTTGTAGACTACATCTGCACCGGTATATTGAGGATTATCTGAGAAAGAGGAACTATCATAAGACTGCAGAGGTTTTCGTTGATGAGTCGGAGCTGGGGCAGCAGATCCAAGCGGGTCGCATCCCCGCAACAGCACCTATTCTGACTCCTCAAGGGCTATTGTACGAGTGAGTAATTCGCGCTTCACAATGGATTCATGATTGATCATGCGTGTCACCCAGATGGTGGCAAGTATTCTGGCGTGCTTGGGAAGCGCGAGATGTCGCAAAGCATGCTGACATGGCAGCGATCCATAACGTGAGTCACATCAGCTTTCTCCATGACTCAATGCTCATGTATGCGCATTATCGTGTTTCAGTATAACGCCTACATGACCCAACAAGCAAAAGAGCGCGGCCTTCGTATGCCGTTCGAAGGACCGTCTCATATTCCGCGAGCGATGCCCATGTATGCTAAGCAGGCTCCGACGGCGCACATCGCACCTCCTGGTCTCGAAAAGATGGCCGAACGTCCGACTCCTCCGCTTGTACAGGGCGAGCCGATGAACCACGCCGCGCCGATGCTTCCCGCTCCTCCTGGTCCGATGAATCCGCAAGAGCAGATTCAGCAACCACAGAGTACACGGATGCAGCCTCGAAACTTGATGGGACCACCTGGGCTCGTACGTCCAGCTCAGCAGCCACAGATGACAACAATGGGCCCACCACCCCAGCCCGCTATGGTCCATCAGACTCCTGGTGCAGGACCGTCTAACCTCCCCGCGCCCACACCTCAGATTCAGTCCCAACAGTATCAGCTCGTCCCTGGTCGATCAGGAACACCCCGAAATCTTCAACCGCCTCAGCAGAATCCGCAGCAACCTCAACAACAGCCCCAACCTCAACAACCACAACCCCAGCAACAGCAGCCGCAACCGCCTCAGCAACCCCAGCAGCAGCCGTTTCCCTTTCCTCCTCAGCCTGGCCAACCAACTGGACCGATTCCGTACCCTGTCATGAACCAGGCCGCTCAAGCAGGGAGACTAGGGGGCAACAGGGCGCCGCCGCCTCCGCATCTGACGATGCCGCCGAACGTGATGGCACAAAATACGTTTGTGCCGAACGGAGCTAGCCAGTTCCCAGGTCAGCCGCATCCCATGAACACGGATATAAGCAAGCAACTACCTCCGGGAGTCACGCTCGATGCGTGGCGGATCGTTACGGAGCGGAACAACTGCGCAGGCAAGCTGCCGGTCGAACTTGCTGAAGGAGATCGGGTTCGTCGATACTTTCACTATATTGAGTGACAATTGATTGACTTCTCTTAGATGCGGTTGCTACAGGAAGCCCAGGCTTTGGCAGAGCAGCAAGCCCGTTCATCGCAACAGCAACCAATGCCTCACCCTCAAGGTCCACAGGGTATGATGCCTGGTGGCCGACCATTCCCACCACAGATGGGCATGCAACAACCGCCTGCTCCTGGGCAGCCGATGCAACCTCAAATGACGGGGCCTGGTGGCCAACCACCGATGCGTATGCATATGGCGCAAGGGCCAGCGGGGATGCAGGGTCAGCCTGGGCCACAGAGGGCGCCGACACCAGGGGCGATGGCGAGGATGGGTGGGATGCAGGGCATGCCGCCTCAGTTCGGTAGACAGTACGCTCTTTCCCCAGATTCGTACCATCATTTCCTGACCTCTCGGACTAGACAAATGCCCGGCCCGCCGCAGATGATCAGCATGAGTCCGGAACAGATGGGGATGAACGGCGCACCTCTTATGCCCGCTCTACAGCCAGGCAACGTCCAGATGCAGCATATGATGCCTAGGATGCCGAGCGGAACCCAACTCAATACCCAACAAATACAGCAAATGATCGCTAAAAACCAATTGCAGCAACAAGCACAACTCCAAGCGCAAGGATTTAACCCCCAGATGGGACCTACCCAGACGCAGATGGCTAGGATGCCTGTGAATTTCCAGGCTCCTACCCCGCAGCAGCAGCAGCAACAGCAACAAGGTGCGATGCAGGGCGTGGGCATCGCAGGCGGTGTTCGACTTTTACAAGCCAGTTCTTCTGTCAGTATTTACTGCCATGATCGGAACTTTCACTAACATCGGTGTGATAGAATGCCCCATCGCCAGCAGACGAGTCCTCTCCTCCCAACCCGAAGCGTGCTAGGCGTTCCTCGCCTTCCGCCGACAAAAAGGGCAATGCTCAGTTCATGCCCCACCCTCAGCAGCCACAGCAGCAGCAATTACAGCAGCAACCGATCATGATATCTAACCAAGGACAGGTGAATCAGGGAATGAGAATGCCTTCGAACGGGACTATGCCAGGTGCCCAAGTGGCAGCACAACCTGGCCTTCCTGTGCCCCAGCAAGTCGTGAGTGTCGTGTAAATCAATTTCCGGAATATCATCTCATGACTTGGTAGGCACCCGCTCCTGCAAATCGAGGACGTAACAATGCCAGAGCTGGAAACGGTCCTGATACAATGGGCCCTGAAACGACAGCAGCGCCTTCTCGAGGCACGAAGCGCAAGATGGCAGATGATGGTTCTGGAGCCAACGCCGGCCCCGGCGCCCCTCAGAAGTCGGCGGCTCAGATCCCCGCCCCTACACTAAACGGTATCAAGACCTCCCCTCATCAAGGTTCACCCGCTATCAGCGCTGGAAAGGACAACAAGACGCCTCCGACAGACAAGACGCCTCCTCTGGTACCTGGGGGCCCTGCGAGTACTCCCAGCAATGCCCAGCCTGCCACGCCAAAGCAGGACAACAATGTTATGGTCCTCAATGAGCTTTTCAGCGCCAACATGAGCCAATTTGGTGGTGGTGGAAGTGGATCCATCTTTGGTCCTGCTGTGTCTTCACCTCGCACCTTGTCACAACGTATCAGCGTGGACTTGCCGATCGACGGTCCCGAAGCTCTTGGAGGAGGATGGGATCAGACCCCCATCAATGTCCCCGCGCCTTCAGACCCACTCTTTCTGGATGACAACGGTGGAGACGACACCTATCAGATGTACTTCAATTTCGATGCCGAGGAAGGCATGAACTTCGATGAGACTGGAGAATTTTGATTGACCCAGCGCTTGGTTCCACCCCTTGCTCACAATATTCCCTCGCACACATGATCACCCATCTCTCCAATTTTCTTGGTCTAATGGTCGGCGCATGTAGAGCGCTGTTGGCTTGATTCGCTCTGCATGGTTGTATCCTTCTCCGTCTCCATTACTTTTTGTTGTTTTTCTTGTCTTTTCCGCTCGTATCCCTTGGCCCAACGTGTCCGTCGAGTGTGGTGTACTTGGTGTACTGTATCTTCTAATGTATCTCAAGCGGTCTTTCCGCTCCCCCATCGAGAGTTGGTCAGTGTGGTCATAATGTAGACCCTTAGGCGTTCACAGTGCACCAATTTGTGAAAGAGTCAAACATGCGTGTCGTAATTACCGTAAGGACCGTGATTCTATGTACATGAAAACCAAAAACCCTAACAGGAACAAGCAAACGTGGACTTCAACTGGTCGAGGAGGTCGAGGTCTCGGAGGTAGACGTCTCAGGGACAGAGGACGTGGCGTCAGGGGCAGGGCCTTTCGAGTCAGTCTGTTTCTCGGCCTCCTCGCAGCTCAGGTCGCCGTCAGTTACTGGCTTATCAACCATGACAGGTGTAGAGGCTCCAGAGGTCAGCTCAGTGGGAGCGTCCTTGATGTCAGATTTGGTAGTCGCCGCGTCGACAAGTGCGGCAACAAGAGCCTCAGCGTGGGCCTCCGTTCCCTCGACCGGCTTATCAGAGGATGCGGGGGGCGTCTTCTCAGCTTTGCTAGCCGAGGTAGAGGGGGTAGGCTTGTCGAACTCGGAGTCAGAGGAGTCAGTGGGAACCTCCCCAGCAACACGCCGTGCGGCGCGGCGCTTCTCTTTGGCACGCAGGAGCTTCCTCTTTTCCTTCACCGCGGCTTTCTCAGCAGCGGCAGTTTTCTCCTTCTCTTCTTTCTCTTTCGCATCCTTCTCTTCCTTTTCCTTCGCCTCCTTCTCCTCCTTCTCCTTCTTCAACTTGGCCTTAGTCTCGCGTTCCTTCTTAACCCACGCTTCGACCTCTGCCACTGCCTGGGTGGGTTCAGCGTGCACTCGTTACAATCAATACGTCACGATTCTCACCTCCTTCGGCCTTGACTTGTTCTTCAGCAGATACCCTTGCAGGGCCGCGACGCTCATTTCACCGTCTGGCACACGCTGGGCGAAGGTGCTGGCTAGCTCAGTCATTTCTGCTTCAGTAAGGACGGGGGCAGCACGGGCAGAAGCTTTAGATTTCTTGCGACTTGTAGGGGGCCGAAGGCTGAGTGTCTCAATAGTGGCCACGGATCCGTCCTCCAACTTCTGACCCACGTAAGGGAAGAAGTTCTTGAACAACCTTTCGGCCTGCCAGCTTGTCGCATTCTAACATACCGGAATTTAGGGCATTTTCTGAAACGAATGAGAGAAATACAAACCTTGAAGTCTACCCATACATCCATACGCCCCGGACGCGACAGTGCTATAGACATATCAGCCAAGGATCCCGTGTGTGCGTCCGGCTTACCAGGATCTAAGCGTTCAATATGGTTAGTTGTAGCGAACAGTAGTCGGCCTTCGGTGGCAGCTACACCGTCTGTTTCGGAGTTCAACGCTCTAAGTTTCTCACTGAAATGCATCCTACAAACCAAGACTATTAAGCAGTCCTGTTGCAGATCCCCTCATATCAGCGACAGAATAGAGAGTGTTCTGCATACTGCTTACCGCTCAGACTCAACGTATTTCCATCATCCGCAGTGGTCTTGGTGGTGGTGGAAGTGGGGGTGCCAGTCGCAGTATCATCACGACTTGTTGACCGCGTGAAAGCGGCGTCGAGATCTGAAAATTAGGTCAGACATCGGAAGAAGTCTCCGCGGGTCAAGGACTGGCCTTCCAGCAGCACGATGCAGCGACTTGGTACTCGACCCATCAAGGAAGCGAGGGACGAGTCGTTCATGCCTTTAGAACTGAGCGTGACGACATAGATGTCCAAACCAAGTTCGCCAGCCAGCGCATGAATGAGAGAGGTCTTGCCAGACCCAGGTACCTGCAAAAATGCGAGTCAGAACTTGCCCACTACTCGGTTGCGTACTCTCACGCCATGCAGAAGATATCCTCGACGGAATGGGATGCCGCGATCGGCATACCAGTCCTCAGATCTTTTGGTTTGTGAGTCAAGCCCCTGTGCAGCCTGAACAACTGTGGAGTCGTACCTCAGAAAATCTTTGGCATCGTCAAGCAACATCTCCTTGATACCTGGCTCCAGCACGATAGACGACAGCGGCCGTTTCTGACGGGCACCATTCCACCCCCATCTGCCGTAGCTGAGGTAGTGTGAGGACTGGCATGTTTGGTAATACGGGACGTTACTCACATGTCTGCCAGGAAAATGTGCACGCTGGGGACATACGTAGTCTTAAGCACCACAAACACGTCTGATAGAGCAAAGGCTTACCGATGCTCAGCATCACGCTCGTAATCTTTCTTGGCCTGAAGGACGAGCTGCTTTATCACATCGTTGTTCCGCGCAATCACACTGCATGCCGTCGATGAGATCTCAAGAAATCCGGTAAAGCCGGCTTCCGTACCTGATTTTAAGGGTCTCGGCGTTGGCATACCAATCAGTTCCTTGGGTGCGTCCGCGCGTGATCTTGTGTTGAAACGTATCAGTGACGTGGCAAAGTGCATGTGGGTTTACATACATGAAGCCAATGACCGGCGAAGAAGATCGTGTGGGTCGTGTCTGATTTCTGATCAGCCTGTTTTGACGAAGCGGGGCCGGGGTATGTATACCGTGGGATGGCATGAAGGAGACCTTCTTTGCACGTCCTCCGCTGATCAGCGCTTTGTCCTCTTCGTCGTCATCCTCGTCGTCAACCTCGCTCTTGTTGTTGTTCACGACTCCAAGTCTCAAGCCGGTGCGGGTGGTGATCTCGAATTCACGGGATCGGCCCCACGCAGGCTGTTTCGACAACCACTACAACTGCTTCTCAGCGAAGTCTTGGTAAGAGAAAGATCTCGACGCACGTGCAACAACCCTAGATCGCAAAAAACAGATTAATGGGGAGTCATCCCTTGATTGCATCACTTACAGTCATATGGGTAGTCATCTTGTGTGAAATGGGCCGTCAGGAAGAAGGCTGTTATCTGGCTTTAGCCTTGTGACGGGTAACAGAGTAGATGGCTTCGGCTTACACTCAATGAACTGTTTCCACCCAGAGGAGGCGAGTCGCCGCGCTGTCTCGACCGTCGTCCCAAGGATCGCCAGCTTGGCGAAATCCTTAACGGCGTCCATGGTGTTGCCGGACTGCACCTGTACCAGGTTCTTCAGAGCACCAGTTGTGCTGTTTATTATCAGGTCCATGGTTGGGGACGTGATGAGGGAGTTGGTTGGGGAAGTGGGGAAAGGGAGATGAGGGGTAGGGACAAATGAGGAGGTCTTAAATATGTTTCAAACACCGCAGTTCAGATCAGGACCAATTCGGATGTTCATTGTCCCTGGCATGCTGATGGACACGAGTATTCGAAGCTTGTGCACCTCAGGCTTGCGAAGGATTCGCATGCCATGACGAAGCACGAGCACCGCCGAATTGATACGAACGAGTAACACGTTCTCGAAATATCCAAGGCGTGTTGTGCGTGAGGCCAATGAGCTCCGAGCCAATGAGAATGCCCGAATCGGGAAGATAGAGCAATTCAAGGAGGCTCTAGAGCGGCCAGGAACTTCATGACCCCCCAACGGCAGTGCCCGCTCCTGTCGCGGGGAAGGCTTCTTTCGCTAAGACAAAGGGTGGGACCGCACCAGAAGTGGACAATCTTTTCTGATTATCTCCGGGGAAGCAGGCGATTTCCCCTGAGGTTGGAGAGATGCCCCCCAGTGTAGGTATAGCTGCATTTGATCATGTAACGAGTAACGTTGTGTGAAGAGTAGTGAGGAGTCACGCGCGGCAACTGGCCCTACGCACCATTTGGCTTGCTTCCGCCCCGTCACCGGTCCCGACTGTCGATCTTTTCATGCACCGCTCGCCCTTTACACACAAATAGGCCCACTCTTAGCGGAGCAATTGACTTCTATCGGAAAGGGATTCTTTAACATCTGACAGTTTGTGACGTTACTGGGCCTGTCCTGTGACTAAATCTACAGTCATTCCACCGTATCTTCTGCCCGGCACAATGCATATGCATCCGAGCCACTCAAAGTTGCTTACGGCCGAAGGCCCAATCCATTCATCCCACGTCTAGTTTATCACAGTCCCTATATGATGAGCGTAGTGCATTTACCTCACATCCGCGCCGAGGACCTACGAGTTACGTCGTACGAGCCTCATGTCAAACGATCACTGAGCCAAATGCAGGGCCTGGTTTGATCCGTATTCGGTTTTGTCGGACGGCCTCAGCTTTAGAAGTTTGGAAGTCAAACTTGGACGGAGTGGAAATGCCCTTATGGTCTGTGCTGTCCCCCCCCGTCCTTCTTGGTTATTCGCGAAGGGGTGGACTGTGTGAAGCACCCCCTTAGAGAATCGTCAGACGAACCGGCAAATGCTGCTTCATTTCATGTCACCCCGAATTGCTCCGCATGACATGTTGTGGGCGTTCAAAATTGCCTTATCCGGCTTCTGAACTTCTGAACATCCTCATGGTATGGCTTGTATTATCAAGAAGCGCTATGGGCACTTACAGCATATTTTGTCACCAGTGTCGATCGACTACGGTCGTCATGTCTATTGACAATCCTTTATCATTCCGGTTGCACGTTGTTCTGCACCATCGTCTAACGGTATCAGTGACAAGACTGGTTGAGCAACGTCCATCTAATCTTTCACAGAGGGTATATGCCATGACCAATAAGCTACGTCACTTAAATATCTTAATGACTCTGTAAGCCTTGCCATGATAGGTATGTATTGCCAACGCGGGACACTCCTGATTTGGATACTTGATGTCCGTTGGTGGGAGGGGAGGTTAGGTCTGGGACAATGTCGTCATTCTTACGTAGGCACTACTCTGTGCGTACTGTCAGAAGGCAACCAATTGCCACGTCGTATACGAAATCCATGAAGATGATCATCCTTTTGCGTCGCTGCTTTCAGCAATAAGGTGAGACAAACCAACGGCAACAGCATCATTAATGGGGTGCTTCCTCATAGCTAATTTCTTGCTCGGCGGGCGAGCCGGCAAGGGCCTTATGGAAGACCCATTGAATAGGACCTAGCACGGCTTATCGAGATCACAATCACGGTTGCGGGGCCCGGTCCCATTAAATCTGTAACACGGAAGTCCTCCGTTCACCCATCTATCACACATATAAGGATACTGAGATGTGTCGAAGACGACCATCTTGAAGTCCTTATCCTTTGTATTTCAAATAACTCGCGTCCCGCTTGTCTTATTCTGGCCCGGCGTTCCTCCCCCTCCAGCAACATCGTTATTAGGCATGGTGGGCACAAGCGCGGAACCCACGATGGCCAGCTCGTTCTACCAATGATGAAGTGCGTTACCTCCTAGACGGAACATATGCTTAGGCACAACCCTCCCATCATTTCCCATCATCTCGCAGAGACTTAGGAGGGGGTTTGGAACGTTGTTACCTGGTGCTACTGGGAGAACCCCCTGCCAAGTCCCGGCCAACGTCAAATCCTGTAATGCCTTCCCGAATATGTTATAGACGGCTGCAGTCCCCCTTCACGGCATGTGCACCCGCAGCGCGGTCCGACTGGTTCTCCGAAGGGTTCCTGTTGGTGCGGATCAGCCCTCAATATCATCCAGGGGCAACATGAACCCACCTCGACATTGAAAATGCCGCTTCTGATGGGACCGCGCGCACAAATTCGACTTCTGCCTGCATACCGCCTCTTCGCACCGCATTTTGAGGGCCGTAGCAGTTGAGCACGTTCTACCGGTATCAACGGTCAGATGCTCTTCAAATTTTGATCTTGCGTGGGAAGTCTTTCCGACCTTTGGGTATGTTATGTTGAAGCGGCCGCAGGCCTGTGACAGGCAGAGGTCTGTGAATAATGTCGGAATGAACGTGCTCCTTCATTCTTGTCGATGTTGGGAAATGCCGAGGACTATCTGGCACTGGTCTTTTGCTGCAATTCCTTCTCGGACAATCTCTGCCATGACCTAGGACTGGATTTCACTGCACTTTGCTGGCTCCACCCAGCCTACTAGTCTCTGCTGTGAGAATGCTCTGCCCTCAGACATGTGTTGGCCTTATTGCTCCTGCAGACTTCTAGGCACTGCAGTGTAGGCCAACTGATTGAAAGTTTTGATGTCATGTATGTCTGACACCTTGGCAGTGGTTCCTCATTTCTATAAAGGTAGAAATGAGGAACCACTGCCAAGGTGTTGGATGTGCTGATGCTAATGGGGATTGCACCCAGCTCACATGCTGCATCATCAAATCAGATCATGATGACTGCCAGACAGGGGCCAGATATGGTGGCACCAAACCAGATGACATCAGTGGAGTTGGCCCAGGCGAAGAAGAGGGTTGATCCCATCTGGGTCAAGCACTGTATGCCTGCCTGTGCCAGTTCAACTGTCACTGTGGTTATCTCATTGGTTTGTTCAACTGAGAATGTGAGGATTGAAGTTAAGCCCAGAACAATGGAGGTACTCAACTCCGTCATTCTGGGCTTAACTTTGTTGATGGCCATTGTCCGATGTTACAGTCCGAAGCAGGCTGATCATGTTCACTGTTGGCCTCGACCCATCAAAGCCATGGTCGAGCCATATGAAGGTCGCGCCCAGTCTAGGTACAGTGAACAGCGCTGAACAGATTGGGATGAGCGCCACGTCATCGTGCATAGCATGTGACTAGATAGGCGTCTCAGCCCACATTAATGCGGGATTCTCGTTCGACAAATGACACGTATCAAGTAAATCAAGCCCAATTGATTCGCATCCGTAAGAAATATCGCATGGACCCCACGTGTAACTTGGTTGTGGACGTATCGAGTGACGATATTGGAAATGGTTGGAGCTTATTCATCGCCGGGGAAGGTGATATATAAGGTTCGTTGGGGCAGGGCATCGCCGAACGAACACGATGCTACAGCGTGCCTTCGGCATAATTGGAAGCTCATCATGAAATCTAGTGCAAACGGAGCTCTGCCATGTTCTCTCATGTTCGATTTCTCGCGTTGACGGTTTCAACAAATTCTGATACTGGGCATAACCCGCATGACCGCCGAATCCTCCATATTGCGATGTATTACAATCCCGTCTCTACAGGGGTGTGACGGACACAGGGGTGACCCATATATCCGTTATGTCGGAGCGGCTTCGGGCCGACCCTTTCTTCGATTCCGGTCCCGTCAATATCCATAGAAATTGTCGATGAGGGGGGACGCCATTGCAGGAGCGGATATTGCGAACACCAATCGTCGGTGCCAGTGTTTGGGGTGATCCGTTGACCCTGAATTGGCCAGGAGCGAGAGGTAATAAATTCGGGTTAGCATGACTAGAGGTCGTGGTGATGCCGAAGGCGGACGAAACAGGTTGAACAGATGCGTGAATTCCTACGGCAGGAACGTTCCTTGAGCGGCCCCGTCGGCAAACGACTTGGACCAGGCGTTCCTAAAGACTGGTTGACGACTTTTCCGCGAATGTCCAGAGCAGAGAGCCTTATCTGGTGCATGGTGAGCAGATCGTCAATAGAACAGCGTTCGCTTGCAGGCGTTCGCTCCTGGTAAACCTTTGTCCGAGAACCGAGCGTTGCTTTCGTACTTGATCACCCTGCCACGTACGCTGGGCTTATGGGGCTGCCGACTGGTCGTCTCCTGCTTGCCAATCGACTGGGTCCAACGATGCAGGTAATTCGATATTGGGAATCATCGAGCTACAGCGGCTGTTGCACCGCCCATCATCCTACACCTCTTTCATAGAGTCCAAGATCATCTTGCATCTCTTGAGCGCAATTCCGTCCATGAGTGGGGACCTGGGCAGATCAAGTCGTGGCCGAGCTGGTTTCTGATTCGTTCGCGACCGGCTTAACGCAGTATGATTCTTGAGGATTCAGGAAATGGATAGACCACCGGTTTGCTCGATAAGCACATCGTGCGCGGAACTTCCGCCTTGGGCGCTCGGCAGCATTCTTTGTTCCTCGTGTTTCATTCATGATCCTCGACCAGCAATCGTCCTTCCATGCATAACGTTGTCGTCCGCACTGGCATAGGTCCAGCAGAAGCCTCTTCCACACTTCGTCCTCATGCCCAACCACCTCGATCCACCGATGAACAACATCCAAGCCAGAGGACTTCGCAGCGCACAGCCTAGTCAATAACCCCTGATCGTCTGAGACTTGTCTCGCAGCGAGCTGGGGTCATCTCCCGTAGGCGTGTCCGAATATTATTGGCGAGATGCGCGAACATGCTGAACAGGAAGTTAGAGGGATTGGCGAGGTGTGCAAGCATCTGGAGATAGCGGCAAACAGATGCCTGGTTCCAGCGTTGCAGATGGTTCGTCGTTGACGTCGGTTATTCGGCAGCCGACCGCCTGCTCGCCCAATTAACAGAATCCTGCTGACTCCTGCCTATTCCTGCTCCTCTTCCATCCCCTCCTCTTCGGCGACTGTCTGCACCCACCAATCGACAAGCCCCAAGCCAGATGTGCTCGCAGCACACTACCCGTGTATGTCAGCCCCTAATCACACAGGCGAACAGGCCGAACAACGCACCGTGATTGAATAGGGGGCACGTCTCAGTGCTTCCTCCTCCTCCCCAAATGTTCCCGGTATCCCCGCTACGCCCACAGCACCAGGGGCTGCAGCTTTCCTCTTTATCGGCCCCTTGCTCGGCTCTTCCTCGACAAACTCGTCGCCGTCCACACACACCCTGATCTTCGCCCCCACATCAACTGTGAACCGCTCTTCCTTTGGGATGTCGAGTGGATCTTGTCCATCTGAGAGCTGTGGTGCCCAGAAGAACACTTGGTCTTCTGGATCCCAGGTTGTGTGAGGTGGGAGGAGACGGGTAGGAACGTGGATGTCGTCGAAGAATCCGAGTGATACTGCACAACAGGGGTTCACCGTTGAGCTGAGAAAAGACAGGGAAATGCACATACCTTGAACACCTTCCTCAGCGCAGCCTTTCACTTCGCCAACTAGGACCTCGCCCACGAAAGGTCGGAAAACGACCATTCTGAACGTCACTATCCTCTTTGTCAATCACCACTCCTGAACAGCTTGTGTATGAAACAACGCACCCTTATGCCACAAGCAACCGTCGCCAAATCTGACCCTACCCTCGCTGCATTCGAGTATGTCGAACAGGACAATGCACAAGCCGACATCGTGCAATACACGGTCGGAATACTTCCTGTTGATCTCGTAGGTGAGAGCTTCGTGACCAGGGAGTGAAAACTGGGAGGGGTGGATTGGGAGCGTGTCCTAGAAACGCGGCGTTAATGGGCACTCGGGGATAGGGAGGTGGAGGATAAACGCGTAGAAGAACATACCTTGAGCCGGGCAAGAACGAACATGACACGCGTGTGTGCTCTATGTGGGGAAGTGGGGTATCCAGACACGTCAAGACGCCCGTGACGCGTCTAATGCTAATGCGGATAGGAAGACGACGAGATAGGCAGGTGGACGTGGGACGTGCGTGGGACGCGGGCGGGCCGCCTGTGATGTGTGGAGGATGGATGGATGAGACGATGAGCGTGAACCTCCGCCAGCTGGTCGGGTGAACGAGGGATAGCGTAAAGTGCGTTGGTATACTCCACCTCTTGTTGAGAGCGCGTCTTGTGTAAGTCAAGTGTATGCTGCAAAAAGGGTTGTCCGGGAGCTGTCCGGAAAAGGGAACTGCCTAAGGTTGAAAATATGGTGGAGGTGTGTGTGGCGTTTTTCCCTTTAGACTGAACCCTCCATCGGCGATGACCTCTCAATTGCCCGACGGGGGTAACCAACTCTCCCGTGGGCGATTTATGGACTGAGCTGAAGTGTAGTTTTATGAGAAAAGTTTTCTGTCGTTGTGTAGAGAAGGAATGATAGAAAGGTATACGCTGAGAGTCACGTGTGTCCAACCTCCAACTTTTACGCCCTCGTCGGCGAGCGTTTGATCACACCACACGCTATCCCCAAACACACTGAAGCCGTTGGAGGTGTTCATGTCCACCACCCGGACTCTCTTATCCCGCGCCTCCGCCGCCTCAACCCGCATTCATTCTCCCTCTCTCGCTTGCTCTTCTTCTCTCAGACGACCATCTCCTTATCCCATCTCTACCCTCTCTGCCACCTTTGCTCAATCAACGAGACGCACAATGTCCCAGGCCTTCCATCAGGTGCGCATTCACTTCGGCATCTTCTTCCAGCATACACTCACACACATGTTCCTCCGCGCGCTCAGGAACCGCACAAGTGCGCCCTCTCTTCCATTGCCTTTTCCGTCTGTCACTAACCCATTTCTCGCAGGTTGCTTGTGTATGTCCCCCTCGCCCACTTGTTCGTCCGCCTGCTCACAGACATCCCAGGATTCCCGGCCCCATCGAGGTGACCGATGAAGTGCTGTACGCGAACGCCCGCCCACCTCTGGCACACACCGGAGCAGACTTTATCCCCATCTTCGGAGATTGCCTGCGTATGATGAGGTGCGTCCTCCCCTCTTCTTTGCCGCCCGCTTTGGGCCATCTGGGTGTTGCGGCCGCTAATGTATGCGCAGGGATGTCCTCTATACCGAGGCTGGGCAGCCATTCCTTGTTGCTGGGTCTGGTACGCTTGGCTGGGACATGGTGCGTTATCTTATTTCCCTTCCTATCCGCAGCCGCTGATCACACGAAAAGGCCGCAAGCAACCTTGTCGAGGCTGGCGAGGACGTGCTCCTGCTCACCACGGGGTACTTTGGGGATGCGTTTGCCGAGTGGTGTGTGCTTCTGAGCTTAGTCTTCGTGGGCGAGATCTGAGTATATGCAGCTACGAAGCCTACGGTGCCAAAGTGGACCTCATCCGCGCTCCTATCGGCGGCGCTGTACCAGAGTCCGAGATCAGGGCGGCGCTCAAGGCGAAGAAGTACAAGGTTCTCACCTTCACGCACGTTGATACCTCCACCGGTGTTCTCTCCGACGCAAAGATGATCGGCGAGGTCGTTCGCGAAGTGTCTCCCGACACGCTCATCGTGCTCGACGGTGTGTGCGCCGTGGCCTCCGAGCAGATCCTCTTCGACACGTGGGGGATTGACGTCGTCGTCTCTGCCTCCCAGAAGGGGCTCGGCGCCCCGCCCGGCCTGTCAGTCCTCATGGCCTCCCAGCGTGCGATCAACACGATGCAGAACCGGAAGGTGCCTGTAAGCAGCTACTACGCCAGCTGGAAGAAGTGGCTTCCCATCATGCAAGCGTACGAGAAGGGCCTCCCGGCGTACTTTGCCACTCCGCCCGTCAACCTCGTCCAGGCGTTCCATGCCAGTTTGACAGCGATCACCAAGGGGGTCCCTAACCTCCAGACACGCTTCACGATGCACAAAGAGGCGAGCGCAAAGATCAAGGGGGCGATGCAAGAGCTCGGGCTTGAGCTGCTTACGCTTGACCCGTACTACTCTGCCAACGGCATGAGCGCGGTCAAGTACCCTACGGGGATCAAGATGGCCGACCTCATCCCCCGCCTTGTGAAGAAAAACATTGTCGTCACCGGGGGCCTGCACAAGGACGTCAAGGACACGTATTTCCGTATTGGCCATATGGGCACCACGGTCGTCAACCCCGAGAGGGGGGATATCGAGAAGGTCATCTCTGGCGTGAAGGAAGCGCTGAGCGAGGCCGGATACAAGGGGAAGATGTAGATCTGATCTGTGGAATGCTCTACTTAGATCCGCATTGCAGACAGACTTTTTCGGACCATGTAGATGAGCGATTCACACGGGTGCGACTGGCGACCTTCGCGCCTGTTTTGGCTGCGGGGCCGCAAGCTGCAGCGCGGTTTGTACCATCACGTCGTATGTCGTATCTATTGGAGGGGAGGGATAAATGCGATAAATTGTGCCTGTAGTCATACACCAAGCCAAGGCCCTTTGGATTTCCGCGAAAATTCATAAATACGACAAACGACAAGCCTCTAGTTTTCAATGCTTGCGGGTTATACGTTCCCCCCCATGCCGTCGTACCATTCCTTGCCAGACGTCGTAGGAGAGATATATCCCGCACGGATCGTCCAATCCCCAAAATGCTCACCGGGATTTCGTTCCATCGCATAACGTTTGATCATCGGTTTGAGAATAGCAAGTATTTCCGGCTCAGTCACTGTTTCTAAACAGATGTCAGCGTGTTCCACCACCTAGCATGGCATGCATAGCACAGCGACGAACCCCGGTAGATCTTGTTCAACCGCTGACCATAAAACCCACCCCCCAAAAGCATCAAATACGACCCCGGAGCCTTACCCACAAACGCGACTTCAGCAGCATACGGCCTCGCGCACCCGTTCGGACAGCCCGTCATACGCATGACGATCTCGTCGTTTCTCAACCCGGCTTCTTCGCAGTACTTTTCGACTTTGTCGATCAGCACCGGGAGGTAACGTTCGGATTCGGCCATTGCTAGCCCTGATAGATGGTGAGTATCGCGGCTTGCGCTTCCCGGTGGGAGAAGCTTACCACAGGTGGGGAAGGCGACACAAGCAGAAGAAGACAGCCTAAGCCCAGAATACTGCAAGTTATCCAATTTGTACTTTCGTAGCAAAGCCTTCATCCCCTCCAGTTCCGCCTCATCAACTTCCGCAAGTATCAAATGCTGGTTCGCAGTAAGTCTCAACGTCCCCTTATGAACCTTCGCGATTTCTGTCAAGCCAGTCTTGTACGGCTTGGAAGGCTCGTCCTGCACCCGCCCATTCTCGATAAACATCGTAAAGTTCCATTTTCCCTCTAGGTCCTGCTTCCACCCCCATTGGTCCAGGTTGTTCTCAAACCTGTACGGGCGAGGAGGAGCAAGCGGATGCCCAAGCAGCTTTTCCACTTCGAGCTTGAAGACGTCCAGGCCCATCCGGTCGATCGTATACTTCAACCTGGCGTTCTTCCGATCTTTCCGGTTCCCATTATCCCGCTGCACGAGGAGTATCTTCTCACAAACGAGGTGCGCTTCCCCAGGCTCCACGAACCCTATTACGTCCCCCAACCTGGGATAGGTCTTCTTATTCGAATGAGTAACCCCCATTCCCCCTCCGACGCAAACGTCGTACCCCGCCAAATGGCCCGCTTGATCCGCGATGGCGATCAGCCCAACGTCGTTACAGAACACGTCTACGTCATTGTTAGGCGGGACAGCGATAGCGACCTTGAATTTCCTAGGGAGGTAGTACGGTCCATAAAGCGGTTCGAGGTCCTTGACAGCCTCCCCAGCAACCAGCGTCTTGTCCAGCCAGATCTCATGATACGCGCTCGTGCGAGGCTTAAGATGATCACTGATCTTCCTCGCCAGTGCCCAGGTCTCCTTATGCAACACGCTCAGCGCCGGAAGGGCAGAACACAGCACTCCCCGGTTCACGTCCCCGCACGCGGCGATCGTATCAAGCAAAGCGCGGTTAATAGCCTGCACCGCGGGTTTGAGGTGGCGCTTGATAACTCCGTGGAACTGGAACGTCTGTCGCGTTGTAAGCTTGAACGTCCCGTTCCCGTGCTCGTCCGCGATCTGCGAGATCGCACGCCACTGCTCAGGAGTACAGACCCCCCCGGGAAGCCGGACACGGATCATGAACGCGTACGCAGGTTCCAAGCCAGCCTCCTTCCGTTCCTCGCGTATATCCCTATCATCTTGCTCGTAAATCCCGTGGAATTTCGTGATTTGCCCGTCGGAAGGAGCGAGCGAGCCAGTGCTCTCGTCCGCAAGCCCTTGGAGGATCGTACCCCTAAGATAGTTGGAGGAGATCTTAATATGCTCATTCGTGACCGGTTCAGGTTCAGCCTCGATGACTTCTACCCCATCCACACCGAGAGCGCGCCAGAGTTCAGGTTCCCAGAGCGCGTACCCCGTCTCTGGGCCGTCGGAAGCTTGGTCGTCCCCCAACCCCAAGGGAGCAACCCGCTCACCCCCGAGCAGTGACAGGCGGGCATCAAGTTCCTTCCCGGGCTTGTTGTAGAACTGCGCATCTTCGGGTCGGGGCCAGTAACGGCTGTCGCCCAGGGCGAAAACGGAGTATTTGAGTCCTTGGAGTGGGGGAGCTGCCGGCTGGGCTGGGGCTGGGGCTGGGGCGTCCTGGGACTTGGGAAGGAGAGCACCGAGGGCGCGCCAGGTGCTTCTCCCATTCTGGGGCATCTCCCCCTGCCCAGCAACGGAAGTGACGAATACCGTGTAACCCTCCTCCCCCCCTTCCCCAGCCGCTTCCCCCTTTCCCTCCCCGTTCCCTCGGAGCCCAAGCCAGCTCTCAACCCCAACCTCGTCCATCGCCCAAGCCTGTGCCTGCAGCCCTCTAGCCCTAGCCCTCCCCGCCAACCGCTTAGCGACCTTCTCCGCCCTCCCCCCGTCCGACGCATAAAGCACGTTCACCTTCGCCCCCCCTAAGCCCCGGAGCAGGTGTTCGTATGCCAGCTTGGACTTCTCCTCCCTCGCTTGGCGTACCTGCTCCCCCAGACTCTGGAGCAACGTGCTAGCCCCCGCGCTCTCAAGTAACGACAGCTGATTGTCCCTCGCCAGGAAATCGGATAAATCAGCTTTAAGAACCTCGCTATCCAGCTCAAAAGGTTCCTTTTTCCTAGGATCCCAGCGATAGAGTGGCCAATACCCAGAGTCTACAGCACGCTTCGTTTCCTTCAGCACCTCGAGCGCAGGGGTGTGGTCCGATTCCCCAAAAGGGAGGTAGGCGAGCACGACCGCCGGGCCTGGGAAGTCTGCTGCTTCCTGCAGCGCTTGCAGCACTTGGGCGTAGGAGGAGTATAAGGCGACACTGGCGACGTATACGTTCCCCCTGTTCAGAGCGTACAGCCCTGCGTCCTTTTTCCCTTTCCCCTGACCAGGGGGAGTCGTATCCAGAAGGAGGAGGTTGACGTCCGACCCGCTGGCAAGAAGATGGTGCAGCGCGCCTAGGCCGAGGTCGGACGCCCAGCTGTCGGAGTTGAGTATCCACCTAGCGCGGTACGGGAAGGCTTTGCGCAAAGACTGGAGGGCCTGGGCCTGCGGGTGGGAGTCGAGGGCAAGGAGCACTTGTTCCCCTAGCTGAGAGGAGGCAGGGGTGTGAAGCTCCTTGAGCCAGAGGGAGAGCAGCTTGTGTGCTTCGGAAGGGACGGAGCCGTCCCTCAGGAGAAGGGTGACAACCTTTTCCAGCTTCTTGCGCGCGTCGTCCCCCGCTTGAGCAACACCTAGCGCATACTCGGGGCTCGGCTCCCCTTTTGGAGGGTTGAGCAGCTCGAGCCTGTCCTGGAAGACGCTTTCCAGAAGCTGGACATACGCTAGTTCGTGCTTTGGCATCTTCCGCCTTTGGGCAGCAGGGGCCTGGCCGTAGAGCTTGTTGACCGTTCCGGTTGCCGGGGAGTGCGCGTCGGCCAGCAGCTCGGAGAGGAGTTTCTGGGAAAAAGGAGGCTGGCCGAGTGTTGCGCTGACGAGTTTCACGCTGGGGGGAAGGGACTGAGCGAGCGAGAGGTACAGCTGGCTCCATTTAGCTGCTCGGGAATAGGTCTGTTCTAGTACGACAACAGTGTCCACGCTCTCCGGAACCGCAGCTCTCAGCTTCGATGCCGGGAGAGGCTTGACAACGTTCAGCGCGACGAGGGCCGTGTCTTCCTGCGAAGACAGGTCGAGAAGGGAGTTGGAGTCGAGAGCGCCGAGGAGGATGATGAGCGTCTTTGGGCTAGAGGGGCCGTGGTAGGTGTATGCGGGGAGGGGGCGGCCTGTGAGAAGCAGGGTTTGGGCGGCGGAGAGGGAGTAGGCGGCGTAGAGCGCTGTGAGGGCTGGTTCGTCTGGTGCTGTGGGTTTCCCATTTGCGTTGGCGTGGCCGTTGGAGTGGCCGTTGAAGTGCCCATTAACGGCCTTGACTTCGGTGTTGATGAACTTGCTGATAACTTCATCGGACAAGTCGCCCCCTTGGTCGTCGTCCACCAGGTGTTCATGTACCAAATGAAGGACTGCCTTCCCCTCTGTTTTTGCGAGCCTTGCAGCTAAGAGGGCATGATCCCTCGTCTCCCTGGTAGTGGCTGAAAGGAGTACGAAAGGGAGTAAAGCAGCGAGAAGGATAGCGGATGATAAGTCTGAAGTGATGAAGTGGATTACTAGAGGAGAGTGGGAGTATTGAGTGATACGTGGAATGAGGGATATGATTGGATGAGAAGGGAGGAGGATGAGGGATGTTAGACCTTGTTGGGGGATGAGAGGGAGAGGGTCTGCTGCTTGTGGGAGGTGAATGACGTTGGTAGTGGTGCCTGGAGTGTTAAATGGGGTGATGAGCGTATGTGAAGTGAGCAATGAGATGGGAGTGATGATATGTGCCATGTTTACCACACAGTGCACAGAGTGAAATCCTCTCTTTGTGTACTAGTTATATCCCCACTTAATGCCATCACTCACGCAATACCGATTTCGCCATCGCACACATTCGCATATTCTCATTCACCCTGACGTGATTCGCTTCCGTACTTGTCTCCGTAGAATGACAAATCAACACCGACAATCCCTTACTCTTCCCCCATATCGCCACTCTCTCCCTCATCCCCCTCATCATGTCCTTCAGAGACGCATCCATAGTCGTCATAGACTGCTCACAATACACGCTCACAGCAGGCAGAGGTCTCGCAGACCTCCTCGCTCTCCCATCAATCCACCGCTCAACTCTCTCCCCAGACGACCCCGATCCATTCCACAAATCAGGGGACGTCCTCTCCTGGCCCTCTGCCTCTGCGATCTGGAAACGCCTCCTATTCACAGACCTAGGCGTCAGAAGGAGAGTTAACGAATCCCCCGTTTGCCTCTCCTTCCCTGCTGCGAGCTATGACACGTACGAACGCCTCACACAGCTCTTTTTCGAAAAGTTTAACGTGCCTGCTCTCTGTGTCGTGCAGAGACCGCTCGCACAGCTGTTTGCGGTCAACGTCACTACAGGGTTGGTGGTGGATGTCGGGGTCGAGGAGACGATCTGCACTCCTGTGGTGGACACCGTACTGCAGCACACGGGGGTATTCCGCACTCCAGTAGGAAGGAAAGACTGTGAAGTGTACCTCGCCCATCTTCTCTCTTCCTCTCAATCCATCACCCAGTCCCTCTCTCCCCCCGAATCCCCCCTCTCCCCCTCAACCCTCTGGAACCAACTGCTAGCGCTCGTCCGCCAACTAGTCCGCGACGGGCAAGTCCGCGCTCCCTCCGAAGACGGCGAGGAGGAAGACGAAGGCCTGACGGACGTCGCTGCTGCTCTCGTTGCTGGCAAAGAGCGAGAAGTGGTCGAAGCTGCTACGCGGAGGAAGGCGAATGACAAACGCACGCACGCTGCTGCGGATAGGGTGATGGAGACCCGTGAACGGGAGATCGCGGCTCTTGACCTCGTTACCGTGGAATTCGAGGGAAAGACAGTCAGGCTGGGCAAAGAGAGACACAGGTTTTGTGAGCCCCTGTTTGACCCCTCCGTGTTGCGGAGTACCGGGTTGAGGGAGAAAGCCGGCTGGACAGAACAGGAGTTGGAGGAGAAGGTGCTTAGTGTGCAGGAGGCGGCGCAGGAGGGGATGATGAAGCTCGAATGGGAGAAGAGGAAACTCGTATGGGAGGGAGTACTCGTCACGGGCGAGATGGGTAACGTGAAAGGTGAGCTCGCACTTCTCAGATTCTCAGCTCCTTCCAGCTCTCCCCATCCCTTGTTTCTTTGTTTCCTTGTTTGTTTTTTCCCTGCTAACCTGCACGGGTGCAGGACTCCCATCCTCCCTCCACTCCCATCTCCAGCCCTACATCCACGCGGAAGACGACTCCCCGAACCCTCCTCCCCCATCCAGGATCCTCAAGATACCCGAGTACTTTGCAGAGTATAGGGATAAAGGCGAGGGTTTGGCTGGGTTTTTGGGAGCGTGTATCGTCGCTAAGGTGTGTGAGGCTTCCTCTTTTCCAAGTGCCTAGCGCCTAGCGCCTGGACCCGGTGCCGGCCCCTGCATGACCTGATACTGACTGACTCCTGCGTAGGTGGCATTCGCAGACCCTTCGGGAAAGAACTACGTCAGTAAACTGGACTATAACGCCAAAGGACCCATATCTGTGCTCTCGAATTCGCCGTCTCTTTTCTAGCTGCTAGCTGTCTTCGCTTTGGCCATGAGCCGCTGATCGAGGAGTCTGCCACAGGTGTACAGGCGTGTAGGTGTGCAGGTGTACAGGTGTGCAGATGGACAAGGGACCTCCTGCAGCAGTTCTCTCCAGTACTAGTACTGTACATCCTCCTGTAATCTACCTATGCACGCATAGCAACCGAATCCCCTACTTCCTGCCCTTCCTCTTCCCCTTCCCCTGCTCCTTCTCCGGCGTCCCCTTCCCCTCCCCCCGCGTCATGCTCGTAGTCGGCATCGGGGGCAACCCCACACTCCCCCCCTCCAACCCCCCAATCTCCCCACTCTCGATCCTCCCCCTCGTCTCCAAAAAGATCATCAAATCCCTCAACTCCTCCTCCAACTCCCTCTCCCTCCTCTCCCAACCCTGCTTTTCCTTCGCGTGCTCTGCTTCCCTCCCTCGTAAAAGGGAGAGGTTGGCTAGGAGACCGGAGCTGACTGCGCGTTCTGCTAACAAGTCGGTTTGGAGGGTGCGCGCTAGGTGTTGGGCTTGAGTAGCTCGGTGTTGGGCTTTTTCCCGAGCGTGGATCTCTGCTTCTAGCTTTGCTCTTCCCTCTTCCCTCTCCTTCTCCCTCTCCTTCTTCTCCGCACCCTCACACTCTGCATCCCCCTCCCGTGCCCGCTCCGCCTCCCGCCCCTCATGCTGCATAACCTCTAGCAAACGACGCTCCACCTCCCCCAGCTTCTCCTCATACCACGTCCTCTGCGTCTCCAGCTGCGCACTCAACAGCAGGCCATACTCAATTCCCATCGCTTCCATCTTCTCAGCAACGAGTGCGTCTTCCTCCCCTGGTCCTTTCCCCTTCCCTTTCTCTTTCTCTTCCTCTTGTCCCATCCCTGCCCCTACCCCGCCCGCCCCAGCCCCGCCGGTAGAGCTACCCAACGGTCCAGGCCCAGCAAGCTCCACAACCTTCCCATCAACCCTATTCCTTATCAGCCTATGCACATACACATCCCCCTCATAGTCCCACACGCGCTGTGTCTCGACCTCCAACGCAAACGCGTGCCGCGTGTGTTGGTAGTGCGCTGCGGCGTGTGCTTGTGCGTACCGGCCACAACCGAGGTTGCCGCAGATTAGGCAGATCCAGAGGTCGGAAGTCGAGCTGCAGGACGCGCAGTGTGCTGTTCCTCCTTCAGCGGCATTGTCCTTGTCGTCGTCGCCGCCGTGGCCGCCGTGCCCTGAATGCGCGGGAAGAGGAGGCCGGCGTAAGTCCGCTTCTCGAAGCGGTTGTGAACTCGGCGCGGTGCTCGCTCTGCATACCGGGCACCGGCTGTCCGGCCACCTAGAGAGACAGGAACAGTGGAACGTATGCGTGCAAGGGACTGTGATGAGCCCCGTCAGGGCCGAGTCCATCCTATCCAGGCATACTGGGCATGTGGGGAGCTCGAGCCCCGTCAGCACCTGACGCGGGGCTGGGGGATGAGCTTCCGGTGGTTGGGAAGAAGGTGTAGGTGTAACGAGGACACTGTCTATCGTTAGGATCTTGCATATCTCTGGGGATGCGTCCTGGAACGGACGGCCATTGTGTGCCGCTGTGAACTCGTCTGCTGCGAGCACCGCGTCTGGCGAAGGGCGGAATTTGAGTAGCACGAGCGAGCGGTCGGGGAACGAGTCCCGTAGAACGCGGATATGGGCTAGGCTGTTGGTGTGCGGGGGTAGGAGGGGGGAGAGGAAGTCCAGCAGATCTGAGGGAGTGAAGTACGCGGGCAGGGCGAGGATGCCTAGGAGTGGACCGTCTGACGGGTCATCGGATGGTAGAGGAGGAGCAGTGGGATGCCGAAAGAGATGCAGCGTCCCTGATGGAAGGGTCGTGCTCCCCGACTCGGACTCGACGGCGGTCGTCAAAGTGAACGTCTTCTCCCGGTCGGGCATGAGGTCGTACCAGTCGATATGGATAGGTCCGTACCTCCTATCTTTCTGTGATCTAAGTGTACTCGTAGATGGAGTAACAGAAGGTGCGGCGGAAGGCGCACGACGACGGTGCTTTAGCTTTTGTTTTCCTTGCACCTCCCAGCCTGGTTCGAGGTGTGTGATATCCTCGTGCCTTGGAAGACGGTCGAATATGTTCTGAGGTGTGTAAGTGCTGCTAGTTGCAGTCGCGGTGTCGAGTTCTAACCAGACGGTGTACTTTGCAGATGAAGGAGAAGTGGACATTGAGCGTCGTGTGAGAGAGAGATGACTCTTTCCAAGGCAGCGATGGGCGCTAACTTGTGCTTACTTCAGCAAGGGGGAGAGGCACGTGATTCTCTTTATTTGGTATGCGCATTTCCTTTGGGGCTGAATTCGTTGATCACTATATTTCAGGGTCGCGTTCGCCGGGACCGAGTGGAAAGACTCGCAACCGCATCTGCAGGGGTACATAACCCACCTCCCTTCCCTTCCCCCTTCCCCTCCTCCCCCCTCCCTCCTGCACAGACAGGATGAAGCCAGCAACTATCATCCCCTCGTCAGGCGTAGAGCATCCCACTGACCTCACACGATGGAGACTCAAGATTGGGGATGGCTCACATGGCAGGCACACATGGGAGTATCTTCGTACAGACGAGGAATGCGCAAACTGGCCACAGAACGAGGTGGATAAGTACTGGCTAGGACTTCCAATGGTATGCTCTCTCTCTCCCCGTCCTGCATCCTGCTGAGTACTCGCAGGGCCTCCCGGAGTCACCCCCAGCGGAAACGCCTATCGATGCCGCCCGCAAAGGGTTCTCATTCTACAAGCACCTCCAGTCCCCGGACGGACACTGGGCAGGCGAGTACGGCGGGCCGATGTTCCTCATCCCTGGGCTGGTGATCGGCACGTACGTCACTGGCCAGGACTTCAAAGACGAGGAGAAGATAGAGCTTATCCGGTACCTTTTCAACACTGCGCATGCGGAGGACGGCGGCTGGGGCCTGCACGTCGAGCATCATTCGACCTGCTTTGGCACTGTGATGAACTACGTTGCCCTCCGCCTCCTGGGTGTGCCGCCCGAGCACCCAGTGTGCGTCAAGGCTAGGGGGACGATGCATTCTTTTGGCGGGGCGGCGGCTTTGCCCCAGTGGGGAAAATGGTGGCTTTGCCTGCTGAACTGCTACGATTGGGCAGGGTGTATCGCCATCCCTGCCGAGCTCTGGTGCGCGCTTTGACCTTGATGCATGATGCTGGCTGACTCGTGTGTGGGAAGGCTCTTCCCCCAGTTCCTGCCCATTCATCCCTGGAGATGGTGGATCCATACAAGGAACGTGTATATCCCCATGGGATTCCTGTTTGCTCGCAAATGGCAGGCTCCAGAAGATCCGCTCATCTTACAGCTGCGCGAGGTATGTTGTCCCGGCACCTTACCTCACATCAGAGTGGTTAACAACGGAGCAGGAAATCTATACCACCGACTACGATCACATCGACTGGCCCGCACAGCAGTTCAATGTCGCCCCCGTCGATCTGTATTTCCCGCATACGACCCTCCTCCACGCACTAGGCGCAGTGACCCATGCCTGGGAACATTGTTTCATCCCTTTCATCCGCAGGCGGGCAATGGAGTACACCTACCAGCTCGTAGTGCAAGAAGACGAGAACACGCAGTGTCAAGACCTCGGCCCGGTGAACAAGATGCTGAACCAGATCGTGCGGTTCGTTGTTGATGGGCCTGAGAGCTCGGCTTTCCGTCTTCATGTGGAGAAATGCAGGGACTTTATGTGGATGACCGGGGCTGGGATGCTCATGACTGGCACGAACGGTTCCCAGCTATGGGACATCGCCTTCATCTGCCAGGCGGTCGTCGAGACCGGCCTGGGCAAGGAGCCAGGGAACGAGAAGGCGACTGTGGGTGCGCTGAAGTGGTTGGACGGTGCGCAGATGCGCGAAAACCCCAAGCATATGCAGGAAGCGTTCAGGCACCAGACGAAGGGCGCGTGGCCTTTCTCGACCCCGGAACAGGGGTATACCGTCAGTGACTGTACGGGTGAGGGGCTCAAGGCTGTCATCTATCTGCAAAATCATCTCGAGTGCGTTCATCCATCGCTCGCTTACCTCGCTAACTCATGTTCGGCAGCTACACCCCCAAGCTCGTCTCTGAGCGCAGAATGTGCGATGCAATCGACGTGATCCTCTCCCTGCAAAACCCCGACGGCGGGTGCGCGTCATACGAGCCGATCCGTGGTCCTCGTTGGCTGGAATGGATCAACCCAGCCGAGGTCTTCGGAAACATCATGATCGAGTACAACTATCCCGAGTGCACGACGAGTGCTCTTACCGCCTTGAGCATATTTACGAATGAATATCCCCAGTATCGGGCTGAGGACATCAGGTGCGTTCCTTTGTCCGTATGTGCGGCTCGATCTCGGAGGATTGCCTCACTCCGATGATATCGGAGCGGCGAACCTTCGTTGCGCCCGGCCCTCCACTCGGTGCCGAGCCCGAGTGCGATCTGATGTGACTACAGAAAATTCAAGTCCAAGGCGATCCAATGGTTGCACACTTCTCAGCACAAAGACGGAACATGGTTCGGCTCATGGGGCATTTGTTTCACCTACGCGACGATGTTCGCGCTCGAGTCACTCTCTCTTGCCGGGGAGACATACGGGAACAGCCCGGCGGTGCGGAAGGCGTGCGATTTTCTAGTCAGCAAACAGATGCCCGACGGCGGCTGGGGAGAAAGCTACAAGGCGTGCGAAACTGGTGAATGGGTAGATCATGCCCAGTCCCAGGTGGTCAACACTTCCTGGGCCACGCTGGCGTTGGTTTACGCCCAATATCCGCACCGCCTACCCATTGAACGTGCTGTGAAGCTCGTAATATCTAGGCAACTGCCGGTCAGTTCATCTTCCATTAACAGTGCTGACTGAGAGACTTACGGCATCTTATCTTTCTCGGTTCCAGGATGGATCGTGGAAGCAGGAAGCTATCGAAGGCGTGTTCAACAAAAACTGCGCGATCGCGTACCCCAATTTCAAGTTCTCATTCACGATATGGATGTTAGGCAGAGCGGACAAGTACTTGCAAGCACTTTCATGAATATGATACTGTTTCCATTCCATCCTCGTCGCAATGCCCATTTTGGTTATCTAAACCATCAGATCAGATCACCATGACCTTTACAACAGATGCTACTTAGTCCGTAATCTACTACAAGAGTCCATCAAGTTCAGATACCACAAAAAATCATAGAGAAGCGAGAACGAAGGCTGAGGAATCAGTCCATAAGTTAGTCCGTGCATAATAGTACAGGTGTGAACATGACGTGGTGTAATTGTGCGATCGCACCCGTGCTGTAAAGTAGTCCGACCGAGAACACAAGCATATGATTAACCGTGCCCGCAATGAGGAGAGTGAAACGAAAGTCAAAGACCGGCTCGAGATCAAGCTTCTTGACGCCCAAACGTGATGTAGTTTTCCCAAGAAGTAACCTCGACCGAAGGAGTGGGGGTGAACGAGAAAGCAGACTGCTGCTGAGGGCTTATCTGTCCGTACGAGTCCAGGTACGGCTGCTGGACAGACAAGTCACTACGAGTTGTATATGGCTCCATGTTGTAAGTCTGCTGGTTGAAAGTGGACATGGCGGTCGGCTGGGATTGCATGTTGTTGAAGCTCTGCAAGTATTCGAGAAGAGACGGGTGCGCGTTCGTGAATGGCCGAGGGTTGGGCTGGGGCGGTTGAACGATGCTTGACCAGTCAAGGGCATCAATGTTGACCAGAGGGTTTCCGTTTAGCCTCAAAGGTCCATCACGGGAGCGAGGCGGAGATGTTCGATCAAGCCGTGTGCGGTAGCCCAGCAATGCACATTCGTCCGGAGACTCTTTCTTGATGGTAGGCCCCGGAGTGTTGAGCTCCTGCTCATCGTCGGACGACATGTCCTGAACGAGACCAGGGTCCGCCATGAAGCCAGCTTCAGCCATCGCGCGCACGGCCTTCGCGTGGAGACGCTGGAGGAGAGGCTGTGATACGCCCAGGTTAGCTCTGATGCGGAACGGAGGCTAAAACGACTTACCAGGCCCTGGGCAACACGACTCTGAGGCTCAGCCGCAGCAAAGAAATCGCATGCTGCTGTAAGATCACGGAAGGCAGAAGGGGCAAGCGCACAACGCGGTGACCGGATACAGATGGTGGCAAGGACAACAGCGGCAGAGAAGGCATGGAACCTGTGCAGCAAGAGCATGTCAGCATGGGAAATAATTCGATGTCCGAGGACATCGGACGCACCAGTAGACAGAAAGACGCTTCACTAGCGCAGGTTGCAGCAGCGCAAGGTCAAGCACAGCACGGATGATAGTGCAGCTAGAACGGTGGGTTGCGACAAAACTGGGTGAGAAGCGAGTCGCGGTAGGGTCCGACGGATTCTCGACAATCGCCCGCGTAAAGCAGCCACGATGAAGGTACAACAGCGCCTCATTCAGGAAACAGGTGATCACTTGTCTCTGAAGTAGGGTCGTAACATCTTCATCCACTGGGTGGTGTCCATCTTCAGGCTCGCGCAAATATTCAGGCACGAGGGTCTTCTGGAAATCACGAATGTCGCGGTCGAGAGCGAGAATCGTATCGTAGCTAGGGGGAGTAACACAAAAGACCTCGTCGATGATCCGCATGACTTTGTCACAGAGGAAATACTTGATTGTATGGACTGCAAGTGGCTGTGAGTCTCAACCCTGACAGCCGGAAATGCAAAATTAGTACGCACATCCAAATCCGACACTGCCATCCGGGTTCATCCGAGCGGTAGGATCGTTCGGTAGCGCACAATCGATGTGCGAACGATGCATCGAGTAGGGCCTACCAAAGCAAAGAGCTGTGTAGACTTCATGGGTGTGGATCTCCCAGAAGACCTTGCGGCGCATCTCGAGCTCCTCGGGCGGGAAGTCCCATCGAGCAGCATCACGATGCAGACCCATACTCTGAGCAAGCTTGATGAGGACACCGAGTTGTGCCCAGCCAGTTTCCGCGTCTGTCTTGCGTGGCGAGTTCGAGACGTAGTGCGTCATGAGCTGGACGGCCTGAATCGCGGGCAGGGTGGTATTGGAATATGCACCTCCGTCGCAACGCAGGCATTCCTGGGCAACTTCGTAGAACTGATCCGCTTGTGGGTTGTGAAGCGGACGAGACAGGTCGAAGAGTGCCCCCACAGCAAGAATCATGAAGAGCAAAGAAAGACGGTGTGCCGAAGGTGTAGTATTTCCGTAGAAAGTCGGCACAAAAATCTCGTTCTCGAACTGCTGCTGGTTCACCACGTCATATCTAGACATCTGGATTAAAAACTTTCTATCTGCGCATAACAGAAACGGCTTACAGCCACGCCGCGTGCTGGAAGAAGTTGTTGCAGAGCGCGCGAGCTTCGTCGACTGGTGGAAGGTATGCGCAAAGTTGTTGCTTGCTCTGAGTTGGGCCGGTGCCAGCAAAGAGGCTCAAACTCGTTGACACTGGGGAAGGTAGGGATGATGGAGAGAAAGGAGATCCAGCCTCCTCCGGTGCGAAGAACTCACTACCGGCGCCATTGCCGAAGTACTTGTAATGACCATCATCGCCCACGGCGAGGGTTCCAATATTATCGATGAGATCTTCTGGATGAGAGTGCATGCTGCCAGGACTCGAGCTGCCAGCCGTCCCGGAGGAGTTGCCTGCTGACGATGCATGAGGGGAGGTCTCCACGGGGCTCGTCCGATATGGATATAGACTAGCTTTGAGGAGGGGGTGACCTGGAACTGTCTTTTGAAGAGCCTCCTCTAGGGCGTCGATGCGATCATGCAGCTCCTCGGTGTTCGCAAGAATAAATCTGGCAAAATTATAAGTATCTAATTTAGCTTGCCGCACAATAAGAATATTCTTTCACCTGTTCCCCTTGCCAGGAACAAGGTGTCCATCTGGACAGATTTGTGCACATCCACGCTTCTTGCACTGTGCGGCGTGGTGAGCATTGGCTCCGTGGGAGCAAGGAACGCGCGACTCACCTGTCCACAAGGCCAAACCCGATCGCATTTGAGCTTCAATCTAAATCGCGATCCTTTACTATCTGCATCTGCATACATGGACAAATCACTTACCGACGACATTCTGCGCAAGATAAAGCAGGTCGTCTACGGGCTTTCTCAACGGCAGCGTGACCATTGGTAGTTAATGTTTTGATTGGTGAGCGCGGGAAGAGAGGATGAGTGGTCATTGCGATATGATGTCAGGTGTATCCCCAAGTCCACTGTATGTTGGGTGCTGAATGAATTCTTGGTTAGTGTGGACTGGCTGAGGTGGGAGAAGGTGGGATCTTGATTGAGGGGGTGGGTGTAGTCAGAAAGTGCGGGATCAGGTGAATGCAAGGGTGTGCCGGGCTATTATACCAAACCAGAGGGCAGGTGAAAAGTTGCTTCTCTGTGTTTGGGACCCCTGGGAAGGACAGGGCGGTTGGATCCGGTACAGTCCAGATGGAGATGGAGAGCGTTGAGAGGTAAGAAGAGTGAGAAGGGGTCCAAAAGGCGCTGAGGGGGAAGTCGGGGAGGTGAGAGAGGGAAGAAAGAGAAATGGGATTGCGTTATGGCGGGTTGATTGGCACGGCTCGAAGACGACCGGCCGCCCGAGAATAGGGCTGCCAAGGAAGAGACCGTGAAATATTATTTGGGAAAATCTCAGATGCGCGTAACGTACCGCTTTGTGGTTACCCTCCCGCCCACGAGCTGTAAACTCTGCCGCCCAAAGTCACCTCCGATTCGAACGGACTTTGGACATTAGGGCAACCTTAGGAAGGCAAAAACGGTCACACACTTGCACAGCGCTCGTGGGCGAGCGCGTGGGCACGGGGTCTGAGGGGCAGTGCACATTCTGGGGCAGTGTTGGATCTCTTGTGTCCACGCCTCTCTCTTTTCTGCTTCCGCTTTTTTTGCTCTCGTGCTCTTTATACCTCCGTTATCCCATGCGCCGAAGTGCGGGCCGACAGAACCCTTGCGGATCTGCGGTGCTTCCCCTGTCAAAATGTACTTCATCGGTGCCACTCTCTCCACAGCTAGAAACCATCACTCCAGACCGTATTCATTTTAAACATGACTGCGGTTTCACTTCCTAGAATTGTGAGGGTTCGAAGAAGAACACACCCTACAATGTCTATCCCACATGACACCTCCGCCCTTTCCCAGATGATCCGCTTTCGGACGAGCGCACGATTACGGCTTTGACCAACGATAACGCTTGTCAGCGCACGGGGGAGTGCCCAGCGCCCTAGATTCCGGTTACCAACTTCTTCGACCTGCAAATTTGGGTTCTCCTCAACAACCGTCAAGTTACCGACGCTTATTCACGCACATTTGCCGGGCACAGTCCTCCATGGTCTGGGCTGCGGGTTGCGGGGCGGAAGTGTTATCGGTTGGATTCACCCATTCTCGCGATGAAAGCTCCGCTCCCCCGCCACGGTACAGGGTGTCCGGTGTGGACACCTATGACCGAATGCTGTTGCTCTTTAAGACATACCTTCCGCGGTGCCTTCGCTGGCGTTTGGATGTTGGACATTCCCCAGGCACAATGCCAAACTTTCACAAGGGGAAGCCATCATGATGCGATCATTGTAGAACATAGCACTGGCTTCATTGTCTTATCCTAACTGCATTTGCACGTGGTCCTGTCTTGCCAGCACGCACTTCGTTCGCCTACTTCCCCGAAGTTCCTCCCTTAAGCTTCCTGCCGAGCAATGATCCAGTTCTTGTCTTTTACCATCGCTCGTTGTATCCAGAAAGGCGATCACGATATGTCAGCTCGGATGTCGCTCCCGAGCAGATGGCGAGTAGAAATTTTGTGGGACATGGCTGTCTTGCTCAGCAGGCTGTTCGCACGTTGTTCGACACGGAGGCAAGTCGCGTCCAGTGACAAACGCGACCTTGGGTGGTCTTGACGCACCGTTGGACGTGCAACAGCGCATACCCTTGCCATTATACTGTACCTCACCCTACCTGTCATAGATCACAATGGCCACAGGAGACTTTGCCGACCGCCCCTTGCACAAGCTGTGCTTGTTCGACGTCGATGGCACCCTTACCCCGGCTCGTCAAGGGGTATCACCCGGGATGCTCGAGGTCCTGAAGGAGGTTCGCAAAAAGGCGGTCATCGGCTTCGTCGGCGGCTCGGACCTCGCCAAGATCTCGGAGCAGCTTGTACCGGATGGCAAAGGGAAAGGTACGCCCGCGCAAGGCAAGATGAACGATGCACGCCTGACCAAATATCCAGTGGTCGAAAACTTCGACTATGGTTTCGCCGAGAACGGGCTCACCGCTTACAAGCTTGGGAAGGCACTCCCTTCGAACTCCTTCATCAAGCAGGTCGGCGAGGAACGGTACAAAAAGTTGGCCAACTTCATTTTGCGCTACCTTGCGGATGTGGATATTCCAGTCAAGCGGTGAGTAAGCGCCTGAATGTCGACATACCCGGTCATTCAACTTCTTAATCCAAGCGGCACATTCATCGAGTTTCGAAATGGGATGATCAATGTCAGTCCCATCGGGAGGAACGCTACGTGCGTACCCGATCTCACTGCGTCACGAGCTGTTTCATTCACTAACCCGCTCGATTGTATAACAGGGTGCAAGAGCGAAACGAGTTTGAAACCTACGATAAGGTACACGGCGTGCGCACCGCGATGGTGAAAGTATTGCAGGAGAACTTCGCCGACTACGGCCTTACGTACTCTATCGGCGGGCAAATATCCTTTGACGTCTTCCCGCGCGGGTGGGATAAGACCTATGCTCTAGGCCTCGTCGCCGACGAACACTTCGACGAGATTCACTTCTTCGGTGACAAGACATACAAGGTAGGCTCCCCCTGATCTCATCAAGCACATCTCTGCTAAATGATGACGATGTCACAGGGCGGGAACGATTATGAGATCTATTCAGATCCCCGCACGATCGGCCATTCGGTGACCAACCCCGCCGACACCATGAGAATCCTCAAGGAGCTCTTCTCTCTTTAACCAGCACTCTTCCGGAAGCCGGACCGGCGATCATCCGGTGTACAACCTGAATTAGAACGCACAAGCATTTCAAAGACTGTTTGGACAGTTTTGACTGTTGGCCCCTGACTGCTCATAGACCTCCAACACATGCGTAGTACTTGGAACGCCATAGGCACCCACACCTAGGCACCCGAATTCTACCGTGTATGTGTACAGATACTGACTGTGTTGTTTCCGACACCTGCCATCCGAGAGAATACTGGAAGCCGTGCTGCCGCCATCCGCCAAGGGTGACACCCTGACAGTTCAAGCATTCCAATGCAGGTCTAGACTGCGGGCGGAATGCCTACTTTGGAAGATGCCCAGCCATGAAAGGAAGCATGAATGAAAAGTGCTAATGCAAGTTGTCGAATCACCTGATTTTCTACAACTTGATACTTTGCAATATACCTAACTGTTCAACCAGAGACAATGTCGGCTGATGTTAAGCCCACCGGCAGTAATTTGAACAACAACCGTCACCTGAGTTGAAGACTCCACCACGATGACAAGAACTTGGATCTCAGCCTCATAGCTATTTGCTGCTTCTACTGTGTAGTACTGTACTCGGCACGACCTTCCAAGGTCTCATTTCTCCGTCATAGGCGCCAAGCACCAACTCCGGTATTTCCCATCGGTGCCAATGCTCAGATACTGCAAGTTTGCCTTGGGTGCCAGCCATTCGTCTTCTGGCCGGCTGATTGGGAAATTGGGAAACAACAAGTTATAACTTCACTTCATGTAACAGAGACCCGTACGTAGGACCCGAAATGTCGTAGCTGCCTGAAGAGAGAGGCATACAACGCGCGACGCGACTGAAATGACGCGTACGCGCATCGACGTCAACTGGGATGTGCAGTGAAAGTGATTATGCAAGTACAAGGGTTAGGTCATGTACACGCTGCGTACGATGGCATCGATTAATGTTACCGTGAGAATCGGAGTCGTGGCCGAAGTTGGGCACGATGTCGTGGCGCGAACAGGCTCCACGTATAGTCGCGTTCGAACCTAACGACGCGACGTTCCATAGCCCAACGCGGCGCGCATATATACCACTGACTGCTCACACCCCTCAGCATAACCCGACTTGCTTCTATCGCGTTACAATGCCTGGCACTGGTGCATTCTCCGACCGGCCCCAGCACAAGCTCTACCTGTTCGACGTGGATGATACGCTTGGGCCACCTCGTCGGCCCGTACCGACAGAGATGCTTGAGGTACTGAAGGCAGCTCGCAAACAGGCAGTCATTGGCTTTGTAGGGGGATCCGACTTTGCCAAGATCTCGGAGCAGCTTGTACCAGACGGCAAGGGCAACGGTACGTGCAGACCACAGAAAAGCCCGTAGAAGTGCCTGACGGAGAGTTGCACCAGTGCTGGACAATTTCGATTATGGTTTCGCTGAGAATGGACTGGTTGCGTACAAGCTCGGCAAACCGCTAGGCACCAATTCCTTCATCAAGCAGGTCGGCGAGGAGCCCTACAAAAAACTGGTCAACTTCATCTTGCGGTACCTGTCAGAAATTGATATTCCTATCAAACGGTGAGTAAGCCCCAACAGATCGCCGGGTTCAGCTTTCTAAAACCATTTTACAAGGGGTACGTTCGTGGAGTTTCGTAACGGCATGATCAACGTCAGTCCTATTGGAAGAAATGCGACGTGAGCGCTTAATGCGCGTATTGAGGCATCATCGCTAACCTGTGTGCAGCGTGCAGGAACGTATTGATTTTCAGGCTTACGACAAGGTGCACGGTGTCCGTGAGGCGATGGTGAATGTGTTGCGGGAGAAGTTCGCCGATTACGGGCTCACATTCTCTATTGGCGGGCAAATCTCCTTCGATGTATTCCCGAATGGATGGGACAAGAGATATGCTCTTCGTCATGTGGAGGACGAGCACTTTGACGAGATCCACTTTTTCGGAGACAAGACATACAAGGTGCGCATGCTTCACCTCGTGTCTGTTCTTGCGGTCGCTGAGCAATGCACATGCAGGGCGGCAATGACCATGAGATTTACGCCGACCCACGTACAATTGGCCACGCAGTGACTGGACCTGCGGATACCCTCAACCAGTTGAAAGAGATCTTTTCCCTCTAGGGAAACTTAGGACAGTGCCGCCAACACATCAAGTGCATTTTGGCATTGGTATGCAGAGGAAGCCGTGTTGATGGTGACGTGCATACCCACGGACAACGATAGCGATTGGCAGCGTGGACTAGCATGGACTCATTTTAAATAGTGAACGGAGTCGCGTGTAACATAGTGATGCATATCCTCGCAATGCCTACGTGTGATACTACAATGCAAAGACGCTGAACTCCCAAGAGGCAAACGTCTGCTCATGCCGCACCACCCTCACCCGCAATTGTGAGCAGGTCACTGTCACCCTGGTCGGAGATCGTCATCACACTGTATTATCATGAGCATTCGCAGAGAAGAGAGCAGTAGAACACGTTGCATACCCGACACGGAACAGCTTCCCGGCTGCAGTACCCAGTGCCACGTTCGAACCAGCAAAGTGGTGAACGGCAGTTTTTGAGAGCATGGCGTAGTACTCAATCTCAGACTTTCGTAACGGCGGGCAGTTACCGGCAATCAGGATGAGCTTGGCTACAAGAAGTGTCAGCGGGGCCTTCTCAGCTATTGCTCCAGCCCCAAGGAGAGCAGAGGGTATCAGAACTCACCCTTGCCACTGCGCATCTGCTTGAGAGCGGACTTGTACCCCAACGTGTACTTGCCCGACTTGACGACGAGGGCGAGACGGGAGGCGATGGACTCCGTCGATTTTGCGGACTTGGACTTCTTGGTGGGGGCCATGGGAGAGCTGATGAATGAATGAGCAACGGACTAGTGCATTTGACTGCACTTACGGTGTTCTTGCCGGCGGACGATGCTGGTAAAAGTCAGGGTGCACAAGATCGACGAAGGGATAGCAGTTTTGAAACTGTACAGTTTTGTAAACACAGCCACTGCTTTAGTGGTATTCACATGACTACCCGTCCACCCTGCGCATCCTATCTTTCCAACCAATATATTCAGACAAAATCGCTCTTTGTACTTTATTGATAATATGAGAACCCCTGTCATAGGAAAGATTTTTTTATGTACGCGTTGTTTCTCCTCTGGACGCCGAGGCGACCTGAAGTGGAGAAACTTGCCTTGCTCTTTGTTGCGCATTATTCTCTTGTTTCCAGTTGACAGATGTGCCAAAATCCTCAGACGAACTGTATACAGTTCCGCAGGTGCACGACTCATACTCAAGTCCGCTCACTTTAAAATTAATGTCGATGTTCTATGGTCCTTCAGAAGGAAACAAATCTCGTCAGTAGCTTCCTAGATAGCTGGCACAAGGTGCATCGCAGCCCTAATGTAACACCTTTGATTATGTAACCGACAACAAAATATCATCAACCAAGGTGTTGACGTTGCGAAGAATGATCGCGTTCTCTCGAACACGTGTTCGGCGCGAGTGGGCACAGCCGCTCATTTGCCTCATTCGCTTCCGGTATGCACGCGGCCATATCGCTCTCTAGGACCTTCCCCAACCGGCTCTCCATCTCGTCTCGTCCGTATACTTCATATCGTTCGCCTCTGTCACACTCATAGTTGCAACGACGATGGAATCACCAACAAGATCTGGTGGGCGCATGAAGCGAAAGCTATCCAATGATCAGGAAAGGGACGATGAAGCCAACCGTCCAACAGCCGGAATGAAGCGGCCTCGTGATGGTTCGCTGGAGAGGCCACCGTCTCTCCGCGACGCTCCCGGCGCTTTAGACGCGGACAGCGGCAGTTCAGCTGGATCTCCAGTCTCTTTGAGAGCAAAAGATAACGAACCTCATGCGAAAAGTCACGCGACTGAAGTAGGAAAAACTGGTGACGAAACCACCAGTGGCATCCCCCAGGAAGTGGCGGCGCCTCCTGTACATGAAGCAGAAGACCAGAATGCTGCGTCCGAGGCAACTGCTGAAGGCGCCAAGAATGAGAAGGAAGCTGTGGTAGTTAATGACACATCTATCAAACACGATGAACATACCCCAATGGACACGGCTCCAGTGGCATCTGGGCGCAATCCTGACGCTGCCACCAGCTCCGTTTCCAGCCCTTCTAAAACCGGAAAGCCGTCTGCCCCTACCGTTGAAGAGGAGAAATCAGCTACCAAGCCCTTTGTTGTGAGTGGTGAACGACCATGCGTATTTCAGCACGTTAACTGTGCTCTCAGAATGGCTTTGCCGCATGGAAGCAGGGAGGCCTTGGCAAGTTCACGCCTTACTCGTTCGGTGCCTCTCCCACAAGTCCTCCGTCTGCGTTCGGTGGTGCTGGTGTCACCGCCCTTGGAAGTACATCTACGCACGCCTTCGAGAGTGGATCATCAACGAGCGTCTTCACATCTCCCCCAATGTCTCCACCACCCTCCACCGATATCAATCCGCTAGCAGGAAAGATTTCTACGACGTCAAAGGTAAACCATCGTACGTTCACCGTCATGCATGACCCTTACTTTATTATGCAGAATGGCTTTGAGGGGTTTGCAGCCAGAAATCCTTTGAACTTCTTGGCAAAAAGTCCCATGGGCGAGAACATTGACACGCTGCCCAAGATCAATGCTTTCAAAGGCTTCGCACCACGCAGCTTTGGTGCAACATCAGGACTACCACCATCCGGTGGAAGTAATAGCATTTTCGGCCAACCAAATGCGTCACCTTTTTACGACAGCTCGGTGACGCCTCATGAGAACGTACTGCCGTCAGCGTTAAGCCCGCCTGCCGATCCGTTTAGCTACGTGCCGGAGAAGGAGGCGGACGTGTTCGGGCGCAAACGTGAGGGTACCCCTCAACCGGAACCCACACTCAAAGGCGATCGTACGTGTTCAGTGCCCTAGAGCTGCTTGATCGTCTTATAGTTCTAACCCTAGGCATTGTTGGCGAGGGGGAAGAAGACGAGGATACAATAGTCAAAGGGCGCGCTGCTCTATTCTATAAGGTCAAAGACAACCCATTCCAGAAGCGCGGCGCTGGCTGGGTGAAGCTGAATGTGAACCGTTATGATGGAAGGGCTCGTCTGAGTGAGTATTCTAGTACGCCCTCTGGATGTTCTAATCTGGAAATAGTCATGCGCCTTGATGGAACTTTGAGAGTTGCCATGAATGAAGGCTTGTATCGCGACCAGTCATTTATTCCAGACAATGGAGGTCAGATTATTAGATTTGGGGTCATTGATAGCGACGGGGAGCAAACACACTATGCGCTGAAGGTACTCTTTCAATAAACGAATTGAGGTCAGGCACTGACCGCTGGTTTAGCTCGGGAATACTGAAAGTGGTCAAAATTTCCTTGATCACATTCATAACGTGCTTCCTCGACAAGCTTCCAAGTTCTCTGCAACGGCCGCCGTTACCTCCAAAGACGCTCACGCAGACCTCCCAACGAAGAATGGCACCAAAGTGGCGACTGAAGCCGCCAACGTTTCCCAGCCCGATGCCGAGGCACCCGTAGAAGACAGCTCTAGCTCGGAAGCGGATGAAGGTGGCCAAGAAGAGGAGGACAAGGAGGACGAGGATGAAGAGGGGGAGCCTTCAACAGAACCTACCAAACCATCCGCAGACGACAGCGATGAGGACAGTGCAGGAGCAAGCGGTTCCGATGATGTTGCTGAAGAGAGCGACAAGGCTGATGCCGCTGAGGAAGACAAACCTGATGCTGGCGACGAGGATAACGACAGTTCCGAAGGCCGCGACAAGCCTGAGGCGGACGTGGCTGGATCGGAGGATGCTGTATTGCAGGACAAGGCAGCAACCTCGCATTCTCGTCGAGCGTCATCCCCGAAGAGGAAGCATGATGAAATCGAGGACCCAGATGAGCTTGTCGAGAAGGAAGCTGTCACGAAGGAGATGAAGCGCATGCGTGTGAATGAGCCGGACCGATCTGATGCTGCAGCCCAAGCAGTCAAGTTAGTGACGCCCACGGACGAGCTTACAGAGGAAAAGGAGGTAGAGGACGCCACGGCTCAGCAGGAGGAAGTCGCCGACAAGACGACGACTGACACTGCTAAGGACAAGGTCGAGGCTGGGGACAAGGCGTCCGCCTGACTTTGTTCGCACGTACCTGCATCATGATTCCACACGTCTTTAAGACGCATCTTCTCATGGCATGTTTATCTTGTAGCGCGTAGCACTGTACCCATAAATCTGATTGTCCGCACATTTCCAGTAATGCTCTGGTTTTAACCGAACCGTGTTCGAAGTCACTTCCAATACTACTGTCCGTTTCCCCATCGGTCCATGCTACAGCACGTTTCCTGAGATAACAATCTGGCTTCCTGTAGACGTCATAGGGCCAACATCATAGGTCCAGAGCTCAACAACCACCGATTCTCTATCAGACAACAGTTCGATAAGGTCGCACAGAAGTGTGAACGACGCTGCTTGGCAGGGCATACCGCATGGAACCACAGGTTCCGACAACCTGATCACTTTCCGGTTTTTGTTTTCTCATTTCCTCACGGTGCCAGTTGTCCTGAGGTCATTGCCCTGCCAAGAATGGAGCTTGGGAGGTATCCTTAGCAACGGGAAGTAATAAGGAGCATACACTGAGCAACTGGTATGAGACTCTATTGAACGACATTCGCTGGATCTGAAAAAGCTGAGTGTGTGCATGGACAACTGAGTTCTTTCAGTGGAGCGCTGTGGGAGACTTTGGAACAATTGGATGCGAAGAATTACGATAAGACGGTGGAGACGACGGGGCCACTTCCTGCCGTTCGATAGAAGCCAATACGCGTCATCCGAACATACCGCGTTTCAGGACGGAGCAAGGCCATTCACGGATTGGTACTAAAATTGAACCAGACGAATTGGAAATGCACATATTGGGCTGTTTTGGGGTTCGTTGGATGCTGATGTTCGTGGAGCGATTGATAGGTCTCAGTTAATCGGATGCATGAGAGGTATATAGAACAGATTAGAACGTCTTATCGTAAAACCGTAGGAGAGGAGAGGATGTCCTGAAGAAAAGAAAGATGCAAGGTAGTCGGAGATTTACTGAGTTAAGCTTCGTCGCTTTCTTTTTCGGCCGCTTCTGTTGGTGGAGCTCTGCGCCGGAGAGTTGGATGATCTTCACCTGGCGACGATATCAACACAGGGTTATTGTCAGATGCACCCTGGTCCGGCGGAGTGGAGAGGGGCTCGCCCTCGTCGGCGCTTACGCTCGGCACGTATCCTTGCTCGGCACCCGGGATCGGGGTACCGTGTTGACCATCCGCCGGTGCACGTTTTTCCTCTACTTTGTTGTAGTAGAGTTGATCGTACTTATCTCTCGCCTTCTCTCTGAGCCTCGCCTTATGTTCGCGGCGGGCTTTGTCCTGTGTTCTGCGTTTTTCGATCCGATCTTGCCAGATAACGAACAAGATACCCTCCGAGGCGGCTACGACGAGACCAGCGAAAAGCGCCAGGAGAGCTCGCTGTTGATCGGAAATAGAAAAATATTCGTTATCAACGCTTTGTTCGCCCCCTGCGAAGGATCTGCTCACCCATTCCTCTCCCCAGCCAGCGGATCCAGCTGCATACCAGACCGCAAAGCCGACACCGCCGATGGAAAATAGACCATTGACGACAGCGGTTAGCGCACGTCGATCTTCCGCCCATTGTTTCGCCGTGTTTTGCCTCGATGTGTCAGCCGTCTCCGGCGGATCTGCCGTGGCCGACGAGATCGTCCGTACCCCGGCTAGGAGAGCGATCATTTCATAATCACGTGGATCAAGGTTGTTGGCCTCGAGCGCCGTTCTGCATCGGACTGACCGCACATGCTTGGACACTTGCGACAGAAGGCTGTTGGGTATTGTCGGCTTGGCCCCGGGTGCGGGTGCAGGGCTTAGGTTAAGACTGGGATCCGCCCCGGGTGGTGTGACATAGGGCCGGAGCTGTGTGGCGAGGTCATCCGTGAGGATCGGCGGTGGTGGGACCTCGAGCAGCGCCAGCAAGGTCTGGCGCAGGTGCTCGGGGAGGGAGACCAGTGTCGCCATCAGGTGCAGTAGGAATAGTAGGAAGCCGGAGTTGGAATTACAATTGGATGAAGATAGTTAACACCGAAATAAATTCATGTAGAAGAAAGAGGGTGATGATGACGTCCGGGGACGGTTCGTAAGTGGCGCACTTTAGCTCACACGGTGTGGGCGATGACGCATTCACCCGAGATGATAACAGCCCCTCGATGTCTGTCTCGATTTACCAGAAAATTTATGTCTCGCTCTTGTCGCTAAGGCCGGCCTTTTCGATAACCAGATGTGCTAAATGAAAACACCATTTTTGGTGACTCTCGCTTCCATATACAGATGTCAATCGGAATACATGAAAATATCATTGGAGCGGAGACAGCGAAGAAGTGAGCGCAAGCGTGGTACCTTGGTTTGATCGGCGTCCGTGAATATTAATAGAGGTCGTCGCCCTACACGTCATTACCATGTCAGGATGCGGTAATGGTTAAGTCTAAGTCCTGTTTTTGAATTCATTATGGTCTGCGGGTGGGTCTGAGAGTGGGCTGTGTGAGGCTGTTTAGGGGTGTCTGGGGTCTCGGATGATGTGGATGGTGGTATTCTTCCTCTAGTAGCCTGTCAGGCGTTGTGCGGGCGAGGATCATACAGGCCAACAACGTCCTTCTTCTCGCTCGTTCATCTTCCACGCTGTTCAGCATACGGCGTCCTACATAGGTCAAGAAGTGCTGAGCTGTGCGACTCTCCTCTCCTCTGCTTGTTACTCTCCTCTTTACTCGCTGCCTTATCCCTGGGTGCATTCGCATCGACCGTCGACCAATCAATTTGCTCCCGCCCAAGGAACGTTGAGACTACACGGCATCAAAAGCGGCAGGCCTTCTCGTCCATCCCGCCCATTCGAACGGTTGATCTACGTGAGACGGCGGTATGGCCCATCCACGCAATATGCCGCCTTTACCGAGGTCAGGCTCTCCCACTCCCATATTCGAACGCTACAAGTCCTCTCACAGCTTCCCTCACCATTCCCCTCTTCATCGCTCCGACAGACCGGCCCTCGACGACGACGACGCCTCTCAGCCGTTATATCCCTCATCTCCTATCGAAAACAGCCCCCCCTTTCCCTCTCCTCACCGCAATCCTTATCGTCGTCCCTCAATGCCCCCCTCTCCCTCAGCCGCTTCTGCAATTCAGGCGGGCAAACGTCATCCCCTGTCAAACCTCCTCACCCCGTCATCATCAACTCCAACCCTCGCATCAGAGGCAGAACCAGACGCCGACTCTGCCTACGACGCAAAGCGCAGCTCCAATCTACATGTAACACATCCTGCGAGCGCGTCAACACCGTACCTTGGCACACCTTCTGAAGATGAGAAACATGGCTTCCCCTCCCCTAATGTAGCAAACTCAAATTCAAACGGTGGTCTACTGGCATGGTTGGCCGAGGATGAGAAGAGGAGATCCGGTGAGGCGGCTGAAAATCGCAACCTGTCAAGCAGTTTGGGTGCTGCTAGCGGGGAGGAGGGTCGCAGAGTGGGGTACGTTGACGGGCTCAAGTTCCTTTGCGGCCTTGTCGCCATGAATGCTGCTTTCCTTGCCATCACCCAAGAGGAGCCTGGCGCTGTCGTCCGTTCAAGTCCTCTCTATGTTACAAGGTTAGTGTTTACCATCATGTATGCATACTGACGGCTGACTTGGACTGCTCTCCCTACAGATCGGCCAACATCGCTGTACAGGGCCTATTACTCCTCTCGGGTCGCTCTCTCCCTATCCCTCTACCTCACGCATCCCCTCTTCTGTCTCTCTCCCTCGTCTCACGCCCTATTCGCTTCGTCCCTCCCGTCATCGTTGTGCTCCTCCTTCAGTGGGGTATGTGCGGCGGTGGGCATACCGAGCTTATCACGAATGTCCTTGGCATTGATGGTCCACAATGGTGTGGTGTCACCAACGTTGCGGGCTTCTTCACCCTTCTCTGGGGCCTGTTCGGCACGTACAGCTACAATGTGGATCTCGCCCAGGCGTTCAGCGCCAATCTGTGGAGCGTTCCGTGGTTCTTCCAGAGTGCGTACCTCGATCATTGACACTGCTTTCCTGAATTGACGTATATGCAGGCTCCTACTTCACGTACCTTCTCCACATCGTGGTATCCGCGCTCCCATCGAACCGTTACTGGATCTATATTGTCCTGTTCTGCTTCACCTGGGGAACGTTCTCGTACTTCACGCCAGCGCTGCTCGGTTACGTCATCTACGACATGTCGACCATGTTCTTACCACGCATCCGCCGCATGCCCCTCGTCCAGCGTCTCCTGGTGCAGGCAACTCTCCTCGCCTTGATCATCATATTCGAGTTCATCACACCGACAAGGAACGCTATTGATATGGGGATGGCAGCGTGGAACGTACGTAATGTCACGCAGATCCAATTTGGCGACACCATGTTCGTTACGTTGGCGCTACTATGGGTCGAGATCACCCCGTGGGCCCAGATTGTGCTTGGTAACTTCCTTGTCCGTTACCTCTTCATTGTGAGCCTACTTAATTCTTTGAAACGTGCGTTTGCTGATGACACTATCAGTTGACGCCTGGTATGTACCTGTTGACGCCTGCGCTGTCGTACACGCTGGTACCTTCCGTCATGTCCCACTTTGCGCATCCCTTCACCAATGCTGGCGCATTGTTTGCTGCTTGGGCTGTGCTCCTCATCACCGTCATCCTCCTCTCCCTCGTGTTTTACTTCCTGGTCGTATATCCATCTGCCTACGCTTCTCGCTGGCTGTGCTCGTTCTTCGTGTCTTGGGGCCCGGATGCCGATCCTGACTCGTTTGCCGACACCACCGTACCCGCTGGCCCAACGGAGGGCAAACGCAGGATATACGTGGAGAAGCCATTCCGCAGTTTCTCGCTCGTCACATCCGCTTTCGGCACCCCAATTGGGTCCCCTGCACCGTCAGTCAGGCGTATGCGCATGGACGACGCCAGCGTTCGTGGATCACAAATCATCACCCCCCGCAGCCCTCGTATTGAGATGACCCCGCTTCACTCACCTGAAGGTGGTACTCCTCATGGCTCCTCCGAGCATTTGCCGTACAACAACGGTCGCAGTGCATACGGCCACAACCGATCAACTTCACAAGACAGCAACGGCAAGCGACCGGAAAGCTATTACCCTCCTGCGATGCCCAATAGCCCATCCGCGACGGTGCCTCCTCCCATGCACATGCCATCCCAAGCGCTTTCGCCGACATACCACATGCCGCCCCCACCGCCTCCAAAAGGCGCTGGGATGCCCCCAGGCCCTTACTACCGAGGTTGAGTGCAAGACTGTGCTTGGCTCAGGTTGTACATCGGCTTTTCATGACGGATATTTAACTTCTAGAGGGTGATGCGACTCGCTGACTTCTCCTTGCTCTTCTACCTCACGGACCTTCTATTCCTTTCCTTCTTGCAAATTGCAACGCCTTCAACGTTTCACCCGTGGTCATGCCCTGCTAGTCTGGAGCTGATCATTGACAAGTCCAGACCCGTAACACGCACACGGTCGGTTGCGCTTAGCCTTTTCTGCTGATATCATGTTTTCCCGCCTGCAATGCATTTTATCCTACAATCTTTCAGTGCTGACTATCGTTTCATTCCCTCCTTTTCCCAAAACTAGCTGATCTTGACCTCCCCACCCCGTCCATGCACTCTGTATCCTCACACATTTCTCCCTCCCTCACGCGCAACCACACCCATCTCGTGTAGATATGGGACAATGGACCTTGCAGTAGCCCTTCCTGATGCCTTTTATCATTTTTCCCTCAGACCTGAACTTTCTTTTCTTCATATCTCATCTGCCGTGGGTCTCCCACCAACGTAGTTAGCAGTATCAAATGATATGGGATGACACGATGATTTGCCAGTGTCAGAATAAGTCCTGCCAAGCGCCAACAAACCTTTAGCCAAGTACACCTTCTCACAGTAGTAAACAACACTAGTGCACATCAACATTCGTGTGTTGTTACTGGGCGTCGCGTGTCATGTGACCTTCATGAAACGGAGCCAGAATAGGCACGCCATGTATTTGGACGCGTCCGAAGTAACGTTCGCTCCTGTACGTCCGTAGTCACCGCGTCTGCCCCAACAGTCTTCGTAATCCCGACAGTACTTCGTTCGTTACTGCTTAGCTTACAGAAAGTTACTTGGCGCACATCGCTTAGACTTGTGGAAGAGATATTTCTGCTTGGTCATCACCGCTATACGTATCTACCCCGATGGTTCATCGCCCTTCACCCGTGGCGAACCAGGAGAACGTCCCGCCACCAAATATCATGCATCTCCAGTGAGTGTCATCTCCTATTTGGTACGTACTATGCTGAGCTGGTAACAACAGCGAGCGACCAGAACCGACGAGCCAGCCTGCGCCTAAGAAACGCAAGCTGGAGGGGACGCCAACGAATAACCAACTCGGGGGACATGTTCATCAGGAGAAGAGCAAGACTGTCAATGGGGATACGGGGTCGTTTACAGAAGTGCTGGAGAGGCTACAGACTCAGTCTGAGGAGATCGGTAGGTGTCTTGTAGCGACAAGTCTTAGCTGGCTGTTGAGCGTGACTGTTCAGATCCGTCTGGCTCGCAGCAGTGGGCTCGGCCGGAGTTGAAACCGCTTGATGAGAGGAGGGACACTATCATCTTCCAGCAGATTGATATAGAAGAGACGGCGGACGCGATCGACGGTAGCCCTTCTCTGCACCTCTTCGGTGTCACAGAGGTGTGTCCGTTTCCTGTCCACACTTTGACGAAGCTGTTGACAGCGACTTCAGCAAGGACACAGCGTCCTCATGCACGTCACTGGATTTCACCCGTACTTCTACATTGCCGTGCCTCGAGGATTTGTCGAACAAGATTGCGACACCTTCCGTCGCTACATTAATGAGCGGAACGATGAGGCTATATTCAGACTCGAAATTATAAAGAAGAAGAGTCTGTGGGGTTATCGGGGAGACGACCAAAATCCATTCCTGAAGATCGTGATCTCGAAACCCAGGCTCCTGCCTAAGATCCGTGGAATGTTCGACCGAGGCGAGATCGATTACAAGGGGTTGTTTACCGGGCCCGTTCCTACGTACGAGAGCAACATCTCGTATGAAATGAGGTTTATGATCGACTGCCGCGTGGTTGGAATGAACTGGATCGAGGTTCCAGCGGGAAAGTATCAGCTTCGGTCAGCCAGAGAACAGGTGTCAAAGTGCCAGATCGAATTCACCGTCCAGTATGCACAATCTCGCGCGCTCGTGTTTCCAACGATTGACTGTTTGCAGATGGAATCAGTTTATCTCGCACGCTCCTGAAGGCGAATGGCAGAAGACCGCTCCTCTCCGTGTACTCAGTTTCGATATCGAGTGCGCGGGTCGCAAGGGTATCTTTCCCGAGCCTCAAATCGACCCTGTCATCCAGATCGGCAACATGGTTACCCGCCAGGGCGAGAGCAGCCCCTTCATCCGTAATATTTTTACATTGAACACCTGTGCCAACATTGTGGGATCCCAAGTTCTTGAATTCGAGAAGGAAGCAGATTTGCTCTCGAAATGGAAGGACTTTGTCGAGGAAGTTGATCCGGACATGATTGTTGGCTACAACATCGCGAACTTCGACTTGCCGTACTTGCTGGATCGCGCCAGTGCCCTCAAATGCAACAAGTTTCCCTATCTAAGCCGGATAAAGAGTGAGCAGCATGTTATCATTCGATTGGATCTCGCTGAAATAGTATGCTCAGATCAAAAGACACAGATCAAGGAGGCCCACTTTTCATCAAAAGCTTATGGAACACGAGACTCCAAGGAAACCCCCATGGAGGGACGTCTGCAACTTGACATGCTTCAAGTCATGCAACGAGACTACAAGCTTCGGAGTTACACGCTCAATGCAGTTTGCGCTGAGTTCCTCGGTGAACAAAAGGAAGAAGTGCACCACTCTATCATCACAGAGCTACAGAACGGTACCGCAGAGTCAAGGCGTCGTCTTGCTGTCTACTGTCTGAAAGACTCGTATTTGCCACAGCGACTGATGGATAAGCTGATGTCCTTCGTCAACTATACGGAGATGGCTCGTGTGACCGGAGTCCCATTCAATTACCTTCTGCAAAGGGGTCAACAGATCAAGGTTATCTCGCAACTGTATCGGAAAGCTAATGATGACGGATATCTTGTTCCCGCGGTTAAATCTGAAGGCTCCGACGAGGTCCAGTACGAAGGTGCGACCGTCATCGAGCCCGAAAAGGGATATTATGATGTGCCCATTGCCACACTCGATTTCAGCTCACTATACCCTTCCATCATGATGGCCCATAATCTATGCTACACCACTTTGCTAACCAAAGAGACCATCGATCGGCTCAATCTGGTGGAAGGTGTCGACTATGTTAAGACTCCGAATCATGGTAAGCCGTATCATATACTTTGCCATCAACAGTATCTGACATACTTCAAGACTACTTTGTCACTCCCACCCGAAGAAAGGGACTTCTACCTACTGTTTTAGAAGACCTCATTACAGCACGAAAGCGCGCAAAAGCAGACTTGAAGAAGGAAACCGATCCATTCAAGCGGGCTGTTCTTGACGGTCGGCAACTGGCTCTGAAGATCAGTGCCAACTCGGTGTACGGTTTCACGGGCGCCACCATCGGCAAGCTGCCGTGTCTAGCAATTTCCTCCAGTGTGACCGCGTATGGGCGTGATATGATCGAGCAAACGAAACAAGAGGTCGAGAAAGAATACTGCATTGCCAGCGGAAAGGAATGGGATGCCAAAGTTATCTACGGTGATACCGACTCCGTGATGGTCCGCTTCGGCTGTCCAGATTTGAAGACCGCGATGGCTCTTGGTCAGTTTGCTTCTTCCACAGGGTTGCATTTTCTCATGCATCTGTCTCAGGCGCTGAGGCCGCTGAGATCATCACCGCGAAGTTTGTGAGACCAATCAAGCTCGAGTTCGAGAAGGTCTATTTCCCATATCTTCTCATCAGCAAGAAGCGTTATGCTGGGCTCTACTGGACGAAGGCAGAGAAATGGGATAAGATGGACAGCAAGGGTATCGAGGTCTGTCTTGTGCTCAAAGCTCATTCAGTCCTTGACGTTTTCCCAGACCGTTCGACGGGACAATTGCCGACTAGTGCAGACTGTCATAGAGACGTGCCTGCATAAGATGCTTATTGAACGAGATGTGGACGGTGCTATCGAGTATGTCTTCCTATATGCTAGGATGCATTCCCCAACTCACCTGACCACAGATATACAAAGCAAACTATTTCAGATCTATTGCAAAATAAGATAGACATGTCCCAACTTGTGATCACCAAAGCGCTAACCAAAGAAGGCAAGTGCATGGCTGCAGGTCCCTTTCAGTGACCTTATCTCGAGTACCAGATTATGCCGCTAAACAAGCGCATTCGGAGCTGGTCAAGCGGATGAAGCAGCGCGACGTTGGCTCGGCCCCTGCCTTGGGCGACCGTGTGGCGTATGTCATCATCAAAGGCACGAAAGACGCTGCAGCATACGAAAAGTCGGAGGATCCATTGTACGTCTTGGAGAACAATGTCCCCATCGATACCAGATACTATCTCGATAATCAACTGTCGAACCCGTTGATGCGGATCTTCGAACCCATTCTTGGAGAGAAGGCCAAGTCACTCCGTGAGTCATCCGGTCTTCTGCTCGATTATTTGCTGAGATACCTCAAGTTGCTGGTGAACACACGCGTTCTATCCAGATCGCTACACCAACCGTTGGGGGATTAATGAAGTTTGCCGTCCGCACAGTGACGTGCTTAGGGTGTAAAACACCTATGCGAGCCAACAATAGCAAGAATCCAAGTATGGTTCACATACAAGTATCTCAACAGTCACTCATCTAGGTTACAGATGGCGCGGTTTGCAACAATTGTCGGTCAAGGCTGCCTGAGCTTTATCAGAAGCAAGTTAGTATCTGTCCGCTGCGATCCAGCCTCGCACTAATAGAGACTGGTAGGCATCCACGACATCTGGCCTTCAAGTACACTTTGCCCGCCTTTGGACACAATGTCAGAGGTGTCAAGGTTCTTTGCACCAAGACGTGTTGTGTGCTAGCAAGGATTGTCCTATTTTCTATATGCGGAAGAAAGCGCAGAAGGACGTGACAGAGGCAGTTGAGATGATGGAACGATTCAATGTTAGCTGGTAACGGACATATATCTCCTCATTGCGATACCCTGTGAACCTGTAATACTAAGAAAATTAGAATTGATTCTTTCTTTATCTGCATAGGTCATACACGTGAATACCGCCCGTAGAAGTCCTTGAAGTGAAATGAAACCGAAAGATAGCTAGTTCCGCTCCTGAGCGGAAAAAAAGTATGCGGAGGTGCGTAGAATACAGTGCTCAAAAGGTGCACTACAGAGAGATAGTAATACATGGATATGGTCAGGTCATGCGATCGAAGAAGATGCAGTCACAGCGGTCTTGGCGCTCTTGATGCTCTTGACGCTCTTCAACGTTTCACGCCAGAGAGTCTTCTGGTTCCCCTTCCGACGCTGCTGTCGTAGCGCTGCACGCTGCGCGCGTTCCATGGAAGCGTTATATACTGGCGGGGGCGTTCGCTGGGTAATGTCCAGCGGCATACCAGTGATGGGGCAATGCGGAGTCGGAGGAGGCATAGTATAACGTGCCAATGCTTCCCGCTCGGCGGCTCTTGTAGGGATGGGTATGGGTGGTGGTATGGGTGGTACTTTGATTTGTTGAGCGAGATGTGATGATCCAAGGGGATTCGTCGATCCTGGGGTCGTTGGTGTCCATGGGGATGAAACCATCAATATTGGGGCTTTGGATGGGCTAGCAAACGAAGCGCGAAGTTCTGCAGCCATCGAATCTGGTACCGAGTACCCAGGGAGTGCGGCTAATAAATGCGGATAAGAAACGGGTCCTGGGGCAATACAGGCGAACTCACGAGACTTCATGTCAAGTACTGACAGAGCAACTTTCTGTGCCTCGGCATCCACCGCCCAGGGACTTGATGAATACATAGGAGGCTTCATGACAGACTCTCGGACAGATAATAGGGTTATTGGCATGTCTTCTAAGTAGTAGGGCTGGGCTGTAGAAGCTTGACGTTTATGTTTGACCTCTCGGCGCCATCGTCCGAGCACATAAACAATAAGACCGATGAGTGCAATTCCAAAGAAGCCGGCAGCCGTTAGCAGACCAGCGAATGCAGCTTGCGAGACGTTGTCAGGCAATGTCGAGCTGCTCGTCATGACGAAGCGCGACGACAACGACAAAGGCGAAGACAACGACAAAGGCCAGAGAAGCGGTAGAGGTTGATCAAGTAGACAAACCGCTTGACAGAACCACCAGCTCATCTACTTATGTGAAACGTGCAAGCAGGGCATCGTTTCAGCACTTAAGATTCTGTCGAGGGCGTTGCATTGTGTCAAGTCTCGATTGAGGGACGATACATTTTCCATATCAGCACACCATCGACGGTGAGATTGGTCCTTGACGACTAGAAATCCGCAAATCATTGCCGATCTCGACCAGTCATATGGCCCACATCAGACAGTGCAGGAGTAGAATGCGCGATGGGAAACTGTGCCGTGATTGATGTGGGTACAGGCCCGCTGGAGACACGGGACGCATCTCTGACAGTTTCAGCCACTAAAGCGATGCATCGACATCTTCTCGACAACTCACACCAGACGTGTATGCGCTCCGTCCACTTCGCTCGGGGAGGTTACCTATAGCAACCGATAATAATAATTGACGTCGGAGGTCTAGAGGTCAGCGACGGAGGGCGGAAGTTTGGGCGAGGAGCCGTCTCAAAGACAGGAGCACTGCCTCGCTATTTCCCCACTTTGCGGCGGCGACTTGTCTACAGCAACAGCGACGATATTCGAATATAACTCGTGTGATCCAAGGAGTATGTCTGGGCGTCATTGGCGCGTCCCGATTCACTGAAGACGCGCCCTCCTTGTGAAGCACTTGGAGACACGATTAGACGACCAATTATCATCGGATCAATGCCAGCAGGCTGGTGCATCGTCTATTCGAACTCTAACTCCTCATGGTCCATTTCACCGACAATATTGGACCCGATTGTGCGGACGTCTGCTCCGGCATCATCAGCCACGTTCTCCGGGACTAACATGGTGTGTTTCAGCCTCTGTTCTCCTTTTCCCGAGAACGTTCATGTTGATCACCCATCTTGATCACCGCTGCGAAACCCCATTAATCTTCACTGCGTGCACCGAGTTCCGGCGGCGGATGAACGCGCTTTCTGACGGCCCTGGGGTCTTCGGGCTCTTGTGGCGCATTTCATCTACGCCGAGGAGGCGAGTGAAATCAACGTGGGGCGAGGAAGCGTGAAACATCAAACCTCCTGTTCTTATTTCACGATTCATCTGAAAATAAGGAACGACCCCAATATTTAGAGATAAGCCGAATGGCTGTCTTTTCTGACCATGCGCTGTGTCACTGTGCTACCCCATTCGGGGAAATACCAAACGGTCACGTGAACAAACCCGCGCAGTCATGATCAATGCCGAACGCGTCCGTCCAGTCTCGAACCCCCTTCAAATATCAAACGTCCTCATGATGCCCACGGTGGAACAAGTTGAGCAAGTGGTTAAATCCATCATATTCCGAGCGAAACGCGATGATCGACTCGGGTACGTCCGGTTTCTCTACTCGTGCGGTCGTGCGTGCGCGAGCGTCCGTCCGAGATGGGATCGGGCTGATCAGAGAAACAGGGAGACGTCGATCAAGTCCGTCCGCCGGCAGGTGGAGAAAGAGCTGCACATGGAGGAAGGGGAATGTGATCGCTGGAAAGGGGAGATCAAGTTGGCTGTCAATTGGGCCCTGGTATGTTTGTCTGCGGTCCCAGTGGGTGTACATGGCTGGGTCGCTGATAGGGGATAGGACAATGACGAGCCTGAGCCTGGGGAGGAACCGGCTGGGGAGCCTAGCACATCGGGGACGAAGGGGATGAAACGGAAGAGTGAGGGGGGAGAGAAGCCTGCTAAGAAATCGAGGCCGAGCGAGGATAAGGATGATGGGGTGAGGCAACCGGTGAAGGCTGGATCGAGTAGCGAGCATTTGGAGGGAGATGAGGAGTCCGGAGAGCAGTTGCTGTCCCCTCAAGTACGTTCTTATGGTCTCTACCCTAACGGCAGCAGCTTACATGAACAGAAACCCTCATCTAAGTTGACAGAAGACAAGGAAGGCGAGGGGAAAGAGCCCTCAGCCAAAAAAGTCGATGATGTGCGCTGACGTCGTCTACCCTCCCCACCGCACCCGTCTGACGAGCCCTAAGCAGAGCGAGACCGACATGAGCAGCGTCTACGACTCCCCTCCCGCCCACAAGCGCTCTAAAGCTGAAAAGACCGCCAAACCCAGCGGGGAAAGGCGGCGGCGGCGGAAGGAAGCTCCTCCCCCCTCCGGGTCGGCAGAGGAAGATCTCGCGCGGCTCAAAGTGTGCTCTGCTCTTCCCCCCCCGCGTGTGAGCTAAACAAAGACAGAAATTCGTAACTGCGTGCGGAGTGAGAAAACAGTGGAATCGCGAGCTTGCTGGGTTGTCCCCCAGCGAGCAGGTTAGGCATGTCAAGCGGCTCCTTAGCGAGCTGGGGATGACAGGCCGGTTATCGCTAGACAAGGCGAAGAAGATCAGGGAGAAGAGAGAGCTGGCGCAGGAGATCGGTGGGTCCTTCTGCTTGGGTTTGTGTGGGTTGAACGTGGGCTGATGCTGCCCAGAGGATGTGGTGGAGTTCGAGAAGGCTCGGGGGATGTCGGCGAGGAGGACCAGAGGGGCTGTAGCGAAGCAGAAAGTGGAAAGCGCGAGTGAAGCCGAGAAGAAGAAGAAGGAGGAGGCGGAGGATGTCGTTGAGCGAAAAGTGGGTCTACAGCATTCGGATGGGAGCGTGCTGATGGCTGACGGGGAGCAGAAGAAGGAACAAGACCTGTTGGCGTTTATTGGTGATCAGAGTGAGGAGGACTGAGCGCTGAGCACTAAGCTGGGCACTCGGCGTTCGATGACTGGCAGGTGAAGGCACCTGCTCCTGCATAAAATATGTTGTACACTAGTACATGTACCGACCTGGGCCAAATAATAATACTCCCCAAGCGCGCTGCGCCCTCCACCCAAGCACAAAAACGTACACCCGGGCCCTCACCCGCTAAGGGAAAAACCTCACTCCACCCCCATCAGCACCCTCGATAACCTGGGCCTTGCCCGTCTTCTGCAACAGGGCGATCGCTCGTCTCAGGAGGGGCTCTGGCATGCCCGAGAGGTCGGAAGGTACTTGGGGGTTGGAGATCTCGAACAGGGTTAGGATGGTGTTCGTTTGTCCTGTGGTGACTGCCTAATTCGAATTGTTAACACGAGCCGTATTGCAGATATTTTTGTAGAAGCACAGACGGGGGAGACGTACCCAGTCATGTAATATTCCTGCCCACTCGGGAATTGTCCGCCAACAGAGGATGACACTCGAGCTCTGTTTTGGAGGGTCGGGGAGCGCGCGTTCCTCTTCTATAAGCTGTTCCAGAAGTATCTGGAGCATCTTACGACCAATCGTTCCTTTGTGCCCTGAGTCAGCACCTGACGCTCTATCGAGCGAACAAGGGAGGATAAAACGGGTCAAGGTGACTCACTCGGAGGCTTCAACCGCGGGTTATGTAACACCTCACCCCACACGCCTCCAGAAGCAGCATCGTCCACATCGCCGACTTTGAGTTCCCATATCCGGGCAAAACGTGCATAAGTGAGGATAAGCGTCGTCCAGTGCTCGCGTTGGGTGGAGAATGTGCGTGGGTTGGGTTGATATCTGCGGCAGTGTGAGTGACGCTTTGGGGGAAAGGGAGGGAATGGAGGCGTACGTGAAGAATGCAGGCCAGGAATGGATTGATGGGAGTAGGAATCCTGATTGTACTTTCACGGGAGCGAGTTCGAGGCCCATTAAGCTGCAGCAAGGGGATACACGAGTAAGTAAAGTGCGGTTGATCCCTCATCGTAGTCATGAGTCAGGGCCTTTTCGGTGTATCTTCGGTTCCGAGTGTACGTGATGTGAATGTGGCGTTAATGTATCGGGAGGTGAATCTGAATCCGTGAGGGTTAACAGCGGGGATTAACAGTGAAAGGTGAACGACAGACACGCAAGTAGAGCGGCGAACGTCTCTTCATCGTCGACATAACACTCTTCAACGATGTCCTCACCGTCTCATCCATCTCATTCACCAACCACCACCAACGCTTTACACGACACTCCAGCTCAGATATACGCTACTCACCATCATCACGCAGCTTTCCCTTTGGCAACTCCACCACTACAACCACGTTCACCCACAGTAGCATCCGTTCTAAGGTCATACGACACTGCAGGTCCTCTCGCAGCTGCTATTCCACCCCCTCCGACAACACCAACCATCGCACAACCTATGGAGAGGGAGAGAACACAAGAGAGAGGACCGACGTTGGCAAGCATCTTACCCGCTTTCACTGCGTCAAGAACACTCCCACCCCCATTCCCCGTGCACACTTCTCCTTCCCGCTCGGTCGTCACTCCTCCTCCTTATGCGGCGACGAGGGAACCATTAAGCGCGCACACTATCAGCCCTAAGATGGATATCAACAACCTGCTGCAGAAGAGGGACTACGCTTTCTCCGCTCCTGGAATGACACCGGTACTTGGCAGCCCCGAGCGACCCGCACCAGATGTCGACCGCGAAAGAGAAAGAGAAAGGGAACGGGAACGGGAGAGGGAGAGAGAACGATACAGACCGACAACCAACTCCTCCCCCTTCACAGGTGCGGGGGGAACGTCAATCCTCTCCCCTGTCATCGACCAGCGGTACTCGCCACTCCCCGCACGGGAGGCGACGTATGGCGTAAGCCCAGTACTGAGAGATCAGGTCGGGTCCGGTGGTATCCCTCAGGCGGAGACGAAGCCTGTCGTGCATGGGATCTCACCCACAGAACGCGAGCGCGAAGCCAGTGAGAGGGAGGCACGGGAACGCGAGCGTGAGCGACTCCCCCCACCACCGCCACGCGAGCCCAGCCGCCCATGGCAAGATCCCCGCCCGCCCTCTTCCCGCGATCCGGGGACGATCATAATCCCTTCTCACACTCACACGCCCACTCCGTCCGTGGTAGCGCACTCCCTTCCTCCCCCGGCCGACCTCCCTCGACCCTCCCCGCGCGCGCCCTACGCCGGGGTGTACCACTCCCTCTCCCACCCTCCCCCCCGCTCCTTCCGCCACCTACCGGCAACGTTCGACCTGCTCGTGCCCTGCCCCCCTGCCCTCCCCTCCGCGGAAAATCGGTACATCTTCGGCACCCGGTTCTACACGTGCGACAGCGACCCCGTCCTCTGCGCGCTGCATGCCCGACTCGTCTTGCTCGAAGACTTCCAGCGTGCGGCGCGTGGTGAACTACGTGATTCTGCGGGCAAGAGACGGACGGTTCTTAGGCTGAGAGTGAGGGCTTGGGAGCCTAAGACCGTGTATAGACCGAGTTTGGGAGGTGCGGGGATACACAGCTTGGGCTGGGGGAACGACCATGATGGGTTGAGTTACGAGTATCTTGAAGCTACTTGGCAGGTCGGGGTGCGTCTCCTTCCCTCTATCCTCCGTTCTGCGCACTATGACTGACGTGGTGGTTGTTGAACAGCTCCAAGGCCTCCCCTCTCGCATCAGGGCAAAACTCGAGTCCCGCCCAAGGATACTGCAGCACAGCGCGCTCTTCCCCCACCTGCGGGGCACGCGTGATCCCACCCAGCTGAGAAAACGGATTTGGGACTGGGACGCCCTTGCCTCTGAGCCAAAGCATGGGCAGAAACAGAGTTTGTTCGGTATGATACGTGCTGTCGAGCGGGGCAAGGGGGTGCGATGGGAAGAGTGGGCTGCGAGCGGGCAGGAGGGGTGGGATCGGGGTTTGGGAGTGCAGGTCAGGTTCGGATGGGAGGATTCTAGGCGCTGGTACGGAGTTCACTTTTTTGGGCAATGGGGGCTAATAGGGATTAGGGAGGAATATGTGCCTTTCAAACTGGAACAACTTGTTAACCAAGCGGTGGATGCTACGTATGCCCTGCGCAGGGCTTCGGCTTCCGAGGTGCTTCATCCTGCCTTTCTCGCTGTCGGGGGGTTGACATCTTATCTAGCCGAAAACGGATAAGGCAGCAACAACAGCTATAGCGGGAGAGAGACGGGAGAAGCATGACGACGGGGAGGGGAGGACGAAGGATGCCGAAGCTGAGGGGATGGATGGGGTAGTGGAGCAGAAGCAGGAGCACCGTGTTGCCCCGGATGGGAGGGCCGAGAAGTCTGAACCGGCGAAGACTGACGGCCTACCCCGGCCTGGGCCTGCTCCTTCTACGCCGGCGGAAAGTCTTCCCCTCGCCCCGACCGCCGATGTAGTCAAAGTCGAAATGGAAGTAGACGGCCCCCCGGCTCTCGCCCCTTCGGGCTTTGCAATCTCTTGGACAGACACAGAGCCCACGCTTAGGACACACGATATCGTTCTCTACTCGCACCCTTCCTCCGCATCTGGCACCGTCGCACCCCCGCAAGCTGGAAAGCAAGAATGGCTCTTGCATCTGTGTCATGCGCATGCGCATTCTCATCCTTCCTCGCTCGCTCCGCGTCCTGCGATCATAGATGGGAGCGGGAAGCTGCTAGCTCCCCGGGCAGAGGGGGACCAGATCCTCCTCTTGGAGGAAGGAGTCGTTGCTGATCTCCCTCGGGGCGTGTCGGCGCAGAACGGGAACACGAGCCCGCTGCAACCTGTAGTTCTGGATGTGAGAGGGTGGCGCTGGATCAGGCGGGAAGAGACGGCTGCGCTCGTCCGATCTGCTGAGGACTCTGCTCTCACCTCGATCCCCTTGTCCTTCCAAGCAGACACCGAGCCGCAGTTCGAGTGCGACGGCGCGTGGTGTGCCTCCCCCTCCTTGCAGAGATTTGGCCGTACGGCGGTCGACTACCGGCTTGGGAGGATATATGTTGACGGGAGGTTCGTACGCTCTGTTGTGGGGGACGAACTGGTTGAGCGGGTTGAAGATGCGTTACATGGGCCTACAGAGGGGCGGACGAGGAGTGCCAAGCAGCGGGAAGAGCGGGAGCGGGCAGAGAGGGAGCAGCAGGGAGAGGCGGAGCGTCAGGAGCTGGGACTGGAAGGGAGTGGGAATGGGAATGGGAAGGGGGTTGGGGTTGGGGTTGAAACCCTCTTGCCTGAACAGGTTCAGGAGGTGATAAGTGTCGTGGATGAGCTGAGGGAGGGGAAGCGGAAGCGGAAGAGGGAGGAGGAGGGGTCGACGGGCGCGAGTGAGGAGGTTGGACCTAGCCCTAGTCCGGCTAAGAAACGGAAGGGGGGTTCGAAGTCTAAGAAAGCTACTGCTAAGGATAGGAGGAGGGACAAGGACAAGGACAAGGGCAAGGAGGACAAGGACAAGGAGAGCGAGGGCAAGGACGTCACTGTTATGCCTGCCGAAGCTACTCCTGCGCCGAAGAAGAAAAGCCATAAGGCGCCGCTCATCTTCTACTCTGAACGAACGACGCGCAGCAGTTCGAGGATGAACAACTCCCCTGATGCGGCGACCGGCGCGGACAAGAAGCGAAAGCGGGACGAGGAAGAGCAAGAGCTCGACGCGGTCGGGGAGGAAACGGCCCCATCTTCGAAGAAGCAGAAGAAGGGCGATGCGTCACCCGCTGAACCTGGTCCTCCTCAAGTCGAAGCACCCTCTCCGTCCCTCGCCGTCGACAATAGTGTGGACGAGGCTGATTCTGGCAAGAGACGGAAACGGGTCGAAGAGGCCGATCTTGCCTTGCTGGAAACGGCTCCCGCTGACGAGAGACCTGTGGCGCCCCTCTCGAGCAGACAGAAAAAGACGTCGCCTGCCGTCTTGGACGAGATTGCAGCGTCTCACTCAACAGCGACTTCCGAACTGGCCCCTGTCGCTGCTGCCGCCGGCTTGCCTGGGACTGAGGTATCCAAATTGACGGCATAGGGTGTTACTGTGCATGCCTGTTGCCTGTGAATGATGTGCTCGCAAGAGCTGTTCTGCCGGATTTCTTCTCCTTTTTTTCTCTGACACGGATACACTGCTGTTTTCCTTTTTTGTTTCCATTCGGGTTACAAGTTCTTGATGCTGTAAACGTTGCCAAGTGGCTTCCCAGCCCCTTGGCGGCTGTCACACTATCCGGATGTATCTATATCGTGGCCCACTGTAGATCAGTCGCAATCCAAGTCTATCTGGTGCTTAAATGGTGGAGTTGGTGCTTCTCCACCCTGGGTTGAACATGTGAGCTTTAAGCATCCTTGATCAGAGGCTTTCAGGTTCAGCGTCAGGGTGAGGTGACTCTGCCGTTCGGCACATTACGTCTTGGACTATCGGGCAGCGAGGTTGATATACCGACGGTCCGTGCAGGAGCGCCGCCGCGCCGGCTCACAATTCTTAGCGAACCCAAACCCGAATCTTTCCGGGATTGCGCGTAAGGCGATTGATGTGCCACACCCAGAAAGCGACGTTTTGTCAGAGGGATATGCGAGATTCAAGATCGGCTTATTGTTACCCCGAATGGGGCAGGTTGGTACTCCGCGTCAAGAGGACCCTCTTTCCCCCATTCGGGGCTTCATCCTCGCGAACACTTAGACGTACAATCTCTCATTCTGGCCGATCTTCCAATGAGTCTGTTGGGGGCTGCACTGGACTGGGCGCAAGCCAATCAACCCTATGGACTATGAGATTCCCACAGGCTAGGCTCCCATCGCTACCAAAGTCTATAAAAACCCGCGAAAGAGCTCACCTTGGAACCCCCCTCCCCCCAGTTCACTGGCATCCTTATCGTCTCATTGAACAAGTTTCAGGAATTCAAGCAAGGGATCGGTGAACATGGCGCCATTCCCTACCATAGCGAAGGTCGAGTCCTTCGTGCCCTCGAGCAAAGGATCGGGGGGCGACTATCACAGGCAAGGCAAAGGCCACTGGATTGTTGACACGTACATTTCCAATCCCATGTCCCAGTATGAGGAATACCGGGCGTCGCGGACGTCCTGGTGAGTTTTAGAAAATATTGTGGTGACAATCACTGCTCATGTTAAGTATAGGGGCATCGGTGTTCTGGGCTCCTTGTTTGTCAAAGTCACGGCCAGTGATGGCACGGAAGGCATTGCAACAGGCTTCGGTGGCCCTCCCTCCTGTTGGCTGATCGAAAACCACTTCAAGCAGTTCGTCGTAGGAAAAGACCCGCGAGACCTCAACCTTATGTGGGACCAAATGTTCAAGGTGCGCCTCTCGTTCTGGAGCAATATCTGGAGCGGCACCTGATCCACCGTAGGCAAGCATGTTTTACGGCAGGAAGGGTATTACACTGGCCACGATCTCCGTCGTTGACCTCGCCATCTGGGATCTCTTGGGAAAACTTAGGGGCGAGCCGGTGTACAAGATGATAGGAGGCCGAACAAAGGAGAAGATTCCCTTCTGTAAGCCTATCTGAAGCGATCAACACGTGTCAACCCCCTCTTATCTCTCTACCAGATTGCACCGGCCCTCTTCCCAACGAGACGAAGCGCATGGGCTTCTGGGGCGCCAAAGTTCCTTTGCCGTATTCCCCCTCAGAGGGACCGGAGGGGTTGCGGAAGAACGTGGAATTCCTGAGGAAACACCGTGAATCCGTTGGACCTGACTTCCCGCTCATGGTCGACTGTTGGGTGCGTGCTGTGGCACTTCTTATTATCTCGGAGATTCTGATGTCGTACACAGATGTCGCTCAATATTACATACGCAGTGGAAATCGCGCAGAAGTGCATCGACGAGAAGATCGATATCTACTGGTGGGAGGAAGTCTTGCACCCCGACGACTTTGACGGGCACAAGCTGCTCAAGGAACGCATGCCCACGGTACGCTGGACAACGGGCGAGCACGAGTACTCCCGCTATGGACACCGCAAGCTTATTGAAGGTCGGTCCATCGATATCATCCAACCTGACGTGATGTGGATCGGAGGCTTGACGGAGCTACTCAAGGTCAGCGCCATGGCTAGCGCGTACGACATACCTGTTGTTCCGCACGGGTCAGGCCCATATAGTTATCACTTCATCATGTCCCAGGCACACTCGCCATTCTGCGAGTACATCGCAAACTCGCCAGACGGGAAGTCCATTCACCCGTGCTTCGGTGATCTGTTTTTAAACGAGCCTCTGCCTATCGGAGGCATTCTCGATGTCAGCGACGCACCAGGTTTCGGCCTCGAGCTGAATCCCCAGGCTGTCCTGATTCCAGCCGCGCATCTCCTCACTCCTGCTCCAGAGAAGCCTCTCAGCGTACCTACTACTAACGGCACGCCGAATGCTGCGCATCGGGCGTGATTCTTCATTGTGGTTCCGGACTTTCTTGGGCGTAGAATGCGTTTTAGCAGGCTTATGACAGCTTGCCAGGATATATACGAAGTATGATATACCGTTATGAAACAACACGGCGCGCTGAGCGTACTCGTCTTCCAAAACGAGCACTGCAGTGATCATATGATTGAAATGCAGCGGTACAATCTGTATTCGTCATGGGGTGTCATATGGTAAGGCATAGACACGTCCTATGAGCATACATGAAAAAACGGCAGAAACAGGGGAAGCGATCATTTCTGCGCAAAGGTCAGCATCAAGGAGAGGCGAATGATCCAAATTCGACTTACGAGGATGATGCCATCGAACCTCTGCTTGAACCACGACATGGTATCCTCCCTCTTCACCTTATGCTGGAAACCAACACGAGCCTTCTTCTGCTTCCTCCTCGTCACACGTTGTCCAGGACGGCCCATCACGACGTAAAAGTCCATCCCAAAGATACCGATACCGGGGTCGTAGCGAGCACCGAGATCGATGTGCTCTTGGATACCGAAGCCAAAGTTCCCTGTCTCGGAAAAGTTGCGCCGGCGCAGTTCGTACTCCTTCACCTTCAGCCCACGCTCGAGAATCTCCTCTGCCTTGGGTCCTCGGATGGTGACATGCACGGCAATCTTTTCGTTACGACGGATCCCAAATGTCCGGACGGTGTACCGGGCTTTGGACGTTACGGGCGTCTGGCCGGTAAGCTGCTCCAGCACCTTGGAGGCACGGGTAAGACGATCACCGGACTCGCCAACCGAGATGTCTGAAAAGGAATTAGACAAACATGCATACAAAACCAGAAAAAGACGCACTGATGACGAGCTTGTCTATCCGCAGCTCCTTCATGGGGTTGGTGGGGGCTTTCGACTCTTCGGCCTGAGCAAACTTGTTAGAACAATATCCTCGGCAGTGGAGAGTGCGCTCGAAGTGTAAGACAATGGTATAATACCACTGACCACTACATTTCTTCCAGCAGTACTCACCATTTTGATTGTTGTCGGTGTCGGCTGGTCGGACGGTGTGCGCGTTAGGGTATGTTAATGGGATAGCAATTAGCATCCGGGATACACGAGGGTGCAACTGTACAGTTCTACATCTTGTGGCTGATTTACTTCCGCGATGGGTATTCTCCATTGATGATGTAGAAATGGCAACATTGGATGATAAACGAAATATTAAATACATCAATAAAAGAAGTGCAAATCCACTGTGAGCCAAGATAAAACGGAAAAAAAATCAAGCTGCTGGCGTCGCATTGGGATCTCTAAACACCTGCAGGTCTGATAATTCTGCCACCTTACGCTCGCCGTTCTCATCCAATTCACCAGCCACAAGCTTCAGGCCCTGCTCGTTGGCGAGATGAAGGATGCAAATGAAGCAGAAGCTTGTACTTATCTCCTCGAGCTTGTCTCTGGGATAGCTCTTCTTCAGGTCTTGCACAACTGCCCCAAATTGTCGACCCTCGTCCGGGTGGGTGGGCACAACATCTATCTTCTACCACAGAATTAGCCTTTCCTGTTTATCTGCGAAAAGGAATGGGGTACCTCTTTGTCCTCGGGGCCATGATCAACCATGATGTCAAGGCCTTTCCAGATATTCTCCTTGAGTTTTCGAACATCGACCCGCTTCGCTTTCTTAGAGTAGTTGACAAACTCTGGCCGGACCCGTTTTAGCTGTTCTTGGGTAGCAGCGAGCAAATCACCCTCTTCATCCATTGTTTGAACGGGGCCGGGGAAACCGTCATCCGCGAAAACTCCATCGTCGTCGAAATCGTCCATGAAGAATTGGGTACCGAATGGTATTTGCTCTCCGTCGCCTGCTACTGAAATATTAGCTTCATTTGCCAGCATCAAACTCTCTAGGCTTACTTTGATCGATCTCAAGCCCACCAGCCTGGTCAGCAGCCGCTTGTGCCCAGAATCGTTCATCAACTTCTCCGTCTTCATCTGGACTCTTTATAAGGGTATGCAAAACGTGCGCTGGGAAGAACACTGACCTTTTATAACCTGTCCGTGCCGTCGCATTCGTAATGCAAACTTTGGCTTCATGAAGAGTCGTAAGAGCTGTGCACTGCTGAAGTGCATGTCATCAGGCAGCAGATGTTCATCACGTTTCGGTGGTGCAGCCGCTTTTGATCTTGAGCTACGCTTTCTCTTATTGGGCGCCCGGGTTCCGGCTAGCGTTATTGCCGTCCGGCCGGAAGGAGCAAACAATTGCTTCGTGGAAGGAGCTGGGGCAGTGAAGTCAATCTCGAATGCTTTCTTCTCGGCCTTAACAGCCTTGGTTCCTGATGTTGAGGAGTCCGGTGTAACTGCAAGAGGTTAGATGAATGACAAGGCAATGTAAATTGGCAGACCTTTCCGGATAACCTTGCGCATCTTCCAATGTTCGGGCCCTGCCCAGTTCTTGAGCAGGGTTTGGTCAAAGTAGTCCAGTGCGCCTTCAGTCTCTCCAAGCGCCATAACCAGTGCTCTCTCGTTTGGCGGGTGCCGAGGGTCAAACGTTTCGACGCCGCCAAAGGTGACCCTTGAGCCTCCTGCAGGGCCAGCCGACTGTCTATCTTCTGCCGCATCGTCGCCGCCGACGTTATCGTCGTCTCCTCCCCATCCACCACCCCCACCCCATCCATTGGCATCATCGTCGACGGCTTGGTCACCAGTGAAGAAGTCTTCTCCCCCACCGCCGTTGGCACCATCGTCGGAGAAGGCATCGCACGCGTCAGGAGTGGGCGTCTGGGCATCGATACGATCGATATTGAGAAAAGCGAGATCCAAGTTGGTCTGATCGGCAGAGAACTTGAAATCCTTCAACGTCGAGCAGATAACTCTGTCTTCCAGAACAGCCATACTGGGGAAGTACTTAATACGGAGCGACGAGAGATCGACTTCTGCGCCTTTCATCTCGGAGAGATCTTCCTCGATATCTTCTTCTTCGAGTTTGCAATCTCCAGCGTCGAAGACAATTCGGAGCGACCCATCAACGCCAAGATGATTCATGAGCAGACCCATGGCACCTCCTTCATCGAAGTCCGCACTAGTCTTCTTGAACAGCGGATCTACCGTGAACTCCAAATCGAACTTCTTCACCTGTAAATGAGCATATGACTTGGCGAGAGTCGTTTCGGTCCTATGTGTCCGCCGTTTTGCTTTGGCGACAGCACCCTCCTCGCCGTCCTCCGCAGCATCCTCATTCCCCTCTTCATCCTGCTGAGCCGCATTGCGACCGTCATCAGCAAGTCCGCTCAACAGCTTTCCAGTTTCGGTGGCAACACTGTCCACGCGGCTTGTCCAAATCTTCACGCATCCGTCGAGTGTGCAGGAGGCTTTCTGGAAATTGATGCTGTTGTCCAGCTCGTTGCGGAGAAGGGACATGTCATGGAAGTAGTCAATGAGAGCGAAATGCCAGGAGTTTGTTGCGTTGATTTTCTGAGAACGCTGTCAGCATCCATGTATCAAACAGAGTGTACTTCAATACATACGTTGTCGGTTGCCATTTTCATCCACTCCTCAAAATTACTGCTCAAGATCTGCAAACTGGGTGGTGGTGCCTGTGCGGCAACGGCCGAAATCTGATGTCCACCATTGACCATAGCTAAAGCTGCGACCCTCGTGCTTTTGTTAACGGTCGTATTGGCGGTGGTATTAGCGACCATGCTCGCATTTGATCCCAGAACGCTCTTGTCCGAGTTCGTCCTCTCTGCCTTGGGCAGGTGTTCCTCCACATTCCGCACTGATGCTGAGCGCTTCAAGCTCTGCCTTCGTGCTCTCCTCTCGGCAGCATCATCGTTCAAGTCCACCTCGGCTAGCGGAGTTCGTGGTGAAGCGTGTATGTCGCTCACACGGCGCTTGCCCTTAGCCTTGCCCTCATCCTTGAGCTTCCCCACTCTCCCCTGATGCTTCGGAGGCGGCGGGGAAGCCTCCCATTCCTCTCCAGAGTCGGAGTCAACCACCATAGAGATCGGTTTGGCTTTCGCTGCGCGCTTTGAACGTATTGGACTGCTGCTCATCGTTGCTGGTGTAGGGGCTTTTGGAGTCGGACGCGTCCCCAGACGTGCAGACGCGTCCAACTATGTCGGATGCAAATAGGTATCACGTGATCCAGAATATTTAAGCGCTCGTCGTAGATGACACCATTCTCCTTGAGTTGCACATTTAGTGGTATAATTGTCTATCAGTACAAGCCCAGTCGTTTTAGGAACACATTCAGATACCACCCCGTCAATCCCCAGATCTCGAGCCCCTTGCCCCCCGGTCTCCCGCTCCCACCTAGCTCATCCTGCCCTGCCAGCGTCTTCCAATGCAGCCCCAGTCCTTCGACTTTATCGCTCACGTCGATAGCCCAGTAAGGTGTATATCCCCGGAAGTCGTGGACGCGTAGTCGGTGGGGGTCGAACATCTCTCGGAAGGTGAGGTGGAAGATGTGCGATACCTCGGGTGGGTTCGGTCTGAGAGAAGAGAGGGCGATGGAAGGGAGTGCTTCGTTCGGTCGCAGCTCGGGACGCTCCAGCGTGGGGTAGATGAATCCCTATCATCATAGATTCATCCATACAGGTAGCAGAAACAATTTTGAATTGTGCGTACAACAAAAGGATGCACCCGGAGTTTCCAGAGACTGAGTTCCGCCGGTCCAAAAGTGCCCAGGACCTCGATCTGACCCGGTCCTACCCCAATCTCCTCGTCCGTCTCCCTTATAGCGGTCGCAAGGAACGTGTCGTCCTCCTCGTCTGTCCTGCCTCCAGGAAAGCTAGAACTCATGTGAGCTAGCGAACATAGGTCCCGGTCGTTGCTCGTACCTGACCTCTCCTGCATGACTCCTCAGCTTGCCACGTACCTCGAAGAGAATGCCAGGGTTCCCATTGACGTTACACAGCGGCACCAGCACAGCCGCGTTCTGCGCAACAGGGCTGGAACTGAACGGAGGCTCATGCTTCATCAGCGACTGCCGACGCAGGGTATGCCTTATGATGGCTAAGAATGTCAAGCTGAGTGGCTCGTCGATGGGAAACCCCGCCCCGTCGGGGGTTGGCATCCCCGGCAGGCGGGACGTAGCCAGAGAACGGGCGGTGTTGAACGGGAGTCTTTGGGAGAGGCATCGCGGTGAGATCATGGTATTCACCTTACCATCTCCTCGAACCACGGGCAAGGAGAATTGGGTACAAGAGTGAGTGACAAAACGATCGGGGGCGATCGACACCTACTGTGTGGCTGTGAAGAGGACATGATAACCGGTTTGTCACATGAGGATGGATAATAAATTAATGCACTAAGGGTTGAACGATCCCGTCGGACAATGAGGGCATTGATTGTATTCGAAAACAGTTAGTGAGAAGGGCAGGTGTACAGTAGTTCTGCTTTGGACCGTCTTCCGCGAATCCGAGTTTCCCCGCTGGGCGTTAAGAAAGCCAGGTTGTTGGCAACATGGCCAACATCCGCCATCCGAAGCCCACCAAGGTCCGCAGCACTCATGCCAAGAACGGGTGATCACCCTCTAGGAATGTACATTACCCCAACCTCAAATAAACAATGTCGAAGATATACGCTAAAACGGGGTCGTCTCGTCATAGTCCGTGCTCCTCCCCACCAGACCGTCCAAAGTCGCGTCATCTCTGGTAAAATCGATACATCCATACATCATGTCTTTCTGTTCAATCTACTCCCCGTCAGCACCCAGCGGTCAACAACGGATCATTGGTCCTTCTCGGCGGCAAGGACGATCTGCTCCTGTATTCGCATGTCTTCAGGGGTCATGAACGCTTGTACCATCCTCGTAAAGCTGCTTGCTCCCTTAGCGACGATGGCCGGGGTGAGTTTCTCCAGGTACGGCATAGATACGCTTTCCCAGGCATGATATCTGATGCTCTAATCAGATGTATGCGCATAAAGAAAACCGGTGCGACGCACGCAAGCTGCCTGCTCTCGTAGAAGTCCCATCCTCCGCCCTTTGGCCCAGGGGCCGAAGGCTCATGCACTAATCTGACGTCGTCTTTGTTCCAAAGCGGGTAGAACATGGCGCGGGAATTCAGGACTGTCACTTCTTGCGGATATGTGAGCGCCAATTCCTGCATCAGCATCCGCATTAGTGGCAGATTCGAGACCGATCAATTAGACGCACCCAGGGCATCGCAACGCTGTGTTCCGCCCACTCATGCCCGGTCTCGTTGAACGTGCTGTACGTCGAGAACCATCGCTGGAGGAAGGGCGCTTCCGGGCGGGAAACGATAATCGCGTTACACAGTCCCCCTGGTTCCCACTCCCACTGTTTTGCATACGGGTCTGCCTCCATCGCTAGCACCGTGCTCTGGGTGAAGATACCCGCGCGTTCGAAAGATCGTAGGACGAAGGCATCCTGATCCAGGTACACCCCTCCGAGCTGGAGCATGACCTGCATCCGGACCACGTCGGCCTTGTGGGCGTACAGTCTCACTGGTCGGCCGTACACCTCCTCAGGCGGCTCGACGGGTGATAGGGTGACATAGGGCTCGATGAGGTTCCACCATGGTCCGTGCGGAGGGGAGCCTGGTCGGTGGTGCACGAGGAGGAGCTTCGGTCGGAGGTTGAGGATCGCCGACCTGATCGCGAGGTATTGGAAGTACTGGAGAGGCTTGGAGGGGCCGTCTCCCATTGCCAGTACATAATGTACGATGGGGGGTACGACATTGGGATAGTATGGCTCGGGGATGACTGTCCCCAGTGGGAGGGAGAGCTCGAGCTTTGGGAGGTCGACTTGTGGTGGTGGTGGTGGTGGAGGAAGGAGAGAGGGATGAACATGGAATTCGAGGAGGGAGGATGTTGGTGTGCGGGATGTGGTGTGTGAGTGGAATCCATAGAATGTGATGAAGTGGTAGGAGGAGTATATGACGAGAAGGAATACTATGAGGAAGGTTAACTTCTGGTGTGTTGTTGACCATGGTGGTATGGCTGGTAAGGCCAACATGGTGCAGATGTGAGGAGGCCCTGTCGTCCGTACGTGTTAACGAAGAATGTATGACGTGTATTGCCTAGTGGATGGGCGACAATGGGTATGCGGTCGACCCCGAGAGAGGGTATTGAGGGGAGAGGAAGACGGGGCAAAATCACCGTCGCGGTCGATGGAAACGGTTGGGCGGAATTGCTATATTTTTTTTGTACATTTCGGTGTGCACGGCATAACGTCAAACTCCCTATTTAGCGCTTCGTTCTTGGCGCTCTTCTCTTCTGATTATGAATTCCCATTCGGCTTGTGCCTCTCCCTTCAATTTAACCCATCAGTATCAAATAGCCGTTCACAACAGCATGGCAACCTGGTGAGTTCCCCGCAGCACCGACCGAACGCCTGCGCATTTCCCTTCAACACTGTGGCGTTTCATACGTCCCTCGCCCTCCCTCCATCCCATCCCTCTCACTCCTCGATCAAATACCCACAGCACAAATTCGGTTGCTTCCTTTTCCCTCCTTCGCCGGCTCCAATGACAAACACGCCGACAAGGTGCGAAATACGCGCTTTTCGTGAGAAGTCCGTGATCGGGTTTTGACCATCATCAGCCAGGGTTTCCAGACAAGACCCCTTTTCGATCTGTCACGTCCATTTCACCCGCGAGGCTGGACTATATCGTCCTCAGCCAATCAGAGCACGACAAACGCCCTCCTTCCGACGTGGTCAGGATACCTCCGTGCAGTCGTCAAAGCGGGCGATGACGTCCACGACGAGGGGCGATGCCAAGAGTACATCTATTTCCGGTCACATGGTTTCTTATCATCGCCCATACTTAAAGCTGAACACCGCAAAAGCTATTAATCCATCTCTTCCCCTTCCAACAGCAATAATCAAACTAAACCAACCAGAGAACCTTCAATACCTGGAAGCGCTCTGCTGCGGTTTCGTGCTGCGCCAATAGGGCTTCGGCGCGGCGTCGCGCTCCCGGGCATGACCCCTAGGTCACTTGTGCGCAGCAGGCTGTTGTCTCCCACCGATTTTCCTTCAATTTTATTGTCGAAAAGGCATATATATAATGGAGGCACATGATGGTGAATTCAAAAATGGAGGTTTATTTTGGAATTGCTGACGAATGCCAACCACTGCTCATCCTGATTTGGAAACCTTGGCACGGCCTGCGCATTCTTGTTTTTAAAATTTCTACCTTATAACACCCGTCTGGCCAAGAATGTACGGTCAGAATCGAAATCCCTGGGCGATAGATTCTCCGAAAGGAACTGCCACGCAGTCAATTTCCCACTCTGTGGAGCGGGACACATCGTTATTCAATCCACCAAGGCGATTTGCCGACGTCTTCCCATCCTTCTTTCCTTGTGAGTCTCCAACCTCTACAACATGATACTGACATATTACACATCAACCCGGAAACTGCAGCACCGCAGCAAGCTTGGCATCACCTCAACTGAAGCGCCCACACACTTCGATGAAACGTGTGTCTCTCAACCACGAAGACGCGCTTCAGCCGCTCGGGCCCTACGTTCCCGCTCAATCCTAGCCCTCATCTCCGGTGTCAAGCCGGCAAGTCCGTCCTTCGGTCCGTTGGCACTTGCACCACCCAGCTTGTTAGGCCCGGTGCGAGCAAGAGCAGGCTCATTCGCCCGGCGTCGAGCGTCCTCTTCTTTCTCCCTTGCAAGGCGTGCACGGTCCTCAGCCTCCTGCTTTGCGCGCTCGGCCTCTCTCTCTTTTTCCCGAGCCTGGAGACGGTCTTTGAGAGCCTTACGCCTGACAGCTTTCTTCCCCTCTTTGACTGCTTCCATATGGGGGGACAATGCTGAAGGCACACGGGCAGCGCCAAGCCAGTCCCAAGCCGTGGGCTGAGAGTACGCCAGTCGGCGGAAGACATTTCGTACGGCTCGAGTAGTGGCGAGGTCGTAAGCCGCACGTCTTGTGCCTGCCACAGCGGGGGTGGTAGGACGGCCTTCATCATCTTCGTCTTCGTCTTCTTCCTTCCTAGGAGCTACAGACACGCCAGAGGGAACGGCAATCGTAGGATCCGCATGCTGATCCTCCAATAGCCACTGGACGACCTCTTCCTGTCCAGCAGAGCAGGCAACTTGAAGGAGGGACTTCAGTCCACGGCTGTCCTCCGCCCATTCGGGTATAGACACGTCCACCCCACCCATGGCTGGGCCCTCCCTTTCCCAGAATGCTTTGAGTGGCTCTACCCGTCCCTTGCGCGCCATGTTGATCAGCCGGCGCCAGCGGTCTCGCTCTGCCTCCTCTTCTTTGGTAAGCTTTGGTGCTGCCGGCTTTGGAGGTGGCGGAGTGGGTGCCTGGACAGGTGCAGGCTTAGGTTTAGGGAGAGAAGCGAGGTAAGCCTCGTCCAATGCTCTGAGTGCCTCATCCGTCAGATGGGAAATCTTCACCCTTGTCAATTCCTGCAGGCACCGCTGTAGTTCTGAGAGCGTGGGTCTCCTGGTTGGGAAAGGGAACGTGCGGATCCTCGGGTCTCCTTTCTCGATCACATTGTCTTCGTAGCCCCAGAAAATACGCTTGTTGCTCGTACTCGCGCGGATGAAGATCCGCTCACTTGCGTCGATCTCATCGGACCATTCGGTCAACAGTGCACGGATGTCCTCCCGGAGCGCTTGCTCGCCATACCGACGGAGCATCGCACCCGCGCTCTTGGCTTTCCCTTTGGCTTCGTCATTGAGCGACTGGGAGCCTCCTTGCTTTCGACGTGCTGATAGTGGTGTTAATTAATGTTATAGAATGGAATAGAAGACGTACTGGTGTATCGGTGGAAAGTCTTATGATGAATAACCTCCATTTCCTCCGGTTTAGGCTTCTGTTTCTTCTTCTTCCCCTTCCCAGTCTCTTCCTGCTCTACAGCATTTGGCCTCTTCACGCGCACTACCATGCCCGCGAAGTGTCCCCCGGCAGTCGCAAACAACGTCCACAGCCTGCCCTCCTCTCCGCCATCCTGCATCTCCTTCACCGCCTCCACATACTGAGGCTGCGTGAGTCCAGGCTCGAACACGGCGTTGTAGATCCCGAACTGGGTTACGGGTACGGTGCTGGATTGGAACCAGATTAAGGGGGTATTTGGTGTTGGTCGATGGTCTTCGGCGTCCGAAGCAGGCCGGGAGAGGGACTGGCGTTTCATTATTTGTGTGAGGGAGGCGGAGGAAGATGCGTCGGAGTCGTCGGAGGACGCAGATCCGGAGATAGAGTCGTTCAGCTCTTCATAAACGTTAGAACTTTCCATACTAGACCGAGAGAAACTCACCTTCAACAATGACGTTGAACTCGTCCTCCGACACTGTAGGCTTGCTGGCTATCCTCAGCTTAACATTGTACCGATGCCAATCGCTCTTATAGTGCTCTCTTTGCTCCTGAACATCCTCAAACCCAGTACCGCAGACGTTGCACGCGAAGGCGCTGCTGGTGTCTCTCTGTTCTTGTACAGGGGGAGGAGTAGGCTCCCTTGGCGGTGATGGCGCAAGCACAGAGGCGCGAATAGAGAGCGTATCCACGATTTCTGCAGGGAGGTTGAAGATTTGGAGTGGATGCTGCAGTAGTACATGTTTGGAGGGATCGACAGTTGCCATAGGATAGTAGAGCTCTAGTGAATATGGTAGAAAAACTTGCAAAGGCAGCACTACTTATCCTCTGGTCCTCACAGTCCCTGACAAGATCGAAGTCATGCATTGGTCATCCTATTACATCAGCAGTGTCACAGCCACGGCCGTAAGTCCGATCGGCCCTAAGTGCCTTTCACGGCCGGCGCAAGGGCGAAAGGAATGATATCATCAATTTGTCCATCTTATACTCCATATTCATATAACTCCACACCTTTATTACTCTGGTACCCAATTTATACTTCTCGGCGATGCTTGCTGTGCAACGGAAATCCGCTTCCAAAACATTGTTGTGTGGAGATGCTGATGTCGGATAAAGGAAGGAGGCGCCTGAGAAGCACAGGCCGACACAGAGGAAGATGTCCTGTTCGAAGCGTGCGGTGCGCCGTAGGCATGGCAAACTGAGAATATACAAATATGACGTTTTGGGAGCTTCTTATCTGTAATTCTCCCACTTTGCGTTGGTCCTGTTTCTCATACCCCAATTGGTCGACGTCGGCTGCTGCGCGTTTCGCCCGATTACGCGGACGATATACCCAGCATTACTCAACATCAATACATTGACATTTGACCTTCAGACCGGGTCACCGCCGTTCTTACGCACGGACGACGACGCGTTTTTTACTTCTACACGATGCTACCATTACCAAACCTAGCACCATGGTCAACAACACACCAGAAGATCACCCTTCTCGCAGTATTCACTCTCGTCTTATGTTCATCATACTACTTCATAACCCTCAACAGCCTGCGCACGCACGTCACCGTCACTTCCCGCACGCCCACCTCCTCGCCCCTTGAATTTTACGTCCATCCTTCTCTCCTCCCTCCACCCCCACCACCATGCGTCGACCTCCCAAAGCTCGAGCTCTCCCTCCCGGATGGAACGGAGATCCCAAAGCCGTATTATCCCAACGTCGTACCCCCCATCGTACACTACGTGATGTCGATGGGGGACGGGCCGACCGAGCCCCTCCAGTACTTCCAATACCTCGCGATCAGGTCAGCAATTGTCAACCTCCGACCGCAGCTCCTTCTCGTGCACCACCGACCAGGCTGCCCCCCGCACGGACCATGGTGGAACCTCATCGAGCCCTATGTCACCCTATCACCCGTTGAACCGCCTGGAGAAATCTTCGGCAATCCATTAACACATTACGCGCACAAGGCCGACGTGCTCCGAATGCAGATCATGCTCCAATTTGGCGGTGTATACCTGGATCAAGACACATTCGTCTTGCGGTCCTTTGACCGTGCGGGGCTCTTCACCCAAAGCACGGTGCTAGCGATGGAAGCAGATCCCTACGAAGAATGGGAGGAATGGGAACCAGGCGGACTGTGTAACGCCATCATGGTTTCCCGCCCAGAGGCGCCCTTCCTGCAACGATGGTTCTCGACGTATCGCACGTTCAACGAGAGCGGGCATGAGTGGGCGGAACACAGCGTTGCGATGCCTTGGGTGCGCCCTGATTGATCGTCCGGGGTGTGACATTGATGCTGATGATGATCCAGGAACTGGCGCTCACATACCCGCAGGAAGTGACGGTGCTGAATTCGCGCGCCATGTTCTACCCGCTGTGGAGCAAGGAACATATCAGGCTTGTGCATGAGCCTTCTAAGCCAGGTACAAGGGGCGGAGGGTGGGACTTCTACGAGAGCCGGCAGCTTGCGTGAGTCTTTTTCCATCAGAGCTGGCAATCAGCATCAAGCAGATCCTGACGGGAATCAGATACCATGCCTGGGAGAGCCGGTCCATGCAGTACCTCGAGCACCTCACTCCGTCCGTTGTCGCTAAAGGAGCAAATAGTTTCGCGAGGATGGCACAGGCCTTCATGACCCCCGCAGATAAGGGAATTCAGGAACAGATCGTGCTTGCTGCGAAACGGCACGGACATTGATATGTTGCTGACAGGGCGGGTGATGTTGACTGCAGGTTAGAGAATGTATCAATTTATCAGATGAGGCCCATGTCGTTTATACCATAGCTTATGTCGTTCTGTTTCTGTAGTCGGTAAAATGTAATACAAGTCCCCGAGGAAGTTCCCGATGTGGCTTCCAAGATTGGCCTTCCTGATGCTATTCTGGTGTTCGGTTGATTGACATGATGCCATCATTGTCCACGAGAGATCAGATGTACCAAGATACGAGAAATGATGTTCCTGATACTGATAACCGATCGGGATTGTCCACGTTGAGCGGGAAAAGGGGAAATCCGAGTCTTGTTTGAGTTGATCAGAGTACCAGTCCAAGGCTGTTCAAAGCATTTCAAACTACTTTAGAGCTCAACCGCTGTGCACTACTTTGTCTATCACCAGGATCCGGCGCGGAGTACTGAGGTGTGCGGCCCTTGCGCCTTATCCCACAAAGAAGCCGCGCCGTTCCGAGCGGTGGAACTAGTTCCGAATACCCCCGGTTCTATGGAATCACCGCGTGGGAAGACACCGACAGTGACCGTTAATGCGACTTGGATCTCATCACTCTCCTGCACTTTGTAGATTCAACTTGCCAATTACTGATTGTATTTATTGTACTCTACACATATACCTGGACTCTTTCATTTGGATCTAGGCAGAACTTGGTCGAGAAGAATATCAGCATCAAACGACGCGACCTTGAGCCTGCTTGCTACCTACCTACCAGCACTTGGATAATGGCCTCCAAGGTCCCAGCGCCCAAGCGGCGAAAACAACATCCCATGCTCGTGCCCTCCAGCGACGGGGACGACTCACCCGAACCGTGGCCAAAGCTCGAGCAGCAGTTGTTGGAGCTGGATGGTGCGCTCTCCCTATTGCCGTGATCATGCGACCAGACCCTGACTGTATTAGCGAACTACAAGCATCCGGAGAAGATGATCTCCAACCCGAATGTGTGGCTTCCCGAGGGGGATATGCACGTTTTTGGTGCGGCGCCGATGCATGATGAGCTGGATGTCCGGGTGTGTAAGGACTGTGGGAAACCGGTACTTGCGAGTGCTGTGGCGGCGCATCTTGGTATGTCACGGTTTGTGGTTAAGGGAATGATGCTTATGTGGAATGGTAGAGAACTGCAAGAAGATCAAGGCACTACCTGCACCTAAACAGTCCGCTAAGGCAAAGAAGACGGATACGAAGCGTACGTTTCTCGTACTTGACCACCCCACCTGCTCACAATACTTAGCAGCCAAAGTTAGCCCAGCTAAGAATGGGAAGAAGCGGAAGGCCGAGGAGGACGGGGATGACGAGGAATTGGATGATACACCTCCGAAGAAGAAGACGAAGAAGGAGAATAAGCCTCCTGGGGAGACAGGCAAAGGCGGACGATTCAAAGGTGTGCCGCAGTCCTACCTGTAGGGTTCACGTCCTTACACACCGCGGTGCTTCAGGCCCGATCAACCTCGATATCCACTGCGGTGTCATCAATGACAAGGGTGTGCCTTGCTCCCGCAAGCTCACGTGCAAGTCTCATGCTATGGGTCCCAAGCGTGCGGTCGTCGGCCGCAGTCGACCCTTTGACGAGCTGCAGCAGGAGATGCTCCGTCTTAACCCGAAGTACAAGGAACCCATGAAGCGGAAGTCGAAGGAGGAGAAGGCTGCTGAGAAAGCCAAAGAGAAGGAAGAGAAGCGGCTGGAGAAAGAGCGCGAGAAGGGGCTCAAGAACGAGGAGAAGGCTAAGCTTGCGGCGGGCAAGGCGGCGCTCAAGGCCACTACTACTACTGCCGTCAAGCCCGGTCTGGGAGGGAAGAAGAAGGGCACGGCTGCTCAGCGGGCGGCCGCCGCTGCGGCCGAAGCGGCTGAGCTGGAGGCGGAGAAACAGCTCGATTCGGAAGAAGAGGTCGACTCGCTCGTGCTCGTCGCCCAGCGGCTCAAGAAGCTCGCTCAACCGATCACCCCCGTACCTGGAGCGCCGTGGTTTTTTCTGCAACGTATGGCCAACTATGCACCGTGTAGGGATGAGTTGCTCGAGGCTCTGGGGGGTGGCCAGGCCCAGACGAGGGTCAACATGATGGGAGGTGTTCCTCAGCACGGAATGACCTTGCAACAGGCTGCGGCAGCCAGTTGAATGCGCGAACTTGTACATTGACCTTTCACTTCTGTTGTCTTATGATTCTGCGTCACCTGTTTGACCTGGGACGGTTTACCCTGTTGAGGATTTCCACGCGCTCTCCATGTACACTAGATACCTCAGATGATAATGACATGATTCCCGTCAAGATACAGACGATGCTAACATTAGCCACACAGAGTGCAAGAAGGCAACAAATACAGTTGGCAACCGCCCCGGGGACTGCCAAATGGCCAGTAGATGTAGAGATGCTACGTGCGGTCGTGGTGAATATGATGTTGGTGGGTGCTCAGGTGATGGCGGAAGTTGCCGCGATCATGGAGAGAGTCTGAGCACGGCGGTTCAGTACGAGAGAAAGAGCTCTTGGGCAGGAAACTCACCATTATTTGATTTGTATTCCATAATAGTAGAGGCAGGAAGATTAAGCACCTTCATGATCGTAGCTCTGACATTCGGTCAGCGCCTGAATGTATTTGATGAGACCGTACTCACTTGATCCCATCAATCGCGCGCTGGTCATTCCCATCCCTTGTCCAGACACTCATAATATCCTCGCCCGTCCTCACGCTGAGCACGCATCCGCAGACCTCGTCATCAAACTGATCTCCAATGACCGCAATGACGAGATCTTCCCACATCCGATCGGCGAACCCCTTGCGCAAGCGGATGATCCATTTTCCTCCCGTGATATTCAACGGGTCTTCCCAGACTGGGCGCTTGACACCGGAATGGAAGAGTAGGTAATCGGTTGTGGGAGTCAGACGTGATGGAAGTTGCAGGTGGGTCCAGATCGACCAGAATGATTCAACCTGTTCTAGAGATGAGCATCTATATTCATCATAACAGTTTACAACGCACTGAACCAAAGCTAGCAATCTTGCGGATTCCGTCCTCGTAGTTCGTCACCTTATTTCCGGGAGGGCGGTGGTGGAACCAGAAAACCCAGCTGCAACGCGTCAAGCTGTAGTCAGCATTCACGTGGACCTTCTTGGAGCAGATAAGAGCACACTCACGTGCTGCGAAGAGGATGGGGCGTCTTGTCTCCCAAAGGCGCTGTAGAAATGGTTGTACTGGGCTTGTCTGCAGGGAACTTGTCGGTAGCGAGGGAGAGCGACAGTCTGCCCGACCGACGCGCGACACTGGCAAGCGCAGGTACCATCTTTCCCCGTCCGATCCCCATAGGAGAAATCAGGGTGGTCGTCTGGCTACCGCTCCCCGGCGTGACGACGGTAGACGCGCCGCGAGCCTGTTGAGAGTGGTTGGAGAAGTAGCCATTGGACGCCATGGGCGACAGCGGGAGGAAATGGAGAGTGAAATGATAGACAGATTCAGAATATATATGCTTGCGAGTCGAGATACGGTAATAGGGCGGCTATATATGTTTGATGAATAGGTTGTTCTTCTGACCGTTGTTGGCGGCGAGGATGGCGTTATACACGATGAGCAAAGATGTAAGGACGATGAGCTCGAGCAGTTGACGGAAGCGGGGGTCTCAATTACCGTTCTGTGCAACAGGCACACGGCACGGAGCCAAATCGGACCTAAAAATCCCGCAAAATGTCCTATGTATTTCTAGCAGTTTTTTTTTGGCTTATTAATGTTGTAATCAGTTATGCTTTGTGCTTTTCGCCTGGGTTTTTGTGTAGAGCGAGGATGAATCTTGGAGTACTCTATGTATTTTCCCCGTTAACTCATTTAACTCATTAGGTCATCATTGTTGTATTCGGCATAATAAAATAGCGATTATCCAGCGTTTTTCTAGGCACACTCTTGTGACCCTTCGGGCCGGAAAACACGTAACAATTTGGTTGGTAATCGCCGAGACAATGACTTAAACCATAATTCCTTGCATATGTGTGTTTCTGGCCGCGTTCACTCGCACTGATAAGCTCAAACATCGTTCGCAGCGTGGTACCACTCCCTTCCATTGGGGCGCATGCCATGCACACAACGCCCGAGTCTATATATTTACCGCCACAGGCCCGCTGAGGAGGGTAGCACGGATAGAGATTAGTGGAACAGATGAACGAATTCGCTCCAGCAACGGGAAGACAGCCGCGTGACCAAGCAGGAGAACCTTCGGGCAGAATACTGCGGTTGGACACACTGTGTGGAGCGCGTTGTGGCCGCGAGAGCAAGCCTCCCCTCCATCAGGTGATGATATCTGGTCATCCCCAACCATATTTACTGCGTGCTACCGATGTCAAGCATCTCGTCACTCCGAGTGTCGTAACCGCAGATATGTTCAGGTCCAACATGAGGCTCTGAACTAGAATTCCTCACGGAGGTAGCGGCTTCCGGCTCCCGCCCGGGAGCACAAGAAGCTCGCCGAGGGAAGAATTCCGGCGGGCCCGTGACCGAGTGGTCAAGCTTCCAATCAGAAACTCCATTGATCGCAGGTGGAAGAGAGGTCTACGTGTCCAATAGAGAAATCTTCCAGGATGCCCTCACGCATCGCGCAAAACGTCTCTAATGCCCTTTTCGTCCGGCGTCGTCCACAATGCCCTTCATTCCTTGCGCACGGAATGTATCTAATTACATTGTCTGTCTAGGGGGACCCGCTCCTGGCTCTTTCCTCACAGTTGCTGGACGACCACGGTGCATCTTTCGCTGAGGTGGATCAAGTGCGGTGTCTGGATCTAGCTCAGATAGCAAGACCATCGGGTATGGAACTTGGTAGGTTTCTTGCAGCGTTGAGTTGAGGTAGCACTTGTCAAAGTACTTGCTGGGCACTTGATTGAATTCATAGCAAGCGGCAATTGCATGTGCACATGGTACAAGGTACTGCTGGAAGAACCGGCACGAACACATTCCCCCCTTCAATTCTGGATCCAACATCACGTCGTACTTGTCTCTGCCTGGTCCTTCGACAAGAGCTTGTAGATGAACCGATGGTGTCACTTTAAAAGTCCGGGCAGCAACACAATTGTTGGTGAAGACCTTGAGGTGCTTCGCCACGTAATCGGAATCGGTTGATGGCAGAGTGAGAGCATACGTCCGGCGCTTGTAATGGTGTGCCATCTGATGACACCATATGTAGTCGAGGAGTTTAAGCACCGGTAATTCACGAGTTTCACGGAAGACATTATTCATGACTTCTGCTGCATTTGATGTGAGTCGACCAAAGTGTGGCTCGATAAATGCATAGCTTGCCCATGCAGCTCGCTCGATGACTGCGAGATAAGGTGCTGCCCCGGGTTTGACGTTCTGATCATTGTGGACCGCGTCTAAGTGTTTGTTGAATTCCTTCTCAGTTGGCGCTTTGGCAAGGTTCCAGACGTGATCTTCAACTGGTTTGCCAAAGTGTCGGACTGCATTCGTAATGATGTGCTTGACGCAGAATGCTTGTTCAACGAGCGGAAGTTCATCCGAGATGGCTTTGAGCAAGCCCTTCTGCCGATCGGATATGATTGTGGTTGTTGGGCTATTGAGCCCGTTGAGAGATTCCTTGAGTGATTGGAGGAATGAGGACCACGTCCGGGTATCTTCTTGTCGTGCAATAGCCCATGCTAGGACAAGCAGCTTGTCTTCCGCATCATGTGTGACCGCCATGAGAAGGACATATTCGTAAGATGTCTTCGTGAATGCACCATCCACTGCGAAAAAGTGACGGACGGAACACCATGCACTCTTTGCAGCAGCCGAGCATATGAACAAGGACGTGAAGGCATGCTTTGAGTCGAGTGAAATCTTGATCGTTGCTCCGGGGTCGCAAGCTGCAAGACGTGCTGCATAAGCTGGGAGGGTTTGGAATTCCTTCAGCTGATTCTTGACGTGATTGCCAATAATCTGCCGCTTTGCTCGATAGGCTTGCTGAGGCTTAACACTGATGTTATACCGTCAAAGGGTGTCCATCACGGTTGACGTCTTGACTTGGCCATCAACAGGCATGATCTTCTTCAACTCGGCAACAAGGAACTGAGTTCGACTTGTAGCTGCACGAGGCTTGATAGCATGTGTCTGACAAGTATGATTGGCTTCAAGATTGCATACATGGAAGACCCTGTCTTTGCCCCCAACCGACGCATAGAATCCACAGCTCTCCACCCTGCACTTCACAATCAGCCGACTCTTATCACTCTTGCTAACGCGGTGGGTTGCTGCCTGGCTGTTGGAGAAGCATGTGAGAGCATTTCGAGCATCATCAAGCGAGGCAAATTCTTGCCCAATGAAGATAGTGTTGGCCATGGCGAATGAAGTGTGTACGTGTCCTCTGTTGACGCGTGATGACGCATCCCTCACTGAGGGCATGGTAGATGATAAAGGGCAATATAGACATCTGCACGACGCGCGAGGGCATCCTAGAAGATTTCTCTGTCCAATAACGGCAGCCCCCGAGAACATGGGTAAAAAATATGTACACCCCTGATATGTGTGACGTCGTGCACTCATTTCAATCGTAGGAAGACTAATTCGAAATGCCGCTGACTTTTAAAGCTTACATTCGGCTCGAATAGGAGGCTGCCAACGTGTTCGCGGATCTAGTAATATTCCTAAGGACGGAACCCCTTTGACATTCCTTCTCACACTCCCTTTGCTGGTCCTTCACGCTTTCAGTTCCTGAGGACCCATTAACCGGAATTATAGCACCCGACGCCAATGTGCCCGAACCACGGATTTGCAACAGACTAAGTGACCCGCGCTGTTGTCACGATGCAAGCCCTTTGAGGGACAGAATAAAAGATCAGCTCACACCTATGTTCAAGCACCACACGGCATGGCTTTCTATATCCCCCTTCAACCGGACCCGCAGCCCCTCCAGAGAGGCGCCTTATATGTTGTGTTATTTCACCTTCCACCATTACATCCACCCCAGTACCACTGGGCACTCGGCTTCATATCAGCAGCCGGCGAGGTGTTTTCATACCACGCAGCTGACGAAGAACTGAGAGGAAGATCTCCAACACAAAGTGAGACTTTCGAGATCTCACTCGCGCATGAGACTAAGTGTGGTAACCTTGCAGAGTGGATCTATGAGCGAAGAGCAGACGGGCCTTGGTACGAGGCTAGATCACGGCATGTCGCAGTAATGATTGGTCGCTTCGGAGGAGCTGAGCCCATGTTGGCCTCGATGTTAGCATCTGTACCTCTGATGGCAGCCGAAGAAGATCGTGCAGAGGCGTCTGAGTTTGGATATCGACTTTGGCTGCGAGCTGCTGTAAGGCTGCTGGTCGCTAGGCAGATCGTTCAATTTCGTGCTCCTAACGACGCAGCAGTCCTCGAGTCGGAGTGCTTATTTATTGGTGACCAGTATCATGAACGCTTGCGGCCAGGGCTGAGGCTCTGGGATGTAAGCTGGCCTCTTTTTGTGACTCAGTCAACGCTAGTCATATTATGACGCCGAGGTTTCTTTCTCTGGAAAACTTAACCTGGGGAAGGGTAGCGTTGTATGATTTTTGTTTGTTGTCCAGTTACAATCCAGTTACAGATACATGCACCGTCCTAAACCATGATCAAAAGAGGCTGGAACGGCAAGCTCAAAAGTGGAAAAATCCCTTCTTCTTTCCATCCTTCCTATCCTCCTTTTTTTCCTTCTGCAATCTCGAACTAATTGATGATGGCGGGGGGGTTAGGGCAGTCGGCTCCGGAGTAGCTTCACGCGAAGGGATGCTGGAAGATGACAAAACCCGTGCCTTGGAACGAGGCGTGAGATTGGACGATGAAGGTCGAGTGGCAGCAGGAGCATCCCGAATCCAGTATCGACGATCGTAACTTGCTTGGTAAGACCGATGATGGTTTGGTGGACTGGGTTGCAACTGGAGGCCCTGGGGTAATTCGGCAGATCCCTTTCCGCCGATTTCTATCACTTTCATGTCATCCACAAACTGCTCCGGGCTGAACACATGAGTGGAGCCTGCATCAGATTATCAGATGCAAGTCTTTCCCACGATGATCCATTTTCCGTACCAATGAAGATGTCTTTACCCAGAGCCGCGGAAACCTCATAGACAGTTCGCATCTCGGAGTAGGTCATACCACCAGCTATGAAGACTAGTGCCCGCTGTCGAATTTCGGCAACTGGTGCGCCGGCCCTCTGTGCACGAGCCCAGTTAGGTTTCGCACTTCTCAAAGAAGCCGCGGATGTTGGATTGGCCGGACTGCGCAGCTGCGAGGCTTGTATGGTTGTTACTGGTGCGTCACGAACATACGGGAAGAATGTCATTTCCAATTTATTGGCGAAATGATCCTGATGAACCTCATATGAGATCTGATCAATCACAGTTGTAGACGGGCGGACCTCAAGCACCGTTTTAAGGACCGGGCGATATCTGGATAGCTCATATTGTTCGTCGTCACTGGTCTTGACTTTAGATCGTTTGCGATTACCGTCGTTTGCTCCCTTGACAGGTGATCAGGATTGATCAATCAGTGAAGCCGTGATACTCACACGCAAGATCCTTGCCCCAAGGTGCACCAGGCTATTGACTGCATCTTGTTCAGCCATGGTCAACCGGGCATGCTGGAACAGTCGCCGTCGATCCTCGTCCGCCACACCATCTCGATACAAGATGTAGAGGGCAATGATGCGGACTTTATCACGGTTGCTGACATATCGATCATCCAACAGAGGCACCATCTCCTCCACTAGGGTTTTGGGAGACTTGCCATCTGTGTTTAGACCGGTCGCGCAGCATTGTTCCACATTCGCTGTGAGAGGCAGCTTCTTTCGCTCGAAGAGAGCCATGCATTCTTGAGCAATGTTGAGATGAGTGGAGAACTGTCGTATGTCAGCAAAATGTACTAGTTCTTCGCGTCTTAGCCTACCCTTTCTCGCTGTTCCTGATACTGAGGCAAGCTCGCAAGCATGTCCTTCATGTCGTTCAAACTCGTGGCGCCGGATCTGGTGATATGATATGGTCAGACGATGGCAAAATGATGGTCTGGATGGTCCATACCCTTCCTTGAAGCCAGCATGCTCCTCGAGGAATTTGTTGAAATCCTCCATGAGTTTATCAATCGCTTCTCGCATGTGCATATGTCGGACTTGTGTCCAAACTTGATCGGCATCCGAGAGAGTTGCAATCTTATCCTCTGATGCTCCAATGGAGGATTGGAACTTGTATCTGCGCAATTAGATTGTCTGTAGGTCCCTTGATAAAATTGCTTTGAAAGATCACTAACCTGTATTTGGTTCCATCCTCGATAGGGAGCAGATCCACCGCCATCGCTTGATAGGTGAACTCGTGTAATAATGGCGCGTATAAATCCATGGTACGATCAGTAATGAACAAAACTCCTCTTGGTCGAGGCGCATTAGCAGATTTCTACTCTAAGTGTTCAGTCACGTCCTTTGGCGTACGCAAGAGCAGAACGCACAGGAAATTCGGGATTCGTTCTACGGTACTCATCCAAAGCATCTTGCACCATGTACGCTAGTCGCTTGGAGATATGATCGTCCACAACTTCAGCTTGCGGCTGTGCTTGTCGCGCGCCCTTCCAACGAGAAGAAGAGGTCGACTCAGGAACGACCGGCTCGGGAGGCTTGAGAGGGCCCAACCCACCGTGGGTAGATGGCTGATGGTATCTAATAAGGGGGAATTCTTCAAGTTGAATACAAGCATTCACAATCTGTCAGAGATCATTTAGCGAGGCCTTGACAATTCAGGCGACTGGAGCTTACGCAACGGCTTGTGAACCATAAATCATCTTCAAAACGCTCGTAGGCAGCCTGGAATAAGGCTTGGGAAGGTGGAGGACTGAAGAAACTGAAGAAAAAGTCGGGATGCTCTAAGCTCAAGACTTGTTTCTCCAATGCTGTCAGTGTGTGAGTGTGCCTTTCAAGCTGGATAGATAATAAACGCACGCCAAAAGTTTATAGAGAGCTCAACAAGCTGGCGGAGGAAGGGTTCCGCAGCTGAGGCGGTTAAGCGCTGGAAGAGAGGTTCTGGCAAGCCTGGAATGCCTATTCAAAATTCACGACGACATGAGAACACACGGGTCAGACGCACCTTCAATGAAGAACAGGTGCGCAGCAGCATACTGCTGCTTCCCACTCGAGAAATCGTTGATAATCCTCTCTACGTTCTGGGTCGTCGGCATGACAAGGTACATTGCCTCCAGATTCGGCTGCAGTGTGCGGTTGCTGTTGATGGCGTCGACCTCTGTGCAAGGAAGCAGACGTCAGGGGATCTCATGCAACGAAAATCCCGATAATGACTACGCACGCGTAACGTTCTCTTGCAGGATATCGAACATCTTCAGCGTAGCCCCAAGCAGCTTCTGCGAGTGCTCGTCCACAACCACGATCTTCCATCGTCCGGCGGGGTTCACGGATCGGATAGCATCAAGAAAGCCTACAATAACGAATCATATTCCACAACACAATAGTGCAGATATAACTCGTACGTTTACGGACTATTTCGATGAGAGAAGACATGAGTTGGAGAGAAAATCAAGAAGGGAACGGTATAGGAGAGCAGGTATGTAAGAGCGCGGAGGTAGGGTACTTCGCGACCCTCCCGGCGGGAATAGCTCCGCTGACGTCTGGCCAAATGCCGTTTCCTTGCTGCGTAGCATCGCCCATGGCACGGCATTTCGCGGGCTTTGTTTCGTTTCACGGAATGATATCGGACAGGATGAGAATTGTTTTGCGGAATCCGTCATTTATTGTCAAACAGCTGTGGAAGATAGTCCAGACTAACGTGATGGATAAGGAATACAAGAAACGATGTCGTGGAGGCGAAGGATTAGAGGGGTGTGAAGAATGCAGGAAGATATCTACAAGAGCAGAACAGCTCCAAACATCACACCTACGAGGAGCAGGAGCCTGTCGACCCATGCCATGGCCAGTGAGAGGGCTCCGCTCTTGACACCGGAGCTGCCAGAGTTACCGGACCCAATGGAGCCTGATCCAGGGGTGCCTGTCTGACCAGGTGCACCGACAAGCGAGCCAGTTTCTGTCGCTGCGTAACCTCCTGCAGCCGAAGTGCAGGACGATCCACTGCATTGCCAGGGAGAGGTGTTATTTCCTGCATTATTCAGACCGCCGTCTCTTGCACGGAAGGGAGATGTGGTAGCGGTCTCGACATATGCTTCTGATGCGAGCAGAGCCCAGCATTGAGAGATGGAATCGAGCTACAGGAGCACATCAGCTGTCTAGAACTATGATATACGATATGAAAAGGCATACAGTAAACTTCGGGATGTGCTCAAGAGCGTAGGGCAGGATGTACCCAACGGCAAGGTCCACCGACTGCGCATACAGGTCGTGTTCCAGGACAATAAAGCCGGTGTCGATCTGCTCCGCTTCGGTCATGATGGCCTCGAAGTTGGCGAGGCACTGAGTGCCATTGGTGTCGCCACCAGCGATACGCCAATCATCAGTGTCGAAGTTCTCGTTTCCGTATGAGGTCCACAGGATGGGACGCAGACCCATGGCAAGGCAAATGGCGCGGACACGGTCGTCGATGTCACCGTACGGGGGACGCATGCTATTGGGCGTCACACCGATGGAGTCCCTGATGATCTGACGAGTCCAGCCGAGCTCGGCGACGATCTCAGCATTTGTGAGGGTGGTCAATGGGGGATGGGACCAAGTATGGACAGAGATCATGTGCCTGCATATGTTCAGCATTGTTACTTCGATGCAGACATTGTGGCACATACCCAGACATGTACTCGGCTTGCAGGATATCCGAACGTCCAGGAACGCGGGAACCGATGACGAAGAACGTCGCCTTGATATCCTCCTCGTTCAGGAACTCTAGGATCTTGGAAGTGTACGGGCTAGGACCATCATCGTAGCTAACACCCCATGTGTACTTGTCAGGGCAGACAGTGAGATCGTCTGGACGCGAGCATTGACCGCAAGTCCACCAGCAGTTGCCTGCGGCCGTCGCGTTCGCCGCCGCCTCAGGGTCATCCAAGCAGGACCCGTTGATTGTAGGGCGGATGTCGGGAATGTTCCAGCCTATGTCTACGGTCAGTGATGTAATAGGAAAGCCTGGCAGTAATGTTTACCATCAAGCTCTTTTAACCATTGCTGGACTTGCGGAGAATCCGTGGGAGGAACTTGATCCTGGGGAGGATACCCAAGGGTGATGATAGTTGCTAGAGACTAAGTGAGCGCTTATTATTATATATGACCTCTGAACACGTACCGGAGGGCAGAGGGGGAGCACCAGCAAGGGTTGGCTGCTGCCCAGCCTGGTAGGTGGTACTCAAAGCCATTGTAGATGGACTAGGGTTGTTCATTGTCAGCTGGCTAAGCGGGGCATAGGTCACGTCCGTGGGGAGGGAGACGGAGACGGTGGAGTCTTGCTGACGCGCTTGGTGTGCCCGGTGAGTATGGTGGGCGTCGAAGCGGCGACCATGGGCGTTGACGGATCCGGAAAGGAGTGCCGAAGCGATGAAAACGAGTGTAGAGACCTGCATTGTGACAGGAGAACAATAGGAACAGATAAGGTCGAAAGTATCAATCTACTAGTAAGGAGTGTTGCGGTGAAAAAGAGTGTAATGTCGTCGAAAAGAGCGAGCGTCGCGTTGAGGAATCGACTGGAGAAAGAGGGGAAGAGGGAGATGGCGCTGAAGAGGGGACCAGGGAACATTCAGTTCCGCCTCCATCGGAGCAAAAGCTAAGAGAAAAACAGGATGGAAGGTAAAGGGAGAGCGGAGGCATTATTGGTAAGAGTTGGCATCTTGGCACTTCCGTTCTTCTGTGCCAAGCACTGATCAGACAGGGTCCGTGCCTTGAGACAGCCACGCGGTAATTCAGTTACCAAGCATGGACAACCGGCTGTTACCTCCGGTTCCCTTTCCTTCTCCCTGGTTACGCGCCCATTTCGGAAATGCGCGCGTGAATATGTCCTTCGACAGAGTCATCATTCATTATTTGCGTTACATATGTACACAGACTTGCTCTTCATCCCCGCTGCAGACGATGCTAACGTTGCGCAATAAAAAAAAAGAATAACAATCATAAGCACACACATGATGGAAGGAAAACAAAAATGAGAGCAAAGCGAAGCCAGAGATCACACGGCAACGGGCATACAATATACGAAGCGAACAAATCACCGAGGAACGAGAGAAGCAGAAGCTTGGGACATGTTGTACGTCTGACCAGGAAGGACACCCGTTGCCAGCTTGACGCAGAAAACCCGATCCTCGGAGACGAGGATTATCTCGTCTCGTCCGTTCTGCGCAGGCGGTGGTCGCATGTGGGGCGGTTGGGGCATGCCTCCCATCGTGTATAGGTCGTAGCCAGGTCGTTGCGTGCCGTATGGAGGCAGTTGGCCATTGTAGGAGTTTTGGGGTATCGGCGACCGCTGAGGAGGTTGAGAAAGAGAATGTGAATGGCTGGCAACAGTTGGCGGCGAATCAGCGAACAAACAACGCAGGTTGTTGCCGGGTATAATCTGGACAAGGATACCAGTTTCGATGTGCCGAACCTCGATAAATGTTGGCTCGAATGCCAAAACGTAGGGATAGTGTAAAGCAAAGGCGCTTGGAATGCCTTCCCAGTACACGATCCAATGAGGCCTGGATCTCCAGCCAGACTTGTTGACAAAGAAGGCGAATTCGTCGTAGCATAGTAAAAACTCTCCGTCAATGCGATAGATCGCAATCGGCTTGACGTTCTCCCTCTTCTGAACGAAGTCGAGCGACACGTCCGCGGGATCAAGTAACCCTTGGGTGTCAAGCGTTTCGAGATCAACGATCTCGAAGCCCTTCGTGCACCCGACGCAAAGCTTCGTTTTGAGGAAGTGCAGTGAGCTTGACTCTGTTGGAATATAGAATTCCTACAATCAGGGTCATCAGAAGTGTTTTGAGACGAAAATAGATGAAGCTTGCCTTGAAGACCTTGAGCGTGTCATTTCCCCCCTGGAGGAGCTTGCGAAACGTGGGCTTGTTCTTGCCGCGAACCGTCTGGTCGATCGGCTCCAGCACCTTGATAGTGCTGGACAAGGAGGATGCTTTGACGACACAGACAAAAGTCCGCCCAAGGCAAATGCCAGCCTTGAAGAACGAAGTATGAGAAGCAACTCGCTTAGCCCGGCGAAGACCAGCGATTGGATCTGTGTAGTCCAAGGCATCCAGCGGGAAGGTCATCACCGTTCTTTCGGACAGAACAATAAGAAGCTGATACTCCTCCAGAACATCGACCTGCGTCACGTCTGGGATAGCTAACACTTTGAGGGGGTCCTGGGTGAGTACCCGGACGTCCGAAATGTATACGCCATCATCGGTGCCGTAAGCAACCTTGTTGCCTCCGCCTATTGAATGTCAGCACATGTGCACGCATCTGATAATCCAACAGCGTACTGAATGGACAGGCACACAAAACCTTATTAGCACCCACGAAGAAGTTCTCACTGAGAGTGACCATGTCAAAAATTGCGCTCCGATCTCGCAAAACCTCCTGCCGCTTATAGATATTCTCCAACCACTTCTTCCGCGATATCGGCGTATTCGCATAGAGGGTCAGGTTATATCCCTTTCGCCCGAGGTGGACGAAGGTAATGGGAAAGCCTAGCCCGTTTGCTTTCGTGGACGATAATGGGGCTGGAGAATTTCGACCGAGTGAATTACTGCGACCTTTCACCAGGGCCGACTTCGTCCTAGCAGAGCTGGTTCCTTTGGTAGGTCGATCGTCGTCCGCAATGATGATTAACAACTCCAAAGGAATTGGCTGCAACCCGTCAGCAATTATGAGACTTGTGAAGAATTCGAGATACTCACCTTTCGGTATACCCTCAACTGCTCGCTTTTGCTGTTGCTTTTCGCCTTCACCATAAGAAGTGCGTGATCAAACAAGAAAAGCTGAAGGTCCTCCCCAGCACCAGAACTTCCATTCTTTGGACTAAGGGCACCTTTATAGACCAGCTCTCGATTTTCATCTCGGAGTCGTAAATCCTGGATGACATTAACAGCCAATCGGCTTCCGAAGCATCATTACTTACCGCCTGCTCCCCAGGTCGGAACACGAGGTGTTGGTCCAATTGCAGTAAACTGAACCGGTTCTCTGCCTTGCCAGTTTCAAAGTTGACCTCAACGAGGAACTTTCGGATGATGGCGATCACTTCAGGGAGGACAGTTTTATCAGGGTTGTCTTCAGGGGTATACTTGAGCACTACATCCAATAGCAGGGGATAACGCGCCAGTCGAGTGGTTGGCTTTGTTAAGTAACCATTGAGCTCTAACTTGCGCGACTCTGGAAGTCGTTCGGTTTCCTGCGATAGACTTAGTCATTGTCGCCTCCTTCAAACACAGAGAACGCTTACATCAACGAACTTGGCAAATGCAGGATTAGATGTCCTCTCCCTCTCGAACTCAGCTTTGCCATAGAGCTGGTGTGCACCATAGGTGACAAAAGGTCGAAAGTTTCGCACATGCTCTATGAGAATGTCACTTATTTTTTCGACGATGGCGAAGCCCTTTTGTCGTTTGTTCAGGGCATCCCGCAGCTTGCTGTTCACAGCGATGATCTCCGATATATTCCAGAACACCTGTTGCAGGAAGTCCGTGCGTCGAGGTTCCTCAATAACATCCGACGTCGACAGCGGCTTGTACCAGAACTTGCATACGATGTTAACTCAGGTCTCTTTGGTCAGAAAGAGCACTCACGTCTCGGAGGTACTCCATATCTCGCACAAAATCACGCTCTGTGTATATGACTTCGTTAATTGCCTCCTGGCGCTTCTTCTCGGTCTCTGAGACCTTGTCGATAACCTCTTGAGGAACTGAATGGATCCATAAAGTCCCAGGTTCCTGAAATAGACGGCATGTTATTAGGCTATTTCAGTAGAGCGTAAATGCGACGCACAATCAATTCCGTCTCCGGCTGATAGTCCTCGTTTTTCAGGACCGGCTCGGGCTTCATGTTCAGACGTGACTGTTGCTCCAACCGACGAGGACACGCAATGGAATAACAGAGCGAGTCCCTACTGCATGTGGGGGAATAGCATTCTGTTAGGAGGGTGAAAACGCCCGTGGGAAGTGGAATGTTCTCCTCTTCACTCGCTGGCGTGGGAGGCTCCGCCATGGCTAGAGGTCCATTCATGTCAGAGTTAGGTGAAGCAACTGCGTATGTTGAATCGCCGGGGCTAACCAATGTCGAACTGGCAGCCGACGCTGGTCGAAACGGCCGTACGGTAACGGTTTCGCTGTCGGACATGATACTCTCTGGTGAATGGACTGCATGGACAGAATGAACTTGTTCCTTGCTGACGAAAGGACTCTGTAATCGATGCTGGAACTGGTATAGCTCCTGAGATGAATCGCGCAGACGATGTTCGTACGCAACATCGTGGAAGAATTTCTGAGAATCAAGGGCACGACCTAGGAGCAAGGCAAGATTGCGATCCGTCGTTCGGATGATATATGCCAGCTTGTCGACGGCCTCTCGCCCATCAAAGGCGTCTGGGTACGCCAAGCCATCCTTGACGCGCTCTGATAGCCCTATTCGCTCTCGGAAAGCCTGTGCCACTCGGGACAGGAGTGCAGCAGGTACTTGAACGGGACGTGCTTCTTTGTAGTGGCGGGGTGATCGGGGGTGGATGGATGACATGGATGGGATGGGTGGAAGGGGTTGCTGTGAGCCTGAATTCGAGAACGCATGTCCTGAAGAAAATGATCGCGTGCGCTCGCTATTAGGAAGAACAGAACGATGTCCACGTGAGCCAATATGCGGAAGCGTGCGTGCGGATTCGGAGGAACGCCGAGGAGTGCCGGGCAGTGCACCATCTACAGGGCTTTGAGGGGTGCTGGGTGACGGAGAAGAGTTCCCAGAATAATGGTCCATAGTGCTTGGAACATACGCGCTTTGGGCATACGTAGACTCTGTTGCTGAATTGGCAACAGAATTGATGGAGGGGCGACGAGAGTGAGGGCCACCCCTCTGTCCTTGCATGTGGACGAGAGACGAGGATTTGGATGGTGCTACTGCATGGTCAGTTTCTGACATGTGATTATGAAATCTGAGGACGCACGGGTTGCATTCCCATTCCCATTTTCCCCTTCGCTAGTCGCAGTCGTATACCCACTAATCCTGTCCGATACCCCAAATTCGCTAATATCCGATACAGAGCCTGACGTAGTAGTGGCGGACCGAGGGTTGGTGCCATCGTAAGAGATGCCGCGTTGCAACGGTGCTTGAACTTGCATATTCGGACCGGAAACGACATGAGGAGGCTGCCAACCATTCTGTCGCATTTGCGGTATGTTCATGTAGACTTGCTGCTGATACGCTTGGGCAGCAGTCATCCCCCCGCTGACGCGACGACCCAGTTGACCAACCATTTCATTTGACTCGTCGGGAGGCGATGCAAGGACGCCCGCCGTGCCCGGTTCGGCGACTGACCTCGCCCGTGTTGGGGGTCCCATATTGGGTGCAAGAGTGCTTTGGCGATACGCTGAAGGTGGTGTGGGCGCATAATACGGTTGCATCGGTGCTACTGTATATTGGGCTTGCCGTGGTGTCTGGTCGGGGGCGACTTGAGCCGGACCATAGGCAGCCTGATAAGCGCCCCGAATATCCTGCTGTGGGTAGCGATACGCGGGTTGTTGAGCGTACATCTGAGGATAGGCAGCAGTGTTTGGTGGGAAGTTGTTGTATTGAGGTACGGATGGAGCGCGTTGGTACTGCTGTTGGGGAGGATTAGAGGGACCGGATTGTTGTTGTTGGTGATGGTTTGCGGAAGGGCGACCGAATATTGATTCGAAAGCTTTATCTCGCTGGTCCGCCCTTACGGCAGGACGTGGTCCATAAGGACGGTCCATATCGACCAAAGAAAGAGAAAAGGGAGATGAAAGAGGAGGAGCGAGAAGATTCCAAGTGGAGAGAGAGGGAGCAGAGGTGCTGAGAGAAGCGTGTGTGTTTGCTGCCCCCTTGCCTTGCCCTTGACATATGAGAGGGTGTCCCGACGCGGAGCCTGATTTGCCCGCCCTTCAATGGCGCTAGGCTATTCCAGGCGAAATAATCAATTCACACACAATATTAATCCTCTCATCGGTGGGTTTGGGTAAACTTATCAACTTAAAACTTGCTTTGCTAACAGAGGAAAGACCGGGAAACTTATTCCGTACAAGTCATAATGCCATCGTCATCAAACGCATGGAAGAGAAGCAAAGAATCAACATTCTCTTCCTGTACCCATCATGAATGACATCGTCGGCTTCATAACTCGCGACCAGCACGTGTGATCCGTCGCCGCCTTTCTCTTCCCCTCTCCTCCAGAATGCCGGCAACATCTTACAATGCCTGACCTCGAAGCAGTATATCCTGGACGACCATGGACCTTGTCCCTTGTTTCTTGTCATATTTCCCTTGTATCTCTACGATCTATCCATCCAACTGTATCTCGGTTCGTGTCTGCTTGGCCTCCAGGTGGCCTCCCAACAGATGGGCCGCGGAATCTCCCGAAGGGAAAGCCCACCCGCACGTGATGGCCGTCCCCGGTTGCTGAATTCATCCTCTGACGTAGGCAGAGATTCGCCGTGGCACCTATTCCGTAAGCCAAGTCGGGTGGCATTCATTATTTAGACTCGCACGCAGACTTCGCATGATTGGGTCCGAATCTGTAGTGACCTAGTTTAGAGACAAGTAGCGAGTTTATTGAAGTAGACAACAGACTGCGGCGAATGTCTGATGGTTTGGCAAACAATCACTGGTCGTGTGATACTCTGCCGAGACGGTACGCACAACGGCACCGATCATTGCTCGGCTCAGTCGATGTTCCTACTGCAGGACATTTCAGATCAAAGTTCATGACCAAGGGGTCCAGGAACATGTAATTGCCAGCCTTAGAACGCGGCAAGCCGGAGAAGCCCTCTGTGAATTCCTTAACCCCGGAACGGCGGATAGTCCGAGAAAGCGACCAGAGTCAGGATATGAGCATGACCGTAGACGTCTTTGGCACTGTATGCGAAGATAGTGAGGAGCAGGTTGAGAGACGCGCGTCGAACAGGCATTCTTGCTCCATGTACACGAGACGGCGGAATACCTCGTTCGAGTCGAAGGGTCAGATTTGCTTAGTGGTTAGAACGGAATTCAAGCTCGTATATGGTTGACAAAGGGGGTTCGATTCCCGCTGCATAGTATATGAGCGCCAAAAGCATAGCTGATGTGGAAGCGGGCCGGTGAGTCGATTCAAAGCATAAGTAGTGGGCGGGAGCAATTCAGCACGATATCCACTAGGCGGTCCCCTATCTGGCATCGTCACCTCTTCCCCAGTTCAACGAACGCTGTTTGCAACACTCACGGTGGTTTGAACACATTACTTAGAGGGTCAATAGCGCAAGGATGGCGGCGCCGGACCCCTCAGATCCGATATACAAGCAATTCCAATTGATGAGGACGAAGTACGCATACACCAGACCTCCTCAGTAACGAACCTGATCCCCGACGCGTAGAGATGAGAGAGTCAGACAAGCAGCAGGCGCCGAACTCAAGGCGATGGTTCGCACTCCTAGAATTGAGCTTGCACACACCATTGACTTGTGGATAGGTTGCGGCGTCCATTTCGGAGCTCTCGCCCGACGCTGTGGGCAAGTTCTGGAATGACAGAGTGATGCCCCGCGTCTTTGAGCTGATTCGGAGCCAACAAGCGCATGAAGCTCTGGCAGGCATATATGTTACTGGTGCGTCACGGAGCGTTGCAGTGAGAATGTGCGCTCATGTTGCGCAGAGCTCATGAGCGAGATTCCTCGAGATGACAAAGTCGAAGGCGAGCGAACTTTGTTCCGATTTTGGAACTACATACGGCCCATGCTGCCCAACAATGACCCTGTGATCATGGTCGCTGCGGCGCACGCTCTGGGTGTCATTGCGGAGAGAGGAGGTGCAAACTTCGCCGACCATTTCATTCCATTCGAAGTACCTCGCTCGATTGAAGTGTTACAGCCGGGACAACCAGAAAGTCCGAGATGGGTCGCCGTGCTGGTGTTGAAAGAACTGGCGAGGCGGATCCCTGCGTACTTCCATACGCAGGTCTTCCAGGTGCTGAACAACATCTGGGTCTTGCTGAGGGACACACGAGTACGCCCTTGTCTGTCTATATACCGGGAACAATGATTGAGTGTGTTACAGGTCCAAGTCCGTGAAGCGGCAGCAGAGCTCCTGTCTGCTTGCCTCGAGATCCTGAGGGATCGCGACCGTCATCTGAAGGATGCTGCGTTCATGAAGCTGGTGGTTGAGGCAACCCAGGGTTGCCAAAGCTCCAACGTGGAGTCGATCCACGGCTCCCTGCTTGCGTTCCGCTCGTTGTTTTTGAGTTCTGATATGGTATGTCCTTGTTCGACGCACCCAAGAACACTGTTTCATAGACGATTCGCAGTGCTTGCGTGACTCCTACGTCGATTCAATGGAGCTCGTTTGGAGATACCGCGACTACAAGGATCCCCTCATTCGGCGCACTGTCGTTGGTCTGTTGCCGACCATGGTATTCTACGATACCCAGAGCTTCAGCACTCACTTTTTGCACCGTGTCATGGGATATCTCATGGCCCAGCTCAAAAAGCCCGTAGAAAGAGGGTCAGGTAGGCATTACTCTGCTTCTTGAGTTCTTTCTGTATCTTACAAAGTCCCTTCAGCCTTCCTTGCAATTGGGCACATAGCGCAGGGCGTGACTAGCGAGATGAAGATCTTCCTCGACGGTATTGTAGCAGCCATCAAAGACTGTCTGCAGCAGCACGGTTCCAAGCGCAACGCGCCCCCGGAAGAGTCCATCTTCCAGTGCATAGGTTTCCTCGCGTCCGCCGTCGGGCCAAACCTCACTCGGCTGCTGCATGATATCCTTGATCTTATGTTTGCATGCGGACTGAGTGAGGCGCTGCGTCAGGCACTCGAGGATATTGTCAGACATATACCGCCCATGCTCAGGATTATTCAAGGTTTGTCAACTTGCTGCAGTTGTTGCCACCTGTGCTTAGTCACTTTAGATCGTCTTTTGCATCTTCTGAGCCAAGTCCTGTGTGGGCATCCGTACAGGCCGCCGAGTGTTGCATCCTCCGCGCATGCTACGCATAACGCTCCCATGCCACGTGAGGCTCCAGTGGTACGTCCTGCTGTCATTGACAGCATTCTCTGGTATAACCCATTGTCTAGGGTGTCCCCAACAAACGAGACCAGGACATCACCTTGGCTCTGACAACTCTCGGGACCTTTGACTTCACAGGTTAACAAATCTTTCAGCCCATCGAAAGGGTTTTCCTGATGTTGTATGCAGGACACGCACTAAGCGACTTCACAAGGACTTGTGCCCTGCCCTATATTGAGGATGATGACCCAAAAATCCGCCAAGAGGCGGCATTGACTTGCTGCCACTTGTTCATGAGAGACCCAATTTGCCACCAGACCAGTGTACATGCGATGAGGATCATCAGCGATGTCTTGGACAAGCTGTTGGCCGTGGGTATCGCAGATCCAGGTATGCGCCTCCTCAATTGAGACATTTCCGCCAACGGCTCATCATTCTCGAAGATGCCTATACGAGGCAGAGAGTCTTAGGTGCGCTCGATGAACGCTTCGATCGTCATTTGAGTCAAGCAGAGAATATTCGCGCTATTTTCATTGGCCTGAATGACGAGGTATTTGCCGTGCGGCAGATAGCTGTGAAATTGGTCGGGCGTCTGGCTAATCATAATCCTGCATGCGTGATGCCACCCTTGCGCAAGGCCATAATTCAGCTGCTGACGGAGATGGAGTACTCTGCTGTGACGTGAGTCCACATGTTTAAAGATGGCTGCTTGGGTTAATGTCTATTTCTTTAGCCGTGATAAAGAGGAGAGTGCTCGGCTTCTCACCCTACTGATCGGTGCCACTCAGCGGCTTATCAAGCCGTATGCAGTCCCGGTCTTGAAGGTCCTCTTGCCAAAAGTCAAAGACAAGAGCACAACAGTCGTAACACAAGTTCTGAACTGCTTGGGCGAACTCGCGGTCGTTGGAGGCGACGACTTGAGCCCCCATATTAAGGACATTATGGAGCTCATTCTGACCAATCTTCAAGACCAGTCGTCATTTGCGAAACGAGAAGCTGCCTTGCGAGCGCTCGGTTCCTTCTGCTCCCACACTGGATATGTAATCGAACCATACCTTGACTACCCCCAGATCCTGCCGCTCCTCATCCGATTTTTGAATGAAACAGAGCGGCGGCAAGAGTTCAGGCGGGAAGTCATCAAGGTTATGGGGATTCTGGGGGCTTTAGACCCTTATAAAGACAAGGTCTGTCAACCCTTTTCAATCGCAGCCCGGACCTGACTGTCTTTCAGCTGTCGAACAAGCGCATGGATGACGCGATCGGGCATGCTGCCGTGACCCACAACATTTTCGATCTGGCATGGCTGATGAACACTGCGGGTGCGACTTCTGACGAATACTTCCAAACAGCCGCTATGAACTCTCTAGCCAAGCTGTTGCAAGATAGCTCGTTCAGCGACAGACACACTAATGTCATAGAGAGCATCCTTGCCATCTATCGAACGCAGGGCCTGAAATGTGTTGCCTTTTTGCCTCACGTGAGCAACGCGGAATATCTTTGTTCACGTTCTCACAACAATTTCTAGATTATCCCAGCCTTCTTGGCGGTGATTCGGTCACCTGTAGCGACTGCCCACGATTTCTACATATCCGAACTATCCAAACTTATCGGGATCATCAAACAGCATATTCGAGGATTTTTACCAGAAGTTGTTGCTCTCTTCGGTGATTTGTGGCATATCGAGCATCCGCTACCACCTCTCGTCTCGCTTGCAGAGGCTCTCGCGAAGGCCCTAGAAGGAGAGTTCAAAGTACACCTACCCGCCATTCTGCCCAAATTGCTGGAAGCGCTGAGTGCGAAAAGCACAGATGTGCTTACCCTCCAGACAAACGTCTTGCACGCCTTCTACACCTTTGGCTCAGACATTGAGGAATACATGCATCTTGTCCTTCCTGCCATCTTACGTACCTGTGAAAGTACCGAGGCAAGGGTGCAGTTGCGCAAGTCCGCAATTCACACCATTGGGCGACTGTCCAAGAAGGTCAATTTTGCAGATCATGCCTCTCGGATCGTTCACGCACTGGCTCGTGTGTTAATGGGCTCTAACCAAGAACTACGAATGGCTGTCATGGATACGCTCTGTGCGCTCCTTTTCCAGCTCAACTCGGATTTTACCGTGTTTCTTTCCATGATAAACAAGGTATGTGTCCGGATCTCAATATGGTCGTCTAGCCCGGTCTCATTTCCGCCTGCAGCTTGTAGTGAGATATAATATCCGCCACCCAAATTACGACAAACTGGTCGGCAAACTACTAAACGGCGAGCCCTTACCACCTGAGTTTGGTCAGATCGAGTCGTACGTCGGGCTGGAAGACATTTGATTTGGTGCTGATTTGGCCTCAGGTTTGATCAAGATAAAGTTGAAGCTAGCGCTCCTGCTGAAATCACGAGGCTCACTGTGAATCAACAACACCTGAAACAGGCCTGGGATGTGTCTCAAGTGTCCAATGCTGAAGATTGGATGGAGTGGATTCGGCATTTAGCTGTTGAACTCCTACGGGAGTCTCCATCCCATGCCCTGCGTGCTTGCGCAGGAACCGCATCGACTCATCTTACCCTGGCTCGCGAACTCTTCAACGCGGCGTTCATTTCTTGCTGGGGCCAGCTCTACGATACCTATCAGGTCGGCCGTACTTTACCGAGCCGAAACTACTACTAACCATATTATAGGAGGACTTTGTCCGCTCTATTGAAATTGCGATCACTACGCCTGAGGTACCCCCGGAGATTATCAACATTCTTCTGGGCCTGTGCGAGTTCATGGAACATGACGATAGGCCATTGGGCATTAGCATCCGTGTATTAGGTCGAGAGGCACTGAAGCATCACGCCTACGCGAAGGCGCTTCACTACAAGGAGCTCGAATTTATCCAGGAGAAGGATAAAGGAGGCGCTACCTCTCTTGTTGAGGACCTGATTAACGTGAACACGAAGCTTCAACAACCGGATGCCGCCTGGGGAATCCTCGTGTTGGCCCGAGAAGAGTATGGCATGCCGCAGCGGGAAGAGTGGTATGAAAAGCTTGGTCGTTGGCAGGAAGCATTGGAAGCCTACGAGAGCAAAGACTTGACGGACGAAGAATCTCCAGAGATTGCAATCGGTAAAATGCGGTGCTACCACGCTTTAGGAGAGTGGGCTTTACTCGCCGATCAAGTGCAGAACCACTGGGTCGACGCCGACTCGGAGGAGAGACGACAAGTTGCTCCTTTAGCCGCCGCGGCCGCCTGGTCACAGCGTCACTGGGATCTAATGGAAGACTACATATCTGCGATGAAGCTAGATACGCCCGATCGCTCCTTCTATCGCGCCATCCTCGCCATACACCGCAATCAATTCGGCAAAGCTGCCCAGCAAATAAATAAAACTCGTGATCTGTTGGATACGGAGCTGACTGGATTGATCAGAGAGAGTTACACACGTGCTTATAGGTAAGTTCCCCAATGACTTAGGACACACAGGTTGCTGACAGCGGCATAGCACGGTTGTGCGAATTCAAATGCTCTCCGAACTCGAAGAGATCATCGAGTACAAGCAATTGAGAGATGTCGATGTAGAGTTGAAAGCGAGCATGCGCGGCACATGGACGAAGAGGTCAGAACACAGCAGAGATTGAACCTACCCTTCCTGACCGTGTCATCAGATTACGTGGATGCCAACCCGATGTTGAAGTCTGGCAGCGGATATTGCAAGTGCGATCGCTTGTACTGACACCTGCGGATGACGTGGACACGTGGATAAAATTCGCAAACCTTTGCCGCAAGTCTGACCGGATGCAGATAGCAGAAAAAACCCTCAATTCTTTGTTGGGTCAGGACGAAGAAAGACCGAGACCAGATGTATGTTCGCACCGATATTTTGAAAGTTCGGTATCTAATTCATCGCACAGGGCTATAAGGCTCCTCCCAACGTCATATATGCTCACCTCAAATACATGTGGGCTGAAGGGAATCAGCGCCTTGAAACTCTGAATTACTTGCATGATTTCGCGGACCGTATGGCTGCAGACTTGGGCGTGCCAATGAACGATGACAGTCGAATTGCCAACTTGATAATCAACCCGCGCACGAACAAGTTCACCAAGCTGTTGGCTCGCTGTCATCTCAAGCAGGGTCAGTGGCGGATGGATATAGATGATCAGTGGAAACAGGTGAGAAGCCGTGAATGTTGTCGGGCTGGTTCTATCTGACTGGGCGTCTTCACAGTCGTCTGCTCCCATGGTGCTGCATTCTTTTTACCTCGCCACAAAGTTCGATCCCGATTGGTACAAAGCGTGGCACACATGGGCATTAGCCAATTTTGATGTTGTCACGTACGCGGATGACCCTGCCACTCACGGGGGAGAGGGTCTGCCGACCGCTGTATTCGTTCAACACATTGTCGCGGCCGTTCGAGGTAGGTCGTGCAATGCCCAATCGGATTGTCAGGCTGAAACAATTCACTTTCAGGCTTCTTCCGTTCGATCGCCCTTCGCCCAGGCAATGCTCTTCAAGACACGCTTCGGCTTCTCACATTATGGTTCAAGTACGCGCAGCAGGGAGACGTAAACGGCGTTATCGCCGAAGGCTTCAGTAGCGTCACTGTTGACACTTGGCTAGAAGTCATTCCTCAGGTATGCATTCTCTTGATCACATCTCAATCAAGTTGGAACAAAGGCTTTATAGATTATCGCACGAATTCAAATGCCCAACCCTAACATCCGCCGACTTATCAATCAAGTTCTGTCGGATCTCGGAAAGGCGCACCCCCAAGCGTTGGTTTACCCACTTGCTGTGGCTTCCAAGTCTCCAAGCCTGGCCCGCAAGAATGCCGCTCTTTATGTTCTTGATCGCATGAGGGAGCACAGCAAAGAGGTGGTGGATCAAGTACGCAAGACGCATTCTCCTGCTGGTGCTAGCACTCACAATTGATGCAGGCCCTGATGGTCAGTAAGGAACTCGTCCGAGTGGCCATTCTGTGGCACGAACAATGGTACGAGGCGCTGGAAGAGGCCTCAAAAATTTACTTTGGGGACAAGAATCCAGAAGGCATGATTGTGCATCTTGAACATCTCCATGATATGCTGGATCAGGTGAGCAGAAAAGTAGTTTATGTGTCGTTTGCTCACCATTTCCAGGGCCCTGAGACTTTCCGTGAGACATCGTTCGTTCAGAGCTTCGGAACTGAGCTTCGCCAAGCAAGAGAACATTGTCGGCGGTTCCGTGCATACGGAGATAGTGCAGACCTAAACAAAGCCTGGGATATTTACTACGTTGTGTGGAAGAAGTGAGGCAATGTTATGCTCAGATGACTCATCTGACTTCTTCCATACAGAATCCAGAAGAGCATTCCCCATCTGACGACCATAGAGTTGCAATATACCTCACCAGAGCTCCTCAAGGCCAGGGATCTGAAAGTAGCTGTTCCAGGTATGCCCGAAGTTGATACTCAACACGGTATCTGACGGTCTTGTCTCTATAGGAACGTACAGAAGTGGGAAGGAAATCATCGGCATCGCCAGTTTCAACATGACCTTGTCCGTCATTGCATCAAAGCAACACCCTCGCAGACTTTCCATCAAAGGTGTTGATGGTCGCGAATATCAATATTTGCTGAAGGGTGAGGACGCTGTGGGCCCCGAAGGTTGTTGCTGACCTGCCTCTCCAGGTCACGAGGACTTGCGACAGGATGAGCGTGTCATGCAATTGTTCAGTCTTGTCAACGACTTACTTGCGATTGACCCTCAAAGCTTCAAGAGGCAGCTTCACATCCAACGATATGCTGTCATTCCGCTGTCTCCCAACTCCGGTTTGCTGGGATGGGTGCAGAACAGCGACACGATGCATGTATTGGTTAAAGAATACCGCGAAGCACGGCAAATCCTAATGAACATCGAACAGCGTCTGATGTTGCAAGTGAGCTTTCTCAGTGTCACGAGTTGTGCCATGCCTGATAATGTGTTGTAGATGGCGCCTGACTACGAGAACGTTCCCTTGCTCCAGAAAGTTGAAGTCTTCGAGTACGCTTTGGATAACACCACAGGGCAAGATCTGTATCGCGTCCTCTGGCTGAAGAGCCAAAATTCGGAAGCATGGCTTGAGAGACGCTCTACGTTCACTCGCTCTCTTGCTGTGACCAGCATGGTCGGTCACATTCTTGGTCTAGGAGACCGGCATCCTTCCAATTTGTTGCTCGACCGGAAGAGTGGGAAGATGATACATATCGACTTTGGTGACTGCTTCGAAATTGCCATGCATCGCGAAAAGTATCCAGAGCGGATCCCGTTCCGCCTTACAAGAATGCTTACGCACGCCATGGAGGTCAGCGGTATACACGGCAGCTACAAGCACACGTGTGAGATTACGATGCAAGTTCTTCGTGACAACAAGGAGTCGTTGTTGGCTCTCATGGAAGCTTTCGTGTATGACCCTCTCATCAGCTGGCGTCTTACGCAGGATCCGGATGACAGAGTCATGACACGGGCTCAGGGTGAAAATGGTACGTCTATACGCAATCCCTGGAAATGATCTCTCTAATGCTTCTTGCCAGCAATTGTTGATACACGCGCTACGGGGCCAGCGCGTAGGCCGCCGAAGTCGGACGAAAATGAGATTTTCAACAGTAAGCAAATTTGAGATACTTACTAGCGAATACTGACTGATACATATTAGACATTGACGGCAACCCAAGATTAGGAGGTATCAACGAACGCGCTGTTGCTGTATTCAACCGCGTTCAGAACAAGCTGCTTGGTGAGGCGCCTACCCTACTCTGGGTAGACATACATATTCACGGATGAAATAGGACAAGAGTTCCAGGAGAACGTTTCGTTGCCTGTTTCAGTCCAAGTTGAGAAACTCATCTCTCAAGCGGCATCCCTTGAGAATTTGTGTCAATGCTTCATGGGATGGTATGGCTAGCGCTCTAAGCGTACGCAGAATCATTCTGACCGTCATCTAGGTGTGCCTTCTGGTAATCATTCCCTACTGTTATTTCCCTGTATTGGCTTTCTTCGTACTCTGGATCGTCCAATCTTCGGGCAACGTTGGCCTTGTGGTTTTTGGTTATATCCTCCATCGTATCCCCCCCTTACTGTCGGTCCTTGTATATTAGTGTACTGTCTTGTGTGCATCTCAGCGCTATCATGAGTAGTTTATCTGATACGTTCCTCGATATACACGGAAGGTCATGATGATGTACAGCATCGGTGCATCACTTCTGTGAATCCCACGATAGGTGGGCGCTGTTCACCGGATTACGGATGCCTCGCCGATGTCGCATTGCTTTGATGGGCGATGAAGAGAGTCAATATTAGGCTCCATCGCCCTTTTGGACGGGTAGACAACTAAATGTGGTAGGCATGATGATGAACCGGTCAGAATTACCAAGGTCCGGAAACTGCCATGGGGCTGTGACCGGCAGGTCGTCAAGTAGACGGTGCTTGTTGGCGGCAAGAGATACGTGGCAATCCATGCTTCTCCTTTGCTGAGCAGAGCTTCCACCACGTTCTCTGCTGAACCCGAAACTATTTGGCAAATGCAGGACGGAGGAGCAGGACGATTTCTGCCTCGACAGGGGAGCGCTTCGGGACTTCCATCGGGCTTAGCAATCGGGCCAGAGTCAACAAAGGGGCCCAGACAGCGCATGTGAATAAAGTCCTTTAGGGACCTTCTCCCTACTCTGCCGCGTTCAACGTCGACTGACCACATTTTCTGGTCATTGTCACTTCTGCAGCGAACCACCAGTCAGACTCACTCCCAGTCTGCAGCATCTTCGTCGTGTTGGGAACAAGATGCCGAGGGGTATACCCAGCTACAAATCCGGCTTGGGTTATGGCCAAGAAATCGATAATCAGTAAGCACTGTCATTGAGTGTTGGTAAGTTTGGACGCTGAGAGAAACGGTCCAGGATACCCCTCAAATTCACGTCGTTCAGTGTCCCTTTGGTGTATGTCCTTTTCATCTTGATACAATGATTTTACTTATTGTAATCTTAGCATGCCATTCACCGCCAAGTTCGCAACTTCAACCTATGTCAAGACCGATCAACAGTCCATCTTCACGCGTACGGATAACGGCAGGATAGGAAAGCGGAAGAGGGAAGAAGAAGAAGAAGAAGAAGACGTTCGAGAAAGCACACCACCCCCTCAGGTCCGTTTCATATTCTTGTACATTGTTAACGCCCTCCTGAGAAAGTGTCTTTATAGGGACCGCGAGGGTCGAATATCATTGTCATACATCCCGGCACGCGCTACACCCGCGTTGGACTCGCGTCGAGTTTGACGCCGGCGACTATACCCAGTGTGGTTGCGCGGAAATCCGAGCATGCGGCAGAACAGCGGCACCCCAACGGAACGCCTCTGTCGCATGAATACGAGAGGAATAGACGCATCGAGAAGTCCAAGGCGCTCAAGGCAGACGGACTAATTGACGAGACTGTGGATGTTACGAATCCATTTGATTCGAACATCATCATGCAGGAAGACCAAAAACGGGTATGAGTTTCATATCCCCGTGGCAGCCTGTAAGCTGAGCCCGCTGTAGGCGAACAGTGTGCCTGCGCTGCGGAAAATGATGAGGCAGCGATTCGATCAATTAAAACTGCAGTGGTATCCGAATGCACATGTTAATGTGTTCAAGTCTAACTCTCATTCCCGTGCAAAACCAGTCGAAGAGAACTACGAAAGCCACAGGCCGAACTGGACGGTGCCAAACCCAGATGAGCACTTCATCGTGGGCCAGAGGGTGCGCCATGCAGTCGAGGCGTGTGCACGTGACTTGATATCTTCTCTTTAGGCGCTTGACCTTCCGGATCCGGCAGCTGCCGGTTATGAGCTACATTGGCCATTTTGTGGTGTCATGTTCGATATGAAGAACTACAAAGACCCGGCTATGTTGTTGAACGATGTAGAGACATTGTGGGAGGAGGCGATCAAGGAGGCGCTGAACATCCATCAACGCTCGTACAAGGTGAGCATGTGATTCCATCATCATCATAGCTTCACCGCCTCACTCTGCATAGCACTACTCTGTGATGCTGGTTATCCCTGATTGGTACGAATGGCATTACCTCAGAGATTCGGTGAATATTCTATTGCACAACATGGGGTTCCAGGCGGTATGTGTACAGCAAGAATCTGCCTGTGCTGCATATGGTTCTGGTCTAGGCAACGCATGTGTGGTGGACATGGGCGCCAAGAAGATCAGTATAGCATGCGTCGAGGACGGTTCTATCATGACGGAAACCCGGTAGGTGATATGCTGTGGGAAACCTCAACAATGATCTGACGAGATTAGAATGGTGCTGAATTATGGTGGAGATGATATCTCTCTGATCCTCAATACGATGTTGGAGCGCTGTCATTTCCCATTCGTTAAATTGGACCCTGGTTTACCTTGGGGATGGAAGATTCTGGAGGAAATCAAAACCGAGCATTGCACGCTTGCTGATGTATGTTCAAGGCTGTCCTCCAGAATGAAGGAAAGCTCATTGTTTGCAGAGATCTTTGATAACAAACTCTTGGGACATTGTCATACGTCTTCCCAACGAAACACCTCAAAAATACAAATTCTGGTTGTACGATGAGGTCATGGTTCCGCCGATGGTGAGAACATACTGCACTGCCCTTCGGGTCTGATCTTGATCGCGTTCGCAGCTTCTCTTTGAGCCCCGAGGACTTGAATGGGACGAGTCGATATGGAAGACAGCAAACCTCTATGATCCCGAGGTTGACGCATTCGGAGATCTTCCTCCTACTGGACCAGTAAGCCCCTTGGGTGCTTCGCGGGGTTATCTAAAGGAATCTGTAGACTCAGGCCATGGTTGGATCTACGGCGCATATAACTAATCAAACTATCGCGCACGAGCGACAAGAGGACGAAAAGCAACGAGAACACTTAGCTCGACACCAGGCTGCCTTGGAAGCTTGGAACAACAGTCGAATAATGGTTGAAGCACAGACACCGCCTGCGAACGGCGAAATCAGATCCTCGTCGCAGTTCTCGCGCCAGCAGACGCCTAACCCACAGACGCCAGGAAGTGGTACACCTCGGGGAAACCCGACACCGACTCAGCCGACCAATAATGTCGTCTGGCGGCCTCCTGTGTTAGTCGCAGCAGGTGATGTAGCCCCTACAACGAATGGCACGCATACAGCCAACTCTCCGAGCGAAGAGCGACATCCTCCGGGCTTGAACGCTACGATCAAGATTCCATCCATGACTTCACCAACTGTGGTCAACCATCAGCAGTCGCCTGCGCCATCTGGGCACATGGCGAATGGCACACGGCCTGATACTCCTGGTCCGCCACCCACGCTCACGCCATTTGTGCGAAGTCCTCCGCCGTTTTACGATATAGCATTTGAAGCGAGCAAGATCCCGCTCGATATCGCCATCTTCAATAGCACGCGGGCTGCATCGCACGTTGAGAAGTCAAGAAAATTCTTGCAATCCGTCTTACTCGTAGGCGGGGTGGCTCTTACTCAAAGTATTATTCCGCAGTTGGAGTCGAGGTAAGTTGGGCGCTACTGTCTTTACGCGTGTACTTCGGTTGCTAAGCGATTCTGTAGGTTGGCACACCTCGTGTCCCGTTATCTTCCTGGGTCAGACGACCGGGTCAAGCCGCAGGTAATAACGCCGAAAGACATGGATCCGCGAATCGTCGTGTGGAAGGGCGCAGCACTGTTTTCAAGGCTAGAGACCGCTTCTGACCTATGGATCAAGAATGATGAATGGGTATGTCTTGTTGTGCAAATCCGGGCAAGGTGGCTGACCGAAGCCTGATTTCTAGGAGTTGCTCGGTACCAGGGCTTTCAAGGAGAGGACGTTGTTCATATGAATTGTCATGTTATGTACTTCTTTGTCTTCTTTCTTATTCGGAATGTTGTGCGATCCCCTCGGCTAGATTCCAGGATTCCAGCCTGTGCACCGGCGTCATCAGGGGCAGTGAGGGCGGGATCAGTAGATGACATAAGAATGGCTGGTTCGCCGTGTGAGTGCGGGGGATCCCGAACACATGCATGAGAGCACGGGGCGCCCACCGGCACTTGAACACGCCGACCGGCTCATTCGGGAAGCCGGAGCCGAGCACGCGTGCGCAGCAGACAAGAAGAGCGGTGCATGCGGGGGAGAATTGTCCAGCCCGTAGATCTTGCAGATTACCCGCCTGTTAACCGTTCCTTCGAATCCGGAATGCGCCGCTGACGTGGTATTGAGAGGGACCTTGGCTGTGCGTTAGAGGGCGCACAATCCGCCCCATGACGTATGGACTACCCTGAGAGTGCCTTGGAGGGCGCTCTGTCGCCTGCTTGGCCCCTGCCAAAGAAAGGGTACAAGGTGGTGAAAATTTTAACTTTCTAAGGCATCCAGTGCCAGTAGGGGTCCAAAGGATAGAGGAGGGGACCAGGGTTCATCCGACCAGATTAGACATCGTATGATAGCTCACCCACCCGTCGCAACCAGGACAAGAGGGTGGTTTCGGGGAAAATTTTCACTTCGGACACCGGGGTGCGTTTGCTTGTAACTCAACTGCTGAATTGTCTGTGGCGGCTCCTCGGCGTGAATAACAGAGTACAGAGCTGCATATGCATATGTCTGCACGTCTCAGTATCATGTTCATTGTCTTTTGTTCCACGCAGGAGGAAGCCGAGTCATTTACATTCCTGGTTTCGGCGGGGATGGACTGGAATTTTTTCTGTGAGGTGGCTGAAGTGGACAGAGTTTGGAATCCGACTGCGAATCGAGCGTGTTGTGGTATGTGACGCAGCCTGACCAACTAGACAATCAGGGCGGAGATGCACTGTATGTGCCTTATGACACAGTATTGCCACTGGGTCAGAGTGATGAATCGCCGAGTCAGATAGATGAGAACTGATATGAAACGAGGATATGTACAATGATGAAGGGAGCTTGTTGAGGAGGTGTAGGTTGAGGATGTGCTCGGATTTGCGGATGAAGGCCGGGAAGGGGCGGGAAGCGGGAGCAATTGATTGTCCAGGAGGCTGTGTGATGTGTCTTAACGGAAGCATAAAAGAGAGTTTGTGGATATTGATGACGAGATGTGGGAAGGACAAGGCACACCGGTGCTTCTGTGCCCGCCGGTAGGATCGCCACTCGGGCCGAGGCTGTGTCCGACAGCGAAAAAGCACCGCAAAGTCGACGCTGATTCCTTATTCGGCTCTATGATCCACTTTTGGCGAATTGCAAACCCGACAGTCCGGTGAACTGGGTATAGGGCCCTTATCCCTTACATCGCCCTCTCTCCTGCACCGCAACATACCTCACACCTGCTTGGGTCATCCCTTCTGCAACTTTTTTTTACTCTTCCTCTCCCCCTCACAGCATTCTCCGGTCCACCATCCCCTCCGTCTTACCTACAGACAGCCGACAGCCGAACATGTTGCATATCATTCGTACAACCGGTAATGCACCGAGGCGCAACCTCCGGACTTGGCTTAGCGTAGGCTGTTCCCTCCAACTAGTCTTAAGGCACGCACCAGAACATTTCTCGCTTTCTCTTCGCCCCGCCCCCATCCACTAAACATTACAACACACGCTTACGCGCGCATTGTCCCGCGCAATTCCCTTAACGCCTATTATTCCCGCCTTCTCTATGGCGCTCATCTGCGAGCCATCTCCCTTTATACTCTCAACCGACGACGCCTCATCATCATCTGTTTCTCAGCTCTGCCTCTCCTCAGATCCTTTTGACCCCTCTGTCTTTGCTTTGTACATGGCTTGGCCCTCATCATCTGGTCAACAACAACAACAACCGGAACAAACTGGGGGGGGAAGCACTGGATCGTCTCGCGGAGGCAACGGCAGCATCCCTCTGTCGCCGCTCTCCGCATACACGGGCACGACCTCGAGCGGGGGTACCCCGCCCTCCCGCCTGACACCTGGCTCATCCAACTCGTCCGCGCTGTCGTACGCGTCAAGCGCACCCCGAACGGGCCTTGACAACGCGACGCGCTCTAGCGCTCCAGCGGAGTTTCAACTTCTGCACCCTAGTGGACGTGCCAATGGCGCTAGTCCATATCCGGCCCCCTATGGATATCGCCCTGCCCAAAACATTGAAGAGGGCACGAATCCGGCGCTCTACCATCCTGCCAGCGCCGCAGCACCCCCTCGTCCTTCTCACCCATTCTCCAACACAACGAGTTCACCATCGACCTACCGTGGCAGCTCCACATCACAGTCTTCGCGTGAGGCACAGTACTACTCCCCTTCTGGCGCATTGTATCCTGTTAGTCCGCCCGAACTGCTCTCTCCATCTTGGGGTCAACTCTCATTGTGTGACTTTCAGCCATCCTTCGATTCCGGCCCCGGCACCTACGACCCCGTGCCGTATGGATCGCTCAGCGGCAGCAGCGGTCCATCGCCGTACTCGAACAGAACAAGCCAAATGGCGCCCGGTTTGCACTTCACTTTCCCGCACGGCCCCAACAGCACCCCATCAGGCGACTCCGCCAACGACCCCTCCCCATCACCCCACTCCTCGGGCTCAGATTCCCCCATCTACTCTGGGTCATCTTCCGGCCTCAGCAGGCACCGCTCTCCTTCCAGAGCACATGATCCTAATGTTTCATTCCTGCCTCCTGTAGCACATATCCGGAAGCGCCCCAGGCGCAAGGCTGATGAGATTGAGCGTATCTACATCTGCGGCTTCGATGGGTGCCAAAAGAGGTACAGTAATCCCCCATTCCCTTTAATGTGATACTTATTTGGTCATACAGCTATGGAACACTCAATCATCTCAACGCCCACGTCAGGAATGCAAGCCATGGGGAGAAGCGCCGACCTGAGGGTGAGTCTTCGGGTCAACTCTTAGAGAAGATTCACCTGACTAATGACCTGTACAGAGTTCAGGGAGATACGTAATGCTTGGAAACGCAGGAAAGCCCACGAGGCACAGGAGGCACAGGCCGCCGCCGTTGCTGCTCAGGCTGCCGAGGACCAGCGCCAGCGTGCCTCGGGGGCTGGGATGACCGGTCCTTCTGGAATGCGTTCCGCACAGCCTGTGCGCCGCCCCACCGGAGAGGACTATGCGTCTCAAGGCTTCATGGCTCACCGCCAGCAACATGCCCCCGGCCTCGGGCTGCCCCCAATGCCTCAGCTGGCTCATCCCCGCGTGCCTGGCCCCAGTATGGACCCCCAAGGGTACCCCTTCCCGCCATCACTACCTTCTGCCAGCCTCTCTCCCTACTCAACGCGCGGCCCCTCCGCGCCGTGGACCCCAGCGGATAGGCCATCAATGGTCTCCCCGTACATGGAGTCCCCTGTGCAGGATCCGAACCAGTACTTTGGCCAGCCTATCCGCGTGCCGCAGACGCCGTCCGGATTCGCTCCCGCAGGGAGTCCACGCGGTCCCCAAAGCATGTTAGACTACCCTTCGCGGCAGGGCACCAGTGGGACATACCCGCCATATCCCCGTGATTCTTCCCGTCAGTAAATACTCATCAAGATCGAAATAAACCAGAGATCCAAAGAAATCTCCTTGTCCGTGTCATCAAAGTTATGGCTCACGAATCCCCACGTCTCTCCTGTTCTCAGGTATGATAGGCTGACTGCGTCTTCTCAAACGGACTAATTGTCTTATTATGTGCGTTGTTCTTTGGCGCTCAAAACCGCTATGTACACGTAGAACGCGCTCCTTCTGTGTATTACGTTGAAGTTTGTGTGACTTGCCAAGATCCCGATCTATTGCTCTAGGTTATTGAATACCTTACACTAGGTGCCCAGAGTATTTATCAAAAGTAGGTCAATGAAAGGGTCGATGTTCCCCACTCCAGAAATGAGCCCACGTCCACCTCTGGGAGAAAATTTTCCAGCTTGTTCCCCTATGACCAACCTATAGCCTTGTAGGGTCTAGCGCGAAACGCTAAAGTTGACCACCATAATTCGGGAGCAATCGCTCTTGGAAGGCGGGTCTGCGTGGCAGTTATCGTCTCGGTGTTAGAGAGCAGACAATGCCGACACTCAGAATCAGAAGCAGGCCCAGGGAGGGCTGCTTTCTTTACTGTAGTCCCGTTATTGGACTCCACATGCTTATGTGGTTAGCGTACCTAAGCGTGGCCTTCTGGCTTCGCTCTTTGTCCGGGCCGTATCACCACCGGTGGAGCTACTGCAAGACTGTGGCTATTAGTCCAACAATCACCCGGGAATGAGTCAATGAATAGCAGGAATTGCCAATGGTTAGAAAACATGGCTTCACGGCTTCAGACAACTTGAAATTGCCGGCATCGGAATCGCATCCAACACGCCAGAATGACGTGTGAACCGACTCTCTGAGCTGAGGAATGGTGATATGCCGAAATGAGTCTCTATTTGAGCCAATAGTGTGCGTGCTCACTAATGCGGACCATGGCCAAAACGGTCTGGGCGACGGGACAGCCGGGCGCCGCGGAAGATACCGCCGAGTCGGACATGTCCATCGGCGTTTGCATGCCCATTGAATTCTGGAAACTATAGTAGACGAACCAATCGACTACTTCGGAGTGATTGGCCACTAGTCTACTCTTCTTTCTTGAGCATGCGGCGATCTCTGATACTATCGCGTTCTACCAGCATCAAGGATCCGCAAGAACAGCTAGCAGGGGTTCCGGAGAAAAGGTGGTTGTGGGTCTGGTCCAGGTTCCGAGGCATTCGGTTTATGGTTACTAACCTGGTGATTCGCATTGAGGAGAAACAAAGGTCAGAAGAACAAGCGCGGTTGTCGAAGATCCCGCAAGTGCTAGCAGAAAGTCGGCAAGCCCATTCCCTGTGATTCTCGTTCTCAGTGATCAGACCCAACAGAATTTTGGTAACTTTCCTTGATGTAGCAGGCGGTGGTCCACATTCTGGGGTTATTATAACTTCCGGCGCTAACTCGCAAGGCTAAATCAAGCTCAGACCATCTTGATAACATCGGAAAGCGACTTACAAGAATATGAAGGGCCATCTCCGAAATGTTGCACGCGCTTTTCAGAGCTTCTTTTCGTCCTCGAACGAACAACAGTCAAGAATATCGGTACATTTGAGGAACATACCTTCCAATCGGCGGTGCAAGTCCAGAAACCCCAACAACAATCAAAAAGACCCTTTCCCGGGAATGGATGGCTGATTGTCAGATTCTGATCTGTTGTGTCCAGACTCGTGAACGGTGGCAAACAGCTGACTCCTGGTACTTTTATGGTCATGCTTCAAAGCAAGCCCCCATAACCATGGATTCACACACCTATCATATGGGTCTCCATTACTAGCGGGAACATCGGCTCTGAATCCGGCATCCCAGAGAGGATCAGGATGTGGCATTTTGCCGATATAGGGCACTGCTCGGCCGGGCGATAAGATCCTCCCAAATGCGGACCTGTCACGCTTAACGATTTCCAGAACAGCTGGCAAGAAACAAATTCATATCTTCTTGAAATTTTCTGGAAAACTCGTACCGTGTTCTTGTAGTGATCCATGACTGGAAGGAAGAAATCCCTTATTGTCACTACACCACACAACTGGTGATTGCCTCTGCCGGGAAAGAGGAACAGATGGATCGAGGTGGATCTCAGAAACATCATTTCATGCGTCAATCCATTTTCCGCCCCCTTTGCGTGTTGTTGTCGATAGTCCCACACTTGAATCCGTGCTGACACAATCTCCCTGATGGCATTGACAGATGAGGAGTGTGATCACTCTGGGGGCTTAGTACGAAGAACAAAAGCAATCAAGATCCCAAAGTTTGCCGATATCAAAAAAGATGTGTCGTATTTGCATAGACTAACAAGAGAGAAAAGACAGAGTGAGAGTACTGGTAAATGCACAACCACATTTTTCAGTGCAGCTCGAGCTTCTTACCGCGTGTCACGGGCGTATTTGACGTCAGTCATGTGCAAGACCCTGATGACATCGCCTCTGAGCTCGTACATATTGACGACCACACAACTGCTGTGATTATTGACCTCTCAGTGACTGTACTGAAATATTGTATTTGAAAACCAACTTGCAAGTTTGTATCCCTATCACGTCAATGACGTCCCTCGCCAACCTCCCCGTTGAGGTGCTGCTAGATCAGCTGATAACCTTCCTTCCGCTCGCCGACCTTGCCCATCTTGGCGCAACAAATCGATTCTTCCACGCGCTATGCAATGATGACATACTATGGAAGCGCAAGTTAATCGAGGACTTCAACTATTCAAAGGTGATGGATGCGCGGACAAGCGGGTACAAAACTCTGTACAAAGGAATGAAGCAGCCTAAGGTCTATGTCTGGGGGTAAGTGCATGTCTTCCTGAGGATCTCATCCTGACATACAACTTAGATCCGTCGACAACGGTCGTTTGGGACTCTCGTCTGAAGAGCTTTATAAGAGCGTGGTGCGCGCGTGCGGTGGTGTGCCTCGGCCTACAGAGCTGGAGTTGTTCGCTCGGAAGGGGATACGCATTGTGCAGCTTAGCGCGGGTGGATGGTCGTTCCATGCGCTGGACTCGACTGGAACGTTGTGGGTCTGGGGACAGCTGAATGCAGAAGGTGGATGATGTTATATGTGATTCGGTCCCAGATATGCTCACATTTTCTCTGTATAGTCGCCGCGTTTCAGGGTGATCCCTTCTCACACCCTGGGCGACGCGCCGTTGTACCCCACCGTCTCGTCTTTGCGGACGACATCAAGTTCCGCAGCATTTCCAGTGGTCGCAATCACGCATCGGCCCTTGATTCACGGGGCAACGTCTGGACAATTCGTTCCTGGGGCCGGCCATATCGAGTCATTTCGTCACAGCTTTCGAGAGTGATTCAGATCTCATGCGGCTGGGCCTTCAGCGCAGCACTAACAGAGGATGGAGAAGTGCACGTGTGGTGGCCCAGAAGCGGTGAGTTTTCTCGCATAGCCGAAGAATATGACGCCGCGCATGGACCACCGGGAGAAACAGCGAGCCACCGAGAGGGTTTGATCACTGCCGAGGCCTGGGAGCTCCGTGCAGATCCTTTGGAGCTGCCGACGTTGGGATCGATTCAGGATCCCAGGGGTGCAGCAGCAACCGAACCACTCAAGATCGTCCAGATCGCATGTGGGAGAGACTTCGTGGTCGCTTTGACAAATGCGAACCAAGTGCTGAAGATCGACTTAGGCGGAGGTGATGCCGCCGATGGATTCGATATGCTAAGGCAGAGCTTCAGACATGGAAGGCGATGGGAATATGTGCGTCATTCTAAGAGCCGTGACAGAGATGCCATACTGATGGTTTTCAGCTGCCCCTGTTCAGCGAGGCAAAACGAGTTGCGATGCTGCCCGCATTTCAATCTGGTGCTGTCGCTGTAGCCGAGGACATGCGCATCACTCACGTCTCAGCTCAATTCAATACCTTTGTGGCCTACTCGACTGGATCTACTTCTATCGTACTCATGGGAAACCAAAGCACTCAGCCTGACATATCCCCTACCGTGATTCCGGCGCTGCAGCATCGAGATGTCATCTCCGTCGTTCTGGGCGATTACCATCGTGCTGCTCTCACGGCGCAGGGTGAGCTCCTCACCTGGGGCTCATTCTCTCAAGGTGCACTGGGTCTAGGAGATCCATATACTCTCGATCCTGGAACACCTGGAGGATTCCGTACGTTTCGCGATCGAGACTTGGCACAGCGTGTTCATGGACCTCCGCCAGACGTGGAGGAGCCCACGAAAGTGAGCTTCCATCACGGGCAAGAAGATGCCAGCCCCACCTTCTGCTTCTCTGTTGTCGCGGCTGGGTGGCATGTTGGGGCTTTAGTACTGGACTTAGAAGAAAAGAGAGCCGAACCGCCGCGTGATGCCGTTCATTCATCCATACCCCACGGCGGCGAGCCTCCCCTTGAACATGACCCAGAAGATCCTTCAATCCCCGGGAGTTTCACTCGTTCTGGTGCCCCCGCCGGTTCGCTCGTGCGGGGTGGACTGCCTTATACTGGTTCGCCGGTGGGCCAGCATACGGCTGATGGGAGGTTCGAGCCCCAAGAGCCAGACTTGACGCGTGCTATGGGATTGTATGGGGTCAGGTTTGGGTATGCGGCGCGAGGGATGCTGAGGGGCTCGCATCCGAGGGGAAATTGAATGAAGATGCGGCGGTATACCGACAATGCAATGATGTAGAACTGATTGTAAACTATGCCTTTGTTGATTGTAGTGCAGACTGAATATGCAATAAGACAATATGGACGTCGACACACACGCGCAGGCGCCCAACCATTTTCAGGTGTCCTTGAGGGTCCGCTAAATGTGTGCACTCTGCTGTTGACATCGGCAAATACTCCACTCCAAGTTGGCTATCTCTCTGGTGCGCATCTTCGCGCAATCCGCCTATCGTCCGCGGTATATATTACCACCATATAAGCACTGTGTAATCCGCACATCATTTGCTCGCGCCTGGACCTTCAAACGGCGAGACCTTCGCGAGATGCAAGCTGAGGGGCTGAAGAGGGATATGGATGTACAAGATACTGAAGAGCCAGCTGCGAAGAAGATGCGGCTGGATTCTGGTTCTGAAGCCTCTGGATCAGCAGCCCTTTCTGAAGAGGGGAATAGTGTCTCTACCGACCTGCTTGCCACTTCCCAACCTTCATCCTCCAAGGAAGCAGACCACAAGTCCAAAGCGAAGCAAGCAAAATCACAGCGAATCAAGGCTCAGCAGCGGGCATACGCTGAGAAACGAGGCAGGAACCACTGGGCACCCCGGGAGCCTCGTGAGTCTAAGGAAGAGGAAGAGGGAGAGGAAGGGAAACGACTGCCTAAGCGGAAGGTGGCTCTGTTGATCGGTTTCTGTGGTACTGGATGTCATGGGATGCAGTAGTGCGTTGCTCTTTTATCTGACGGGAATGACCACTGGTTCTGAGCGAGGACAGTAATCCTCCACATAGGACGATCGAGGGCATCTTATTCGACGCTCTGGTAAAAGCGGGCTGCGTCAGCGCAGACAACGCAGACGATCCAACAAAGGCACGTCCCCTCCCCCCTCCGCAAACCGATAACCCCAACCAACAAGGCCCAGGTCGCTCTTTCCCGCGCAGCGAGGACGGATACGGGTGTGCACGCCGCAGGCAACCTGGTGAGCATGAAGATCATCCGTGAGCCGGAGGGTGTGGCGGACGTCATGCGTGCTGTGAACGTGCACTTGCCGCCCGAGGTCAGGCTATGGGGGATCGTCCGCACCGCCAATAACTTCATGGCCAGGACGTGCGTTATCATTCATGACCTTCAGAGTGAAGGGTGCTGATGCGTTTGATGCGATGGGCAGGTCGTGCGATAGCAGAGTGTACGAGTACCTCTTCCCGTCGTATATGCTCCTCCCGCCAAAACCGGGCACGAAGATGGCAGCCCAGGTCCGGTCAGACAGGGCCCTCTCGGACGAGACGTTTGCGCAAGTCGAGCCTGGAGAGGCACACCCGTTCTGGGCTACGGAGGAGGGGGACGAGCTACAGCGGAAGAGGGCGTGGAGAGTCGGGCTGGAGGAGATGACCCGGCTTGGAGAGCTGATCAAGGTTTTCGAAGGGACGCAGTATGTGTGCCTGCTCGAACGACAAACATTGCTCTCATTATCCTTGGCAGTAATTTCTGGAACTATACCGTCGGAAAGGAGTTTAAGGAGAAGACCGTCAAGCGGTATATGATGAGCCTGGAAGTGCGAGATCCGCAGGTGGTGGGGGACATGGAATGGATCAGCGTAAAGTTCCACGGTCAGAGCTTTATGCTGCACCAAATTGTGCGTTCTCCCCAACCCTCCCAAACGCCCCCGTTCTCCGTCCCGGCCAGCTGACCACACACAGCGCAAAATGATAAGCATGGCCATCCTCGTCTCTCGCGGCCACTGTCCGCCCTCACTAATCCTCGAATCCTTCGGCCCGACACGTATCGCCATCCCCAAAGCGCCTGCCCTTGGGCTGCTACTCGAGTCTCCGCAGTTTGGGGCGTATAACGCGCATATGCGGGAGCGGAATCAGCAGCTGGATAAGAGGCGCGAGGCGGGGAAGGAGGTGGTTATGCAGGATTATAGAGATGGGATCGACTGGGAGGAGTATACGCCGTTGATGGAGGAGTTTAAGAGGGTGATGATATATGAGCGGCTGAGGGAGAGGGAGAAGGAGACGGCTACGTGAGTTCTTTCCTGCGTGGGTGCTGCGGGAGTTTGCTGAAGCAGTGGGGGATGGACAAGGTTCGACCTCTGGCTGCAGGCGGTGGACTCCTACCCCGGGTACGAACTGGGCTTCCTCAATAGGAAAGGGATGATTCCTGTGGAGAGTGTGATACTGGGCAAGGGGAGAGTGAATGGGATGAGGTATGATGTGGAACGGAGGTTGCGCAAGGCGGAGGAGGTTGCTGGGGCGGAGGGGGCGATGGATGTGGATGTGGATGCTGAGGAGGAGGATGAGGATGCAGAGGATGCACGACTGGGGAATGGGGAGGAGATGGAGGGCTGATCTGCTCTGGTTATCAATTAGATTCGCATCGGCATCATACACGGTTTGCATAGGTTGTTGTATTTCTCCCCCGTCGTCCCCCACGCGCTAATCCTGAAGATATTTCCACATCGTCATCCGTTCCCTCATATCCAGTCTCTCCCCATCGACCACAAACCTCCCATCCCCCAGATGATGAAACGTCCTCTTCTCCTCCCTCTGGTCATTGATCCACGCCCGGACAGGCTCCAGCACCCAGAGGCTGTACTTGCGCACCAAAGTCCTGTCCTTGACTCGGCACTCGATGTTCGCCAGTGCCTCTCCTACGAGAGGAGGGCTGACCACCTCGGCAGGCAGAGGAGTAAGACCGAACTTGGACCACTTATCCACCTGTGCACCAGAGCAGTTCCCGATATCCACTACTTGTTGGGCGAGGTCCACCCCGGGGACGGAAACGACGCATTCCCCCGTCTGTTTCAGGGCGGAGAAGGAATGATCCCATTCTCCAAGGGAGAGCGCGATTAGGGGAGGGTCGTGTTGGAGGGCCATGTGGAAGCCGCAGGTCATGAGGTTTGCTCGGGGGTGTGAGGGGGAAGAGCTGGAGCTGGAGGAGGAGGAGGAGGGTGGGAGGGTGGAGATGAGGATGACTGGCCCGGATTCGAGTAGTCTGTGGGTGTTTGTAGGTGGGTAGGGGAGGAGGTGGGCTGCTCTGCGTATTGCTGCTGCGTTGATGTTGTCGTTGGCGTCTGTGTCGTCTGTGTCTGTTTGATGTGGGTTGGAGGGATGGGAAAGTTTGCGTTGTTTGCGTGGTGGCATCGAGATGGAATGAAGTGACTCTTTCCACTCTACACGGACATTATATTGTAATGAAACGACGTCACTGATATCAGACCCTGAACGCCCTCTTTTACTCTCTCATCACTTTTAACAATGAATGGCTATATATCACCTGGTTATTCAAGAAGAGTACCGTTATATCCAGTTCCACCTCCAAATAAATCAACCTCCAAAGGGATAACAATTACAGTATCACCACAACCTCAACCTCAACCACCTCAACCACAACGTCCACCCTCCCGTATCCTCACATCTCAACCAACCCAACGATACATATTCACCTACGCCCTCCTCTCCCACTCGCACATCCTCTCCCTCTCACCCCACGCCCAATTCCTCTCCCTCGCCCATCTCCGCGGTTTCAAGTTCCTCATCTCCCCTCGCGGGCTTGCCAACCTCGTCCTCTCAGCCCCCGATTCCGTCTGGGGGGCCGTATGGCTCCTCCCCCCCTCAGAGGAGCGAGGGCTAGAGAACGCACAACCTGGGTATGAGAAGTACGAGCTGGCAGTACACCTTCATCCGAGCAGGGAAGAACTCCTCTGTCAACTATACGTCGACCCCATTCCTGGAACCGGACTTCCTTCTCCCGCCTATATCGAGCAATTCAACCTCGGTCTACGGGACACACCCCTCCCCCCGGAATACGTGAAGAACGTTATAAGGCGCTGGATACCTCCTCCTCCAGTAGGGATCCCTACGGCGCAAGAGGAGCCCGCGCGCTGTTATTTCGCTTATGGGACGGAGATGGCCCTGTGCGTTCTTGGGCAGACAGCACCTGGTGCTCGGGCGCTAGACAGTGCGCTCCTGCCTGGATATAGGTGGGTGGTGGGGAGGGACGGGAAGCCGAATGTGCGCCCTGAGAGGGGGAGCGCGGTCTGGGGGATGGTGAGTAGCGTGACGAGGGAGGATGAGCGGGCGCTGGATAGGCAGTTTTTGTCCGGAGGGAGGGGAAGAAGGGCTGAGGAAGTTGAGCTCTCGAATGGGAGAGGAGTGGTTAGGTGTTTCTTTTATCTTGATCTTACTTCTAGGCGGGAGGCATTGCCTGACCCTGCTGTGGGGGAGGAGCTGGTAAAGGGCATGCAGGAAGCGGTTTGGGAGGCGAAGTTGCCGACGGAGTGGGTCGAGCAAGTCGTCAGGCCTTGGTTGTTCCCCTCTGCTGCTGGACAGTGAGCTCCAACAGGGCGAGTGTGAAGGTGTATGAGAAGGGGGATGGCAGAAGAGAGATATCGATCACTGTTGTTGTACTTCTATAGATACAGGACATTCATGTGTCAATAAATCGTTCGGTCGTAACACGTCAATTGAACAACCTCTAACGCTCATGTTTCCCAAACAGGTTAAAGCTCCTCTTATGCGCAGGTGCGCTCTTCGGCCACCCCTGCCCTCCCTGCGCAGACCCATACTGCTCCCTCACCCGATCATAATTATCGTACCCATACGCATCGTAGTTCTCGTATCCGCCGAAGTCTCCAGGCACGGGCGGGACGGGCGGCGGGGGCGGGGGCGGCGGTTGACGGGGGAACGCGTCGTTCACCGAGGGGTAGGAGGACGAACGGTGTATTCCCGCGCCCTCGGCGAAATCGTGAGCGAGAGGAGGGGGGAAAGGGCGGATTCGGGGAGGATAGGCGTGCGGAGGTGGTGGTGGAGGAGGGGGAGGGGGAGGGAAACTCGCCGACTCTGGCCGGGGACGGGCATAACGTTCCTTTGGAGGAACAGGGGGCGGGTACTGGCTAAAGTGCGCTGGTCCTGGCGCGGGGGCGGTATACGGTTGCTGCTGGTCGTACGCTTCCATCCCTGGCGGCCGGGGGTAGGTGCCTCGTCCCGCTGGAATGGGGCGATGAGTCCTATGGAAGGGGTTCAACCGTTCTCGCCAGGAATGACGTTCCTGCTGTTGCTGGGCTTGGGGCGGCCGTGGGTAGGGATAATGATGATCTTGAGGAGAGGGAGGGGAGAGCGGGGAGAGAGGAACGTCGTACGGTTGATGGCCATGACCGGTGAACTCGTGCGTCTCTTCCATACGTGTGCGCTCCCTGTCCCGGGCCATATCCCTCTCTCGTTCCCTCTCTCTTTCCCTTTCTCTTTCCCTCCCTGCCCTCTCCCTCTCCCGCTCCTGCTCATTCTTCCTCCTCCACCCCCACTCCGGCTCCGGAGCCCTAAACGGCGGTGCCGTCCTCGGTTCTGGCGCAGGCGGGTAAGCAGGTGCGCTCCTCGGCTCACGGTCCCACTGGGTAGGCATGGGGACCTGGATCGGGGGCGGGATTTGGCTTTGCGGGATTCCTTGTGACATTGGGGGCATAGGGGGCATTTGGCCAGGCATGGGTACTTGGATCGGCGGTGGCACCCTCCGTCCCGTCAGACCAGGTACGCCTCCCCCAATGCTAGGGATTCCCGGTACACCCATCCCCCCGCTCATCCCACCCATGCCCATGCCCATCCTCGGCCCCTGCCCAGCTCCCTCCAGCTCCTTAGGCGGCCCAGCCGACGGCGCACCATTAACGAGCCACCTCGTACCTCTCGCGTCACTCCTCATCTCCCACACGTTACCCTGAGCGTCTCTCCTCGTATATGTGCTCTCTTCTTGCCCGTTGACGATGCGTGAGGAGTAACTTTCTGAGAACCATTCGCCTTGCCCCGGTTTGACGCCCCGCACTTGGGGAGGTACGGGACGGGGGATGCCCCTCCCAAACGGGCGTGGGGGGAAGAAAGGCGGCGGGGCGAAGGGACCAGTGAAGAGCGTCGCATGTGGTGTATGGTTGAACATCTGGTCAAAGAGGACGAACGGGTCTCCAAAGGGGAACGAGTGGATAAAGGGGTCGTCGTCGAACATGTAGAACGGTTGCGGCTGGCGGAACGTCCCAAACGGAGGGAGATGGGCGTCGTCGTACGAGTATTGGGGGAAATCTTGTTGCTGGCGATGAGATGCGCTTGGGAAGGAAGACCGGGATCCTGGTCTCTGAGTCCACGGATTGCCAGGAGGCGGCGCAGTAGTAGGCGAAGGGAGATCCCCTCGCTGGTCGTACTCACGCCGCTTGTCGCTGTCAGAAAGGATCTCGTATGCCGCTGCTACGGCACGAAAGGCTTCCTCTGCTTGGGATTTCTGGTCTGGGGGGGCGCGGTCTGGGTGTGTGGCGAGCGCCTTTCTCTTGTAGGCTTTGCGAACTGTTTGAAGTTAGTAGATTAGTAGGAGTTGGTTAGCACTGTGAGTAGGGAACGCACTTTCGTCATGGGAGGCGGTCTGGGAGACGCCGAGGACGTCGTACAGAGCATATGTCTTTGCAGCGGACATGCTGTCAAGAGGTTGAAGAGGTCAGAGTGAAAGATGTGAAGCAAGTTAGGGGAAATAAGGAATTTGATGGTCGTCGCCGCAGTGGTATGTGATGCGGTGTAAGAGAATAATCCCCGCAATTCCGTTGCAGTAATATACCACCTATGCAGGCTGTGTTATATGACTCTTGTAGTCAATGCCAGGTGATTAATATTGTTCACTTCCTCTCTTTCTCCCCTTGAAGAATGTGCTAGTAACGACTATTCAAAGGGAAATACCGGATCTTTTCCTTACTGAATTTAGGCGTCTCCGGGAATAGCGGGTCGGTCTATGCCGGAAGTTCAGTTGATGGGCTATGAGATAAATATCAAATGGTTGATAGGAGAAGTTATAACAATTTATACATACCTATATAGTTGAACAATGACAATACACTAGGGGTATAATATCGGCCCCTGATTGGTTTAGGAGAAGAGCGCCCGTTTTTATCGCCGACGAGAGCCGAAAGCGGAGTCATTTGAACTGTGGTGCAATTTATCATTCATCATTCACTTTCATTCAACTGGTTGTTCTTGTACCACCACTTGCTTTCGTATTTATAACCATAAGGCCAGTCACTATCGACAACACGAAAGTCAACGAAAGCAACAAAGAACTGAAAGTAACAGCAATTCACTGCAGCCAACAGCACGATGATTGCCGTCCAGTCCACACCGCCCCAATCCTTACCAAGCCTCAACCCCCCAAGTGTACCCGCCAACGCACCCGAGCACTGTCCCGTACGCTATCTCTCCCTCTTGCCCTAACCCACTCACGCAGATCTCATAGGGCACCGAATCCGAGCAAGCAGGGAAAGCGGACGCCTGCGCCGGGTGCGCGAACCAAGCTATTTGCGCCTCGGGCGCTACGCGCGCTCCGGACCCCAACCTCCCGCTTATCGCCCAGCGCCTCGCACCGATCAAGCACAAGATCCTCGTCCTCTCCGGGAAAGGCGGTGTAGGGAAGAGCACTTTTACTGCTCAGCTTGCCTGGGCCCTTTCATCTGGCGTGAAAGCCGATGGTGAGGAAGTCCAGGCAGGGGTAATGGACATCGACATTTGCGGACCTTCGATACCCACACTCATGGGCGTCTCACCCGACGAAGGCTCGGTGCGCTCTACGGCCCAAGGCTGGGAACCGATCTACGTCCTCCCCAACCTTGCATTGATGAGCATCGGCTTCCTCCTTCCGCAACAAAACAGCGCTATCATGTGGCGCGGACCGAAGAAGAGCGGGCTGATCTCCCAGTTCCTGAAGGATGTCGCTTGGGGCCCGTTGGACTACCTGCTGGTCGACACTCCCCCGGGGACGAGTGACGAGCACCTGAGCGCGGTGCAGTATATGAAAGAAGCAGGGATAGACGGTGCGGTCGTGCTCACCACACCGCAGGAAGTGTCGCTGCAGGACGTGCGGCGCGAACTAGACTTTTGCCGGAAAGTCGGCCTGCGTGTGCTAGGAGTCGTGGAGAACATGTCTGGCTTCGTGTGCCCTTCCTGCAAGGGCAAGAGTGATATCTTCCTCCCTTCCACGGGCGGAGCAGCACAGATGTGCAAAGAGATGGGCGTGGAGTTACTCGGCAAGGTTCCCCTCGACCCGAGGATAGGCATGAGCGCGGACTACGGCGTAAGCTTTCTGGACGAGTTCCCGGATAGCCCAGCTACGGAGGCCTATTTGGGGATTATTGAGCGGTTGAAGCAGAAGCTTGAGGAGTGAGTGCGGGGCGGTTTGTTTGGTGTACTACTGTACGTTGGATATCAGCATTTGTACTTTTTATCATTTGCACGGGTTTGGGGATGTCAATGGGATTATGTTGTGTATCGTCTACCGTGCGTTTCGTTCCCTTTGTTTGCGCGATATTTCCGATAGTCATTTGAATCACTTCCACGAGTCTACAAAGGTAGGAGGAAGACGTGCTTGTGCGATATTATGTAGGTAGGTCAAGGACAGCCCATGCTGGGGGCGTCATGGACAGACATTGCGTAATAAGACAGCTTGTGTGATAGTATGCTAGTGTTCGAGCGGTGAGAGGGAAAATACTGCAGGAAACAGAACGGAAGAGTCGTGTCGTGACTAACTGCTGCCTCTTGGCTCAACAGTGACTAAGCAAGAAGGCGAGAAGGCAAAGGATCACCCCGGTCCTAGGAACGGGCCGCGTGCCTGGGCGCTCCTCGTGCGCGTCTTGAACTCCAGCGGCATCTCGGATGCCGGCGCGTCCGCCTGGGTTACATGATCCTTTTGCTTCAAGTCGTCCGCCACGTCCCGGGTCATCGCTGCGAGCGGTACACCAGGCAGGGGAGCAGGTGCGTTCCCAGCCATGTCGTGGATCGAGATTGTCGAGAGCTGGCGGAGCAAGGCAGGGCGGAGTGACTCGCCTGAACCAGAGATGGACCGGTGTCGCGCAGGGATGAAGTAGCTTGCGCTCTTCTCCCCGCCTTCCACTTCCTCGGCGATGTCCTCCACAAGTGCGCTAGAGGCGCTGCGCAAGGGCGGGCGTCCTCCGGTAGGTGAGCGGGCCGCGTCGGGAGAGAGGTTCGAGAAGCCGATGATGGAGGACCGACGGGCGTACACGGTGTACGGGTCGACGGCTTTGGCGCTACGTGGCGGGAGGTCGGAAACGGCACGCAGGCGTTCGCGGTACGCTACTGGCGAGGGTTCTGGTGGAAAGTCCGTCTGGGTCGGAAACGGCACGCCTTCTTCTGGTAGCCCATCAACGGCCGGTAACTCTTCCTGTTCATGCTCTGGCGATTCGGGTGCAGCGACCAGTAGCTCCACTGGAGCAGGCTCGTCATACACCATCCGCACCTCTTTCCTGAACTCCTCTACCTCTTTGTATATTTCCTGCCGGAAATCGTCCATCGATTCTAGTGTCTCTATTCGTTCCCATTTATTGAAGATGTGAGGGCATGTCGGTTCGTCAGCTTCATCGTGATATGTTTCAAGGAAAGGATGGGCGAGCGCTTCGTTAACACTAATGCGCTCATCGGGGTCGAAACGAAGGAATCGGTGAATTAGGTCTCTCCCTAAAGCGCGGATCAGATCATTTGTGCTTGGCCGTGTGGCAAAAACTTACCCATATTATCTGTTCTAGGGAACAGCTTTGGGAGGGATTGCGGCAGTTTGAAAGGCAAGTTGCGAACGTATTCTCTTGCCCTGTCGCTGCCAATCTTCTTGATGGTATCGTCAGGTGGTGTACCGAGCGTATTGATGATCAGGTTGAGTTGGTCTACGTAGTCCTTTCCCTTAAATACTGGCTTTCCCATCACCAGTTCACCCAGGACGCAACCGATTGACCACAGATCAACTATTGCTAACATCAGCATGATGACATCTGGGCGCTCTACTCTCGACTTACTTCCGAACGAATATCTCTTGAAGCTCAACATAACCTCAGGCGCTCGATACCACCGTGTCGCGACATACTCTGTCATCTGCGTCGTGTTCTCATCCGCTCGTGCATTGAACCCCCGGCTCAGTCCGAAGTCGCAGATCTTCAACTCGCAGTCGGCGTTAACAAGCAAGTTGCCAGGTTTGATATCCCGATGCACCACGTTGGCCGAGTGGATGTACTTGACTCCTCGTAGGATCTGGTAGAGGAAGTACTGCACGTGCGCGTTGGTCAGCTTCTGGCCCGAGCGGATTATTTGATGCAAATCCGCTTCCATGGGTTCAAGAAACAGATAACTGTGAAAAGCTGAGTCACTGTTAGGAATATACTAGGGCACACACGTACATCTCGTTGAAATCTTGGGAGATCACGTCCATGTCTATCACCCCAGTGATCTATTTCGAATGAATGATGAGTCCGCGGCGTTGCGAGGAGAAGGACTGACATTCTCGTGGTGCGCGAAATGCCGCAGCAGGGTGATTTCCCGCAGAGCTCGTTTGGCAAGAATGAGCTTGTCAAACAATCGCGTGACCATCTTGATCGCCACGGTTTCATTCGAAATTTGGTCTTGTGCTGACCTGGCACACTCGTTGTCAGACGAAGAAGGTCAAGAGATGAGAGGGGGCTGGCGTACACGACAATGCCGTACGCCCCCTGTCCGAGCTCTCTAACAAGCTTCCAGCGCTTCTCGACGACAAACGTCTTGCTTGAGCATGTAAACGAATGATAGTCACTGAAATCGATTCATCAAAAGAAACGGTAAACCCATGTCAGAATAACGCACGGGCTCATTGACTTTGTCGGCGTCGCGGTCGCAGTTCTATCTCTAGGGGTTGTGCTCTTCGTCGGAGTCTGCACGGGTGGCGTATCCTTCTTGGCCATCTCGACACTTGCACGCTTGGATGTGCTGCCTGCAATTGCTTGATCCTCCCTTGGAAGAGTTGGACTTGAAGGCTGAGCTTTGTGGCCGTCCATGATGTCGGGCAGCAGACAGGCGCTAGGTGTATGCAAGACGCGAGGCAGGGTGACCCCTTTAATGGTCTAACCTTGCACTAGTGCCGAGTTAGGGCGAGCACGCGATCAGGCGGTGCAATTTAAGCAGATATATGCGCTAAATTTATTGGCTCGTGGTGGATGATAAGGGGGACGATATGGACGTCAAAGAAAGGAATGCTCCTGTTGGCGTGACGATATGTATGGTTTGGTGGGCGGCTTCCTAACTTTTGGGGAGGTGGCGAGCACGGTCTCTGTCCCCTCGGCGCGATGCGCGTGCCGTCTTTGAACCTTGGCATGTGATTCCCCTGAGACTCTGTTATCCCTTTTGCTTCTCACCATCAGGGCGATGACTAGATGGACGTCAACGTGCGTCCCTTTCCCGCAGCAAGCGTAGATTATATATCCTTATCATTTCACATTATTAGCAACCAAAAAAGAAGAGAAGAAAGGTGAACAAAGACGATCAGCAGGCACTGCAGGGTTACTACTATCCTCCTGGTACTGGATGCCCATATTACTACATGTCATATCCCGGCTGGACCGGTGGCTATCCCCATGCTCCACCGACGATACCTGGCAATCAAGATGCGAATCAGCAGGTGTCACCATCAGCGAGCGGCTCGACGAGTGCTGGTCAAGCATGGACACCCCAAGGAGCACAACCGGACTTGACAACAATGCAAGCAATGCATTATATCCGAAGCACACCTTTTGAGAACTCCTTCGCCTCCCGCCTCATGAGGAGCCAGCCAACTCTGACAAAAGAGTTCACCTACCGGGATTGGGATAGCCGCTCACCCTGGATGAATCTGATGGACGATATCTGGCTGCACTACTGTCTGTCACAGTAAGCGCTTTGCATTCTTCTCATTCTGATCATGACTCGACATCTCCCTCCCCACAGCCCGGAAGAAGAATTCCCAGAGCATCCCATCGCGCCCATTGACTACGCGCCGCTCTCTCCCGTCCACCTCTCGCAGGTGCACGCCTTGCTCGCCAGTACATTCTGGCCAGGGATCTCCGTCTCCGACTGTGCGCTTCCAGAAAACGAGCCCGAGAAGTGCACCATCGTCGCCACGTACAAGAGGCTCGTTGTGGGCGCTGCACTGCTCAGCGGACCAAGGGAAGGGTACTTGATGTACCTTGCTGTGAAGGCCGGCTGGGACGCTGCGGGTATTGGCACGAATATGCTGCATATGCTTGTGATGAAGAATCAGGATACGGACATCACACTCCACGTATCTGCAGATAATCCTGCTATGGTAGAGCACTCATTTTTTAATCTTCCTTGTAACTCACGTGTTGGATTAGCTGCTGTATAACACCTTCGGGTTCAAAGCCGAAGAGTTCGTCGTGGGGTTCTACGACGAATACCTGCCTCGAGATTCCAAAGCATGCAAGAACGCGTTCCGTCTGCGTCTCCGCCGCTAGCCGCACACGATGTTCTACTCATGACATTGTGTTGCTCTGTTATACTCTAGATTGTACACTCTTGCATGTAATTTTCCAACCAGCATGATGATACCCGCATCTGCCTAGATGCGCCTACTGCAGGCGCCGGCGCTTTGATGCCTGACTATTATCGCTCTCCTCGCTATCCCTGCCCTTCGGAGGCCTCAGGTAATCCCCCGACACCTCCTCGTCCCCTTCGTCCTCCCCGCTCTCATCATCACTCGAAGCGAGCATATATCGCCTTATCTTCCCCTCCTTCACCTCTTCAAGCCACTCTCCACCATCAGCACTCCCAAACGTCCAGATCCATGTCTGGCCCACACGCTCAGGAGGCACAGGCACGTCTTCCCTTGGACGCTTGTGTGCTGCTTCGGACGAAGGCGGGATGGGAAGTTCCCAACCGAGACGGTACGAGAGATAGCGCACTGCCTCGTCTGCTTCGCCGAGAATTACGATGTCGGGGTTTACGTGCGGGACTGGAGTCTTATTGATGATGATCTGCGGGATGGAATGTGGAATGTGGTCTGGAAACCTTTAGCATACTGGTGTAACGGGAGAAGAGAGAACGCACGAAGAATCTCGGACACTGGAGCTACGGTGAGGGAGGTACCGATGACTAGGAGGAGATCTACTTCTTCACGATCTTCGAAGAGCGCTTTGTCGAATCTTGACGTTAGCTTCTCTCCAAAGAACGTAATATCCGGCTGGAGAATGGATCAACTAGCATCCATGCACTCATGACATGGGATAGTACCTTTAAAATAGACTTATATTCATCCTCATCCGTCACCTCCTCTTCCCACGGCTTCATTTTGCCCTTCCCTTTGCTCTTCTTCTTTCCCGCCTCTCTGCCCTTACCGATGCATACTGTACACTTTGGTATCCTCTCCGCAAAGATGTCCTCTTTGATTTCCTCTCCTGGAAATTGTGTTCCGCATGTGATGCAAGACGCAGTCGCAAAAGAGCCATGGCAGTTGAGGACTTTCTTCACTCCTGCGACGGTTTCAAGGGTGTCGATGTTTTGGGTATAATTACGTAACAGCTTGGGGGAACGGATAAGCTTTTCGGAATTTCCCAGAAGTTAGCGATCAGATTCCGCACCTTGCTTTTGTCTTCTAGGAGTTTGATGAAGTAATGACATGGCGAGGGCTTGAAATTGGATGGAAAGATACGACTGCGAAAATTGAATGTCAGAGTGGCATTACGTAAGTGCAATTAAGTGCCCCACTGAGCAAAAGAACTGGTCGCTGCGTCAGCACATGGGGTCACAGCACGCCAATAAGACGTACTAAAACACGCTAGGATTCTCCTTAAAGAACTTGAGGTCGAACATCTGCTGTGGATCTGCCAGAGTTTGGCCAATCTCGCTCTCTCTTAGCTGAGCATAGATGCCCTGTGTACTTCGGAAGTCCGGAATTCCGCACGACACGCTGATGCCTGCTCCGGTCAATACAAGGATGTGCTTCGAATTTCGGATTAGGGCAACAGCGTCGTCAATTGTTTCGTACTGTGACAGACGTTCGCGGTCACGGAGTGTGCGTGAGATAGCTTGCTTCAGTAGGGCGATGTAATGTTCTTCTGTGAGCTGGGAGCGGAGATCTGGGGCGAGCAGCACGCCGAACGCGAGAAGCAGCTTGGAGGGGGGGATATCCAGCTGCCCGACGTATCTTTGTAAAAAGGCCATCATACCTGAGAAATGTTCAGAGAATACAGGGGAAAGCGGTACTTGTTGAGGTACCTCGTTCTTTCAGGAATCCCATCATTTGTTCAACTTCTTCTTCAGTAAACGCATGCATGGCTGCAAGAAGCAAATGGATGTTGTGAGTCAGGCATTTTTCTTCACATGCCGTGTAGAGCACCTTCTTCCATCAGCTGCTGATATTCATGATCGCTACCATCGATAGAGTGTGCAACATCGTCCAGTTCATTGCTATAAGAATCCTGGTAGGAAACTTTGACCTGCGGACCAGGGCCCACGTCCGTTGACATCGGCATGTCGTCAATAGACACATTAGGCTTGACCGGGGTATGCATGTTTCCGTTGGCGGCGCGAGATGCCATCTAATTTATACAAGTAGATATGCGTGTAGATAAGCAGAGATTGAACGCCAAGGAGTGAGGTGCCCTTGTAGTTCGCGCCGCCCGAGCGCGTTCGGCGAGATGGGAATGGACAAGCCGGGTTAGGGTCTCGCCTTGTTGTGCGTGCGGGCGCTGCCGCGATGATGATTGTGGCTATACACGGAGACAGATGAACCCCGTCGCCGTCTTGACAGGACACCGCACAGGGCATATATCACACACCAAGAGGGCGCGGGCACTGCCCGGTCCATCGGGCCAAACACATACACATCCTCCTGTTTCCATACATCGTACTATCGTTTATTGTGGAGGAACGAGGAGCGAGGAGCAAGTACTCTCGTTCCTTTCCCCCACCATCATCCATATCCCATTGTCAAAAATCTTCACTCGCTGTGAGTTCCTAGATCATCGGAAGTACCCGTACACGCGGCGAGACACGTCCAGCCCCGAACTCGCTTCCGCGACACATATTCAACCCCCACCCCGTTCCTATGGATAACCCGCCTTCTTCAACTGTGCACCTTGCCCTCAACAACGGCATTCCTCGCTCTTCAGCCACCGCAAGCATCCCCGCACACAGGGCTACTCCCTCGACTCCTTCCAACAAGCCTGAGCGATATCGCGTTACGTACACCTACACTCCTCCAAATCGTCTTCGTCAAGCCCAGGAAATGCCGTATGCAAACGGCTACGCAAACGGCAACGGACATGTACCTGCTGGGAAAGGTTGGAAGGCGAGCGAGGAATTCACGCAAGGAGGAGGGTACGACGAAGGTGTACGATGGGCAGACCAAAGCGGTTGGGTCCAGCGAATCTCTGCACTTTGGCAGAAGCACACAGGCACCCCATTCCGCCCTCCACACATCCAACTCCCATCACTGGGCTTCAAGTTCATACTTCTCTGTGCTCTGTGGTACACCTGCAGCGCAATGGCGAGCAACACCGCAAAGCCCCTCCTCAACCTCTATCGATATCCCGTCACCCTCACCTTCCTCCAGTTTGGATTCGTTGCCGCATACTGCATGCCCTTTTTCAGTCCCATATGGAAGCTCACTACTCTACGCGCACCCACGAAGGCGATACTCAAAAGCACAATACCCATGGGCTTGTTCCAGGTCGGAGGCCACATTTTTTCCAGCATAGCCATCTCCCGAGTGCCTGTGAGCACAGTACATACTATAAAGGCAAGTCCGCTCGTATACCAAATTCGGGTTCATTAATAACAGAATGTGATAGGCACTGTCACCCTTGTTTACTGTTGGAGCATATGCGCTGGTGTTTGGAGTGACTTATTCGCCGAAGACCTACCTTTCATTGGTGCCCTTAACCGTGGGCGTTATGCTAGCCTGCACGTTTGACATGACTGCGTCCTCCGCACTTGGCTTGCTCTGCGCATTCGGCTCGACACTCGTCGTCGTCTCCTCGAATATCTTCTTCAAGAAAATCATGCCAAGCAAGCCAACCAATGCCCCGCACCTCCCCGGCCCATCACACAAGTTGGACAAGCTCAACCTCCTGTTTTACACATCGGGCCTTGCATTCATCATGATGATCCCTCTGTGGCTATATTCGGATGTGGGCAGACTTTGGGAAGATCTGACGACCTACGACGAGAGCAAACCTGCCAACCGGACCTCTGCGGCAGCCTACTACCTACTCCTGAATTGCACCGTCCATTTCGCCCAGAACCTGATCGCATTCGCACTCCTGTCGATGTGCTCTCCTGTCACGTACTCTATCGCCTCGCTGGTGAAGCGAATCGCCGTCATCTGCATCGCGATCCTATACTTCAATCAGCCTGTCCACCCGATCCAAGCAGGCGGTATCTTCCTCGCCGGTATCGGTCTATGGATGTACAACGCCGCAAAAGGCGATATTGAGAAGGGCGAGAAGCGTGCACAACGAGTCGCCGCGGCGGGCGATCTACAACTCCCGACATCTCGCGACGAACTCTCGAAATCGGACGATGAGCGAATGGATGCCCGCGTCCGCCCCGCACCGTTGTACGACGAAGGACGATTGCGGTCTGTTTCCAGTTCTGTTCCGCATGCTTCCCTCACAGCGCGAGGAACGACGTTCACCATCCCTAAGCCACCCGCACTCAACATCCCCAGTTATGGGTATAAGAATGGCGCGGAGATCTACCCCAGCCCGCCGGACAGCCGCGACTCTCCGCCCTTGAAGGCAGGCGTACCGCTTGACGGGGCGCTCGTGAACAGCCTAGCGCCACCTATGGAATTATCCGCAAAGGGTGCTCTGGTGGACCTAGCGAACTACACGCGGCCGACAGCGATGGTGCACTGAACTTCGTAAGCTTGGCGCCCTGTAGAGGAGGAAATGTATAGAAGCGAGGTGGAAGGCGGACCTTCCCGTGCTGTAATATTCGGACCTGACGAAACCATGGACTGACGCTCTTATGCATCCATACCCTTAGATCAGTTATGCCTGATGTTTCTATGCGTCCGTCTCCTGGTGAGCGGTGTGTATTCGGCATACTTCTTTTGAACTGAACATTTAGTGCCCGGCATCAAAAGTGCAGTTTTCTCTACACAGATAGCATCTATGTAACATCAGTAATTGATTAACATGTCAATGATTACACATGTCCCATGGTGTGGGGCGTGATGATGAGGTAATGACTGGGTGTCTCCCCAGAAATGAAAGGAACATCTTGCTCGCGGAAGAAATTCATGGTGTTCTCTTCTTGACGATCACTCTCTGGTCGGGCATTCGTGCATATATGCTACTAGCTACCATTCTCTACTGTCCTCTGACTGACCGGCTCGCTTCTGGTCATCTTTCTCATCATCCTTACCTCTTGTTCTCTGCCAGCTCGCTTCGTCTCGGTCTCTCCACTGTTCTCGCTGTTCTCCCCGAACTCGTACGATGCCTCGTCTCAGGCCTCCCCATTCCCCTCCGTTAAACTCACGTAAACGTCGACTACCAAGTTATTCTGACCCTGCCTATGCCCAGTCGGAGGACCATTCTCCCCTGCACCAGCCTGCCAAGCGCGCCCGTGTTTCCGGTAGCAGGGAAAGGAATAACTCGCACTTCCAGGTCAGTAAGGGAGAAGAAGCCGCATATATGCTGTTCGTTTGCTGAACTGAGGACTAGGAAGATGAGGCACCTATGACTGACCCTGTGCTGAGCGGGACGAGGTCTGTCCAGACTTCTCTGAGGGCCGTAGCACCTCTCTTGGTGCCTACGCGCAAACCGACGAACGAGAACAAGCCACCCGTTCCTCACGTTCCTAAACCTAACACTTATGCCCCGATTGCCGCCTCTTCCTCTGCTGCTGCTCCTGCCCTTGGCTCTCCGTTCCAGCATGTTTCTCGCACCAACTCTGCATCTGCTGCTACATATTATCATGGCTTGTCACCCTTCACTTCTTCGCTCGAGAATGCTATTCATCTTGCAAGGACGAGGGCGACATCGCTTAGGCCTCATCCGTATTCCACCGCCCTGAGAGCACATCATGCTTCAACTGCTGTACCTAATGTTGCCGGTCTTGCACCTTCGCTGATGAGGACGCTGCTTACTACGCCTCTTGCTACGTCTACACCGAGGAAGTCTGGACAAGATGCTATGCCTTCTCACCACGGCGCGATGGATCTTGATCCTCCGACTCTTCGAGGCTCCATGCAGAGTGATGAGGAGAGTGCTGAAGTCAATACCCAGCATATGAATTGGCAATATATGCTGACATTCCAATTAGTCTGTCGTTGTCCCTCCTCCGAAGGATAAAGGCAAGGGGCGTCTCGTTGTAGGCGCTCAAGGACGGCCTACTGAACGCCGGTCTTCGGTTGACGAGCGCGCTAAGAATCTGAGCAGCCTGTTCTCTCACATGGATTTGGATGGCGAGGATCGCCAGCCCGCCCCTCCAGCTTCTTCTTCTAGCGACAGAACGCGGAAGTTCACGCATCCTTTCGCATCCAAGGCCAAACAAAGTGCGAAAGATAGCAAGAAGGCTGCTGGAAGTTCAAAGATGAAGACGATGACTGTTGGACAGGGACCGCCATCGATCAAGGCACTGTACAAGAAAGAGAACGCTGATGCCAGCAAACAGAAAACACCGAGACATCCGTTTATCATGCCTCTCCAGCTGAAGAAGAAACCTGCCAAGATGATACCTATTGTGGTGAAGGACCCGCCTAAGCCACCAGTGCGACAGACAAATACCACGGTGGCCAAGGCTTTCGTGCAGAAGCATCGTGAGACGGTCTGGATGAAAGTCGCAGATGATGCGTTGGCGGTTTCTGACGATGACAGTAAAGATGAAATTGACGCTTTCTAGGCACTAGAGGAATTAACAATTATCGTGTTTGTATGCTGGTGTGGGCGAGTGGCCGTGTAGTGCTTTATCGGATGGGAATTAAACCATTATGTATGACAAGAATGAGTACGCTGATTTGGGCCAATGTGGAATTTTCCCTCTGAACAGACAAATGTGTTGCATGGCATATTATTCATGGGAGAGTATGCCAACATATGCGTATAGAGACGACGCCCATCCCACAACAGCAACCCTCTCGAAGACTTACTTGAGGGGAATGAAACGAGACGAGTGGGTGGCACCGATACCCGGACGACCGTGCTTGACGGGCTTGTACGAGATTGAGAACTCTCCAAGGTAATGGCCAGTCATCTCAGGCTTGATCTCAACAGCGTTGAAGACCTTGTTCACGAGTCAGCTTCAAGTCTTTACATTACACCCCAGCCACGCACCTTGCCGTTGTAGATGCCGACGACGCTGCCAATCATTTCCGGAACGACGATCATATCCCGCAGGTGGGTCTTGACGACAGCGGGCTTCTCATTGGGCGGTGCCTCCTTCTTCGCCTTACGGAGCTTCTTGATCAGGCCCATAGGCTTGCGCTTCAGGCCGCGCTGGAACCGTCTCCTCGCGCGGGCGTGAACAATCTCAACAAACTGTAATACACCGTCAAAACTCGTCGGCAGTCCGTAAAACTGCCATTAACGCACGTCCTCATTGCTCAGGTCAAGGAGCTTCTCGAGCTCGATGCCACGGAAGGAGAAGGTGCGGAATGTTCTCCTCTTCTTGAGCTCGGCGGCGACGGCGGGGTCGGTGGCTTCAAAGTCAGCCTGAGCAAGTTGTCAGTACTCATTACATTCCCCAACATCTATAGCACACACCATATTTTTGTTGGTGGTCGGTCGGGATATGGATGTCGACGGCGGTGGTGAGCCTGGATCGGTGCAATCGCGCGGGATGTGGTTTGCTTCCGAAGGATAGCGCAAGCAACCCACAACTGTACAGTTTTGACTTAGGGTGAGCCCACGGTGGCGCGTGCCATTTCAGGGCTTTGGGCGTCGCAAAAGTCTGGTTTCATTAACCATCTCCCTTCGGTCTTCACGTCTGCAAGTCGTCCTTTGGGATTAAATGTGCGTATTCATATACTTTGGAAAGTATGAACATCAATGATTGACATGTTGTCTAGTGATTTGCGGCTGTCGCCCTTCAAAAGCACCCACATCATCAAATACATTAACTAAAGGTGGGACCTCAATTTCGTCTCCGGGAATTTAAATTCTCATGCTCGGTGCAGATGCGCCATATCGCCGCTTACCTTCTCTGCCAGATCGGTGGCAATGGCTCTCCCAGCGCTGCGGACGTCAAGGCCGTCCTCGCTGCTGGTGGCGTTGAGGCCGACGAGGAACGCCTGGAGAAGCTGATTTCTGAGGTCAAGGGCAAGAGCGTGAACGAGGTTAGCTTTCATGAATATTGGTAAACCTTGAAGCAGACTACTGACTGGGTTATTCCTTTTCCAGCTCATCGCTGAGGGTACTGCCAAGCTTTCCTCCGTAAGTACCTTGCTTATGTCCAGCTTGTGAATGTATCTCAAGAATCTCACAGGTCCCTGCTGGTGGTGCCGGTGGTGCTGCTGCCGCCCCCGCTGCTGCTGCGGGTGGCGCTGCCGCTGCCGCGGAGGAGGACCCCAAGGAGGAGGAGAAGAAGGAGGAAGAGAAGGTGTGTGACTGTTCTTCCAGCTGGCATGCAGGGATCCGTTGCTCACGGGAGCCTAAAATGTACAGGAGGAGTCCGACGACGACATGGGCTTCGGTCTCTTCGACTAAGTGTTCTGCGTCGGGACCCGCTTCGGGCCTTGTGCTCTTCCTCCTGCATGCCGTGGTGCAGTCGTTATTTCCGGAGAGCTGTATGGTAGTCTTTGGAAAATCGATCTGTTCTCCCGTTGCCGTCGTCGGAGCCTGCTGCTTCCCTCACGCCTTGGTATCCTTGCGAGGTTTTTCCACATTGGCTGTGAAAATTGTTTTGAGAAGCGAAGTGCTTTGTCCGAAGCGCCGGGCCATCTCCCCCATCGCATTCTGCTTTGACGCCGCTGACGTCGTCCTCAAATCGGGCTCGCATCTTCCAAGCCAACAACCGTGTCCTTATCCTTAAGTATGACCATTGTCGCGACAATCCGCCGGTGCGGAGCATGGTCGGACCTGCATCTGACCCGCCGGGAGAGAGATGAGATCCCGATACCGATAGGCCTCCCTTCAAGAAGCTGGATTCTTTCCCTGGGTTTTGCCCCGTTCGTGCAGTTTCGCACAGGTTCAGCGCACGCTGGTCGTCAGCTGACCGGAGGCTAGAAGCATGAGGAGCGCTCCGCGTTTTCTAACGATAAGTTGCAGATTCGCGGACTTGGCAGGGATGAATTCCGGACAATAGGGGTTCGTGGAACGTGTGACCTGCGCATCTGAAGGTGCTTGTCCTGTTGGGGAATTTGGGATTATAGGCAAAGCGCGAGTTGGGGTAAGAAGACCAGCTGGGTTTGACTGGAGATTGCCGTCGGAAAATATTAGGATCACTGGTTCAGGTTGGTGTTGAGACAGGAAGTGTAAGGCCATGTATACTAAGCCGGGGGTAGGTTGACCCTGTTAACATAATTGTCGTAACCGTCTCCCTTGATTGGGGCAGGAAGAGAAGCATGTAGTCCAGATGCAGATGCAGTCCGTATCGTCCCGAGTTATGCGGATACCATTTCACCCAGGCCGTGCTTCTCCCGGACAACCGAACGGGTCGAGCGGGTGCCACAAACTTGCCACGCAGAGGGCGTAAATCAACCTCTTGCCGCCGGCTCCGGTGCTTTCAGAACAACGGGCGATTGCTACCGCGTTTCTTCTCTCGACGATGCTGCGTGACTGATGGAGGATCGGGAAAGATGTGCGCTTCATACCCTGAGCTGAGACTGAACTCGTTCCGAACGTCGGTATCAGGATAAGCCGTGTACGCTGTCCTCGGCTGGAAGGGAACAGGGAAACTGTGAGAGGTTATATTGCACAACATAGAAACACCCCCTGCAGGAACAAGGAAGCTCCCCTTTGCCCCTTTGCCCTTGCCCTTGCCCCTCTCTTGCTGATGGTCGCACGATCGGAATTGGGAATTTCCGAGGGCGGAACTGGAGAAGGGGTCGAGGAAGATGCGAAGGTCAGAAGCGGGGAAACCGCCGCAAGTCGTCAGGCAGGGGAGGAACGGGTTGAGCCTCAATGTATCTCGATATGCCCGACGGCTGCTGGACAATACGGTCGTTATATTCTGCTATGTGCCCTCTGCAGACACCAAGTGTTGAAAACACGGTCGGTGAGAAACGTCTTTCCCGGGGGAAGTGTTTGAAGCTCCGCTTCGGGGAGAACTGAGAGAGTGGGAAGCTGCAGGAACGATGAACGGTGGTGTGGTCCAGTGGAAGCACCCCGCACAACAAGCTGGCAGGTGGGTTCGAGAGGCCTGCGATTCCCCATCCCCGTTTAGCATGTATGCACCATTCCCCGAGGTAGAAAGGGCGCAGCTGGGGGGTGTACTGCTGGTGCCCACCATTGAAGCCAAATCAAGTGACGAGTGAGAGGTGTTCTTCCCTGCCACAAAAAGTGTTCTATCTGTCTGTACACTTCCCTCTCTCCTATCCATAATCTGCATGTTAGCCCAAGAAACGCCTACGATGGCATGAAAGAGGACTCAACCGGCGGCCCCGTATTTGTCCCTTTCTTCTCGTGGTGATCAGACCCGCGTGGAGGTGCAATAATTGAATACGGAGCGCGATGGTGACAACCGGCAATAAAAGATTGATCTAATATTTCGAGTGGTTAACCCTCCCGGCGGCAGTGGAAAAACCGTGTTGGAATCGATGTCCAATTGGGGACATTATCCCATATTCTAATTCGCACGCTCTCGGTCCGTTCTCAAATTCGACTTGTAAGGTGCAACTCCTCCGCTCTGTAACTGTCCCTTCCATGCGCGTGCTTTTCGCCCTTCGCGTGCTTAACTGCCTCATCTTCCTCATTCGACACTCATCATCATCCCACACCATCTCTCCCCATTTCCATTCCCCCTTAAACACATCAGCTCACACACTCTTCACTTCCCCCCCTTTCCTGCTCTTCCATCACCACCATCGCTGTGCTCTCCCTCCCTCAAGACAACCCAAATGACAGTAATGCTCACCCATTCCACCCCATCCTCCACACTCCCACCACTCCTTGGCAACCGTACACGACCAGATCCAATGCCTATCGCGTTCGACAAACGTTCCTCAGAGGAAGAGGACGCCGCAGAGCGCAGGGGTGTACGCAAGCGCAAGCGGCTATCAAAGGTGCGTTTTATGTCTCGAAGTAGCTCGGGAAATAGCTAATAACGAGAGTAGGCATGCGATGCCTGTCATAAGTCAAAGCGTCGATGCGATGGTCGATGTACGTTCATCTCTCCATTTCTGCGCGTTAACTGACCTACTCTTTCCTTAGCTCCTTGCGCGAACTGGTGAGCACTTGACATACCCCGATTCAAATCAATCCTGATTGAATACCAGTGAATTCGCTACCAAAACATGCGTCTACACGGACAGCCTCGGACGCGCTGTCGCAGCACCCCACGCCCGCTCAGAGGACCTCGTATCCCTTCTCTTCCCCCGTCCTGCTTTGGCTTCGCAGCTCACCTCCCCCTTGCGCTCCGCTCCCTACCCTCCGCAGGGCGTCATGGGTCCTCGCCCAATCGCCAGTGGACCGCTGACTCGCCCATCTGGCGGGCTACCGGTTAATATCATGGTCGACACTCCCCAGATGTTGAAGGAAGAATATCCTTGGGCGAAAACCGAGGAGCTGCGCAAGGCCCTCACAGACGTGATGCCTAATACAAGGATCACGGTCGATCCAACCATCAAACTTGAGCTGACGAACAGTACGTGTATGCTACTTGCGCGGGAGAGGAGCGCTGAAATCATGTGGGACAGTCTTCTTCAACAAGTGCACACCGTACAACCTGATGATCCACAAGCCCACGTTCTTGAGCATGCTCACAAATGGCAGCTTGCCAAATTACATCCTTCTTTCTATCATGGCATTGGCCGCGCCCTATTCTTCCCATCCAGCACTGCGTATCCTTTCTCCCAACGGTCGTCCCTGGCAGCAGGGTGAGATCTTCGCGGAACCGGCGAGGCGCGTGCTCCTCGATCGTACGGGGAACGTTCAGCTGGATTATACCCTGGAAGTGGCCCAGGCATTGATTATGCTACATGTTCACGAAGTTTCTATGAGGCGTTCGTCCGGTGCCAACGGCCGTTACATGAGTAAGTTCTAGAACTTGGTCAGAAAACAGCTTCACTTACAGATGATAGCAATGGCTCTTGACATTCTGCTGCGCTTTGAGACTCACCGCCTGGATGCTTCAGGGGCAATGGGTGAAACCACAGAACCGACAAAGGCTCTACTTGCTGAAAGCTATAGGCGGACGTTTTGGCTCATCTATTTCATTGAGTCCCTCTGTTCGACGTTCACCGAACGCCCGCTCTCTTTCAAGGAATCTGAATTCGCCGTGTAAGTCCATTTCCCCTTTCGCGCTAGGGTATTCTCAGGCTAAGCTTGCTCCTAGCCGGCTGCCGATGAAAGACAGTCGATTTGAAATATTTGCGGATGCTGAACCGCCGACGGAGTTCCTCCGACCAGGGGGACAAGATGTCACTGAGCCGGGGGCGTTTGGGTATCTTGTTCGCATCACCTCGATCTACGTGCGCATCGCAGCGCTCATTATCGAGAGTCAGAGTAAGTGGCCCCGCTTCTCCCACTCCGCACGTTTCTGACAACGTGTCCGCAGACATTGGAATGCTGCGGAACACGGAAACTCACCGTCGTCTTACGACACAGCTGCAGGAGTGCGAGCGAAGCCTGACGGTGAGTCGAGGCCCGACGCAAGGGATGCCGGGGAAATACTCATCACATTCACCCCTTACAGGACTGGCAATTATCTTTGCCGTTGAGACTCCGGTTCAACGAAGCCAACCTCCGCATGCACATCCACATGTACCACATTGCTGGCGGCTTCGGTTGGGCATTTGCGTACATGCATGCGCTCTCAGAATGTTGCATGCTGGCGATCTACGAGGTATGTTGTCTCCCTTGCTTCTTGGCTTTTGCTCCCGGCTTCTGACACCTTTACCCCGCTTTCTCAGGTCTTTGACGAGCCGCCGATGACGCGTTCCAAGCAGGCCATCGCAAACCTGATGATCATTTTGGACTGGCTTGAACCAAAGGGTCGCTCCAACATTGCCAGTGAGTCTCGAGGTCCCTTTCTGAGTCCCCAGTGGGTGGGCTGACCTTTGTTCTTCTTCCCTCTCCTCCCTTTAGCCGCTTGGATACTCCTTGCCCTCTTACAGCACTATGACCGTGCTCGGGTCGAACCGGACGCTCGTGTGCAGGAGTGGTGCCACGAGTACGAGGCCCAATACGGCATCAAGCTGGACGATATTCGGAGCCCCTCCTTCCGCCAGAACTGGATGGGACCGCGGGTCCACGCACCGCGACTGATCAATGGCCAAGGTACACCGACTTGGCAGGCTGTCGGGCAACCTTTGTCGACTTCGGCCGCTCCTAGGCCCAGCCTGCATATTGGGACTACGAACCACTACGACTACCCCATGGGTGGCGGGCCGGCCCACACTTATGGGCCCACATTCCCGCCCCCCAGGACGACGCATACACCGTACAACGGAATAACCATGGACCCCTTACCTACACCAGCGACATCCCATTGGCCTGGTGATCAGACACTGGGGCCGCTACCTTCGTTGCCACGGATATTCGACAGGCAGGAAGTGTCTGCCATGCACCTCTCACCAGTAAACCAAGTTTCGCCATACACCATGCCGTACACCGATGGCTACCTCTCTGGCCCCAACGCCCTCCCACATCACCACCAGTACCCCTCGAATCACAGTTTTCGTATCCGCACGAATGGGCTTCCGGCGAGCAGCTTAGATTCCCTTTCCGGATCAACTACGGATAGGTTCACCTCCGTATCCCCAGCAGATGAACATGCCCAGCCCGCGAAACGTGCGCCTGTCGGCCTTGGATGGTTGGCAGACGAGCCACGCGCAGAGCGGAAGGTCGGCTTGCTTGATTAGATTTCATAGACGATTTGGGTTTCTTTTGGTTTCTGTTGTTGTTACTTATCGTCCTGTTTTCCATCTATCCTCTCGATTGGTTTCTGGTTGGGTTTCTTGTATCCATGTTAAAAGGTACTTTTTTCGGTTCTGTACCATGACCCGTTTCCGCTCGTCGTTTCGAAGCCGTGTTGGGTTTCATTGGCAGCACATCATGCCGTTTAGCGACGCTGGGATTAATAGGTCGAAATGTATTATCTAGTTTGTCATGCAAACGATTCAGCTCGACGATCTATCATACATTCTGCTTGCCCGCCCCATGGATCCAGAGCACGCAACACACGGTCAGGGGTGATGTTACTACACCTTGTGGATGTTCCGGTGCATCTCCGGGTGAACTTCGACAACCCGCTCGAGCAGCTTCTTCACCACATCCCTCCGGTTCTTCTCAAAAGCATCGTTGATTGAAGAGATCCTCTGCTCTGTCTCCTTGTCGATGCCCGACTGCACAGACTGGGTGCTCCCCGAGCGCTACGTACTCAATCAGTACCTGGCGCATACGGGGACAATGTGGACGCACCTCGGCCTCAAATTTCTTGTATTCCGCATCCATCTGTTTCCTATACTCCGCAATTTCCTTATCCGCCTCTGTACGTGCGTCCTTTAGGCGCTGCGTGCGGTCTGTGCATCCGCCAGGTAAATAATATGACGTGGAGTCGCGAGAATGACGTACACTGCCGTGCTTGTTGGACGAGCTTGGCCGCCTCCTTTTCTGCATCGAGAAGGGTTTGAATGTTTTGAGACTGTTGGGACTGTTCCGCAATGCATTAGGTATGTTTCCTTCACTCTTGCTACAGAGCTCACCATAACGTGTGGAGATGAGTGATGAGTGACTCTGCTCAACGGCGCGATTCTCAAGTCCACTCTAGGGGCTGTGAACGGCGGAAGCAAAAGGTCCCTAGGGGTTCTTTCCGTCATGGGCGACTGAGTCTTTGCAAGTCGTCTGAACACTTTCGAGACCACCAACATTCTCATGACATTCACTTCTTGAACAACGATCCTTTAACCACCGTGTAGTAAGGTCTAGTGAAACACCTGAGCAAGAGGTTGTAACCGGTGAAGGGCTGTTACAAGTCACAATACCAATGGCACATCAGGATGACGCGCTCAGCGCGGGGACGCCCGACCCACTCCAGCTGCTGAGCAGTGCTCTCTCTGCACCGGCAGACTCAGCGGAGCAGGGAGAGCGCCTCGTGCAGCTCAGAGTTGTGCTTGAGAACAACCGCCCGAGTCTCATTCCGATCATGATATCCAACCTGCTTCCAACGACGGCGATGAGCGTCGACTCGGTGTTGAAGAGGTGGCTGCTGGACTTGGTGCTGTATGCATTGGGTAGTCAGGCGCTTGATTATAATACTCGTACAGGAGGTACGCCGATTTTGTCATGTAGATGCCTATAAATACTCAACCGCGACTGGCGCGCGCAGTGGCAATGGAGGTAGTGAGCCACCTTGCTGGGTTGCTCTACGGAACACATATCCCGATCGTGAAGACAGTGATATCATGTTTCTCTTCCATATACCCGCTTATATTTCGGGCTGTGTGCGTCCCCCAATCTAAGGACAGAGTTATGCATGTTTATGAATATGATCCAGATGTCAACCTGCGGGTATGGCCGCTCAAAAGCAATGGGAAATCGTGCTCGCTGCCAAGGATCGCATCTTCAAACTCTTGGATTCCCCCACTGCCCCCTTGGGCATCAAGCTCTGCGCGCTGAAATTCATGCAACGTGCAATTTTAGTACAGGGAAGAGGACCTACCGACCCAAGGGTGAGCGGATCTAAATGATGAATGTTTATGGAGTTGAGCGCTAATTTTGCTTATCCAGTTACAAAATATCGCGGATCCGAATTTGTCCCTTGTACCCACAGGACACCCATTCATATCCCCGTCTCAATTGGAAAACGAAGGAGTGGAACTGTTGCAGAAAATGATAACCCTTCTGTTCAAGTCAAAGTGAGCCGGGTTCATTCATTCTCCATCTAACTTGGGGAAACTAAGCGCTCGTGCACTAGTGTGGTCGAAATCATTTCCGCATTAGTCAACTGCTTTGATGCATTTGTCCGTCTGCGTCCTGCGTTAGGAGAAGTCATCCTCCAGACGCTGGAAGTATGGACGCCGACTGCTCTTGCGGCCCAATCTCCCACATCTATCAGGAGTGTGGAGAGATCCATCCGAATACTTCTCACCCACTGGTTGCGGTATGCTTTTCCGCGATTCATTCCGCATGTCACTAAGTGCCTCACCCAGGAGCCCTCACGGACCACCGCACACAGCGCGCGTACATCAAATTCTCCAGAAGCAAGCCGAAAGAATACAGCAGGCCGCTGCAGAAGAGGACCGGCGGCAAGCTACGCTCAAGCGACCAGCACCTTCGGAGGATGAAAACCCACATGCTGCACAGCGACTCAGGCTAGACCCAGCCGCCGCCGCGGGGATGGCAACGCTTGGAGATCTAAGTGCTTTCGATGTCAGCACCCTACCGCCTGAGATGGTGGTTGATCTTGTTATAGCCAATCTGGCCCTGGTATCGGAGCAGGAGTTGATGGCTGCTGTTCAGGTATGCATGATATTCATGGTCGGCGCCCAATAGCTTACGTTGCACATCAGACCGTCCGCCAAGCATTTGCCGCAGCAACATCATCGGTTACGTCCCAGGCTCAACCAGCAGGTGGACTCACCACGCAGGAAGCTATGGCCTCTGCACTTGTTTCAAGAATGGAAGACAACGATGACGAGGACGTTGTGATGGAGGAGGAAGAAGAAGAGGACGATGAGGACATGGAATATGAGCCTGATAAACTGAATGAGCAACTGAGCGTATGTCATGTTGTATTATCTGTGGATGCCGCTCATGAAATGGACAGCTTGACCTCCCTGCAACATCAGCCCATGGTGTTGTGTTAGAGGCGGATGACGAAGATGTTCTACAGTCCCTTCGACTAGCGAACTATGAACTGCCGCTACCAAAACCAGTCGATCCTGACTCTCGTACAAAGATGATCCAGTCTGTCCTGTCACGGCTCTGGGAGAATGGAAAGGAGACGGAGCTACAGGCTCCAGAAGAGTCCGATGCTGAGGACATCAAGGCCGTTGCTGGCTTACCAGCGCATGAGTTATGGATGCTCACCCTTGTGCGCATGGTCACGCGGGGTTCTACATCATCCGGGGATGACTCGGTTAGTTCCAAGTCAGAAGACGATTCCCCGCCCCCGGTCCGGACACATCCTTCATCCGATGATATCCGGCAGCGATTATACGACTTCGTTCTGAGTGATTTCCCCAATCGGTAAGGACTAGTTCCAAACGTTTATCACGCTTCCTTACCTTGAGGGCGTCTAGGATCAAAGTTGCTACAACGTGGTTGACAGAGGAATGGATTAATGATAAGCGACATACTCAGGATGAACTGTTACCGGTACGCTCTTTGAGGGTTGGACTAACCTAAATCTCAATGTTTCTTAGTCTGGCCATTACGAGAAGTGGCTACGAATGATTGTCGAAGAACTAACTAGGGAAGTTGATTCCAAGGATAAATCTCTTAACCGCTTCTTGATGGATGTGCCGGTTTTGCCCCCATTCGTCTTTGGAATGATGCGAGAGCTGTGCGTGGTGGAGCAGCGGTGAGTGTTCTGCTGTTCCTGTGCGCTGCATCTATTAAGCAACATCTAGTATGGCAATCGGGTTCGGCGTTCTCCGTGAGATTGCGATGTCGAGAGAGCCATTACGAAAACAAGCTCTAGAAATTGTTTTCGATCTCACTACTCATCCTGGTATGATCCCATATGAATGACAGCCGTATTTACTGTGACTAACTTCATCCGCAGTGAAGGTCACACGGAATGCAGCCATTATCACCACAAAACGCTGGGTACAGGACAACAGAAAGCTGGAGTCATATACTAGGGCATTTGCTTCGCAGATGCTTAAAAGATTGTCTCTTGGAACGGCTGTATCTAACGACGCGAACATCAATGGCGAACCTCCAGATATGGACGAGGAATCAAAGCATTTGAATGCGTCTGAAACTGAAACTGCGGAGCCCAAGGCGAGCCCCGCACGTGAAAAGAACCTAGAGTATGCGACAAGTTATGTCCCCGAGGTGCCTGTGCCTCCAGTCGACAGAGCCTTGGTGCAACAGTATCTCGAGTTGTACTTCGTGCTTTGCCTAACGTCCCAGGAGATGTTGGACGAGTATGTTTGTTGGTGTTACATCGTCAAGTTTGTCGCTGAATGTGCGTTAGGATCTTTGACCGCTACCCCTACATGGACTCTTCTGTGCAGGAGGCAATTCAGGATTTGATAACGAACTTGGTCAAAACCCTTGGCCAGTCCAATGGAAAACTTTTGACGTTGTTACGGACCTTCCCCGCAGGCAGCGAAACACTTGCCTTGAGGGTGCTGAACATTTTGACGGAAACCAGGCGACCCTCCGCTCCACTGGTGGCCTTGATCAAAGCCATTGTGGCTGAACGAAATCTTGACGTCCGTTTTCTCATGCCAATCTTATCTGAAATGGAAAAGGTGGGCAAGTCTGTTGTTCTGTGTGACTTCTCATAACACGGTCTAGGCGGATATCCTACGGTACTTACCCCGTATCGTTGCCACCCTCACTGGTCAAGCAGCCGAGAAAGCACTTGTTCGCTCCGTTTTCTCCTCGATCGTCACTGCACCTCCGCAGACATTCGCAACTTCTTCGAATCAGCCACGGGCTAAACAATCGGAGCTGCTCACCCCCGTAGAACTCATGGTGTTACTGCACCACATAGACAGAGATGCGGGGTTGAAACCGACGATCGAAGCCATTCAGCTGTGCTTCTCTATGACAGATATATACCGTTCTGATGTATTAGCCGCTGTCATCCAACAATTAGTGGATGAGCCAACACTTCCCACATTGTTCATGAGAACTGTGAGCAAACCTCCATCGCGTGCGTCAACAGGAACTGACAGTGCTTCCAGGTCATCATGACGGTACAACGTTACAAAACACTAACTCCTTTCGTCTCGACTACTATTCTCGCTCGGCTTATTCCCAAGAAAGTTTGGGAACAGCCTCCACTCTGGGATGGCTTCCTTCGCTGTGCAAAAATGATCGCCCCATCCAGCTACGCCGTGCTGTTACAGCTCCCTAAAGCGCAATTGCGAGATGCAGTGTCGAGAGACGCAGACCTTCGTTCGGGACTGAAGGATTTTATGGTCAAGAGGGGCGGAAATAACCGGGCCAGACTTGTGGAGATATTCGGAGAGGACGACGAAAGTGGACATCCTAACATTACAGGGCACACGGGCTCTTCCCCAGCACCGCCAACGCCCACCCTGCTTCCAAATGAAATTGGGGCGACTTAATCTCTTGCCTATCTCCCTCCTTCCTGTTATGACAACTATATTGCTCGTTCGAGACAATTCTACTTGTAGCAATAAGCTTAATGTCAAATTGGTTGATGCGCTGGAAGAGAAAGGGCGTAAGCACTCATGATCACGACTGTGATCACCAGACTGACACAGCCCCTAACGACCAACCTTTTGAGTGCGGGGCATCGATGTATTTCTTTTTGGTTTTGCTGCTCCCGCTTTTCGCATGTCTTTGCAGTTGTCTCGTGCTGGTCATTCAAGAGCTGGGCCGTTGATATTGGCTCGAAGAGGTGGACTCGCTTGCTCTCGAGGACGGAAACAGCGAGAGTACACTTCACAGCAGAAACAATATGCGCCTAAACATGAGACAAATCCAGCAAAGTACAACTGGAATCCGAACAATTTTACAGATGAACTCCCGAAGAATTACGAGAAATACCCTCTCTTGACTGCTTCACAACTGAGTAGAGAAAAGAAACCGCGTCGAGAAGTTAAGATGCTTGTCCGGGACTTCATCGCGGACGCGTTGTATAACCCCAACTATGGCTACTTTCCGAAACAAGCCGTAATCTTGTCTTCGCCAGAACCCTTCGACTTCCCGTCATTGAAAAACTCTGACGAGTTTAACAGTATGGTCGCACGTACGTATGCTACCGATGATACTGGCCCTCGAACTCTCATCGGACGGCAATTGTGGCACACTCCGACAGAACTTTTTAAAGCGAGTCCTGCTCTCTGTTACACTTCTTCCCTTGAGTAACCAGATGCTTTAGCCGTGGTATGGCAGTGCCATAGCACAATGTCTAACCGCCGATTATATGCTCAAATATTTCCCATACGAGGACTTCATCATTTATGAAGTAGGGGGTGGCAATGGCACTCTGGCGCGCAATATTCTCGACTTCGTACGGGACTATTACCCCGACATCTACGAGAGAACAAGTTATCGGATCATTGAAATTTCCCCCCAACTTGCAGAAATACAGAAGCAACAACTCAAACAGGAACATGAAAATGTGGAAGTCATCATCAAAGACATCTTGCAATGGGATAAACCTGACTTGTCCCCTTGCTATTTCATTGCGGCGGAAGTGATCGTACGTCTTTTCCTATCTCAGATTTATCATTCAGCTACCTATTGTACCACTTAGGACAACTTTCCGCATGACATTATTCGGTATCGAACAGAAGATCTAAAGCCTGCCCAATGTGTAGTCGTTGTGGACAGCGAAGGATCGTACACGGAGCTTTACGAACCAATAACCGATCCTCTCATTACCCGATTTCTTGCTTACAGAACAGCACTTCATCACCAGCCTCCAGTACTCACTCGAGTGATGACTTCACCGGTTCTACGCTTTCTTCGTCAAGCTCTTCCCATGGTGCCTAATCTCTCCTCGCCTGAGTTCATCCCTACACATCTGCTCCTATTCCTGGAGAAGCTCCGTAGGAACTTCCCACAGCACCGCCTGCTTTTGTCCGATTTCTTTTCTTTACCAGAAGCACTTTCCGGCTACAATGCACCAGTGGTACAAACACGGTATCGCGGCGCCATGATACCATGCACGACGTACCTGGTACAACCAGGATATTTCGACATCTTCTTCCCCACTAACTTCGAACGACTCGGTGAACTCTACGAGCTGGTTATGTCACTACCACACACGCCGCAAGAACTCGATATTCGCAGCTCTCCTATCCTCCAGAGTGATCGTCGACTGGCCTCCGACTTCTTCTCAGCTCGGGGACGCAGTGATGTCGAGCCAACTCCCGTTCTGAGCGGGAAGCCGGCTCGTCTTGGTCCGCCTCTCTGCAATATATTTACCCACAAAGAATTCCTCACGCGCTACGCGAATATCGAGGCGACAACATTGCGAAATGGAGAAAATCCCTTACTGGAATTCTATCAGAATGCGAAGTTCCTGTTCTAAACGAACCCAACCCTCTTCGTCGTCGTGACAATCATGAACATGTATACATTGGACAGAGTTTCGACTACGGGGCTAGAGGTACGTTATGAAGCGGTATAAGTACATGCAGGATATGGGGTAATGAAGCATGGTAGACAAGGGATGCCTTCCCTGAGCAAGCAAGAACGATAAAATTGAGAATATCATGACACAGAAATGCCGACAGCAGAACGAAGTGCCTCTGCAGCCTGACTCGCCTTCTTCATAGAGGCCGTATAACCTTCCATCGCTTGATCGGCCAATTGCCTAGCACTGGGACGATTGGGCGGTGTCCGCGGTGTCCCGGGTCCAGACGCGCTACGGATAGACGGCGAATTCGACAGAGACAGGGCCGGATCGTCCAAATCGTCGTCAGTTAGGTCACCGTTCTCCCACCGCTGAATCCGTAATCTACTTCTTTCAACGCTTTCCCATTCATCACGCATGCCGGTCAAGCGATTACGAATCAGGCGCAGTTGCCGCGCTGCATCGGCATTGGTGGCTCCGTTTACTTGTGCTTGATCGGATAACGACGATAACGATGCGATGAGGTCGTTATTATTTGTGTGTATGGCAGAAAGGGCTGTCAAGGCGGTCCCTACAGGATCGACGGGTGCTGCATTTGACGTAGTGCGAGAATGCCGAGCAGATGTGAAAAATCCATCGTCCTGATCGTTGTACCGTGTTTCGTCCGGGGATTCTGGGATGTGTTCCAATGTTCGATTCGGTGACCACAACTGTCCATCGTTATATCCATCCAATTGTAACGATTCCATGCCACCGTCGAGCCATCCATCCACAAGGGTAATTTCGGGTATGTCAACTTGAGTGTCTATTTTGTGTCGAAGGTCTCGAGCAATCTGCTCAAACTGTTTGACTTGCATGTCGCGATCTCGGAATGTCGTCCGCAATCGTCTCAGAAGATCGGAGATCCAGTCCTCAACACTTGGTTCGTAAGCCACGTCTTCTGACTGTGTTGGTTCGGCCGTCTTGAGCGACAGCATGAACCTGTCCATGAGTTTGGCGTCACGAGTGAAAGCATCAACGGGATCAAGCATATCGTTCACGACTACTGCTGGTGTTCTCAATGTCGATTTAATTGACCGAGGTGGTGTGATGGGTACTTCAGCGATTGGCAGCTTGTCTTCTATGTTGCTATCTTCTTGGTCTGCTGAAGGATCGACAATCGCTCCCTCTTCCTCATCAAATTCAAGCCCTAGCTCTTCTGCCAGAGCTTTCGCATTTGCGCCAGGTTCAGGAGCAAGCGCGGCTGCAAGTTCGTGTGCCAGTGACATGCCGCCGTTTCCTGCATCGCCCTCCAATTGGTCTCCACCGTACAACCCAGCAAGTGAGTTGGAGGTTGATGATGGTGCCAACGCGGACAACATGCCACCTCCTGCGCCAATGGATGGCTCCATCAAGTCGGGGTCTTCCTCGTAGTCAGGATCCATCGGTGCAGTCGAAGAGAGTGCTAAGGGTATCATATAATAGTGGGAGGAGTCAAAGGTGGGTTGTCGTCGTGAGGAGTAAGGGACGCGTTGCGCGCCTTGGAGGGCAGGAAATGGGTCGCGACATCGTTTTGGACCAAATTTCGCCACCCCTCGGAGCTTCGGAGAATGGTGGACACGACTCGGACAGTTTGATATCACAGGAACTTCACACTTGTTGTCGGCTTGGTTATTCTGGTTTAGGTCTCTTATCTCACAACACCGCAATGTCAACCGAAGTATCCATGGAACGTCTGGTTCGAACGTATCTGGCAGCCAACGGAGATGAAGACGTGCAGGAGGTCGTTTCTGGTGCGATACCCCACAACTTTCGCTTTGTCCCTCGTTGATGTCTTTACAGCTATCGAGAGTGGTTCTTCTACTGTACTGCTACTGGTTCGGGCGCTTGGAGAGCCCCTGACGTCGACAGAGGATGCGGTTAGAACAAGGGGTCTGTTGCACTGACAGAATGTGCCCCTTAGCTCTCCCTAATCACGAATTTCAGGCTTGAATTTGCTGTCTGAAGTGCTCACTCGAATACCGAAAGAGAAACTTAGTGAACAAGCTAGTATGTTCTCATGTGCATTCGTGATCTTTCCTAACGGTCTGCCTTGACGCAGCTCGTGTTCTGACCAAGTTCTATATTGACAAGCTCGAGGATCTGCATGTGATCGTACCGGCGCTTAAGGGCATTCTCTCATTAGAGTCTTTCTCCCACTTTGGAGATGAGGAAGCTGTGAAAGTCTTTGAGGCGTATGTGCAGTTCGCATGCCTCCCATAGGTTCCACTGATCTGTAGCTCAGACTCGTCCAAAACATCAAGATGCGCGCCCATGTTCAGGCCACACGATTCATAGTTTTCATGATCATCGATGCTCTCCTTAAACACCGAAGAGATGCTCTCAAGTCTCTCGGAAATGTCTTCATAGGAGGGTATATTGAGCTAGCTAATGGAGAAAAAGATCCACGGAACTTGCTACAGGCTTTTTCCATTGACCGTGTCATTCTAACAGAGTTCGAAACGAAGAGCAAAATCGATGTCAGTATATTCACCATGTCTTGTGATGTCTTCTTACGTGATGCAGGATCTCTTTGATATTACCTTCTGCTACTTCCCCATAAGCTGGAAACCTCCCGCAGGAGACCCGTATGGAATATCCACGGATGACTTGCGCAATGCCCTTCGCCAGTGCTTGAGTGCAACCTCGCTATTTGGACCTCTCGCGATGCCAACATTTTTAGAAAAGCTGTCTGCTACAGTTGGAGCTGCAAAGGTCAATGGTAGACCGTGTTGATGTGTTCCTCGTGCTGAAATTGTGCAACAGATCGATACCCTGCAATCAATGACTGCATGTTTCCCTATATACGGGCAGACTGCTCTCCAACCATTCGCCCAAAAGACCTGGGACGCACTCCGAATGGAAATCTTCCAACCATTGAATGACGAGACGCAGGATTATTCCCTTAAGACGCTGATCTCTTTCATTCAGACATCATATCCATCGACCGATGCACAGCTCGATGGCATTGCTGTGGAAATTACGAAAGAATGTATCGGACTACTGAAGGAACCCGAGCGAGATCAGGCAAAACACGCTATCAAGACCCTGGGTGCATTGCTCGAATCTTCTCCAGCGGTCGCCAAGCATGCTTGCGGACAATCTTTAGACACGCTTCTTCGACTCTTCCGAGACCCATCGGCAGGATCTGCGCGTGGTGCTGTTATGGATGCCATTACCGGCTTGTTATCAAGCCTAATGCGAGCTGCTGCAGATGGGCTCTATGATGTGTCTGAAGTCTTAGCAAGCAAGAAGGATGAACTGGTGTCTTGCTTCGTATCAAGCATTCGATCATCGTCGTTGAGACAGAATGCTTTGAATGCGATTCTGGAAATTACGCAAATAGCTGGCCTCATTACTACTGAAGAGATAACCTTCATGTGTCAAGCGTGCACTGAGATTCTTCTCGAAGAGTCGAGTCAGGAAACACAGTGCGTTAAAGACACCCCATGTCTCATGCGAAGCTGAATTGTATTGCAGGGAGACCCTTCTGCAAGTCCTTAAACAGTTTTCTCGAAACGCACCAAAAGCGTTGGAAGAGACTTGTCTGCCGCTTCTTTTTGCCCAACTTCCGGACGAGGCTCCTGCTCTCGAAGCAGACGAGAAGCGCGAACATTACTGGCGAATATTATCAGCATTACAATCGCTGTGTCTGGAGCCGGTTCTATTTCAAGTTCTTGTCGTGCGACTTGTTACAAAGTTGGATATCATATGTTCCCTTAAGTTGGACGATTCCCCTGAGGCCCTCATAGAAGTAAGTGCGGCGTATTCTCATGCCATCCTAGAGACTCTCCGAAAGACAATACAAAGCAAGATTCACGCCAAACACAACGACTTCGCGAAGTATCTTGACCAGCTGGTTCCACGTTTGTTCAGTATATTTCTGCGAGCAGCTCTTTCTCCATCATCTGTCCGACAAATTCCATGCAACACAATCTTAATTTTGGACGCTTCCAATATTGTCAATCTTCTGACGCAGACTGCATCCTCAACGTGCGAATCTTGCCCCTGTGAATTGCCGAGTATTGACCTGTTTTCAGCGAACAAGCCCGTTTCGTAACAAGTCTGTTCCATGCTTACTTCAATGGCACGTATACCCAAATTGCATACGATGCGGTGCGCATTCCGAAAGATGTTCCTTTCACCCCCTTTGCGGTCCGCCTCTGCTTCCTATTTCTGCGTCCTACTTATGCCGCTGCAGACTGACGCATCTTCGAAATCAAAAGATCTCGTCCCCATACTTTGTGGTGCAATTATCGGACTCCGTAAAGAAGTCAGTTTGCTTACTCACACTACCCGATTAGAATTAAATATCCGTTATCCAGGTGGACTTGTCTATTGACATACCGACTGCGATGGTGAAGCGGTTTGCCGAATGGTGCTTATCAACAGCCGATAGTGCGCTACAACGCGATGCCGTCTTGCGGGCCCTTTCAACCTTAATCAATAAGAGACTCGAAGGTACACCTCTCAACAACGGTCGGGAAGTCTTATACTGATGAACAGGATTAGACATAACACCTTTCATGAACGAGACTCTGCCTTCTTACGGCAACGACGTGCTTTTGAATCCGACAGTCTCCCTTCCCCGCCGACTTGTCTGCCTGGAGCTATGGGTTTGGGTATGGCGATTCCTCTTTCAAGTGCCGTGAGCTCAAGCTTCGCAGGTTGGGAGAGCCCTCCTCGTTCGCAGTGATGATTCTATCAGGACCCTTGTGGATGACCTCTTCGACCTCTTCCCAGATTCGAATATCGCATACGATGCCGCACTGGCAATCGGGAGGATATCGCAAGGCGGTGTCGATGTATTGACAAAGGAGAATCACGCGACAATACGGGCATGCTTCTCTACTAAACCAGTGCATCAAATACTGATCGCATCTCGTACAGTTCCTTCACATGCAGAAGTTTTTTAATTTGTTAATACCTACTCTCATCACGGGCGCAAAGGACACGAGCGGTGTGTCTGGTTTAGCTCTACCTCCGCTTTTTCTGACTCAGTTCCAGATACCACCAGACAAACCCTATACTTAGCAGCTCTGGCTGCTGTTGTTATCAACATTCCTCATGCTGTTCTGAGCCAGGTTCTTCCATCGGTGAGTCTTCGTTTGATACACAGGTCTCTGGTCCTCAATATTACCCAGATTCTCCCCCTTCTCTTCCGCTGTCTACAGCTGTCGGACGCGGGTTTGCGAGCAAATGTCGCCGAAGTCTTCGCTGCTATTGCAGCCGACGACGTTCTTGCTTCTACAAGTCTAACAGAACATTCTCCGAGTTTGATCAAGGCACTTCTGGCGAATAGCGTTCCTGTCGCAGGCGAACCCACCAGCGTCAGACTACGCGTTGCTGCTCTGAAGAGTCTTGCGGCCATTCCAGCTGCTATTCGATACGATGTCCTGCACCCATTGAAGCCGACTGTTATATCCCAACTCGGAAAAGCGGTCGATGATCATAAGAGATCAGTACGCAAAGAGGCTGTAGAAGCCCGAGCAAAGTGGTATCGATACCATGGTTGAACTGATCTCTTGCATTCATGTTTCGAGGTGTGTTTTCAAGACTGGCCAACCTCTGTCCATTGTACATTACTACCAATCTTATCAAGAGGAATGCAGTGTTGTACAGCTTGCATGTATTAGAATGGAATGGTTTCACAAGTACGATTTCACTCTGTGATTCCCAGTTGCTCCCTGATCATCTGTTTGACACGACGCTCATATTCCTAATGCGTTTGTCAGCGGGAAGTTCATACTGCACCAGGGTAATGGCACGTACCGAACGATCATCTCTGTACAGCTTGCAGCAATCAATGTTGGCGCCACTCTCCAGATTGGGCTCTGGAAACCCGTTAGGATGACCAGAGTTCGTGGGGACAATTGATACGCACCCGCTAACATAGATATCACACTAAGAACAACTTTTTCAATTGACTGGACGGGTGACCATCGCTCTGACGAAAGCTGGTTCAATGTTCAGATAACAACTCGATTGGCGATGCAAGAGGCGCACCTCATACATATGCGGATCGTCACCAGGAGTATGCAAGATAGAGATGCAAACCTCTCCATTTGGATAAACTGCACAATGATGAGATATTATGCACATTGTTCATAGAAGTCACACACTGTTTGGATGGAATATGGCCGGATCAAACTTCATCTTGAATGGACTGAGTGGGTAGTCGGTGGGCTGCAGGACGATTAAGTACCATTAATGACATCGAGACAGCCTACGCTCACGAAGGTCAACCGAGCAAGGAACACACCTCCTTCCTGCAGTCACAATCAATACTTGCATGAGGTTCGCACGTGAAGGATGTGTGCCTACAAAAGGAGTCCCCTCTGGTCCTTGTATTAATGCCTCCCACTCGAAGAAGTTGTCCTCGCTGATCGGCCCCGCAGTGAACATGCCGTCAGGAGCGCCGTGCGTTGTGAGCTGCTTGTATTCAGTCATCAATCGCCGTAACGCGGTGGATGATTGCGTTTTCTTAGATCCGCCAAGCATGTTGGATTGATATATGGATTGCCGGTAGAGGAATGGAGTGTCAAGAACGACTGAAGATGGTGACCGTGTTGAACAGGGACCTGCCCGTGATCATGGTTTTGGAATAGTCTTGTACACCATGTGTCAATCTAGTTCATGCATATGTATATACCACAGATTTCACAGTGTGAACATTTGAAGAAAGATCCATAACCCTATATTGGATTCCGCATCCCTCTCGTTTATACAGACACTACTGCAGTGTCGTTGTCCTCTTCTGGTATCTCCGTCTGTACATCCCTGACCTGATGCAAACATAGTCCCTCTTCACTGGTCCTTCTCCCCTTTGATTCAGGAAGGGGAGAAGGACCACCTAGATGATCCATCTGGCTCTTCTTTCCTCCTGTCATTTGGATATCGATGACATTCACCTCCGCAGGTTGATCAGCGATTGTTCCAGATCCCTCTCGAGCACGACGACGTCGAGCAATCGGGTTCAATATGACACTCAAAAGCATCACTCCAGTATCAAGTACCTGAATAAGGAGTATTTTTCAGATTGGAGTAAGTCTTGGGAACAAAGTGGGCGTACAACAACACTTATGTATGAGAAGGAAAGCAACGGGTCCAAGGACGGCTTGAAAGCGAGGGACAATGTGCTGAACAAGCCGCCCAGGCCGTCTACCAGCATGAAAAGCATGCTCACTCCTCGTACCTCCTTTAGCCTCCATATCTCGTAGTACTGTGGTCTGATACAGAGGGTGAGCACACACAGGGGTGGCAGAGAACGGTCAAGTCGCCCACATTAAACCCGCAAATAGTAATATGGCCGTCATGACCCCGAAGAACTGGAGCGGACGATCATTGTTCTCCTCAAGGCCGTGCCTGACAGCGAATACAAATGCGACCTCCAAACCTCCGTACAGAAAGAGAAAACCGAAGAATATTGATAGTGTCTTCAGTTTGCTGAAGTGCAAATCATAATAGAAGCACTGCACCCAACAAGTGCATGCAAGAGATCCGAATAGCTGCGGCTGAACCATCAACTACGTGTACTGGTCAGTAAGGTTCCTCGTGCTGAAAACTTCATCGGGCGCACCGGGATGTTCACATTCTGTGCGACGTTGTATACACCCAGGGGGAGTGCCGCAAGAGCCCAGATCAGCATGAGCCAAGGTGATAACCCGTAGGTAGATTTCTCCCGCCAGGACTTCCATGCCTGAGGTACCAGCTGAATACACCAGCAGACAGTACCTGAATATGTAGCGTGAGTTATCGTATGACAACGAGTTGCAGGATCACACACCTATTGTCCCGAACACGTTTTCTGCAACTGCGTTAACAGGCATACCACCGATGTTATTCAAGTATGATGCTTGGATGGTTGATATTTGAGAACAGTATATCAGACATAGAAATCCACATCAAAACGCTTGTCGGGTTGAATTCCTCAGGTTGACAGTTGGGTTTAAGGCGAGAAGGAACTGCTAGTTTTACGGGTGGAGTGACCGTGACCGCCGCGTTTGGTGAGGGTCTAGCGCGGGCATCCTCTCGGCCTTTCGGACTAGCATCACCTGTGACTCGCCAACAGATATATGCACTGGATTTCACCTGTATGACTTATTTCTGACCTTGCTAAGTAACTATCTGCGCAGAGATACTTGATTCTTTCCCCGCTTCTTTTCCTTCACCGGAACGAGAACGCAGCACAGTCATTTGTGCCAGCGGTATACCATGCTCTGTTTCTTGTCCGATCGACGGCCTGCGTGGTTGAGTATATGGTCCCCTCCATGCGTTTGACTCGTCTTCTATGCCATGTTGAGATGGACCGCCAATGGGGTGACCATTTGGAGCTGATGAAGCAGCTTCTCGAGCACGGCGTCGTGCTGCAAGCGGATTGAGAATCAGCTTGAGTGCAATTACCAATGCGTCCAAGACCTGTGGCCGTGTGAACCAAGATTAAGCACAGGTATAACGGACAGCTAAACATACGATCACGCTAATGTATGAGAATGCCAGCAGTGGATCGATCGTTTCCTTGAATGCGAGCGACAAGGCGCTGAACAATCCACCCAATCCATCAATGACCATAAACAGGGTGCTCACGCCGGACACTTCTCCAAGCTTGTATATCTCGAAGAATTGTGGCCTATACCGAGAGTCAGTCAATGGGTTCATGAGGTATGAGGGGCAGAGACGTCCAGCAACCCGAGGAACACAAGCATCGCAGTCAGTACCCCGAAGAACTCGAGAGGTCGCGTGTTGTTCTCGGCCAGTCCGTGACGCACCGCATAAACGAGGCCGACCTGAAGCGCCCCCAGCCCGAGCAACAATCCGGCAAGGGTGAGAATGCTATGGTACACTGACAGCCGGTACTGGTAGTGAAGGCATTGTATCCAACAGATGGCCGCAAGAGTACCGAATAGTTGGGGCTGTAAAATGAGCTTGGGAAGTTTTCGGTATTTTCGGTGAAGATGTCGTACTTCAATAGACCCACCGGAATATTGACATTCTGGGCAATATTGTACACCCCCAGAGGAAGGGATGCCGATGCCCATATGAGCATCAACCACGGAGATAAGCCAAAAGTCGATTTCTCTCTCCAAGCCATCCATGCCTGAGGAACCATTTGCACACACCAACACACGGTACCTGTCATGATAAGCAACACACCTGTTTACTACATATCCTTTCAAACGAACCTAATGTGGCGAACACGTTCTCCGCTATAAGATTTACGGTCATGGTGATACGCAAGTGGAATGGAGCACCCGCTTGTGGTGGCCAAAGAAACAGCGAGAGGGTTGAGGGGTATGGGCTGCGGTGAAGCGGAGTCATCGCGTTCCTAGCATCGGGGCCGATCGGGGAACCAGTACGCAAATGGCTTCCAAACTTCTTGGCGCTTCACGGCTTGGTAATGCAGCCGGAGTGTTTATAATATTGTTGATATAGACGTACTATGATCCTGTGGCTAACTAATGCTACGCGAGCGTCCTTATACAGCGCTGCAGACTTCGTTTGCTTTCTGTCCACAGTATTCCTCTGCGTTCTCTTCCTTTCCAGGCTCTTCTGGTGTTTGCTCGCCTAGGATGTCTACAACTGTCAAATGTGTTCCAGTTTCAACTTCTGCATTGAGAGATGCGTCTGACAGTATTTGTGGCTGCGGGTATGCCCCCTCATTCTTCTCTGAGGAGTTCCCGATTACAGGGCTTGTTGAACTGACCCCAGCCATAACGGCTTCGCGTTGGCGGCGTCTGGCGGCAAGAGGGTTTAGTATGATGTACAGTAGAATGATAAAAGAGTTGAGGACCTGCGAGCTCCAATGAGCCGTGTCCTTTCAATGCGATGACGACTGTTTACTTACAATGACGCTGATGTAAGAGAATGCCAGTAAAGGATCAATTGACTTGTTGAAGACGAGTGAGAGCGTACTGAAAACGCCACCGAGAATGTCGACAATCATAAAAACCAAGCTCAGACCGGCTACTTCTTTTATCTTCCAGATCTCATACAATTGAGGTCTTGCGTATTTTAGATCATAAGTATTACTATCACCTGTGTGATGTCGAGAGACTCACATAACCCCAGCATATATCGTCACTACTGTCATAACTCCAAAAAATTGAAGTGGTCGTTCATTTCCCTCTGCCAGTGCGTGCTATGTAACAAGCCGTGAGTAACCCTCTGTACGGTGATGACAGGTACACACCCTGACAGCAAACACAAAAGCCACCTGGAGGCCACCGATGACCGCAAGGAACGCGACCAAGATCAGGAGGCTGCGTTCGAAGGAGATGTGCTTCTCATAATATAAGCACTGGACCCAGCAAATGGCCCCGACGGTGCCAAAGAGTTGTGGTTGTAGAATCAGCTGCACCCAATTTTTAACCTGTTTCGTCGGCCAGATTAGGGCTGGATAAGCTTACGGGAATATTAGCGCTCGATGCGATATTGTACACTCCGAGGGGAAGAGCGCAGGAGGACCACAACAATACCATGAGAGGTGAGAGGCCGTATGTGGACTTGTCGCGCCATGATTTCCAGGCCTGGGGTACAAACAGAACGCACCAGCACACTGTGCCTACAATGCACGTTGTTAGCGTCGGTCCACGAAGTCCAGCCGTGTACAAACCTAAAGTCCCAAAGACATTCTCTAGCACCGGGTTTACTGGCATACTGGCGGGCTCTGCCGTGAAGAATGTCGGGGCAAAGTGAGCCAAGCTCGTCGAAGACGGCTGCCAGAATCCGTCCAGAGGGGGAGGAGGTATATTGCATCGTGCATCGGATATATAGAAACAGTAAGTTCAAGACCGGCTAGATAATCCGCCGTTCATCAATTCTGGGATTCGGACGGCGTCGGTCTCTCGCTTAAGTTGATAATCGGGTGACAGGGTCCCTTTCATTCACTTCAGGGCACGTGCCCGACACTGACTCTTTCTTGTTTCTTTCTCATTGGCTGGTTCAGCGGATCTTAAGTCTCTTCACATCACAGGAGATTCATAACGTTGCGGATGCTCTGCCGGACAAATGTCAGAAGTTTGAAATAACATCGTCCCTTTGTTCGCTCACGGGGCAGTTTGGTGGAGGACTGAGTTGAAAGGGACCAAAGAGCACACCCCTGGTTCTCGTGTGCACTCTTGGCACTTTGAAGTTTCCTTTGGCCTGAGTAAGATGGAGAGTGGTGGTGAAGGGCCTCTTCGCATCAGATGTGTGCAAACATGAGCCGGAAGCTTTTGTGCCCAGCAGTGCCACTGGAAGGAAAACACTGGAATGGGCGGGAAAATCTCTGGAAGTAGCATCCCCGGCCCATGTTACCTACCACACCATGTTATTACAGACGACACGATATACAACGGTGGAACTAACGCTACACAAGCGTTCTTAGACAGGGCTACAGAGTTCGTTCAATTCATGTCCGGAGCATTCTTCGGTGTTCCCTGCCTTTCCATTAGGCTCGTCCGACCCCTGGGAAGGTAATTGTTCGACCGCTGTCAAAGGCGTCCCAATCTCGATTTCGGGATTTGGACGTGTAGTTGGCAGCATCTGCAGTTGTGGCAATGCGCCTTCAACAACCGGCGTTTTCTCGGCTGACTTCGGCGTCACAGAACTCGCTAAGATGACCCCGGCGATGACAGCTTCGCGATGTCGGCGTCGGGCGGCGAGAGGGTTCAATATCATATAGAGTATAATAACGAGTGAGTCGAGGACCTGTGATGTTTGTTAAGTGATGCCTTCAGCTCAAGAACAATTTCTTGCTTACAATGACGCTGATATAAGAGAATGCCAGTAGAGGATCAATTGACTTGTTGAAAACGAGTGAGAGTGTGCTGAAAACTCCCCCCAGACCATCAATCGTCATGAACGCCATGCTAATCCCGAGTACTTCTTTCATCTTCCAGATCTCATAAAATTGAGGTCTGTATATTCATGCTATCAGTCTTTCCATAATTTATTGATCCTCCGACCACCTACATGACGCCAGCGAAGATCATGATTGCGGGCATAACCCCGAAAAACTGTAGGGGACGTTCATTTCCCACTGCCAATGCATACTAACAAACCGCGGGTTGCGTCAGTAGCTTGGTCATTATGAAGTTATGGCTGGTGCAGACCCAAACAGCAAACACAAAAGCCACTTGCAGACCACCAATGATGGCGAGAAAGGTGACCAAGATCAGAAGGCTACGCTTGAAGGAGAGGTGCATCTCATAGTACAAGCATTGAACCCAGCAAATGGCTCCTAATGCGCCAAAAAGTTGTGGTTGTAGTATTAACTATGACAACTTTTTAAGCTGCTACAAACAGGTGGAGTAAGAATAGACTAGCGTACCGGGATATTAGTATTCGATGCGATATTGTACACCCCGAGTGGCAGAGCACAAGCGGACCAGATCAGGACCAGTAGTGGTGAGAGACCGTATGTGGACTTTTCGCGCCATGATTTCCACGCTTGGGGTACAAGTTGGATGCACCAGCATACTGTGCCTACAATTCACACTGTCAGCGAGTGACGATCGACGAGGGGTGGAGACAGACCTAAAGTGCCAAAGACGTTCGCTGCTGCAGGATTCACTGGCATGCGAGCTTACAATATTATCAAGAATGTCGGGCAAAGTGCGCCAGGATGGGCAAAATGAGCGAAGCTGGCAAAAATGGTCCGCTGAAACCGGTGTGTGCAAAGTAAATTCTATAGGACATAATGGTTATATAGAAACCGGACGACCAAGACCGGCTAGATAATTTCCACGGTCTGGAATTCGGGCGGCATCGGTCTTCGGCCGGTTATATAATGGGCGCTTGTTCGGGTCCTTTTCATTAATTTTCACTCGCCACGTGGCCGCTCTCTACCTGACCGACGGCCTGATTGGCGCGTCTCCCCTTGACCAGATCTTGGGATACTTTGTGACTCTTGGTGGCTCGACTGAACGGAATGCACAATGCCATGGATACTCTTCCGGACAATAATCAAAAGTTTGGCAAGAAAGAATATTGGTGCTTCCTCTCTCAGGTCGCTATTTTTGGTGTTTTGCTAACTCATAAGCCTTATACAGGGACCAGAGATATCTAGAGTATGTTCCGGATGAACCAAATCCCTGTCTATAGTATGACATGGTTGCTTAAAGGGAAGGAGAAGGAGCTTTTGACTGTGGGCCTAACGTTCTCTCCTCTCCTTCCGATTGTCTCAATCTAAGCAACAGGGTTCAAGACTTACGGGGATATATCGTCGGTCATACATGAGCTCATCCCCAAGCGTGATGCCGACATTCTTATGCTGGGATGTGGGAACTCCAGACTATCTGAAAAGGTGGGCGGTTCTGATGCTGCTCCGGAATACGGTGTTGATGAAATATATCAGATGTACGATGACTCCTACCGCCACATCGTAAATGTCGACTACTCTCACGTTGTCATCGAGCAGATGTCTGAACGGCATAGTGGGACAAGGCCAGATATGACATGGGTGGAGATGGACGTACGACATCTCGAGTTTCCGGACGCAGCGTTCGATGTTGCGATCGACAAAGGAACACTGGACGCGATGCTGACGCCGAAGGATGTTTGGGTGAGCTTGATCGTTCTTACGCAGTTTTCTTTTGGTTGACGTGCAATCATAGAATCCAGATCCACAGATGGTAGCGGATTGCAACGCTGAGATTGACGAAGCATACCGGTATGCATATGGACCGTATCGATTGGCCACTGTTGATCGTCAGCCAACAGGATACTTCGCCCTGGCGGTCGCTTGATCTACTTGACGTTTGGTCAACCGCATTTCCGAAGACAATACATGAATAGACACGATTGGAAGTTGGAAATCCGAGAGCTCGGCGAGAGCTTCCACTATTACCTTTACGTTTGTACAAAGCGAGAATGAATGAAGGCATGTAGTGCGACTGTATGAGACAATTGTCTGAGGGTTATCAGTGATACATTAGCAAACCATGCGAACGCGGTGTGGGGGGGTATGTTCCACTTGCACTGATACAGTAATCCGAAATGCGCCTTTATCTGGTTCGTCTAACAACGCAGTCCACCGAGCTGCAAGCCTCTACTGACCACGGTCCTCATCTCCCTGTTGCTCCCAAAGTACCTCGTTACGTTCGAATCGTGTCCTACCAGGACTGGCGGTATACGGCGATCCGAGTGGAGTCCCATTGCCAATCCCCCGCACTGGAGCAGTTCGGAAACTGCCCATGCTAGTTGCTGTGTCCGGTTCGCGGGCCGAGGTAGGGGAGCGGATTTGTTGAAGTGCCATCTCTTCTCGTGCGAGGTCGTCCTCTTCATCTGACAGAAATCCTGTATCTGGATCGGGATGAGGCAAAGAGGAGAGCGGGACATTCGACGATGGAAGAGAGTGGTAGTTGCCGGCACGTAGACGCAACGCATATGAGAACATGATCGCAATGAAGTACCACTGGACTGAATTAAACCCTATCCTGTATACACGGAAAAACGCACCTTAACAAGCCAACTAATCACGACTACGCCTCCCGCAGTGCCCTTCTCCTTATCCCAGATTGCCTGAGCCGCGAGCTCCCTTTCTGCATCAGTCATGTTGTGCCCCGCTACGCTGTTGATGAGTGCTTCCTGCGCAGCAGAATGCGCGACTCGTCTTCCATCGTGTGGTGTCCAGATCCACCACTCAAGTGCAAAATAGGCCAACCAAATGGTAGTAATTACATGGTCGAGCAGGAACGCGTATGCGATCCAGAAAGTGTATCTTGGGTTTTCCTGCAGAACACTCAGCACACACGGAATGCCAGGAGGGATGAAGGTCATACCGAGAGGATGATACGCAGTCCAAGCCACCATATTGCAACTAGCATCACGATGGAATAGAAATACATGCTGAGCTGAGCAATGCTGCCACCAGTCACAATCGTGATGAGCCCGTAGACACCGGCGACCTTGTTTAACAACTGGAATCTTCATCAGCATCTCCCAACTTCTCTCGCTGTTAAACAATTAAATGCACCGCAAAAAGTAGAATGACGGTAGCCCCTATATTCCAACTTTAGCATCCCCTTGCTATTAGTGGGGTTAGCAATCAAACGTACCCGTCTTCAGATCCATCAACCCCACAAAGCTCGTAAGGGGCCATATTGGCCGCGAAAGTCGCAACCACATCCAAGGTTCCTCTAGTATCACGTCGACTATACTCTTGTTTGGTATATCATTTATCACAGATTTACAGCGCTCAGCGACAGTGAGCAGAAGGTTGGAAGTTGCAGAGGAGCGGGCAGGGCGACCCGACGACGTAAACTACATTTGGAAGGCGCCGAGAAGGCTGCGCGTAATGCCGAACCTGGCCGCCGGGGTGGCTGTACCCACAGATCTAAATCAAGAACACGCCGGCCGCTGATGCAACTTACCCCAGAAATAGTAGGAGAAAGCGGTCGAGTATAACTTGCATAGAGAGCAACTTCAGTGTCGGAAGACATTCAACTTCTATATCGAGGAAGAGCTATCCAAATGCCAAATTCACGGTGCGACGGACACGGCCCGAGGTTCTCGCTGATCCGCACTGCATACACGTTGCAAGCAGAACGGAGTGGCGAGATCTTATTGCAGTCCTACATTTTTACACGAGCCCGAATGCACAATGCCCATTCATGGATCTACGACGCAAACCTGAAGTCGTAAACCTGCTTAGCGTAGTAAGCTCCAGCAAGGGCACTCGCAATCGTCAAAGTGAGAGGAATGGGCCCCTTGCCTGCGCGGGGAGCCGATGCACCGAAAAGGATGACAGACGCGGCTATTGCAGGAGTGAGGCCTAGGATTCGGTGGGCGAGGCAAGCATTGGACGTACCTAATGCACCCTCATATCCGTAGTCCCCGCCTGAACGGATCTGGTAGCCCGACCAGCCGTAGATTAGCCCAACACCAGTGCCGGCAATAAGCGAAGGCATAGATCGGCTGCGAACGTCTGCGAGCAACTTGAGAGTGTCCATGAAAGGGAGAAAGCATCACTCACATCCGGTCACACCGCCGATGAGGCAGACTGCGGCCATGGTCAGAGCGGGATGGGCGGACTAGTCCATGCCAACCATTAGACCAGCAACATCAATTCAAGCGTGTGGACCTCACCATCTTCACTTAATCTGGCGATATACAGCGATCTTAACCCTCAAATTTCGGTCTGAAGATACGAACAAGATAATCTGCGTGGACTGGCAGGTCGAACACAAGTTGTGGTCGTGGCTTTCTTACAAATACACAGAAGGCAACGACGGAGCGTTTACGCCCCATCCGCGGGGCCGAGGGTGAGGAAGCACCGGGATAACTTTGGGAGCCGATGACGCCAAGCCTTGGGGACAAGAGATGCTTGCAGGGTCTATGACGTCAGCATATTTGCCATTGATGGGGTTGGCTACATGAACCGGCTTGAGGCAACATATCCAGCACTATATCTGTAACGATCATATCTGAATTCAACCTCGTTTTGAGATGTCACTAGGAGAAGGTGAGGACATCCGTTGTCTTCCTCTGGACATCGAGTTCACATCCGCACAGCAGACGCCAAGTTCCCTGGTCAAGGTGGAAACGGCTTGCCACCACCCAAGACAGCCGAGAACCCAGGACAGGTATGAGGAGTGCTCTGATATTATAGGTTTCCACTAATAAGGCAATAAAGGTGTATCCCAAATCGGACCCTCAAAGTATGTCCCACGGCCTTACCGTATTCCCCGCTGACGACGCTTCCCAGTTGCACCATCGTCTACCCACTACGACCGCCCTCTCCCCTCCTCCGAGCCCACTCATGCGGGACCCCCACCTCCAGAGCCAAGCAAGACCACCTCTGCAGTGCCTGGAACCGGGGGAGCTGTTGGGACAGGGAGGATGATTGTGAAGGACGCGCTGGAGGAGGCGGAGAACCCAGCGGTGGACCAGGAGAGAGGAGGGGGGTTCCAGAATGAATAAGTGGTTGGGAGGATATTGAGGTGGGAGCATGGCATAGCAGATAGAGTATTGGAATGTTGTTTGCTTGAGGGGGATCGAGACCAGTCAAGTCCTCGGAATGGATTCGATGATGCCATGTCCAAGAGGACATGCTCTCGAGCAGCCCTGCTATCCACTAACACGGATACCCTGCGCACCTGAATTGAACGGCCATTTGGTATGTATTCATAGAGACCACGCACATCACATCTCAATGCATACCATACCTCCACCGCTCACAAGAACATGGATTCAGCTGTCTGATCGCAGGATCCGCAACATGGAAGGAAGGAGATGACGTCGTCCAAAAGCACAAAGAGAAACAGGGTCCACCTCTAGTCTCTTATAACCTGCCCAAATGTGGCTTCAGCCCGTTCTGCAATAAGTAACGATCCTCTTACCATCAGTTTCTTCAACTTTTCCCTTCTGTCGCCCGTTGATCTATCAATCGTCAATACATGGAGTATCATGCCTCTGTGGGAAGGTGAGTCGTCGTTCTCAACAACTCGTGCATCACTCACAGGTTCAGCGGACGCCAAGTTTCCTGGTCAGCAGGGAAAGGGCCTTCCACCGGAACAGACGCCAGAGAACCCCGGCCAGGTAAACCCCGGGTCACTTTCTAGTCAGCCAAACTGAGGTAGAGACATCTAGGTGTATCCCAATTCCTCTCCATCCCGTGCGCAAGGTCTTTTCACGTATGAGAGCATAGCATCTAAATGGCATATAGCTGCGTCCCAAGCAGAACATTGGGATCGCCCGCACCCTCCCGGTGTAAACGATTCAAACACATCGCCCGCCCAAACAAGGCGGCCTGATCTCGTCAAGAGCACAGACGCGGTGCCTGGTAACGGCCACCCGAGGGGGGGAGATGACCCTAGCAGTTTTGCGAGCAAAGACCAGAGGGAGGAGGAAGATAATCCGTGCATTGATAGTAAGATAGGCATGTTGTTTGCAGATTAGATGAAAAAGAAGCCAACACCTGGGAAAACTGTGGACTCTAAAATGCATCTTGATAGGGTGGCTAAGCTCGCCCGGGGAACTGGGAAAGGATGATCATCTTACGGAAAAGAACACATGTCGGAAGCAAGCAGAAGGTCCTTCAGCCAGTTCTCGGGATCAAGGATTTCTGATGACCGTCCCGCTGAATCCACAGTGAAACACATCATCGCAGTTCTCTAGTTCGATTTTTTCCTGTTGGATAATGCAATCGTGTCCTTGTATCGTTCTGAGACTGATAATGGCGCATCATGCTGACAAGGTCTAGACAATGCGGATCCGAAGGCAATCAGCAATATTATCAATACCCCAGACTCGTAAGACGGTCGGTCAGACTTGCAGACGTGTCAGGAGTTGATCGAGGAATATTCTTAGGAAGATTTCTCACTGCGAGATCCGAATATTATGACGAAGTGGCGGATATGTCTGATGTAGCGGAGTCGACATGGTGCATGGTTCTTAGGCAGATACAGACGCCAGGCTCCACTGGATCACCAAGTGATGTATGCGCAACGGCAGTTCAGGCCAAGGGGAATTGTTACCGCCGGCACTTGTTTAGGAGCTTCTGTGCTTCCTTCAAACCGGAAGCTGTTCTACCCTGAGGGCTGAATGCAATGCGGCGAGTGAGCATGTGTTAGACCCCTTGTTGGCAACCTGCTTCGCAGAAGAAAGAGCAAGTCGCCTTGACGATGTGGATCTCATGGCTATCATCGTGATGGCCACCGACTATGTGCTCTCTTTCGCATTCAATAGACATGGTGACGGCGCGACGGAGCTCACGACGTCCTGATTCGCGTCCGCCAATCAGCGCTCGATCTAATCGCCGTCCCGCCCGTTCTCATGTCGACGGCGACGCATCTCGGGATGGATCTCGCAGTTGTCTCTCCTACAATACCCTCCTCACTCTCCCTCTTTTTCTGACCGTCTCTCCTCGGACAGCACCTGGTCGTGCCTCCTAGTCTGTTTGACTGTGCCATTCCTTCAGATCATTCGCCATCTTTCGTGTACTTGCTCTGCTGTCTCCATCCATCTGTTCTCGTGCAAAACTCGCCGGTTCACCTAACAACATCACCACGGCAAATCACGCTTGATCATGTTTTCGCGTCCTTCTATTCCTCGGGCATTCGGCAGCGACCAAGACCTTAAGAGGCACCTGCACACCAGTCCTCAGCACAGCTATGACATGTCGGACCCCGCTACTCTGTATGAGCAAGGGCCGGCCATTGTCGGCCCTGAAGTAGTAGGGGTCGGCAGAGGTGTCTCCCACTCATACCACCATTCTGCATTGTCTGCAATGGACCCGACTGCCTCGAAGCTCCGGCGCGTCGCAACACTCGCTTACAACCATGCGCGCATGGAGTCCTCCGCCTCACGTTCCAATATCCTCCCGTCCCGCTGGCTTGTTCTAGTTTCAGCCCCGTCTATCGTCACCGAGGATGGACATCTCGATACGATGAGTGCCTCAGGACCTGCTGGACGGGAATCGAATGGAACCCTTATGCCTTTGCATAACACGGTATGTATGTTCTGGCAAGTCACATGTATGCCAGCTCATCAGCCAGTAGCTCTTTCAACAGCTATCCGCGATAGCGAAGGAGTTCAATTTTCCCAGCACAGCCGGACTTTGCTTGTATATCCACTACAATGAGAAAGGAATGGCATTCGCCCCACGTGTGACGGACGATTCGTGGATGGTACTTTGGAGGCGCTACCTCCTGCCGGACGACTACGCCTCCTCCCCAGAAGGACTCCCCATAGTCGGTCAGATCGAGTTTGATATCGATGTCCAGAAAGCAAAGTGGTATGATGGGTGGATGAAGGCCCATCACAAATCAAGTGCCATCCCACGTACGATGACCACAAGCATTTCGTCTCACGCCGATCAATGGGACGATGAGCAATATCAGGACCCACATGAACCTGCCCCTAGGGACCCTGCGCCAAAGCGTCTTTCACTGTTGGACAAGCGCGGTGCAGGTCAGCTTTCACTGCATCCTATCACTCGCAAGCCTTCGCTTGAAAGCTCGTCTCGCACGATGGTAGAGCCGGCTCCGCGTCCAAATATTCTTCCGACCATCATGGATCAGCGCTTTGCCGATGCCAGCACAGAGATTCAGAGGCCGAGGGATATGAATGACCGGATCCGGAAATGGCGAGACGAGAGTGCGCCTGCAACCCCTGCTAACTTCCTCCGTGGAACAGAGCCATACGGATATGTCGACCTGGAAACCGTCGAATTCCATTACGAGCCATGTGACGAGCCTTATCCCGCGGCACCGACGTCTGACAACCTCGAGAATGATGGCGAGCAGGAGATAGAGCAGGAGCTGGATCTTGACGAGTTTACTTGGTCCATCTCCTCGGCTGGTCCTCTCGATTACCCGCCCCCTACAACAACTGGGCGTAGCTCGGTCGTCGAGAACTGGACGCTGGAGGAAGATCCTGCTGTTTCACCGTCTGTGATTGCGACATCATGGGGCCCGCCCTCTCCCATTGGCGCGTTATCCCCGATGTCTATGCGCAGCTCGGTCATCGAGGACTGGACGCTCGAGGAAGAGCCTGCTATTTCCAGCCCGTCCGAGGTCGCGACGACATGGGGCCCGCCCTCCCCTATCGATTGGCCGGAATCACCTGCAGTTCCTATGTTTCACTCGCCAGAGCTAGCCTTGACAGTGGAACATGTTCCGTCGAAACCCACGGAACGCCTCCTGAGTCCTCCATCATCTCCCATGCAATCTGTTCAATTCCTAGATGGCGATGAGGAGGCAAAAACCACCTCTGCCAGCGACTCGCTTCCGGAGGAAACTCGGCCCGTCGTTTGGCCCTTCTGCGACGTGCCCTCTTTCGCCGCCGGCTCGTCCAGATGGGCAAACGGCGGCCCACATTTATATGCTGAAGAACAGAGGCCGCTGGCCGCCTCGCAGGCGTACGGGTTCTTCGATCTTTACCGCGCCGTTTATCCACACCTGCGACCCTATCCACCGCTCGCATGTGCTGGACGTGATAATCCTCCTCCCTCTCATCCACTCAACAAGCCGGATAATTCTTCGTTTGGCTGGCCTTATATGAAGTCCACCCTACACCATGAGGATTGGACACCCGTCGGGCTTGCCACATCCCTCTCTCTCTCGATGATGCCTCAATCAGTCACGTGGCCACGCGCCATCGATGCGTTTGCTCAAGGATGGCTATTTACCCAGAAGTCGAAATCGTCTTCCTCTGCCACGTGGTCACCCTCAGTAGATGCTTTTGCTCAAGGATGGCCGTATACCCAGAGACCAAACAAGATTCCTGTCCTTTTGGATAACCATTATCCGGCATTGACTATCTACAAGCCCGTCTATCCCCACATTGAGATCTATCTTTCGTGTATCCAGAGTTTCTCACGCCCCACTTCGTTCTCGCGTGTTGAATACCCTCATTTCGACATATACGCGACCGTGCCTTCCTTCCAAAAAGTGGCTTGCCGTATCCCTGTTGCCCTGAACCTGGCCATTGTAAGCACTCTTACCACCCCAAGAATTGTCTAATATGCTGATGCGGTGCAGTATCCGACAATCGTGGTCTACCCCGATGTTGCCCAAACTTCTCATGCGCCGACAAGCATATTCCCGCATTCGAGTTCGGAATATCCTTGGCTTGTGATATACGCCTCTGTCTACCCCCATATTATGCCGTACCCAGAAGCAGTGCCTAGGATGATCCCCAAACCAACTTTTGACATGAACGTATCTCTGTGGAATTGCTATCCGTACTCAGCACAAAGGATGTATGCGCCTGGATATCCTGACAACCTGGAGATCTACCCCGCGACATCCGAGAGCTGGCAGCTCTCTCACGAAGAGAAGGCTATTAGCATACAGACCGCTCTTCAACTACGATATCCGTTTATGCAGATATATGCACCTCAATATCCGCATTTTGACATCTATCCCTCGGTACAGCACAGGGTATGCAATATCGCTGACGCACCAAAGCTGAGGATCCTGATCGGGAGCAAGGCCCCTCACCCAGCAGTGGTTGCGGTTCAAAATCACCATCATCCGACCGACACCACCCACCGACACCGGCACAGGAGCAGCTCGAAGGACATTCCCCCTGTTCCTCCTTTGCCTGTTGATGTCCTAGTGAAGCTCAAGTCCACTTCGTCCCCAAATTCTCCGGTGAGCGATACATATCTTCATACGGTCTTCCTTGTACTCACAATCTATCAGCCCCAGCTTATCTCTAGCACCCATGTTCGCATCAATGGTACACCCCAGCAGGCGCTGCCGTCTGTAGCCAGTCGTTCATCCTCCCCGTTAAAGACGCGGAAGTGGAAACACAGTCATCAGGACCTTGTCCGACAGGTACAAGAACAACAAGGTCTACATTTGTCGTCAGCCCGTCAATCGTCGGCTTCATCGTCACCAGTAAACAAGAAAAAGTGGAAGCACACTCACAGAGACCTTGTCATCCAAGTGTTCGGCTCCGAATCACAACACCATGAAGTTAAGACGACAACTCAGATTCTACCACCCCATGAAATGAGTAGCGAACCAGTGATCAGAGCCGGAAGACCCCATTCATTCTATCAGGCACCTCGGGGATGTTCCGGTTCTGTAGTAGGCCGGCCGCTGTCGATGGCTGCGCATCCCACGATTCCGGTTGGACGACTAAACTTGTCGAAATACCCCTTCGCTTGATAGGGGAGTTGAGAATGTACAAGTAGACTAGTACTATTGCTTTGGGTTGCATCATTTCGGTCGTTATTGCAGTGCAAATATATGTTGTTTTCTCTGAGAACGTTACTTCATATCATCAAAGGATAACCCTTATTGATTTACTTCCGCACTATGACAGGTTTTCTAAGTTCCAGAACAAAGCCTTTACTGAATTCTTGGGCTGCACATTTCTTTCCTTCGCCAGTGACGTCCGTCCGGTTAATACATCGCCGCCGTTCAAAATCCAATCTATTCAGAATGAGTCTTGAGCCAAAAGAAGCAGGTTCGTCGAGGGGAGGAAAGCCCAAGTCACATTTGCGTGGCCACCCCCAAGATTCCGAAGATGTCCGCATAGGCAAGACTCTCTCATATATCCTGCGGCATGGTGCTGCCAAGGAAGGCCTCAAGATGCGCTCTGATGGCTATGTGAAAGTCGACGATCTGGTAACGTGATTTGTTATCAATACCATCGACTATGCCCTGATCACTAATATCTCCAGCTGGCTAGACCAAAACTTAACGGAGTTGGCTTTTCCAAGCTAGAGGACCTGGTCAAAAGCAATGACAAACAAAGATATCAATTGTTGTTTGAACCGAAAACCCCCGTAGAGCCGGGTGAAACCGAGCGCAGTTCCACTGAGGGAACATGGTGGATCCGTGCTAACCAGGGACACTCACTGAAGGTAAAGCACATATCCTCCCTTGCCGGATCTCGTTTCATTATACAGCACTTAGGTCGAGGAGCTTGAGCTTCGTGAGATCTCATCGGCAGATGAAATTCCCGTCGTTGTACATGGCACGTCCCGACAGACGTGGCCGGCAATAGGTTGGCGCCTCCTATTCTTCATTGGGCGATTTACTGACGGGCGTGCAGAAAAGTCCGGACTTTCACGAATGTCACGTAATCATATCCACCTTGCAACTGGAAAGCTGGGCGATGAAGGCGTCATCAGCGGTTAGCATATTGTTATGTAGGTTCATCCTTGGTCTGATTCGCATTAGGGATGCGAGCATCTCATGCCAAGAGCGGTGTGCTGATCTACATTGACGTGCCATTGGCCATGGCAGATGGCATCAAGTTCAACATTTCTGCCAATGGTGTTGTGTTGACAGAGGGAAAGAATGGAATCTTGGACAAGAAGTACTTCAAACGTGTAGAGACCGCGGATGGGCAGACGTTACATGAATCTACCCACGTTCATGATTGAAAGACGGATTGGCATCGACATTGTTATTCCTTGTATAAACACAGCGGTATCAAATGATGACACGGTATCTGCAACATCGCTTGAGAGTGGAAATAGGAAACGTGTCCAAAGGGCTTCCATAGAAATTACACAGGATCACAAGTCGCACAAGGTTCAAGCGGAAAGCGGGAATCGGGGATCATCTCAACTTTGGCTTCCGCAAATGGAAAGTCTCTTCGTCACTGCTACCCAAAGGCCACCTATCGCCATGGCCATCTTTGCGTGAAGTTGGAGGTCGGAGAGGGCTTTCAGTGATATCAACTATCTCCACGGACTCCTCATTTGGGCAGCTAGAAGATGCTGTATCGTTGTCCCGGAATTTGTAGCTCCAGTCTACCCTGTTTATACATGAGTTCTGTCCTGGTTTGAAATCACGACCACTCACTTGACCGGTTTCAATTGCCGTTTGGTCGTTCTTGTTGTAGAACTAGTTTTTATTACGGGAGATATCGTGTCATCCGGAAATGTGTGTAGAGAAGGAGAATTTTGGAGTCGATGGACACGTGCGTGATTGTTATCTTGCCACTGTGTCTCACCTCCATCTCGGTCTGGAAATTGAGCAAGACCGTACTTCCGACTTTTCAAGAGAACCTGCAAAGCCTTGGCACGACTCAATTGCAGGTCCTGGCGAATGAGCAGAATGGCCGCCTCTGGCACTAAAACTTGACGGATGAAGTCATCTACCGATAATGGCCTCGTGTTTGATGCTACCATGTTTGGGAACATGAACATAAGAGCGCGTTGGATGGTGATCATTCCCTGTTCACCGTAGCTGACGCAGTTTGAGAAAGATCATGTATCCGCAGCCAATCTGAACTCACTATCCCGGCTGACAGCGTTCGAAGGTCTCGTACTGACCAAACACGCTGCCTGCGACTCTCGTTCCCTTCTCAAAAATATCGTTCTTGGCTGCTTGGAAGAAAGGTGATGCAGAAGGAGAGCTGATGATCGCCTTAAGACTGTCCTTGCGCTGCTCTAAGCGTTTAGGGATTCGGTTGAAGTCAAGTGTGGTAGGCCAGCCTTGTGCAATGCCTTCTGGAATATGGCTAGTCTCGGATCGATGTAACGTGCACAAGCTGACGAAGATTTCCAGTGGCGCGCTGAGCCCGTCCGGATTGGAGTATCGCGGGTCCTTCCAGGCCCGAGGCTTGACTTGTTTGAGCAACTCAGTCAGACGTTTGGATGGTCGCTCGGGCCAGGGCTCGTCACAGAAGGGACAGAGCTCCTTTGTTTCTGCTTCGTTCATGCCTAAGAAGGGGAGGCTCAGTGGGGGTTCCTTGTTTTGATCTAAAGGGACTCACCACTAGACACTGGCGATGGAGACGAGCTGATACGCATTGACCTACGTCGTATAATATTAATATCATTCCCCAACTAACAAGAATACGCACGACAGGCTGCCCGTCGGTATCTCAGCTTCGTCGTCAATGAGAGCAGGTTTCTCTCCTCCGTCCTCGAGTCTGCTCTTCTTCAACACTCGCTCCGATGGATCTATCCACGATTTTCCCTTCGGTGATTCGCGTTTCTTTCCTCGAGGTACACCTGGTTGAGATGTCTGCGAGGAAAGATCCATGGGAAAAGGTCTCGGAGCAGGCGCGGATGCGCTCTCCTGAGGGGGGTGTTTCTCCGGAGGTGGAAGAAGAGAAACTGAAGAGGACGACCCTCCAGTGACGGCCGGCTTCCCAGATGCTAACTTCTTCTTCGTGACCTTTTTCTTGGGAATTACAGGGGTTTCAAGACAAGGAGCCATGGAGTCGGCGACTGAACCAGGTAGATCCATTGGGAAAGGTTTGACGGACGGTTCGTCTCGTCGTTTGATACTACTTTCTGGTAACTTCATTGGCAGCTCCCGTAATCCCCTTTTAGCCGATTTGTTTCGCTCCGAAGAGTTAGGGAGATCCATAGGAAATGCTTGTATGTCGGGTTTGGGCACAGCGGGCTCTTCTTTCTTTTCCAGCAACATAGGGAAGGGGCGTGCCACAGAGGCAGAGAATGATGGCCCAGATTGGATCTCTTCGTTCTCGTTAGACGCATGTAGTAGTTGACTCTTTTGAACAGGAATCGCTTTCGGCTTTGGTGGTCTGCTGTTGGGTACCCCAACAGGAGAGCATTTCTCGGGTTCCTTGCCTTCGAATGCTGGCTTGAACTTGGATGGACCACGGCTGGAAGAAGCCTTCCGTTCTTGCGCAACGGGAGATATAGAAAAGCAGTCGATAGGGTCTGCGCTACTCTCCCCAACTTGCTCTTCGTTTAACCTGGTGTTGATGCGTGTGAAGGTCGGATCTCGCGGTCGGCTGCTTGACGACCGTCTCATCCTTGGGACGGTGGGCGTTCTCCCTCTGGCGGCGGCAGACGACTGTTTTGAAGTGGTTGTGCGAAGCTCGTCTCCCATCCCTCCCCGAGCTATCTTCAACTCTTTCTTCTTAGGTGACAACACCTCTCTTTGCCTCATCCTGTCCATTGCCGCCTTCTCGATGTTGATTCAACGTTGTCCAATCCAGTTGTGAGCACAGCACCCACAGGATGATGTCGTTGAATGGAAGGTAAGATTGGACGCAATGAATATTATAGCAAACAAATGACAAATGAATAGGACAGAGAGGACCGGGTGGTGACGAAATCAAGTCAGAGGCGTCACAGTGGCGTGACTACGGACGGCGGGAGAGGACAGCTTCATTTCGCATAGGGTCTCACAAGGGTCTCATGAGGGTCTGACTCCCCTAAATACTCAGACCCATTGTATGCAGGGTAATTAAATTTAGGTTCAAGCTCCGCTTTAACACCACACATTATCTTCTGTGGCCTTGTCCCTTAGCACACATCACTGTCTATAAGTTGCACATTCCTCTGTCTACTGCTGTCAACTCCACTCTCTCTTTCTTTCTCCTGTTCCTTGTATTTTCATGGCAAACCAAAGGAAAACCCCACCTTGGCAGCACATACCTTATCAGCATTGGATCTCTACTCTCCCCAGTAGCAACAGCCCCCTAGCAGAACTCCCTGACCCTGAGCCCCATGTTGCTCACCATCCTTCAACACCCCCACAGGACACATGTCCCTGCTCTCTGACAGAGATTCTCCAATGCCTGGAAACTCCTTCACCTCCTCCAACACACAAGTGATCACATCAAAGTTATCATAGGGAAGAGCTGGCAATGATCAGAGCAAATTTCCTTCCCCAAAATGCTGCTGAAGGATTACACACCATTCCTGACCTCCCTGTCATCTCCCCTCCTCCCATTGCTGTCCTTCAAGACCATCCCTCTCCTGACCCAACACAATTGCAGTCCCTTTCCCATCAAAGTAGTCAGTTTGATCAGCTTCAATCAACCCAAGATGAAACGGACCAGACAATCTTACCTCCCTCCACCCCACATCGAAGCAGACCCCCCCAGCACTCAGAGGAAGGGCTCTCTGATCACACGGCACTTGCACCTAAGCATGCTTCTGTCCTGGCTATCTTGAAGACCCTCCATACTTCCAGCAAAGAAGCTTCTTCTGGCACTCAGAACCAGGTGTCCTATTCATTCAATCCCGAGGTGCTTGAGGCCATCAAAACTCTTGTCGAAGCTGAAGAGGAGCTCACCAACCATATTCAAGAAGTTCTTGATGCTCACAGTCACAAAACACTGGAAGCTTCCCTTCCAACTTTTGTATCCACTCATGTAAGCATTTCCACAACACAGTCCTGAACCTTCTTTCACAGGGTTTTTTTGAACAGTGGTATTCACATACCCTGAAATCTGACCATGGCAGTCTCAACCTCTTCATTTGCTACATTGGCCACATATACACTGAGGCTTTCCCTGATGCATTCCTGACCTCTCCTTTGACTTATCACTGCAACTTCCCTCCTCTGAGCCACCTCGAAGAAGATGAATTCACCCACATAATCTCAATGTTGCATGTCTCTTATCATCCATGCATCTTCAACTCCAAGGAAGCTCAGGACCTCATCAATGACCTTGAATGCTGTCTTCCCATTCCCATTATCCACCCACTCAACATAGTTGATGCAGTATGTGGTGTAAACAACTGGTGCAAGTGGATGGTATGTCTTCCCAATTCCATGAATTTTTCTTCTCCTCATCTTCATTACAGTCTACCTACTTTCACTTGATTCACCAGGGGAAAATACCTGCATGACTACAAATGCATGGGCCCCTTGCTTGCAATCTCATCAATATATGGACCTGGAAGCTTGAATTTTCTTTGCATGTCAACATCAAGTACCTTGAGGAAGTCAACAAGTCATTCAGTCCAGACTGGACTCTGACTGGAGTACTGTGCCAATGCAAATCTGGCAGCCTTGGTACCATAGCTGAAAGGTACCAAGATGATGTATACTCCACTAAATATATAGGTGTGCTCTGTGAGGTCACACCCTTTTCCCCCAAACCTGACAACCATCCTTGTCAGTTTGCTAACTGGATAGCCAAGAGTCAGGCCTATTTTGTCAGTCTTCTCATTGCACATTTTTCCCTAATTTATCTGACCTCTATTCTAGGTCAATCCTCTACTCCATTGCCAGCTTTTCAATTCCCCCTTCACTCCCCTCTTCACCCTGCTTCTGTGTGATGTCCTCAGGCATGCTGCTACAGCCCATCTCCAATATGATCTTGAAGAATGGCCATTCACCTTGGAAGGCCTACCACACATCACTATTGAATCCATCAAGGAACCATGACCAATGGTTCTTTTGATGTGTGTCCATTCCTCATGGATGAAATGCTGGCAGATCTTGAATCTGCTGGCTGACCATCCTCCCAGGAAGAAATCTATGAAGGCATTATCTTGCTCTCCCGACATGTTGCTAGGCCTGATCCTGAGCAAGAACCTCTTCTTGATCTCTATCTTGAGAGTGCTGTGGTCCTCTCCACTTGACATCAAATCAGCAATATCAATACCAACATTCTCCACTACCCACCTCCAAGTGTAGACATCAACTTTATTCCCGACCTTGAAGTCTGCCCATCTGCACATGTGGTTAGGGTCAAAGGCCTCTTCCCATTTCCTTTCTGGGTCTGTTCTCGACCTTCTTTCCATGATACCTTACTCATGAATCACAGATCTATTTTGGACATGATATGTGCTATGAGTGTCGGCACTGATCTATGCCTTGTAGAGGGTTAGAACACTGCTGTTATGGATGGGAAGGCGCTGCTTGCATAGAATGTCGAAAGAAAGGGTTGTCTCACCCATGCCTCAGATGCAAGCACAGTTACAAGAACAGTAAGTATCTATTTCCCCACTCTCACAGTCTCAATAACCTTGTCCTATAGTTTCTTTCTGAGATTGGCAGTGGCCCAGGGAGGACATTCCCAGTCACATTCAGGATCAATGGCTGGATGAGGCTCTGGATGCAGCTTGGTATTCCTATCAGTCGTCTGACAACAAGGAACCTGATGAGACATGGCAGGACCTCTTTGACAACTTCTGGCTTGACATGCAAGCACTTGTCAGGGCACTGCTTGTTACCACCCCTGGCCACCCATTTTGCCCTAGGAGCAATGAAACAACAAGCCCCTGGAACTGCCTGTGCTGGTAACTGCCTTAGGATGATGGCAGTGGCCATACAAGACATTGTGCAGAGGACACCACAAGACTGCTGTGTCCAGACACTTGGGGTGAGACATAGCAGTGCTAAAGGCCCCTACTGGGAGTAGTGGGACACAAGATGACACTTGTAGGAGTCTCCACAATTTATTGGAAAGGTTTGGGAGGCCTAGGGGTGTTGCTAGGACATCTATCTGACACTTGTAGGAGTCCCCAGAATTTACCTGGACTCCTGGGCTTCTGGTGAACACCTACAAGGTATATAAACAGTAGTACAGTGACACTGTATCCCTCAGATTTGATCTCTGAGGAAACTCCTTAGTCTACAAGCAGTTTCTAAGTCATCTCATCATATTGAACCCCCTTCTACACACACCTGAACACCCTGCTCTCAGAAACCTGCCTTGACTCCACAACTCTTGCTACACTTTTCAGCTATCTATAACTGACTTATAACACCCCCTGGGACCCCCCAGTGACCCCCTTGGACCCCCCAATAATCCAGCTGGCCCTGGTGACATGGATATTGACTAGTACTGCTGGTTAGAGCCGCTTTCAACCACAGTAGACCCCCCAGCACTTCATCTATTGTGTGTGTGGCAAACTTGCTAGACCTAGTGCCCTCACAGAAGATCAAATCTGGTCCTACAACTTTGCCATCTTGACACCAAACTTACAGACATCTTAATGACATGTCTGACCACCCTCAAGACCCCACAAACATCCCCCATGGCTTCCCCTGTGTTTTTTGTTAAGAAAAAGGATGGCTCCCTACACCTTGTACAAGACTATAGGAAGCTCAATGGCATGACTGTGAAGAATCATTACCCCATCCCCCTCATCTCTGACCTGGTCAATAAGCTACGAAATGCAAGCTGGTTTACCAAGCTGGACATTAGATGGGGGTACAACAATATTTGCATCAAGCAAGGGGATGAATGGAAGGCTGCCTTTAGAACAAATTGAGGCCGCTATGAGCCTCTGGTCATGTTCTTTGGCCTAAACAACAGCCCCAGCACTTTCCAAACCATGATGAACAACATATTCAAGGACCTCATAAGCCCTGTAGAATAATCCACTGCTACAATGATTGTGATAAAAATGCACCATGCCTCTCTTCCAACCAGCCTCCTGTTTTCCCCCCTTGTACAGTATCAATGATTAGGTTCGGTCAAGTCCACCTGTAGCATCAGGGCACACTGCCAGATATCAAAAGTATCCTCAAATCAGGAGCCTGATAAAAGTGAGAAGCAGCAAGGAGAGCACAAAAGCTTGAGTTGTGGTTGACAGTAGGGCTGATGTATCAAATCAGCCTGAAATGCCTTTAGTCACAAGAGAGGTGCAGTGGAGTCATAACCAATCCGAGGGGGGTCGAAGTCTAGGTTTGAACACCAATCGGAGAGTCAAAGAGGTTTGGTGAGAGTTTGATCTAGGTTCATCACTATCTGACAGTGGAATTCCTGAGAGATCAGCTCTAAGGGGCATAAGGCTCCTAGAGCTGGTATATATACATGTAGGAAAAATGGAAGTATAATGGAATCAAAAGAGTAGCTGTGGGACTGTACAGTTTACCATTGTTTAGTGTGGTGCTTCGAAGAAGTTGAGTGGTTTCACTTCAGGGTCAGTGGATTCTGGCTATACTGAGGCCAAAGTAAGCCTTTCAGTGTGGATTGTATCAAATTTGCACCAAAACTGGGTGAACCCTGACATGTAGGAGGTCCTCCAGATCCCACATGACTGTATTTCCAGGCTCCTCAATTCCTTGAAGGGCATCATAGTATCCACCTCCCAGAACACATGCACCATCATCCTCATCTGTTTCATCATCCACTTCATGTGGGCACAAATCCATGTACTTGTTCAACATTTGCAGTTCCTCTTCTGCCCTAGCAGAAAGCAAAGGCAATGAGAGCATTGCACTCTGTACACATCCTTCCAGCAGTTCTTGATATATTGTCCAAAAGTTTCCCATGGTCACTTTGGGTGCACCCAAAGCTGACTCTTTTCAGGCACACTTTTCTTCACCAATATGCTTACTTACCTTGGTACAGCCTGTCCATCTCCAAATGAAAATGCTCTGGCACAAGCTCAAATACCAGATGACTTGCTGGTGCATATTTCATTTTGGCCAATGATAAGTCTTCAGGAGTGACCACTACCTTATATTCCATCAACATTCATCATTGCTTTTGACCAAGGGACCTACTTTGAAAGAGTATGCATTGTCATACTGCTCAGGGTGATAGAAGATATGTTGAGGTATCCCCTGTGGTAGCAGTTTTTTTTGTCCTTGTGCAGCTTGCTGGTATTGTGCATTTCAACATATTTGTCCAGTTTTCTTTGAATCCATGGAATGGCTAGCCAACAGAATACATTGCTTCCCATGGTCAGCTACTGCCCCCAATGCAATTCCCTCTGCTGTACTCACTTTTGAATGAAATCATGATGGTCATACACCTTTGCATGGACACCTGCATCAAATAGATTCTTGTACCCTCAAGTGAACTTGTGACAGAGCTGGCTCCATTTGATTTCAGGCTTAATGTTGCTGTGGCCATGTTTCCATCTATGCTGAAGTTTCCCTATGAGCATCAAATCGAGTCATTGCTGCAGAAACATATGCCCATTTGCAATCCCATTGTTTTCACTGCCTGGGTCACTTTGTGTCAGTAAGGGGATTCCTACCCACACTAGCATGAGTTCCTCAATGTTCCCAGAACAGAAGCACATGATTCACCCCCATGAAAGTGAGCCATCTCCAAGTAATAGCTGAAAATGAGCCTGGGGTTGGAATTTGTCCACCAAACTTTTAACCAAAGTATGGAGCCTGAGAAGGGCTCCATTCCAAGGTGCAAATACAACCTGAAACACTGCCTTTTATTGTGCTGATCAATGGTCACAAGCTTAAAGACCCCAGCCATCTTGAATTGTTTCCTGATCCAATGCTTCCCATGCTGGCAGTGAACCTCCTCTGCATGATATTGCCTATTATAACTGCGGACAAGATCCCTGTGACAGCTGGCATCAGCATTCATACTCCATAGGCAGTCAACCATGACGCTTGCCTGGGTGCCAAGATTCCCTGCTGCCTGAGCCAGTTGCAGGTGCGCTTCATGCCAGGCTTGTGGATTGCATCCCTCACCTCTTCAATGTGTGGTCTGATTGAGTCCATCATGTGATGCTGCTGCCAAACACTCATGAGGCCCATTTTCTGCCACCACCAAAATACTGTCTTAGCCCTATGAGTCCAACCTCAGTAACCTGGTAACTCAGATCAACACAATATGGACCCTAGTCCCCATCCCCTAGCAGTTGTGTCCATGTCCTGCTTGATGGAAATGGCAATTTCTGAGTCACCCATCCCATGACCCCAGTACTCCCATATACAGGGAAGCAATTCTGCATCAGGGACTGCCACAGGCCCACCTTTCAGATCGTTTCTCCAAAGTGGCTTGTCAATAAGGCTCACCTATAGGTAGATGCTGATTAGTGCTTGCAGACATCTTGTTAGTGTAACAGGCCACAGGATGCCACAAATCCAACAGCCAATTCCCACAATTATTAAGATTGGAAATGAACCACCTGCTCCCACTTTTGATGGTTGCCTGACTTTTTTTTCCCCCTAGCATTGGTGATCTGATGGTTTCTTTCTCAGATTTTTTGGGCTGTGCTACATGGCCCTGTCTTTTTTGGTGCGCTAATTGGCTGCTGTCCTATCACAACAATCATGCAGCCTGGATCCACAACCTGGGCACCTTCTTCCCACTGCCCTTCCCATCTTTCTGCTTTGCCTGCCTTCCTTGCCCTTGGCTAGGCATTGTAATTTCTGACAATCTGTCCTTGCCTACCCAAATGACACATGTACTCATGCCCCAAATAAATGCATGTCCCTACAAGGAAGGACCTCTATCTAATTTCTCCTCCCTCTGACCTTTCTGACTACATCCTCCCCTTTCAACATGGCAGACACCTGTGCACCTGGCCATACATACATCCCTGAAGTGACACTGACATACCAAGCCACTGCACCATTGCAGTGTCACCGAGCCACATGCTGCCCTTCTAACCCTTCCCAAAATGGACTCATCCCCCCTGGAGGACTGTACTGCAAATTGAGAAACAAAGGATCAGATAATCCTGTGGTTGTCTGTCTGCAATGCTACATCTATTATGAAACAAAGCCTCCTACTGTTCTCTGTTCCCAGCAACACACATATGCATCCCCAATTCCACCATCCCTCCAACCCAACCCAAATGTGATCTGTCAGATGAACAATGAAGCCAAAAAATGGGGTGAGTAGTAATAGTCAGATGTGTTTCATGGGCAAACACTTCCCAGGTTCTCAATCTTCAGTCCGGGCAATGTCTTCTGATGCCTGGCAGCCCCAGCCTCAGCTGCCCATGCACCCACTCCATTCCTTGCCTGAGCAACCAATTCTCTCTCCCCCAGCCTTGCATGGTTATATGCCCTCTCATCTCCAATATCCTGTCAAGTTTGCAAGACACACCCATCAATTGTATGCACCAGTGCAACTGGAAACCATTTTCATTAAATTTGCTGTGCATTTCTATTCTGATGGAAAAAGGGGTTCCCAAGAATTCGGTGTGAGTCTCCCTGATTCAAAAATCCAATTCACCCCCCTGAAAACGAGGACTAGCACCTCAATGACCAGGTAGAAGTCCCAGCTAAAGCTTCCTGGAAAGAAATCAAGGGGGCCTTGGTGAAAGCAATACAGTGTCCTTTTATGGAGGAGACCAAGGGCTTGATTTGCCAGAGTGAAGACTTCATACTCTGAGGAAAGGACAGCACCAATTATGAATGCTTCAATCTGTCTGCACCATTATTCTACCAATTATGTTTCTCCACTCCTTGCAAGGGAAAGGGCAACCCCTCCTTATACCTGCTGAAGTTTCTGTCAGGAAAGTCTTTCAAAGTCTGACTGATCATGCCAGAGGCTGTCCATGAACAAATCCTCCTGCATATGGAGCAGGAGTGCAGCTGTGTACTGTCCAGAGTTTCTTGTCATTTGGAGGAAAACCGCATCTTTTCCCAGCCACCCCTATCAACCGAGATCTCTCCCTGCAAAACTGAAGTGATGCTTGAAGGAAGACACCCTGCTAAATGGCAGAAAACAAACCACCCCAGCCTGGTCCAGCCTGAATCAATTGCAAGGACTGCAGCAAATGAGAGCCAACCTACCCCCACCTGGGAAGAGATATCTGCAGCCCTTTGTGTGAAGGCTTCACTGCTGGCAGAGCACATCATTTCCAGTATGCCCCCCTCCATACATGCCAGTGATTTCTCTCTGAATTATTATGTTATACAGACACATTTCTGGATGTGGGTTTGTTCATTCCTGCTCCTGCCTCTGAATTTGGCACTCTCATATGTCACAGGTTCTCTTTTTTGGCAGATTGGACTGCGCTTGGCTGCAGCAGAGATATCTCAGTCAATGAGCAGCCTGGCTCTTGTCGCAGTGAACCAGGGACTTTCAAAACCTGTCATCCTGGCAGCCTGCTCCTCCACAAATCCATTCAAGAAAGACCCCATTTCCAGGGGCACATATTCAGGCAAATGCATCAAACACCTGTTGCATTGAAGCTTTGCTACACAAGACAGAACAATGTGGAGGGAGAGCCCAGGGGGTCCAGCTTCAAGAACTTTGTACAAATGGGGAAAGGGAAAGAAGTCCAGGTTTTGGCTGGAGAAATCAAATGCATCATATGGGCTGATTCCCTACTTGGCTTGGTATACAAGCAATTGGAGGCCATCCAAGCTCAATCCCCCCTGGATGTGGTGATCAACCAAATTAAAATTCCCCAGGTTCAGTTTGTGAAGTGTGGCCTTTTTTGAGTCACTGCACCCCTGCCCAAGGATAAACAGAAAAGCAGAAATGGAACACCCTACCTTATTTAAGAACTCATCAATCCCGAGGGTGGTACTTTTGTCAAATATATACACAATGCCAGTGCTATTCCTCAAATAAGTGAAGGGAACACAGGTGACATTGCGTCATTTCTATCATTTTGCCAACACCTTCAGTATGAACTCACTGGTCACCTGATGTTCACTAGCAACTTTCAAGGTAATGCAGAATACATGGTGCACAATGCTTTGCTCAACAGATGAACAGGTGCAGATGGTCTCCTTACTGATCCCCAAATCATGACCAATCTGTATGTTTTGTGCAAATGATTTCCTCCTGTCCTCATGTTGATCAGGGAATTCCCATTGCATTTTTTTGGAGAAGGCAATGTCAGAGCTGCCTTCTCCGCATTTGAGGCCCAACATGTCTGTTCAAGATATTGCCTTGCCTATGGTCTCCAGTCATTCCACTCAGCAGTTCTGCCCCAGACTTCTAGCACACAAAAGTCAACACACCACCAGGAGTGAATGATCCATGCAGAAAATGACAAGTAGGTTTCATTCATACCTACAAGGAAACTTGTCTAGGTGTGGAAAAAAACACATTCTTAGAGAAAAGGGGCCAAAAACATATATCTGATTGCAGGGGTACTTGTCTGCTATCCTATCACATGGTCTGTTCCAGCAAGAATCTAATAATAAAAATTCAGTGTTCATATTCAGCCAATGCAAGTCACTTGACACTGACCTCACTCAGCAGTGCCACAGGCCCTTGATCCATACACTGCACCAGTCCCCCCAATCATGACACTATCAGCATGCTGGTTGGCAGCAGTGATTGCTTCTCCTTCCAGGGTGTTCACATCATTGCAAGTCATGAGATGACCTGTGACAAGGTGGCAAACTGCTTCCTTGACCCAAATGCAACAAGAAAATGTTGCACCAACTTCAGCCACTGCAGTTTCCATGGGAATATCCCAAAGAATCTGGTCAATGGAAGCTACAACATATGTGAGTGCAGGTACATGGAAGAGATGAATTACTGACCAGATGAGTGAGCCTTGCCGATGAGGATGGCCACCACCAAAGTCATGGAGGTGATCATTCACCACTCCTTTTGCTGGTAGCACCAGCTGGGGTCCTGCATGGCACGAAAGGCAATGCAGGTCCCATCTGCATAAGTGGTGACAATGAGCCAGTGATAGCCATTGGCAAGGAAACCACAGAGGTGAGAACAAGGTACATGCCTGGGGCAATAGTGCTGCTTGGAAGAGGCATGATGAGGGGGATGGGCTGATTTGTGGGATGAGGTATACTGATGGTGTCCAGGGGGAGAATTTATACTGTGCATTGCACATACAGAAAATGGTAATGAACCCTGGAGATTGCAATGTCCAGGTTTTGTCTTCTTACCTCCATGCATCATGGCATGCACTGGCAACCATGTGGCATATATTACTGTCAGGGCACACCATCTAGCAAGCTTGAGATCTTGTATCAAGGGCAAAGCTCCAATCTCAGTGTAGCCCTGATGCCTAAACAACCCAATATCAAGCAGACTGGAGCTCAGTTTGGGTTATTGTGACACCAGGTGTAGTGAAGGGGAATAGTGAGGGGATGGTTGATATCATCAGACCATGTAGATATCCAGGAGCACTAAGCATCTTGCATGCTATTGAGTGTCTTGTGTGTTCTCAAACAATATCATAGAGTCCTCGGCCATGATGGGAAAGGGGAATAGGATTGAGACAGAGTTGAGGGCATCAGTAATCCATTGATATGACCACTGGCCATAGACTGGATCTGCAAGCTGTTGACTTGCTGTCAAGAAGGGGTTTTGTGAAGTGAAGAGGGGTGTGAGACTCTTGAATCAAGATATTGTGAGGTGTCAAGAGACAGCTGCCAATATCATCATGACTCTCAGAGTATCAGTTTGGGGAGTCATGGATATTGGTGGGGGTCAACACCAACTGACGGGGAATGCTGACTAGGCTTTGTCCTATTGTGCATATTGGCTGTCCATATAGTGGAGTTCCAAGCATCAAGAAAGGCAGCACATAGCGAGCAAGAATGTAATACTGAGGGGCTTGTCCATATTGAGGGGAATTGGCTTTTCAGCTGGGCTGAAGGTCCAATATTGTCCTGAGATAGGGCTATCAACCAGAGCTTGAGTTGTCTGAGAGGAGGACTTGGCATATTGGTCAAGCAATCGGCTGTTCAGAGAGGTACAACAAGTAAATTGAGGTAATCATGAGTGGAGGATGCTCTCTCAATGTCAATATCAAAGAGAGGGTCATACTATTGAAGCACACTTGGCTTCTCAAGGGAGATTGGTCATAAGACCAGAATATCAACTAGACAGTGGAATTCCTGAGAGATCAAATCTAAGGAGTACATCACAATAATGGGTGGCTCTATGTACGAAAGGGTCGGAAGCAGTTTGAGATTGTGGCTGATAATCTGTACAGGAGAGGTTACCTCAGGGCAAGCCTGTGTGGACTTGATGCTGAGATGGCGATACCATCTCAATATTACCAATGAGCCGATATTGTGAGAACTTGCTTCTTGATGCCTTCTCAGTCTTTGATATTGCCAAACCCTGATATTGTGACTTCTCCAAGTTCCCAAGCACTCCCAATAAGTGGTCCCTGACATGAGATTGCATGCAATACCATGGGAAGGTGGTCAAGATAGGAGTGCACCCTGGTATGGCTGCCAATCAATATTTGCAATACTCTTCAATATCATAACAAGTCTTGAGCAACCATACAATATGCCTGATCTTGTCTGCTTGCACCGATATGGCCTTGCAATGCTTGCTGCTATCCTTGAGATGCTTGTTGATGGCATCAATATTGTGGTGACTCCTGACAATTACATGGTTGGCCACACAGGATGAGCAAGCCCCCTGCCTTCTTATTGACAACCATCTCTCCATAACACTGGTAAGCATATCTGCTCATCCCCCTTGTGACCCAAGAATAATTGTGTCATTCCATAGCAAACCAGAGAACACCGGTGGAACAATGATGCTATCTTACACAGGCTGGCATCTTTGGTGTTCCCTGATACCAGAAGGAATGCACTGCTGGATCTATGCTTGGATCCTTGTCCTGGCCACTGGAATGAAAAGCCTGGGTGCCCTGATATATGGGAAGATGCTGCCTGTTCAGCAGGTGACTGCACTGCCATTTGGGCTAATTGTCAAATGCAGCTCTATGCATGAAGGTGATGTGATGGAGTATGTCAATACATTGGATGGGGTTCCAACCCCCAAAATCTTTGATTACATGAAGCTCTCCAAACCCTTGGCATCCTGGTTCCCTTGTGACCATGGGGAGAAGGCCTTGCTGATCATGCAGCATCTCCATGGCAATTTCATCAGTCCTCAGTTACAGAACTTCACCAACCGGCAGGTGGATTGCCTGAGCAAACAGGTGGGCCAAGCATTTGCAGCTCTTCATCATGCAACCCCTGCCATGGACAAGGTTTGCGGGATTGGAGGTTGCCCTTGTATTTCTTACAATATATCACTGGACACCTTTGGACCATTTGACTTGGTTGCATCTTTCAATGGGTACATGGTGGAGTGGGCCTGGCATTGGATGTCCTCCAATGCACCATGTCTACCAAATTGACCTGACCAAGGCACCATCTTCAGTCATGGTGACTTGACCCCCCACAACATCCTGGTCAACAAGAGTGGAAGTTTGGTTGGAATTATTGATTGGGAATGTGCCAGATGGATGCCACAGCACTGGGACCTTGCTCATGTGAGCCAAACTTTTGGGATTGCAGCCATAGGCTAATCAAGTGGTAGTCGACATATGCATACTGATGTTATGAGAATTGAGTGAGGGTGATGCAGTATACATTCAAATGGATGGAGGAGGACATCCTATTGGAAGATCAATGGGCTGTTGCATGGGGTTTCTAGTTCTGCTTGCTGTGTGGTTTTTGGATGTAGCTACTCTGGACTGGACAGGAATACCTATTTGTTTCCCAAGTATCAAATGTTACCCATTGAGAAGCCCATAGAGGAGGTACACAGTTCCATGAAAAATCTTTGGAGAGAAAGATTGCAAGGATTACTAATTAATTGCTATAATATATGTCTACTTACATTTGTTGTTTGGGTGTGTGAGGTCTAGCCATGCACTCTCCCACCCCCAACTACATACCTACCATGTCCAGCTATGGAATGCGAGGTCTAGCCTCCACCCATGAAGAAAAAAATTACATCCAGGGACAGAGTGCAAGGTCTAGCCATGCATTCTGTTCCCCCTCAGGGGGAGAGTCAGACTTGGAAAGAGGCAGCATGCTTGGTCAAGCCATGCATGCTACCCCTCTCCAAGTTGTTGATGTGAGATAGAGAGAGCATGTGTGGTCAAGCCATGCATGCTACCTCTCTTGCCACCAATCCAAAGTGGAGAACACGTGTGGTCAAGCCAAGCATGTTCTCCATCTCCACAAATGCATTTTGGAGACTGTATGCATGGCTTGGCCATGCATACAGTCTCCCAGGATAGCCCCCCACCCCACCCAATCTTGGGTGGGGTGGAGACAATGTCAGCAAGAGGCACGTCATACCTACAAAACTGTCAGTGGTGGTTGAAGGAAGAAGAGCATGTTTGCTTCCATGGACATGTCAAAAAAGTTAAGGCCCTAGGACCCTGAATTCTGGCTCTGTTTGCTCCCATAAGGTCATCATCATGAGAAGGCTTTTAAAAGGCAGGTGCAAAGGCCTTGGTCTTTGCACATCTTGATTATCTACCACCACCTGCTAAACTTAACCATGGCTTCTGCAATCACTGCATCCAGTATCCCACGCTGCAGAGCAGGCAAGGGACAAAACATGGCTGACACAGAGGAAAGCAGGGAAGAGGCCCTGCTTTCCACCTGGTGCCGGAACAGGGGGCAACCAGGATACACAGCTGAAGTGGGCTGTCCTCGAC